TGAGACTTGAATCCACATGGGTCTTGACATCCCAGCGATTACTGGGTGTTATGCTAGCCACGTCACGGCCTTCATGAAGGAGTTGCCAGAACTCCTCATTATTATTAGCATCAGGAAACCGGCCAGAGTATCCGATAATAGCTAATTTAGAGTATCCTAGATGTCCAGTGGTAGACGTTCTATCATCTCGCACGGCAACACTGGAGTTCATGCAGGGGTCTACAGTTATATCCGGGGCACCGTACTTTCGGAGTGCAGTAGCGAAGCTTTGCCCAACAAGTGTTGCAATGGGAAGGATCGTGCAGCCTCGTGCAGATGTATCTGTTAGTAGGACCTCACCTAGCGATGAGACGATACGGTCCAATCGAAGTGGTTCCCGGAGAACTTCATTCAGAGCGTGGCCAATCAATGCTCCGTATGCATTGACCTTAATGCTATGTCCAGTAATGGAGGACAGCACCCTGAATTGACACACTTGAGATGTAAACTGGGTTGGAAGAGTTTTTCGGAGAATGTTGTCTACATCCTTTTGTCCGTAGAGATGAGAAGCGTGGTATGGGGCGTATATAGGAATAGTCAAAGACCGACTCTTTGGGAAGCAGCCGGAGTTAAGAAGGTCATTAAGTGCGCTTGGTGGGCCACTCAGAGTAACTCCTGTATTGGCATATGTGCTGATGTATGGAGCTGACGTAGCGGGAAGGCCCTAGTTCTTGTATCAGCACAAGATGCAGGTATGTCAAGGTTAGCCTATGTACCTTCTCCTCATTATACCTCTCCAAGATCGAAACAGCTGTATCACCATCTAAGCCAGGGATCAGGACACTCCACGCCAGGGGTGGCCCAGTCTGCGGCTCAAGTCTGTCACGCACATCGGCAACAAATAAGCCCGCGCGAAACGCGATCTGTACTGTGTTTGTCGCCAGGGGGAGGAGGTCCGTGATGCTTTCGCAACACCCCACAGCCGCTGCACTCAGAAGGCCAGTACAAAGACCAACGAGACAGGTCTGGTGAGTCGAGGGATACTTCTGGCCAGGCGATGTGTATCGCCTATTACGCTCACTAGTCAGTACAGCGCTTCTATACTATTTGGCCACATAAGAAACCCACCTGATAAAGCATGCCAGTTGATAGGTACACGCTAAAGCCTTCTCCAATGCAGGATGCGGACAAGTTGACCGCTGGACTCTAGCGAGGAGCTCCTCGAATGTCGTAAAGCGGATGAATTGTTGACGCGACGAGAACGGAAGCAGACCGATCTCCTCTCGAAGGCCGGATGTAACTTTTTCGAAAAAGGAGATCAAGAGAGGATTTTCTTTAATAGTGGCCAGGGATCGGAGACCCGCCACCGAGTCACAGGTCAAGTCTCCGAAGACAATAATCTGTTTGCGCTCCTCGACCACCATGGTTCTAACAAATAGACTAGGTCTTCACACTCGAGCTCTTGGCTTTGAGGGCTACAAGATCCTTTACCTGTACCAGGTACTACTGGGGTTATGTACCTTTATATGTCTAACATAAAATCTTTGTGATCGGCTCTCAGCCGGTCAACATGTCTGTCACCAATAGCCCTGTCGCCCAGAAGATGGCCAGTCTGACTTTCTTGGAAGCCCGAGACACCTTTTCCTAAAGGGTCAGCCTCAGCGTTTCAGTCATGATGACTGTAAGGTTGGCTTGATACGGGCATCACACCTTATGCGTGCATCTGCTCACAAACATCAGGCACCACATCGTATCTTGCTGCGAGTCCGAGGTAACACAAGAGGCAGGATACCGAAGGTGGATCCATTTTGGAACTCATAAGACGAATTATTGGCAGCTGCCACACTTTTCGGAAACCTCGGGATGTAAGCAAGGTCTCGCGGTCCTCGGGTTATGTCCACGGATGCCTATCCCTGGGCCTATGAGTTCAGGCATTTTCCGTGGTAGGGTCGCATCGGCCATATTATACCGTATTCGCTGATACTTACAGCTTACCCGTAGCTAGAATGATTCTGATCTGCTCGGTGAACCCATGTGCCATTTCGACTTTACCTACTCTATATATGTGCAGAGATGGAATAAAATGCCTTGCTATCATTCAAAACACTTAATCAGGTCAAAAGCCGATATCCCACGGCTACCTGCATTTGAGGATGACTGCTCGCGCTGTCGTCTCTACCTTGTGATGATGTATTGCAGAAAGCCGAAGTTTAGCTAAATTGACCTCCTCCATTATCATATCAACAATCGCACATGCCTTTGTCCAGCTGATCAGGGGAGGCTGTGTTGAGTTTTACACCATTGTATACGTCTTTAATCAAGGAATGATCAAGGCTAGTCCATGGAGCTCATACTTTACTGCACATCCAAGCTCTACAACAGGAGAATGCAAATCTCTTTCTGTCTCAGCCCTTAAGGCCGTGACGAATACCATTTGACAATTATAATTCTGTTGGTCAAAGGACGATATCCAACATTAAGATTAACCTAAGTCGAAAGAAATACCTACAATCTATCTAATGTCTCGCCGACCTAACTATACGAACCCCGGCCCCTAAGGCCCAAACACAGATTATAGCCCATATATTGGTACTGCGTTCCGGCGTGATCCACCCAAATACTGGACCAGTTGACTAATACATAGCTCGAATTCTCCCGCAGTTCATCCGCATGGCAAGTTTAGTTCAGGTGAGTACAGTGATGCGGCCGCTTGTGGGCTGGACATGGATCGTCTGGGTCCAGGCACCATCAGGTTGAGAGCTGGAACGTGACACCTGAGGCTGAGAGGTGATCACAAATCTTTTGGGAACTACACCACTCTCTTTCATCTGTTGGATGTCGTCTCACCCTGTGAAGTTGAATAGCTTTCTTGAGGGCTTTCTCGTGTAGTGGTAGGTATGCCTCGGAGACAGGTGCGTCATGCGCACTGTGGTTCAGTAGGCTCCCCTGCCCTTATGCAATACTATATTCTAGTGGCTCCTAAGATACCTTTGCCACATAGGCAGATCGTGAGGTAATATTTTGCCCGCACTTTACCTACTCCACAAGGAAAATCATTATTGGGAGATTCGATTTTGCGCTGGACAGGAAATTGTGATGAAATTGCATCACATCGCCTGGAGCTCATGAATACCACTAGTACTCACACATATACACTACTTGGGCTCATATATCTTAGGCGAACTAATGAGTTGATCTGTCTGTGCTGCATTCCCGGTGACCGACGGTAGAGGGACGCTTCGCATCACCACCTCTTGCTCACAGAAGAGACATATACTACTCGCAATCTAAACGGTAAAATCACTTTGTCATACAATTGAAAGTGATATAGATTTTATTTGTATAGCTCAATATCCCCTCGAATCAATTCTGCGTAGGTGCAGTGGACCTTAGCTATAAGCCCTTCTGAAAGCCTTCCGCAGAAATAGTGCAATCAGACTCAACTACATTTTAGGTAAGGCATATATAGAGCCAGCCAATGGATTCTCAATAAGTAGGAATCCATTTATCAGAAAGAGAAAATTCAGGCATCACTTGGACCCGGGACAAACAACTTCGCAGCCCGAGCGAAATGGACCCATAGCCTCTCGACCACGTTCATATAGCCTTTCTGTCCTCTCTCACACAGTGACTTGGTATCCTGAACATCGGATACGAGACCTTTTGGTGTACCACCAGAGATCAATATGTTGTATTCCAAAGACTTTGCGCAGGCTACCTCATATTTTCCAAGCGAAAACGATCGGGATAATAAATAGAGAAATGACGTACTACTTTGAGAAGGCCAAAGCCTCTTCTCTCTGCAATTAAGAGACATTAATGGGCATAGCTAATGCAATCTGATACTACGTGGCGTTAATATGCTTCGTGGCCAGAGTCCATAGTCTCTAGGTCAAATTAGACAGCTCAGGTGTTCTTCTAATCACACTTTATGTTGCACTTCAGAGAACACTCTGATAAGGGCTCTCCGTCAATGACGAGCCAAGACCCATCTAATGCCACGTTGTAGATAGCCCACACCACCTGCTACCCTCTTACTTGCGCATCATGGGGTAACCAGAGTGCATGAAACGGTCTTCCTTGGCTTCTAGTGCTTTAAGAGCCATTGTGGACGTCTGGGTGAGTTTCTAATCCACCTGCGTTGTCCAATATCCAAATTGTCATGTCTCCCCAGTCAAAGAACACCGTGGATATATCTTACATGTGCAGCTGACCCTGTGGGCCAGAATATCTGATCACCTCGCCCAGTGGCTTGTTCGTGCAGTGGAACTTCTTCTTTCCTCAGCTCAGGATGCTCTATTCTTAGTAGTGTTACAGTGTTGCAGTGGTGGGAAGCTAGGGTGGTACTGCTACCGACTGTCGCTAGCAATAACCGTGAATATCTATTTGTGTTGCCTAATCTCTAAGTTATGTCAGGCTGAGGCCTATTGGGCAGGTTGAATTATGACGGGGTGTCCCGACACTTGCGATATTAGGGCTCGTATCACGTACCCTGTGAGGCATGAACACGGATAAGGCACTCCTCTAATTCAGATCGATGCCCCAGCTCGCCATGCCTGGCCAAGTCCTATCTGGGCTTGCTGGAAATCCCTGGCATATAACAACGTAAGACAGATCCTGTCAGCCTATGGCTCCAAGCCGACCTTGGGACGATGAGGGTGGCCGTCCAGCCAGCCAATTGTTCTTCGGGTCATGAAGATTTGAGGGCCCCAGTGAACTAGGTACAGCCATGTCTGTATTACCTATTGCTCAACCACCATGGCGGGTGAGATCTATTGTGATACCTTGGCGTCTCACTAATGGTTCTTACCAGCTTCGGGAAATGTTCCCTAAGTGGGCGCTCTCGCAACACGAGCTTTCCAAACTTTATCCCTGGTTGCTGGCTAATCCAGTAGTAGGGTGATTAGGAAGTTCATGTGTTGAGGATGGTGATGGAAGTGTCTATGGGCCTACTGTTCAGGGCGTATATAGGTGTATTGGTAAGGGGTAGTCTCGTGTGCACCAGGTTCCACCCTCTCACTACTTTCAGGACCATTTATGAACGGAGCGTCACTGTGAGATATGAGTATGCCACCCTTCATTTTTGCATGTATACAGGCGTTGATTAACTTCTTCTGACATAACATACAGCGTCTCAGAATGGAGATGTTCAGCAAAGGACAAATCAATCGGCAACATACAGATAAATCCCAGGCCCCTAGGAGACTTCGGTCTACTTGCGACCGTTGTACAATGCTCAAGGTTCGGTGCGACAAGAAGAAACCCCGTTGTGAACGATGTGAATCCGTTCAGCAACATTGCGTCTATGGTCCGTATCGATGGAAAGGGCGCTCGACAGCAACCCAAGCTCCACTCTCGAGTTCTTATATTCGAACCGGAAGACAAGTTCCTTTTAAAGCAGTAGAAGGCTTTGATCAATCAACAGCTCGAGATTTACAAGTAACTGAACACATGATTCCTGAGGGGCCTGTGAGCTCATTGCCGGAGTTCTCTCTATTCCCAGGGCTGGAACGCGTCTCATTTGACTTCCACGGTCAGCTTAATGCTATGTACCTTGGGAAAGATGATAATGACAGGAACGGATTATCGGCTAGGCCAGCTCTACTGGACTACTTCGGCCCGACAACAAACAGCCTATCGGGTCAAGTGGATATCAAGTCTTTAGCTTGCCTGGGAGGAAGTGAATCGCATCCCCTACAGGAGGCGGGCGAGTCAGAGTCTTATTTTTCATCCCCAGATTCCTGGATATCAAGAAGTATATGCCCATGTGGTAGTCTAGCATTCAACATTTTGCAAGAGATGTACCGCGCTGAAGACACATGTCGATTGGAGAGAGGCTCTCGCCTGCCATCGAACGACCACATTCTGAAGATTAATCGCACAGCAGCTCAAAGCCTTGAGCAGCTTCTATCTCGAGACTGTACCGACTGCCGTGAGGACAGCAATATGCCTTTCTTGATTGTAACCACAATGTCAAAAGTCCTATCATGGTACCAAGCAGTGTTCGATCGCATCAATCAGCAATCACCCACCAAGAGCCCTGTTAACCTTATGGAACCTCTGCCGGCTACACCAATATATTTCGGCGACTTCGAACTTGATACTGTTGCTGAGCAGCGTATCACAGCTCAGGTCCTGCTTTGCGAGCTTGGGTATGTCAGCAAACTTCTGACCATGATACGAGAGAGTGCGCTTGGAAGATTGCACAATGAGCGAGAACCGATGGGCACTCTTCTTGGGGCTGTTTCTCACTTTCTATTGTCAACTTTGAATGATCTAACAAGCAAAGTGGATGAATTTTGTACCTCTAAACAGTCCTTTCTCGTTTGCTAGGAAGGCAATGGTGCATTTCCGAGGCAGTGTTCAGATATTTGGCTGCCTAGTACTGTGTATATATCCTGCATACCCTTACTGTGGCTGTTTCCGAGGTACCTAAGTAGGCAACGACTTGACGTCTAGACTGGCATAATAAGGGCTAAACTGGCTCAACTGTATTAGATTAGCCTAGCTTAAGCCCTTTTGTTTCCAAACAACTCCACGTTCCTTTGGTCCCGTTATTTACCAAGGGACTACCTCCACTGTACCTCCAGAGGATGTGATTCTAGAGAACTGCAATTAGACTCGAGCTTAGCACATAAGATCCTGTACCAGACAGGGCTGCCGGGCTGTATTTATTGTTTACGCCTTATGTATCGCCAACGACGCCAATCGGCGTACGGTAGAAAGGATTATTACCATCGGGTTTACCATCAAAACTGCAATCATAAACCGACTACCCATTCTATTTATAGGCACTATACAGTTGGAAAGCCGACTGGGTTAATCTCGCCGTTATCCATTACTCTACAGTATATATCATCTATAGATAAAGGCTCAAAATACGTCTTAAGAAATAAGAAGACCGTATACCTCAGACCAGCAACACGAAAACTGCGTGATTGATGCTCTTTCAGACCTTTGATGTTTTCCCATGGATCTTCCTATACTGTGGATATCATGGGAATGGATTGCACTACGACCGCCACGAACTGGTTGCTTTGTGAATAACGACAATAATCTCCGGTGGCTTTACCAGCCATGGCCTTGTTGCCAATCATGCGCTTACAATGCAATTGTTCCATGGCAAAACCAGACTTGAGCTCGCCCGCCGAAGTCAATCCCGCCCACTGTTCGGCAATATCAATTTTGTATCTTCCGCTGGCGAAGTCCTCGACACCGCGTGTATACGCGTTCTTTGCACTGCTTGGCATTACTCTATCGATTTCGTTGTCCTGATATTTCAGCTAACACATTGACACTGGGTGAATCGGCGCGAGTTCCCGGTCATTGCTGTACCAATCGAAGGCTTGTGATAGCCTTCATTGTCTCATATTCTCAAACAGTCTGGAAGAAAGCCGAACCTGCCTCCGAACTTGCAATCCGAGGAAGGGTCACCCTAGTTGTGAAGTCCAATCTTTGCCCTTACTTACTAATGCTAGCTTGTCTAGTCTAATCTGTCCTTCTCTTCCACGCCATTATAGAAAAACTGTTACCTAATTAGCTAGGTTTGCGAAAGCCTCCATCGTATTAGAACTCATTCTGCTGAGCGAGTCGCTTGTGATGGCCGAATCTGCCATCAGACCTTGAGCTAGTTTTGTCCATGTTACTTTTGAGGGTCTATTTTCGTCCGTGTATGCGTTGCTACGCTGACTGCTGCTCACTTCGCAATGTAAGAAATCATATTGCCCGTTCTCCGCCGGCATTTCCAATAACTGCTTGCGCCGTTCGGCAGACAAATTCAGCGCTCGGACTATTCATCAATTAAAGCAAACGCCGTGAACACCGAGGGGATCAACTAGACCTATTATTATGCACCGGTAAAAGTCTGAGGATGCCTTGGGACTTGCTGCCGAGACCCTTGTGTATAGCACAGATACATATCTTGAGGAGTCGGACACAGCTAGTGCCAACGGTTGCTCACTAACGGCTATACCGTGATACGAGACGAAGATATACGAGATATCTCGCCTAACAGAGCCTAAACCAGCTAAATCGTGGTGCCCTTAATGGAAGGCCCCTCCACATATATCGAACCTAGCTAACGAAGTCGGCGCAACAAGTTTCAAGAACCCCACGCAAAGGCAATGGGGTTCAAGGTGATCATTATCGGAGCTGGCTTAGCGGGCTCTCTGCTTGCGAATGGTTTGCTAAACAACACGATCGAGTTCAGCATATACGAACGTGATAAACCAGAGTTACGGCGGACAGGCTACCTTATCCGCCTGGGTGAAGATGCAAATAAGGGGTTTCGAGCCTGCCTATCCAAGTCGCAAGTAGCCACTATCCACGGGAGGTTTTCGCAGACCGATGTCTCTCTCTCTACCGCGCCTGCGATCTATTCCTACCGGTTTCGTCCTCTTCTGGACCTCAGCCGCTTGCCCGGTTACGCTAAAGGTGCTTCGATCAATCGTCTGGTCCTACGGGATGAGCTGGTGAAGCCGATCAAGGAAGCCGCTCGGATCCATTTCGGGAAGGTTTTCAGTCACTACGAGATTATCCATGAGGATGGCAGCGAGCAAGTGATGGTCCACTTCGCCGATGGCACTTCCGACCGGTGCGACCTACTGATTGGGGCTGATGGGAGTGCCTCCAAAGTGCGTTGGATTCCCTAGAAATTCATTCGATATTCGATACTCGATACTTACTCGGAAACAGATCAACAAGCAGGTTGGGGCTCGAAATCTAGTCGAAATAACCAGCCACTGGTCGTTTCACGTCAAAGGGAGACTGCCCCTTGCTCGCGTTCAGAAATTACCCAGGAAGCTTTTGGAAGCTCCGGTCGCGGTTTTTCACAAGGGTGCTCTTCTATACTATGCCCGTACGTCTTTCCTTTCCTTACACATTACATGTCTCACTGTATGGTCATAGTCTATATTCCGTCTTCCGGCCGGCCGCTGGACGGTAAACAGGATATCTTCGATGGGAAGTATGATGAGTCGGTGGCATCCTTCTACTGGGGGATAAACATTCCACGACATCACATCCCGTATGAAAACCTCTCTGACATACCCGATCTCCGTAAGCTTTGTGAGGACTATGTCAAAGACTGGGCTGCCGAATGGTAAGTTGTGAGGACTATTAATGTTGTCCAAGGCCTAACTTGCTGTAGTCGCGCTATGGTCGATAGTGGATCGACAGATACTGATGCCGATGACATGTACGCAGCTAGATTGCGCTCAAGCACTCGCCTACCGACCAACTGGCGCTCACTTGCTCAAGTCCGATCCAAGGAAGAGGGTCACCCTCGGGTGTGGTTGCTCGGTGATGCCATGCATGCCATGCTACCAAACAGGTAGGGCAGTGTCACTCACGTGGTTCATGTAAACACGGGTATAAGCTAACGTTATGAAAGAGGTCAAGGAGGGAACCAGGCGCTCCTCGACTGTGCCGAGATCCTGCCTGAACTCATCCACCTCAATCTCCAAGCCATGAATGGAAAGACTCTATCGTCGGAGGATATCAGTGAGTCATGCAGTCGCTACGAGAAGAAGATGTTTCCCCGTGTCTTTGACTGGGTGGAAAGGAGCGGAGGCATTGTTGCTGATCCTGTAGGTTCTACTATAAAGGGTTATCAATAATAGCACCCCTACGCTGACATCCTTGCCTAGCCATTCCCTCTTGACGGTATAGTTGGATATCTAGTTTCGATTTTTGCGACCGTTGCAATCCCAGTTGCGATACTCGTTAGTCGAATTAGTCAATTCTTTAGAAAGTTGTTCTGGCCCGAGGAAGCATTCCGACCTTGAGCTGGTCTGCTTGCTACTTTTATTGATCGATATATGGATTTCCAATATTTTGGATTGATACGGAGATTGTTGCTATACTATTCCTTCTCTCGAGTTTGTACTTATTGCTATTAGTAGTACAACATTGCTTTATGTTTTACTTTATTTCAAATTTTACTTTTTACTTTTACTTTTTTATGCTGTCCTCCGTGTTAGTCCGTTGAGTGGAGTCATTCTGAGTTTATATATATTCAATGATCGTATGCCGTCCACCACAATATCTTATAATTCTGTTCTCAGTTTGCACTAAGACTCAATCTGATTAATGCTAGCATCTTAAAAATGTTTTATTTCCAACCATAAATGCGCGTCTAAGTAAAAGAGTCATAAACTACAAATGCAATCCATACCCAACATTCCACCAACCAAAACCAACCAAAATGAACATAAATCCAGATGACTCATTATGCATTATTAACTATTATGCAACCAATCGCACCCCCAAGTTACCTAATGATGCTCCACCACTTAATATCTCCATTAATATAAAAAAAGTATATCAACTCGCCACAGGTCACAAATTACGTCAGTTAAGCTACTAATACGAGATGAAAAACAAGAATCGTAACAAAACAGGATATACCTTGTACGTACACTTTTTTTCTCCGAGAACTATATCTCCATGATCGTCTTGACAGATGGATGCAATATGTTTACTCTGTCAACTTGCGGCCTGGATTGTGATATTCTGCCCGTTAGGGGAGTTGGGGATTTGTGGATTGGAGGGTAAAGAGAGTAAGTCAGTCTTAATCATGTCTGTCAGATATTAATTAAATTCTAAAAGAAAGACCGTGCTAAGTGTCATTATTGCGTCAATCCACGAGAGTATCTGCATATATTGAATATACAGATAGGGCTGGACTTGATTGCCATGTTGAGCTGCATCATATTACAACCCTAGCTAATGGTCTGGATACGTAAGCCACATAGTCTACTATGTATTCTACACGGTACACACAGTAAGTACATCCCAAGAGTCTCCACAAAACAGAAAGGAAACCCCCACCCGCCCCTGACACAGACCAGTGATGCCCGGCATTACAGAGTACCGTCTCTCAAGTCTTAGCCTTCCAAGCGCCGGATGAGATCATACCCACCCCTGCACACCTCCAATCGGAGAATTTGAAAGCCTACATTTTCTGCCGAGCCGTTGAAATTAATGTCGATCGCTACTGTTCAACTCTCCCGAAAGATGTGGATTGGCCGATCGCGTAGGCATTGCATGATCGGATTGACGTACACAGTATTGATTCTGATGCCGTGAGGTGGATTTCAATCCCGTGTGGTTGTGTCTGGACCCATGGGTAGGGTTTGACTGGCTCGAGAGGTACTGGTTCTGCTATACAACACAGTAACTCTGTATGTAGATATTTTATTCCCGGGCATTCGTCGAGCATGGGTCCTGTTGAACTATTATCTGAATTACTTTGAAGATACTAGAGTATAATTTTGTGGGTCTAGATAGTCGATATGGAGTCATATCGGAACTAATTTAGTATACTTTAGGATGGTCTAAGACTTTCAAGGTTATTCTTTTGGTCTTCTTATCTTGATCTTTCTCAGTTTCTCCACCATACTGACTGACGTAAGTTGTGGCAAGGTTCAGGACACACAAGAATCACAGCTTAGTAGGGCTACGGAGTTGCTATACAACGCTCGCGAGCTCTTTTTCTTCCCCCCTCTCCAACCGCCCCTCTCCTTTTCCCCGATAATTTGTGGGTTTGGTCTTAAGTAGATAGTATATACAACTATCAAGTCTAATAAAATATAGTAGAAGCTTCAAGAATTCTAATTGAATAATGTGTATACATATCCTTTCCATACCTGGTTGTTAGCTGTAGTACCTATTGAAAAAACACCCCAAACCTTATATCAAGGAAATTCCCCAGCACATTGTATCTCCACCACCACTGAGCCATAAGCCCAATAAACATGACGTATATGGATCTCTGATACCGGTGGAACATGACGTATGTGGATCTATGATAATCTTGTATTCGGAGGTTTTGTTCTCGACGAGGAGGGTATTTAACAGCAGAAGCGTTCAGTATCTGGGTTGTAGTATCCGCCATTTTTTCATCTATGCATAATTATCACATTCCAAACAAATTCACGAGCTCTAACGAATTACTTTACGATATACGACATACGACATCTACTAATTGAATTATCTGATTGCACTTCCAAGATAGGACAACGACTCACATCGCCCTTCTCTCCGCTGAAGACACCCTTTAGTCTACGACTTTCATCATACTCTACCCCACAATCGAACATGTCCTCTCCTACAGTCCAGAGAACCACCGGTACCCCCCGAAAGCTGAGAACCGGAACCGGCTCTCCAGCTGGACAAGTCCCCGAACAAAGCCCCTCGAAGGGAACACCCCAGAAACTCCAGGTCCGAAGCCGCAAGCCGATCGAAGAAGACGTCCCCGAAGAACCGGCTACTCCGTCCCCGAAACCACGGAAGACAGGCCAGAGCGAACAGCGTGATGCACCTGACGAGACACAGTCGCAGGCGTCCGGGTCTGCCGGTGGACTTGGGGGACTGGCTGGTGGGCTGAAGGATACTGCTGGAGCGTTGACGAGGAGGGGTCAGCAGACTGTGGCGAATACGACGGGGGTTGATTTGTCTTTCTTGAAGGGGTTGGAGATAAGTGAGTGGGGTCAGGTACTGGGTCATGATGGGAACCCTGTTGGTCGGATTGTGGAGGGTGAGCCGCAGGATCTTGTTGGATATGCGGTTGGGGATAATGGGGAAATTCTGGATGATGATGGCGACTTGATAGGTCGTGTTGAGGCTCTTCCAGAGGCGATCCAGGAGAGTACGGACCAGGCGAAGAAGGCTGTTGGCGGCCTAGCTGAATTGAATGGTATTCCGGTGTCTGAGGGAGGTTTCATCAAGGATGAGGCTGGAGGGATGGTTGGGAAGGTTGTGGAAGGGGATGCCCAAGATCTTGTTGGTTATGCACCTAACGAGAAAGGGGAGATCCTGGACGATGAAGGCGACCTTGTCGGTCGTGTTGAGCCTGTGTCCAAGGCCGCGAGCGCTGCTGGCAGTGCTGCTGGATCTCAGAAGTCATATTCCCATGGTACTAAGAGTGTTGGGAAGAGTGTCCATCAGGAAGCAACAGGAGAGGAGGAAAACGCTGTGTCCGACACGAGGGATATCGAAGATACGGCTGAAGAGAAGACTGAAGATGCCGAGGAACAGCTGCCTCCCCTCTCTACGCTTGAAGGTTTGAAATGTAACAAGCTCGGTAAGATCATCAACCCATCGACTGGAAAGCCAATCGGTGAGCTGGTTGAGGGCGATCCAAAGAAGCTCACTCGGCTTGGAGCCACACTCGACGACCAGGGCCAGTTCTGGGACAATCGTGGGAATGTGATTGGCCGGGCTCAGACGCTTCCTCAGCAGGAATACAGTGAAGAACCTCCCTTTGCCGGCTTAGATGGCCTCCATGTGGTCGAAGAAGGATGGGTCGAGGACAACAAGGGCAAGCGTGTGGGCAAGGTCGTCGAGGGTGAACCTAAGAAGGTCCTCGGTCGCCCTGTTGATGAGGATGGAGAGGTCACTGACCAACATGGAAATGTCATCGCAAAGGCCGAATACTACGAGCAGCCGGATGAGCCAGAGCCTGAGGAGCCTGAGGCGGTCGACCTATCGAAACTAGACGGATTGACCTGCAACAAGCTGGGATACGTTATGGGACCTAACGGAGTCCCCATTGCGCGCGTCGTTGAAGGAAATCCCAAGGAACTGGCCGGTAAAGAAATCGATGATGGTCAGATCTGGGACGGTCGCAAACCCATTGGACGCGTTGAGCTCATCCCCGAGAACGAGCGCGAGAAGAAGCCCGAAGGCCCGTTCGCTGGCCTGGAGAACCTGGTTGTGAACAAGGAAGGGTTCGTCCAGGACACTGATGGTAACATTGTCGGCAAGGTTACGGAAGGCGAATTGAAGAACTTGCGCGGGCGCACGGTGGATGAGGATGGAGACATCATCGACAAGTTTGGGAATGTGAAGGGACATGCCGAACCATATGAGCCTCCAGAAGAGGAAGTCGTTGAAGACGACCTGTCAATACTAGAAGGTAAAACCGTCAACAAGGCCGGCAATGTCGTGGACGCTCAAGGCAACATCTTTGGCAGAATCACCTCGGGTGACAAGCGACTTGCGGGACGGAAGGTTGATGGCAAAGGCCAGATCTGGGGTGACGATGGCAAGGTCATTGGTAAAGCCGAGCTTGTGCCTGGCGCTGAGCAAGAGAAGCCCGAGGGCCCCTTCTTCGGCTTTGACGATGCGGAAGTTGGGAAGGACGGCGTAGTCACTTCTGGTGGCAGGGTTATTGGCCGTGTCATCGAAGGCGACGCCAAGCGACTCCAGGGACGCAAGGTTGACGAGGATGGGGATATCTTGGACAAAAATGGAAACACCATCGGTCGAGCAGAGCGCTGGGAGCCGGAAGAGAAGCAACGAAGCGTCAACCCTATGTCAGGCCGGAAGGTTACTCGCGAGGGTGAAGTTCGAGATGTCGACGGCAACCTCATCGGAAAGTTGACCTCTGGTAACTTGGCTACTCTCGTGGGCAAGGAGATCGATGATAACGGCTTCGTCGTTGACAACGATGGTAACAAACTTGGCGAGTGTACTCTAATCGAGAATCTGCCGGAGGAGGAGGAAGAGGTCGCTGAGGAGGAGCCAGGCCCGTCGCCAGAAGAGCTCGAGGAGCAGAAGAAGGCCGAAGAAGATAAGCAGCTGGCTAAGAAAATGAGTGCCATTATCGGACAAACCTTGGATCGTGTTCGACCAATCTGCAAGATGATTACAGAGGTATGTCCACTAATGACTCAAGTGTTGGATAAGAAATTAACACATGCACTAGCACATTGAGAGGGCTGAGCGTACCCCGAAAGAAGAATTGGACGAGGAAAGACTGGTAAAGGATGTCAAACCACTTCTTGAAGAGGGAGGCCGAATCCTCCAAGAATGCAACGGCGCCATCCGAGCTCTGGACCCAGATGGTCGCATTGCAGCTACAGCGAAGGCTCGCGCTGCCTCACACGAAGCCTCTCCAGAGGAGTATGCTCTCGCTGATCAAATCAAGGAAATGACAGATACCGTGGTTAGTTGCATCGAGAACGGTAAGAAGAAGATCGCCGACATGCCTCATGCGAAGAGACAGCTGAATCCCCTCTGGGCCCTTCTCAGCGAGCCTTTGTTCCAGATCATTGCCGCTGTAGGTCTACTTCTGACTGGGGTGCTTGGACTTGTTGGTCGTCTACTCGAGGGCCTCGGTCTGGGACCTCTTGTGCATCGCTTGCTCGGCGGCTTGGGTCTTGACAAGCTGCTTGATAGTCTGGGCTTAAGCTCTATCACTGATGCTCTTGGAATAACTGGCAAGAAGAAGTAGGGTTTTTGACGAGGTTGCAAAGTTGTAAATTATATTGTTTTTGTTTGTTTGTGGCGATATTCTAATGTGTATTAATGTATCATTTCAATAACCGACAGAATGAATAGTCTAATGAATCCCAGTTAAGCATCACGCATCAACATCAGCCCCAACTATTGGGAATCATGAGTTTATACGTCCCCAACCTTCACCCCCTGGACTATTCATCTGCATAATTTCCCCAGCGCCCAAGGCCAGAGCAGCTTTGCCACTTATGGAGAGCTTCTCGAGGACGGTCTTGTCTTCGTTCCATTTGAACATGCAATTTCTGCCTACATCGCCGGGCTATCCTCCGGCACCACCAAAGCTAGCAAGAGCATGAGTGCTTGGAGCAAACCCTTGAACTTCAGTAACATTGCGCATAGGCCGGCTTATAGTTTCGTTCACAACATCAAGAAATCCGAGAGCGACTTTGTCTGTAGTGAGATTCCGTGACGTCTGCTCATTGACCTCAAGGGTGATTCCTTCGAATTTCTTCCTGGTGATTTCATAGTCCAAGGGCATATTTGCTCCAGGGCCAAATATCGCTGGAAACGAAGACAGGTCCAATCGTCCCAAGAATAGATTGGCATCAGTCACAGTCAATGGGCCGCCTTTGCGATAACAAGCTGGCCCTGGGTGTGCTCCTGCACTTTCAAGTCCTACAACAAAGAGACCATATCGAGCAAAGAGCATTGAACCACCACCCGCGGCCAGTGTGGCTATATTCAGCATGGGGTAATGATCTTTCTGCCTGCCACCACTGTTTCGGTAAGATAAATCAAATTTACAGTCGTAGTGACAAACATCCATACTGGTTCCGCCCATGTCGAATCCAAGCACAGGGGTCTTTTCCTCAGTGTCAAAGCACGTTTGGGCAATACCGACCACTCCTGCAGATCAACTCAACAAGGCCTCACTGTCTCAAAATTTCACCGCTTGTCACAAGCCTCCGTCAGAGCTCATGAACTCAACCTTTGTAGGCAGGGTGCTGAACCCTGATTCTAATGCGGTGGCATAGTCTTTCACGATTGGAAACAGGTAGGCCTCAGAGCATACCGAGACATTACGCTGCTCAAATTTGATGACAGGCCTTGTCTAATGCGATGTGGTGACATAGTCAAAGCCCATTTCTCTGGCCAGTGCAGCTACCTGGTCTTCGTGATTTGGATAGATGTAAGAATGCATAGAAGCGACAGCCACAGATGTATACTCTTCCACTTTGAGCCTTTCGAGAGCTTGCTGGACTTCTTGAACGTCTATTGAGTTCAAAATACGCCCAATCTCGCCGCTTACCGTACGAACAAGATTGGAGTCTGTGATCTCCCGCGATCTGTCTAATGGAAAGGGGTTATGGTCATAATTCTCAATGGTGACTCGCTCATCGATCTCAACAACCTTGGGGGTGACTAATCTCCTATGACGCAAATACCTCCGAGTCCCTTGGTGGTGATGAAAGTAGATTTCCTGCCTTTCCTAACTAGCAGAGCGTTCGTTGTGATAGTCGTACCGATGCGCTATGATGCAATTGTTGAGCCATCCACCTTCTCTCCCACAGGAATCTCTTTACTCTCGATAACTTCCAAGGCTCTGCGGATGGGTTCTGTCGGCGCATCTCTGTAGTTCTGTGGGGTCCTCGGAGAGTAACTTGAACAGAAGTTCTTCCCTTCCTGGAACTCGAACTAGGACATCACAGAGTGTCCCTCCACGATTTGGGTGCAATTAGTAGTTGAAAAGATGGAGGATAATACATATCGAAATGCCTGCCAATTGAGACGTTAATGTCAGGAGCTGGTAGCATGTTGGTTATGATTTCTAAACGCCAAGCATAAGAGAATCTATCTTTCGGGGAGATGAGGCTGATCATGAGCATAGCAATCTGTCATGTATATACCGATTCTCGTTGCATGACTTCTAACAAACAAAGCTAGAATGCCGGCTACAATTCGTAATTTGTGATGCAGAAAGGTGCCTGAAGTCGGGGGGTGATTTACCGGAATACGATATTCTCATTGGAGAAGCGCCAGTAAACAACGATAGCGGGCTGATTAACATGCAGGTCGACTATCTTACTGGCCCATAAGACTCCACTTAGGCTGTGGAGTGTCCGAGCACACACTTTTAGCCCGGATTGACGTGGTTCTCCTAGCAAATGTTGCAATCCCAAACCCCGCAGGTCCTTGAATAGTCGAGTTAAACTGACCTACTCAAGAAAATGGCAGATAGGGAGCAGATCCCAACGACTGCATTCGCTATCACCAGTGGTTAATTACCGCAAGGTGCAGATTATCCACCAGCAATGAAATACCATACTCAACGTTATCGACTAAGTCAATCCAGCCCCGATCGCGATGGGGTTGAGATGCAGGCTGAGCAGCAGAGGCCATATGCGTATCCTGCTCCAGCCTGCAACCGTTGCCGCCAGTATAAGAAGAAATGTAGTAAAACTCTTCCTTCCTGCAGGACATGCACGGACGCGGGACGGAAATGTTCGTATTTCACGTCTGATAGGATGGCTGCATCGTCACCAGAGGTCCTTCATGCGCGGATACAATGGCTCACGCAGTACATTGAAGACAACATAACAGGAGCAAACGTGGGCCAAAATATGCCACTGAAAGATAAGGACGCGTCACAAGCCGTCGACGAGGGTGCAGGGAAAATTGACCCCTCGGTAAACCCGGTACAGATTCAACCTAATGGTCAAGGTCAGAGTACAAGCTCGTCTCTCGACAATGAGCTCGACAATGCAGAATCGACGAAGGGGACTTCCATGAAGGTTTGGAATGAGACAGATAGCGAAAGACCACGGTCGCTGGCATGCCTCAATGCTTACTTTCACCACGTTCATCGGGCATACCCGTTCGTCAATAAAGCGCGGATTATGCAAGTGCAGAGTGTGAATGTCAACGTCGTGCTGATAGAGAATGATGCCGACTCAATGGTGAGTTTAGTTCTATAGAATTGCCATCGCTCAAAGCATGCAGCAAGTAAGTGGCAGGTCTCAACTAATGCGACTAACCAGATGCTCTACCTTATCCACGCCATTGGGCGGACAACTCTGGAGCGATCAGGAAAAATGAGTCCGCTCACTGGGAAAGAGGTTCAACTACCGTATACAATCATACTTCAATATTGCATGGAGAATGAAAGCATGGATTCAGTTCAAATTCTTCTATTACTGGCGTTGTATTCCCTGTTTGATCCTCACGCTCCTTCTCCATGGACAACTGCTGGAATCCTGACCCGGCAAGCCATGGCACAGGGTCTCACTCTACAGCGCACGTCAAATGTAGATCAAGCGTTGCCATCAGACGAGCCGTTGAATCGATTATTTTGGAGTATTTACGTACTGGATCGCATGGTCGCTTCCTCTGTCGGACAGCCTCCGGGGCTGTTTGTGCCGGACGTTCACATCCCATTGCCCGCTGTGACAGTGAGCGAGTTTGCTTCAGCACAGCGCGCAGAGGTTTCCAGTATGTTGCTGGTAACACGGCATGTAATCCAGCTGCGTCGTCTCGAGAGCAAAATCACAGACGCGATCTTTCTACGTCCTCGGACAGATGTCCGTTCCTTGACTCCGTCCGATCGCGTCGCTATCATTAGTGAACTTCATTATGCTGTGGATAACTGGTACAGTGATGGCTGTCTCATCTGTCGCCCAGAAGCCAGTAATGTGAGGATCCATGACACCATGGCCTGGCTTAACGCCCGTTATTATCAACTACTGATGTTGATACATTATCCGACACCATTTAATCAACCACCACGTCCAGGCTTTCATGAACACCTCCTAAACGTTGTTCAGAAGTATATTCATTACAGCCAGGTGTTGTTGGAGCTAGGACAACTGCCGCTTAATTTCATAACGTTGACCCGATTCGTCCCGGCATGTCTCGTCCTTCTTTACTGCTTTGGTCATATGACGGCCATGGTGTTTCCAGCCAAGCAAGAGATACAAAGCTGTATAGCAATCCTTCAGAGCTTCTCCAACGGCTGGGGACATGCCATATCCTTGGCACAGATCATGACAGAATTTTCTTCTGTGGTCTCTATGTACGAAAGCCGATCTGCCAGCTGCCTTTTGCCGTTACAAACAACACCCGTTTTGCGACATGCCGCACAACCATCACTTTACCCACGAATGGTCCCACTTAGAGCTCAGTTACTTGAAGTAGGTGGACGCATCTTGGGGAAGGCAAACTGCTATCAATTCATAGAAGGCTGGGATGCGGAGGCAATCAGCTCGAGCTCTGCAGAGGATGCATCGTCGTCAACAGATGCTGCCATGACTAGGGACATTGCAGCTTTGTCCTCGCCATTAGTTGGGACAATCCGATGGGATTTCTTATAAGACAGATATTAACGTTGTCTCCGAGAAATGTGGCAGGCTGGTTCGCATTCGGCTTCTGCAGGCTCAAGGGGACAGAAAGTGTGGCTGTTTTACGAAAGCTCCACTAGCCGCATTAAATCCTTTCGAGTGTGACCTCGGCATTTTCTTCGATATGCACTGGATGATTTGCATTCTGAATAATCTCCAAGCGAGCATTGGGAATTAGGGACGCAATCACCCGCGACTGCCCCAGTGGACAATCCAGTCTCGCTCGCCGAAAATTATCCGAGTTTTTACCGTCACAGTTGAGAGGCTATCTCTATAGTCAAAGGACCTCTCCGGTTGTGCGTATAAATTATCTGTTTCTGAGTCCGCATAACGCTCGACTAATAGGATGTTCTCCCTACTTTGTGACTTAGCGTAGAACACACTGTCCATATTTCCACGCAAGGCAATGTCCGCATCGAAAGACTCGCTATAAAGCGAAGCAGCTGCATACATGATGAGTTGGAACTCAAGATCACTGTGAACTGGCCAAAGATCGATCTCGTCTCACAACATTCCCATAGAGAGGCCAGGTGCGCGATGAATGCGACCTTCCAGTACCTGAATCGCTTCTGCTTCATCCATTAGTATTCAATTAATACTCCAGGCCATTGAGGTAGTACAACCATGGTCCTCTCCCATTGAATATCGCTTACGGTGATACGATACCGCTGTGCCTCGCAGTATGAGGTGTGAAACATGCGAAGGATAAGTAATGGCGTATTGTTGTGCAAGAAATCCACCAAAGCTTCCTGCATGGCCTGGTGTACAGTATGTCTTGGGCTGCTGGTATCGCAAGTCGGAAATGGCACGTCATAGCGGCCTTTTCGTCATGTCCAGCCTCCTAGGCCAGATGCTTTCTGGCTACTTTCAGGCGGCTCTGTTCCGCAGTAGGGAGGGTAAAGGGGGAATGTTATCGTGGCGATGGCTCGTCATTTTCGACTTCCTCCTAGCCGTGCCCGTAGCCGTCTACGCATCATTTTCTATCCAGACACACCCGAGAACACCACCGCATTCTACCTCTCCCAAGGCGAGAGAGTACGGGCACGTACAAGAATCGGAGAAGAAGGGCGTACACCAGTCGCGAAAATGGATAGCACAGTATTCAAGCGTATCCTCACCTCCTGGCAACTCTACACCTTCTCCTTAGGCTACGCCTTCTGGACCCTCACCTGCGGGTCATATGTTATGCAATGCTTCAGTATCTGACTAAAATCACTCAATATCTGCGCAGTATCACAAGTCAGAAACATCCCCACCGCACTAGGTGCATTTAAGTTCTTCTTCATGTTAACGTCAGGCTTCGTCGCAGACAAGATCGGCCGCCGCGGTCCACTCTGCTTCCCCGGAGGGTGATTATTAACTTTCTGCTTTTCTGTTTTCACCGCATGGCCTGCGTCTCGCCATCTCAAGATGGCTGTCTTTATACTTTCTGGTTGTTATGGATGCTAGACGCCTCTATTAGCGGGATGAGTTAGGATATCCTGCGGTGGTGATCATGGCTTGAACAGTGGGAACTATAATCAATCTTTGTATCACAAGAAAATAGGATTAAATGAACGAAGGTATGAATGAGAAGAAAAACAAAGGAAATGCCATAGAAAAAGAAAGTCCCGTAACAAAGATAAGGATCCACCCAAAGTCTCATACTGTCTCCCACATCATCAGACCTTATTTATACTCCATGCCCTGCGTCTTCTGATACCCCAACTCAGCTCTCGTCCGCAACTCAGCCTCCTTCTCCTCCTGGACCAGAGCGCAGCAGGAACAGAAAAACGTGGCACAGCAGTCTCCACAACAACTACCCTTAATACCGAAGCGTTCGCGCATCTCACCACGTCTGATGGTCTGAATGATCCAATGGGAGTAGATGAAGGCGAGACCTGTGAAAATCGTGCACTTTGCCGTTCGTCAGCAGGGCCTCATTTTCTGGTTGAAGTGGTAGCCGACTTACGTCTGCGTTGCAGTAGCTAAAGTTGTTCAATGTGGCATCGTGGTTCCTAGCTTGGGTTTTGCCGAATGTCAGACATGGGAGGCAGCAGCTCATCAGGCCTATATTCAAAGAATCCATGTGTTAGTTGTCTGATGCTGTGTTTTGAGAGAGAGAGTTGGTGATGTCTGCCTTACATAGTGAGCCTGGGTCACAACAATCGAAGAGAGAATAATTCCAGTCTTGGTTCTGGGTGATATCTCGCGATTGCCCCGGGTTGGCTTGCGAGTATGTTGGGGGTCCATGCGGCCAGGGGCGGTAGACTTTGTCTGTTGCTTGGGACATTTTGAAGTTAAACGGGTGGATTAGGTGGGAGATATGAGCGAGTGTAATATGTTCGATAAAATGTTAATGATTTGCTGGTCAGGATTGCGGTGGTCGAAGGTTGATATTTTTCACCAAGGCAAAAAGGAGTGTACCAGGTCGGGATATCGGTCGGGAAAATAGAAAGAGAACTCTGGAGAGGTTCTTTTCGAGCCAGGTACCACGGAGTTTAAATATTTCCAGAAACATTCCACTTTCCTTCTTTTTCACATTATAAGCTTCCATTTTACCTCATGGAAAGCCCATAGGGCTATGCTACCCACATACCCAAAAGGGAAGTCCGCGTTCGTATTCCAGAAATGTGGGTCTTGTGCCAATAGGAGGGCAGAAACTGAACAACGCTTGACCCTCATGTGGATCCTTTTCAGGCAACCCTAATTTTTAGAGTAGCGCGCCATAAGGATCTGCAGTGGGATACTCAAAAACGATCGTGCGTGGATAAGATTAAGATTAATTGTGGCGAGGCTAAATCACTTCGTGCGTACTTCCATTGGTCTTGTCTTACCTTGAACGATGTAAATTTTCAGGGATCCGACGGATTTCTTTCTTCTCTGGCACTGAAGAAGAATCTGCTGCGGAGTTTAAGCTAGAATGGGAATTTTACACTCATATTGCTCGCTCAGTTAAGATAATTCCATACAACGGCCCCTTCTTGAATGAAACTCTGTGCTTCAGTGCATGATATGATGTGTGGCCATACCTGTCTGTCTCACTTCTCCCAGGGGCTGCCGGAACCATAGTATCTACCCAGCAAATGGTACATGTGGTTTGTGTCTGTGACCTCAAAAGTATATGGTTTGGCGCAGCGCCTTCTGTTCAGTTGAGGCATATCTATGCTATAACTGGACGCTATGCCCCCTAATTAATATCAAACGGCCAGATTGCTCGAAGGGTTTCCTCGTCTTTTACAGGTTCATCCTCATCTAGTCACTAGTTTGTTACAACAGCCTGTAACATCCCCGTGAATATCTCCTTATGAGCCGATTCCGTTGCTTCCCACTTTTCAGGAGGCACCCATCCATCAGACGCTATATTGAGTAGGTTTGAGAGGTCCCGTCTGAGAACCTGTGCCGCCTCGAAAAGTTTGTATGCCTTCTCATGATCTGCGAAGTCCTTTGGCGTGGGTAGAGGGTACGGACACTGGCCTACAAGTCCAAGTTCTTTCCAACGTCGAGCCGTTTCAATCATATCGTGGCGTAGTGCTACTGCCCCATCTTTCCCAGTCCTGTAGCTATAACGAAAAGGCCGCAAGAGATTTTCATCCATCAGCCGAGGACCAGAGAGAATAGGTGTAAGGAACTGGGAAGAGATGTAATATTGGCAGGAGAGTAAACAATATCAGTCTCACGAGTATTCCATTCGCTGCATTCAGTCGCGTCGCTGTACAACAGCTCCATCGCACAACATTGAGATGTGCTTGACAAGGCTCAAAATACTTTTATATGGAATAGCACTTATATGGATTAGAAACATATATTGCGATTGTTGTTGTCCGCCTGTTGCCGACAAAACGAGGGATTAGTGGATAAGTTTAATCAATCATGAAGAATATAAAGCGATGTATATTTAAGTCTAAAAACTTATTACTTAGAACGGGTACCAAGCCCAATAGCTGTAAGGTATATCTCGAAATGCCATTTGGATACTTACTGCCGGTTAATATTATACAGCTTCCCCTCTATACGTCTCCTCTTTGTTTCCTCTGTTGAATATCTAGGTAGTTACTTTAATCTTGAAATTATTATATATTGGGCTCCGTCACCAGGTAAACTAGGATATTTTAAAAGGCTATTTCCCAATACAAAGGTGGTGTCTCGAATACTGAGGGATAGGAGAGCCTTCCAACCTGCTGAAGCTGTAAACAGGTCAAAGGAGAGAAGAGTTTTGATTCCTAGATCCATAAAGCAAGTATTTATTCCATAACAATCTGGCAAACAGAAAACAAAACTCTCAAACAGACATCAGACAGACAGCAACAAGCTCAGCCTGTTAACATCTAGCATTCTTGAAAACAACCCATCAATAGCCAGCAACAGGTGGAGCCTGTCGTTCTGCACATCCACAGGTGTTTAGCCCTAGCCACGACCAAAATCCTCTCTGTCCACATTACTAAGCCTTGCCATGAGGTCCTTGACGCCATCTGTGTTGATGTCCTTCGCCGCGTCTTTACCTAACTTATCCTGGACAATTTGCACCACCGTCGTGATCAAGCCCTTAACATCTGCACCTTTCGCTTCAATATCACCTGCTGTGAGTTTTCCGATTTCATCGATTACTTTCATAAAGTTTCCAGTGGCCAAGCCGTGGGCCGCCGCTAACAGTGATCCAAATATGTTAATCACCGTTCCCCAGCCCGGCTGTTTGTCCAGGTAAACAGAGTACCCAGTCGTGTAGTTATACATAACCTCCCTATCATTTACTCTGGTAACAGATACGAGACCTGTCAACTTATCATGCCCAGCGATAGTTTTAATAAAGGTGTCTCGGTGTGTATTCCATGTATATGATGGAACCTTACCATGGTGCCTTTCCTTTTTTGGGTCAAAAATCAGTAAAATAATCCAGGTTGGAGGAAACAGTAGTACTCACCTCTGGTGGGATAGACTCCCAGTGTTTGGGACCCAAGGGGTTGTAAGGGCTTTCAGATACATGTTCGTAATATGTTTTCATATTATCCCCTTTAGTCCCGAATAGCTGCTTGGGGAAGAGTGTGATAGTGCGGCCAGGACCAGTCAAATCTGCCCCTGTCATGCTCGATACGGTCTTCCTGTCGTTGTACTTAGGGAGAAGCGTCTTGTTGGTATTTACCGCGATGAATTCACGTTCACCATTAGTGTTGGTCTTGACGTACAATCCAACCCAATGGAGGGCAGCATAGTTACCCCCGCCCCATACAGTGATCGCCGGATTGGTCGCCTTAGGGACACGAACAGCCACGAGTCTTTCGTTCCAGAGTTCAAAATAGGCGTCGTAATATTTAGAACCATGCTTCTGGTGTATAGCCGTCTGTGTGGTGTTGAAGGCGTTATTCCAGTTGGGCGCGCTTTCCAGGAAAATCGGATTCTTGCCTCCGATCAAAAAGAACATCGCTGCCGCATTCACATGGATGGAAAACAACCAAAAGTCCTCTTTACTAGTATCAACATAGTCTTCACGGTCGACACGGGAGAACTTCCACAAGCCGTTATCATCGTGAACGCGAAGTTGGTGATGGTAATATGGTATATCACAACCCTGCCCAACTTTCAGTTTAACTCTCGAAAGGTAGTCGGCCTGCGGAAGCTTGTCCACGGATTCTGTGGTTTCAACTTTTTTCTCCATGGTCAATGCAGGAGATTCTGGAGGCCTGGGGACTTCAGGGCTTTCACGGGGTGCATTATAGCTTGACATAATGAGAAGCAAGTACGGTATAAGTTAATGGAGACAACAAATCGGTCAGGAATATCGCTCGTTAATTATAGGGAAGGTGCCTATATAAATAGTTATAGGCAAACTCTTTACAGACTGGCTGAACCTGTTGCCATCGGCACAAGTAAGCTACAAAAGCAAGGCTTATTCTGATCTACTCTTAATGCATTCCTTGATCACCAGTCCAAGCCATATTGAATGGTCCAATTGATGCGTGTTTTGTATATGGAGCACACCATACCTGATCATGCAAGGGTCCTAGCATTCTCCCGCACCACCCATCAAAATTGTCTCTGGAGGCGTATCGTCATGGCTCATGCCGCCGAGCACGGCGGTCAGGTGTTCAGACGGCATTGGCCATGCCGCGAGTAGTACTCCGCTTCGATCTCCATAAATGAGCCTTTGCTGCCTGTTTTGTGGACTATCACTAGCTGGTCGGCTGCAAGTGGAGGAGGTACACGTACAGGTGGTATCTAGGGGTCCGAACCCGGTGTGGCTGCCATATATTCAGCTGAAATGATGCTATGCTTGCATCTGTTCTCCATACACCGGCATATCTTATTGGGTGATGGTTCTAGGCCTGGTAGAAGTCCTAGAAAGGCTTTCTATTTATTTAATATAATCTAGGGGGGTTTCTTTTTCTTTTTCTTTTAGTCAGTAGACAATACAAGAGTATAGTCGTTATTACTTAATCAATTAGAAATCGAGCCACAGTATTACTACTTCCGGTATTACCGACAAAATAGACTTTTTAACTGGGGCTATTCGGGATAAGAATGCAAGGGTAATATTAGTAAGAGAGTAAATAATACCAGTCTCATGAGCATTCCATTCGCTGCATTCAATCTTGTCGCTGGTACGGGGTAAGCTTTCCTTGAATTTGCCTTAGCATTGTGACTCTCCGCACATGGCTGAATTAGGGGTCGATACGCTGCTGGCCTTTCTCAGGTCTTGTTATTCTAAATTAGTATAAATACTGTGGTACTCCTGGTCTTCAACCCACGTCATCACTACTGTTTCAAACCTCCAAGGACACCATTAACACAGACGCTGGGGCATAATCTCTTTGACACCATGAGAATCCAACTTGCCATCCTTGCCGTTTCGCTTCCTACCTCTCTTGCTGGTACGTGCTACTATCGAGGAAGAAAATGCGATTGGGTGGGAACTGCTCCATGGTGCGGCTTTGGCGGCTACGAAATCGGTCAGATACGCGATGGCCGAGAGGTTGTCGAAATGACTTGGCCCTATGACCGCCAAGTTGCCTGCGACCGACTTGAACCCTATTCTTATGATTGCTGCGGAGAATACGGTCAGTCTTGTTCGGGTGGCTATAAGGTGCTCTTGTGTGACCGGTAAAGTGTGAGTGGATGTCTCTAATGTGTCCTTCTTGGAAGGCTTACATTGGATAAAAGGGAATAATAGCTATTTGGCTATTAATACCATTCTAGGCAGCGTTTGGGTAGACGAGGAGGAGGAATAATGTTTGGGTACGGAATTATGATCAGCTGAATGGTATCGAGGATTCGGAGTCCAGTCCGTTTTATTATCTGATCTGGGAAGTGATGGCTGCTGAAGGGGTAGACGGGGTATATTACAGCCTTGCTTGCTAGCAAATCTAATACGGAAATGGGGATTTTAATATACGATCGATGGTAGATCCTAGTAGTGCAATATGTTTTCTTTCCCTCTTTCATGGAAAGCAGATGAGAGCGGCTTCACCGTCTGCAACCATCGTATTCCTGCATGTAGTGACAATGGTGGCACTTTGGGGATGGTCCAGGATCTTCCAGTTGCATGAAGGCCTCAAGCTAAGCACGGCATACAACCCGGCGCCCGCCAAGGTGTCGAGGGTAGATCCCGTGGAGACACGGACTGCCTAGGCAGTATGTCCAATAATGGTCTGCCACAGAGAGGGTTTGAAGAGGGTAAGGGAGCTTCTTAAGTTTAAGCTGTTCTGATTGGCCCTTCTTCTGTCCGACTGGTCTTGTGGACCGCTTTTTGGTAAGGCGATGTTGATCACGCTTTCTTCTATACCACAACTACCACACTTTGTACCTGAACATTTGTTCTACCTGTGATGGCGGAGCCTCTATACTGGCTGCTGAGTCTGTAGTGAGTGTAAGTAAGTAGTGGCATTACCCTTGTTTGATAATAATTATAGTATTTTAAATTGTTTTATGTTCATGAATAGATGTTTTATTTCTAATAATTTACCAAAATCTCTGTATACTTATAAATTTTTTACTTGTAGTAAATATTTTAATTTTACTAATTCTTAACTTTATAGTCATCTATCTAGACTAGATATTATAGGCCCACTTAGCAGTCTGGAAGAACCCACTTTCCGGGCCTTAGGGCGCCAGACAGAAGCCCTTACCCACATAATATTAAGTCGGAAACCCGACTTTTCGAAGATTCATGGATGCCTGTTCACACGTATATATGATAGTTGAGGCCGTGCGTAGTGACATAATCTATGACGAGACATAAAGTACAATGCTCGTAGGGGCCTCCCTTCCTCTTTTTAGCCTGAGATCCAAAAACGCCAAAAAGGAATGAAAATAAAAGAATCATTCACAGAAGGAAGATGAAAAAATCCAAAAACCTAGCCAGCCTTGCTGATGATCCCCAGCCGATACCGTGGGATCATCAGCAGATGATCTGGTAGGGAAGGTCCCCGGGCCCAGGGGTTTTATGGGTATGATCAAATCCGCCCAAACGCCGTATCCCCGGCCGCTGGAAAAGGACGTCGAGGGGCGGGTTCGAACAGACCGCTGTGTTGAAGCAGCCATGCTGGCGTGGCGATGCCAAGGTCCTAGTCTTGACCGTTGCACCATCCGGGTCTCTATTGTCATAGGTGTGGTTCCGTAAAAACATAAGGGAAGACCGGCTGCCCGATTAGCAAGGTCGTGACGTCTGCAGGTCACTGGATCAGGAGGGGCTGGGTCTAGCTTCCGAGGGAGGAATAGGGTGGTATTGGTCCATCAGTACCATGATTCGGTATTGGTAGTATATGTACGCATGGTATCTCTCGAATTCTGTGGAAGATGGTGCTTGTAAACGTAGATGCTTTCCACAATTGGTATTCAGCGGTACAGGCAACCCTGGACCTGTCGCTATGGTCATGACCCGCACGTGAGGCTTAACCAGAACACATTGCGAGTAATCTCAAACGGACAGATCCCATATATGAACAGTGTTGTGGCTCATACATCTATTTGACAGACACAACCTCTGCACAGAGCCAAGCTGCCTCCTAGGCTTTGACTGTAACGCAGTCCATGGGCCACCGGACGTATTGTTGGTGATAGATGTCCAGGTTACGGTGAATGCCAATAAGAATGTGTCTAGGCCAATCTTGAAGGAACCAATTCCAGCTGAGCTCATCCAACAAGAGGACGAAATAGGAAAATATCACCAATGCCGGCTGGTGTCGCTGCCTAAGCCCAAACATGAAAAGGTCTGGCAGTCTGTAGAGCCAGCCGAAGATGCATGGCCATAAAAGCGCAGTCGTTATAGGCGAAAAGGGGCTATAGATAGCATCGTAACACTGGCAAAGTCGTTCGAACACCGTATTATAAACAGAGTAAAGCGTATCCTCCCCACCGAGTTCGGATTCTATCAGATGTCGCAGCTGATCCATCCAATAGCCATATTCAGAAGAGATAGTCGAACTTCTGGCGGTGCCTGCTGGATCTGTGTCCCGTTCTGACTCGGAACCCGATTCCCCTTCATCACCTCTTAAGACTACATCTGGTGAAAACAATTTGCTGCTTATCTCCAGTACTGTCCGGACACCCATGAATAAGGATAGAAAGCCCCCTTGGCCATCTTCACGGAAAGCCATATACTCGCCTGAACGGGGCCCTATGGCGAATGAGCAGATGAAGATGTACACAGCAGCGGTGTAAACTGCATGGCAGTTCTCTTTATTTAGCCGTGGCACTGCAGCTGCCACTTCTCGGATGGCAAGGTTATAGTGCCGTTCAGCTACCACATAATAATCCTTCCCTTGGATGGCAGACTGTTGAAGCTGAATGATTTCTGGACGCCGTGCCAACTGAAAGCCCGAGCAAGCAAGCAGGAGGCGCAGGATGTACGGAAAGGTGAAACTAAGACGAGAAAGTTGAGATAGCTGCACTCTCATTGCACTCTGATATTCGGAACTTCCAGAGTCTGTTGGATTTAAGAAGTTATGGAACAGCTCCATATCGATTATAGTAAATTCAAATGGTCGACAGGCCAAGGTCGGAAGAACTCGATCAGATGAAGAGCATTGCAGTAGTTGTATTGATAGGGACTTGCGAGTTCTATGCGCACGCTTTGGTGGCTTGAAGTTGGATTGATACGATGAAATAAAGGTTTGATGGCGCTTGCTTGGCACCTTCCTAGGCGCCGTCGCCGCTGGCTGGGCGTTCGCGTTCTCTGCTGGTGTTGGTAAATTGGAACTCGATTCCTCGAGCTGATAATCACACTCCACTGAGTGACGCAAGCAGCCACTGCAGGCTGGCCTAACCTCATCGCACTGAGTACAGTTGTCAATTGACGGGTACTCTAATCGAGAATAATCACGGAGTGCACCTACTTTGACCCTGCGACGTTTACAGTTGCCACATCCAAGACGTGATTTCCGATGCGATCTACGAGAGCCATTGGCCATGCCGTAGAGAGTCATATTATATGTGGCTTCTTTTTAAATAGAGGAATGTTCATCGTGAAATAGGGTAGGAAGTGAGGATAGCAGTCGTGCCTGAGAATCGTCGCCAATACTTCGGAGAAATTCTTGTCGTTTCATTCAGGGGCTCAGTCAGCATTTTCCCTCTCCATGATTGGTCTTGGCTGGCTCAAGCCCCATCCACAACCATTACGACAACCACGGAACCTTGAAAGGAGGAAAAAGATAGATAGCTTTTATACGTCCCCTGCCGGCGAAATTGAAACTGCTAATCATAGAAGCACTCTGAGGTAGACATGTGTAGGGAAGGCAACCCTGGGAACACTGGTCCTTCTAGCATTTGCTGCCATAGTATTGCATCCCAGTAGTCATCCACCCCGTCGCCCATACCCTCTAAAGCAATTTGACCAAATCTGAACTCGGTCGCCACTTGGCAGTAGTCAAGCTGATGTGTAGGGAAGGTGGTTTGCCTTCTGGATTCGTTTAAATCTGAGCCAGCAGAAGCCGAAGGGTAGTGCATCGTCGAGCTCGGATGGTTTCGCAGCCTTTGTTCCGGCCCTGGTAAGTCTTGATGCTTCTCCAGCCATGATATCATGCTCCCTATGACCCTCTTGCTATTTGCCCAAACATCATTACCACGTGAGACTTTCCCATGCTTTTCGATTGCCGCTCGCGCGATTCCATGGATTCTCCATCCAAACCCAGTTGTTCTTTCCCACTCAAGGTCGGACAACAAGAGGACCTTCGAAAGGACTAACAACGCATACCAGAGATATGTGTAAAAGGATAGAGAGAGGTGGACCATGAGTTCTGGTGAGGCCTTAAGGAACGACGCAATGAAACTCTCTGCCGATGAAATGAGATTGTCAAGCTGGTTCATTTCATCGACAAGGAACTTGTCATTCCTGTGGTAGACTATTTGTCCAAGAACGAGAACTGGCTTCGCTTTCACTTCAAATATACATGCGTCTTTTGATGACCTGCAATTAGTAAATGGCAACAAAATACCTTAGGGTTGAATAGATTTCGCAAAGAGGTAACTCACAGGTGTCACTTCCGTGTTGTTGAGCTTCGTATTCGATCTCTTGAAATAAAGAAAATTCTTGGTCGAGTCTCTGGATGCCTGCCTCTAGCATCCGTTCTGCATGTGAAGATGACTGTGTATGTCGGTAAACATTGCCGTCAAATACCTTTGCACTCTTTTGAGCTAGCAATCTCACGTCTATGTAGGTTTTCAGAAGTGTATCTGATGGGAATTCAGGACTTTTCACTAAGCTATCGCAGCATTGATTAATCCAATCGGTATGTTTCATGAACAACTGCTGTCGGAAAAGTGACGACCTTATTGTAATGTCAGCGGGGTCAAGTAAGCAATCAGCAAATTCTTACACAGAGCACAAATAGAACGTTCCTAGGAGAGCCCTCTTTCCAATGACCGAATTGCTCGATATTTGCTGATGTGCGCTGTTCGGCCTTCCTAAGCTGGCTGCAATGTTTCGCATGGTGAAATTGGGTTGCCGATCGAGCCCAAGATCAGCAACCATTGTGACAGTCATTTGAAGGAACATGTACATATGCGGCAGCATTGACTCCCAATGATAATGGTACCATGCTGTGTAGACAAGAAGACCAAGGAGTAGATCTATGTTCCGTTCGTTGTTCATAATGATACGTGTACTGACGGTTCGCTTAACTTCATGGTCCAGATACTTTTGTAAGGCTGGCCTGTCTTCCGAACTGACAGTCATGATAGCCACGAATAAGAAAGGATATTCCTGGCGAAGGCTGATTGCATTCATCGAGTAGCGGATTATGACAAACGGAAACTGGGGCATTTTGGCCGTGCGAAACTTGTCCAACAATCGATTGCACTGAGCCAGGGTGAGGACACCATTAGTCAACAGGTCGCCACGCTGACCCAAGCCAGGGTGGTGAGAGATGGGCTTTGGGTGTTCAATTGACGCATTATATTCATATAGAGTATCTGGCGCTGCCTCATCTCCGGACATGCCGTGTCCGGAAACTCCCTCGTCCTGTGGCTTCAGTCAGACAACACTGCATGTCTACACATTATAAAGGTCAACCTCCCCTTTGCGTTAGCTGATTACGAAGCTCATTGATCTGGTCTTGGAGCTCATCAATCCGGCTTTTTCGACCTGGATTATCTGGCAGAGTGCTCGGGAAAACACAAGGCCGACCCAATCGAGAGCACCGTTGACACTCTTTGTCATTGCCTTGTATAGAGCATTTGACTTTCAACTCAATGCATCGGAAGCATGCATGACGTCTTGACGATTGTCGCCGACTCATATTGAACTAGGATATAAATTCTCATGGAAGGAGAAAAGCGACCACAGATGTCGTTGAAGGTTGGAGAGTCGGAATCGGAATCGGAATCGGAACCGGAGTAGGGGTTGAACACGTGCCAGATCAGTTACATATCAACATCTGCCTTTCTCAGTACAATTAGGGTTAATGTAGCATTCTCATCTTTATAGTAGAAAGGCACTCTGCATCTCATCGAGAATCGCCGGGTAACATTAAAGTATGTTAGTTGATAGTCTACTTGACCCCTATACTAGGGCTGGGCCTGAGCTCCGTTCCGAAATATATATTCATCCCTGCCACTATTCTCGCAACCTCTGATACGGATTGTTGCCCTACACAAATGAAAGACCTATCAAACTACTAAAGTGCATGCTATTTCGTATTTCCCATACACTCATGGTGCTACGAGGGGCCCAGGACATCTTAGCAATTGGTATTAATCCAGTGAGCTCTAATTCCTAGTGTGGAGCGATCGAAAACCAAGCAGTTAAGGGGTCCCTCCTAAACAGAAGATTTAAAGCAACGACAACTCATATTCCGGAGTATACTCCCCAAGAGCTATGGCCAGTCCTGGGGCGGTAATCCCTGAATTTATTCAACCCCTTATCAGGTAGTATCCATTACCCTACTCGAATAGGTGGGCATTTCTGTCGTTAATATATTTAGAACACCGGCTAAAACGGACTTAGGTCTCCACAATTGACAGCTCAGCCAACCACATATGAAGGAACCCAAACCAGAGAGTTGGGAGAAAGAGGTAAAAGCTTGGCTAAAAGTAAAGGAAAAGCCAACGCCGATCGCAATCATATCGTTAATGAGTGGCCAGACTGCTGTCGCTCTTTGGTCAGTGACGTCTTATTCCCCCACCAGACCACTCGAACACCTGTTCAAGATGGGAATTACATATTGCAGCCCTGAAAACGGCATTTTGAGTGGTTACCACTTGGGCCTGTAGTAGCTCGCCCGTCTTTGACATTTCTTTTTCATGGATTGGACCTGTAAAGCTATCCAACTGGTGCTTTTACTCAGTGCCTCACCATCTTTCCTTGATCAGAGTGTGCATATACTAGCCCCGTGCTAGCTCGACACACATAAATGGAAGAGGGAAAAGAATAGAGTTATTGACACACAAAAGTTATGAGAGAAATGGTATGAATCGTATGTTGAATTTAAATGACACAGGTCCTCTACAATATGGCTATGAAAGCAGCTTGCACAATGACCAAGTTTGCCGAAACCTTAGATTTATATCGAGCATACGGTTCGGTTTGGCTACGCTACCCAGCCGAGACGGAGAGGGACACAGGTTTATGTCAAATTTCTCCGGTCATCGTGGTGCATTTTTAGCGAGTGATTTAGACTTGCCATAGGTTCCAATGTTGAGATGATGCGCCGACTAGTCGAGGGCCCGGAAAATGCCGGAAAATATGACGCTTAGACCTCTCCGAAATAGAATATAGTGAAGTCTCCCGTGTACATCTGAGCGTTCTGTAAAATATCGGATTGAAGCATTTTAGTGAGCGGAATTTGTGCCGAGGGAGGATGCGAGACAAAGAGATCAAAGAAATACGGATGTTGGCGTAGGTTTTTGGGACAGGCTACCCCGACCTCTTAGAGCTTCCCAATAAAGAACGCTCTTAGAATATGAGACCGTAGACCTATCCATGTTACCATTGGTGTTCTATCGCTGGCTCGGCATACTCCGTAATATGGACTTCCGGAAGTAGCGCGGGACTAGGCCCTAAGCGAGTCCAGTACCCACACCTAGCTGAAGGCCGTGGTGGCCAAGAGAATAACTTCGGAGATTGGCTGTGTGACTGTGGAGTATCACATTTAGTGCTGCGACCTGTTCCTATCCTCCTATGGCATAGTTGGTGGTCTACTCCCGACAGAGGTAAGTGCTACTACAAGCTATCCACCCAAATGCCGTTCCTGGCTCCGGAGGTGGGCCTCAGAATGTCACTGAATTCTGACACTGAGGGAACAAAGGGTTAATGAACAGGCCCACCCAATTTCTATATAAGGATCGACTTACTCCCCCTCCCGAGGGACCTTCCTACATGCAAGCTACTTACTCACACTGCCCTTGCGTTAAAATCTAAAAAGCATAACCTTAAAAGGTATGTCGTACAGTTTTTGACGCAGATCGTTCCATGTGACTAATGACTCTCAGCCCTTCAAACCCACTTGATCTATCGGCAAATATGCGTCTCGCCTATCTCATCCTCTCTGTCTTTGTCGCCTCCGTGGCCGCGGTGCCCAATCAATGCACCCCCAACGGTCTGCCATGCGATTCGCAAACTCCTTGCTGCTCGAAGGTCTGCGTCATTCAGGGTGACCTCGGCAGCCCCAATGAGAACGGTACCTGCCAGTGAGCGTTGGAAAATCCAGTGGACTTGGCCTTGTAACAGCTACATACAATCGAGGCTTAAGGATGGAAGGACTAGAGGGATGATGGAGTTGCACACTGCTGTTGATTTATCAAAGAGATACCACCATCACGAAGATATGTTGAAACCAGTCAATTAACTGATTGCCGAACACGACTCGTAATTTCCTTTTTCGCCTTGCAAATTTCTAGCTTCGGTGTCATTCGACACCATTGTATCGATCCGGCAGTCGAGTATACCATGGAAATCTCCTTTCCTGCACAATCACGAGGAATGCGCAGATACTTACTTGATCAAGCTTCCATCCACTACACCATAGGGAACAGTTCTGATAAGATCGACAAACTTATGGAGGATCCGCAGTTCCGCACAGTCGATCTTTGTCTCGCGATCGTAACGGCCCAGGACCAGTAGATCGTTTACTCTTTGAGGTAAATGATATGCGACGTCAGATTCTGGGTCCCGACCGAGGGGGTATTCGTGAATCAAGCTGAATAGTTAATGGTTTGTAGCAGGAGAGGCAGTCGATGTACAATGGAAAATCCGCTCATGGAAGCCCCCTGATATCCTGACCCAAAAAAGGAAATTCTCCTTTGTCCCCGGGAGTGACCCCTGACTATACCCGATTGGGAATGCCCGTCTTTGCAGGCTATCAGGCAGCCTAACCCTCTTTCTCCAAGGTACTAGCAAGAGGCACATCCTGTCTACACGAACCAGTCATAATGATAACAAATTGCACGGTTTAGCCTACCTTCTTTGTAATCTTGAGCCTGTTCAGCAGTCAGCTAAACCCATCTCGAGAACTCTAGAACTTACTAAGGCACCAACAAAATACACTCAACACCTTCCGTGACCCACATTTCCGATCTTGGCGAAAATTACTAGTCTCTGCAAATATTTAGCAGAATCTAAGTCAATCCAGAGTACGGAGTACCCTGGCTTGTTTTCCTAGGTGTGCCGTCATATTCCGGGGTATCAGGTCGCCATGGAGAACATACGCCTTGTGAACCTCGTCTTGAATCTGGCGGATCTTAGTCAAGTGCTGTTCTGAAAAGTTGGATAGGCTTATCGTCTACAGACTTTGAATATACTCGATAGGAATAGCATATGGTGGAAGTCTCTCGCCGAGAGAGATATGGGGATTTGGTCAGATAGAGGGCTGAATGTCTTGAATCATCCCATGAAAGGATGGGATAACGCCCGTCTCCCACAGACCCTTTGATTGACATCCGATGGTATGTGGTGGACTCAGAAACGAAGAGATTGACTTCGAGGTCAGGGAAATCAAATTCAGACCGGCCTTGGTTATGATACTTTAAGTATTGATACTTGAAGTATAAGTAATAGCCCAGTGAATCAATAAGACTGGGATACATATCCTTTCCTTGAAACGGAGCTTGAAAACCACCGAGTTCTTACTTTCCTGGAACTTCGCGAGGAATTCAACATCTGATCATTTCACCCGAACCTCATAAATATCAGCACTATATGAAGCTGGTAACTAAACGAAAGACGAGCGTTGAAACAGATTTTTGTGTGTGTATCTAGACGTAGGCAGTCGCATCCCTTTTGAGGTTACGTTTCTTGCCTGAGGCATAAATGCCACAGCTGTTGACAATCCAATGTATCATTTGGACTGTGTCTTTACTGTAGAATACCCAATTGTTAATTGTTTTACTATGAATCGGGATTAAGATAACCTATAAAGTGAGAATAAGGCATAAACTAATTCCTACAAGGCGATGAAACAAGGATCAGTACCAGGTCTCTGCTAGATGGTGTTGCTTGCCGTGTGGACTGTACCTTCAACCATGGTGAAGACGTCCCACTATACCGATATATGAAGGGAATGCACAATGTATTTCCTACTCTTAGTCTTATTTACATGTGCATTTTAGGTAACATCAGGTAGACCTAAGCCAACCGTGCTACTTAGGAAGCGTCATTTACCTTCATGTTTCCCCACATCAGAATAGGTCAATCGGTTCTTTGGCGGATTTAAAAACTAATGATCACTGAATGGAAGTCCATGGGATTCAGCATCATACAAAAGGAACCACATGCATCTTCTTTCCATTCGATCTGTGTCATGATATCCTGACTGACTAAGGTTGACCACTGTACCCAGGTAAACAAGCAAGCAACTCATCTCTCTCTGTATATATCAACACCGCATTAGCATCACTAATCCAATAGACATATATAAGACAAGCTCACCAGCTTTAGCTGCAAACATAATCGAGATATCGTCATGCTCAAGCGGATAATCAAGCTCATCTAGACACGAATCCCGGCAGGTGCGGCTTAATTTCCGGTAGAGCAAACTTGGCATCCTTAATGACAATACCCCATAGATCATTTTTATCGATTGGCTGAACGGCATCTGTGGATCGAACCTCGAAGTTCATGCAGATACCATGTGGCGACTGGTAGAAGAATGCAATCAACTGGAACTTGCCTTTTTGCTGCACAAGCTGTACCCGCGTAAAGTTGGCTTCCCAACGGTTGCGGATGGAAAATAACTTTCGCGGGCGGTTGATGATGAATCTCTTTGCTACGCTTTTTTATTGTTGTATGTCAGTAGGGCTCTTTGGGGTTAATGGGGGTAGAGCGTACCGGTCAAAGCGCACTTTGTAGCCTGTTATTACTTGTTGGAAAGCATGGAGATCTAGATTATTTGTGTACACTGTGAGACCGTTGTGCGGAGAGGCTTTCGGACCATCTGGACATACCTTCTATAGAGTTGAATTCTATTCGGCGTAGAGTGAATTTTGTCTGTATCGCATTTATCACTTTCGTCAACCCCTCCATTAACTTGTCGCTGTTGGTGTCTTGTCTAACGCAAACTGTCAGGTCACTTTGCGGAGATCGCAGGATATTCAACACTTTGTCATCGAGGACGCAAAGACCGATCCTAAGATGAGAGGGTGCTACTGTGACATTAGCAGTGTGGATCAACCAGGACCTGGGTTTGGGAAAACGAACGTAGATTAATTCGGTCTGTAATAGACCCCCAACTAGTCTCTATAATGACCCTCAATGTCTCCGACCAAACAGTTTTGCCATACGGGCTTCGGTCAGTTCCGTCCGTTTCCTCGATCACACATGCCATGCTTTCCCCGACCTCGAGGTGTCGGGTATTTTGCATATCGGAATCTCGATCAGGAGGCTCTGATAGGGCAAAGGAACGTATAGTAAACTTCTCCGACTTAGTTTCATGGTCTCGAGGAATAGCACTCAACAGCAGCGTATGCAAGAGGCCGCGCGCGCTATGATCGTGGAAGGTAAATGAGATAGAAATTCTATGGGATCCCTCTCGGAGCTGGAGTAGCAGGCCCGGAAATCCATTAGCGTCTTCATAAATACCATACAGCAGCGGGGTGCTGTTAAGGAAGTAGTGAGAAGCCCTGCTGATCGTCTTAGCTTGCGGTGGGGTAGCAACGAAGAGACGAAATCCACTGTGCACCCTGCGCTCTATTGTTCCTTTCTTGACCATTTCAAACTTCTCAAATAGTCGGACTTTGCATTGTTCCACAGGCCCTGAGGGGAAGTTGCTGGGCCTATCGTGACTTATGTAATGACAGAACCCTACGGTATCCTCGAATACGAGGGTATCGAGGTCACCCGCAACGAGGAGAGTCTCGGTGTGCATGATCTCCTGCGCAATCTGCCATACCATCTTGAAGCTCTGTTCGGTGAGCTGCACCTGAGCCATGTGCTGCGGTCTGATCATGATCTGTAATACCGAACGAGCTGCATCCCAGTAGACACCATGCCATGATATGCCCCTTTTCCGACTCGAATGGACTTCAATGTAAACAGTTTCTGTTTGGCTGGCGAAAACAGCTACTACCTCCCAGCTCGATTGAAGACGAATAAATGAGAGCACGCATTCGAAGGAATGTGATGGAACATCGCATTCCTCAGTGAGAAATGTCAGATTAACAAACTCGCTTCCGTATAAGAATAATGTTTTGGTATCGCCGAAAGCTAAAGGAGGAATATTATCAACCGGCTGAGGCCACTGATCTGGACAAGGGATCTCGCGTTCCTTCTGACTGCAGGATGGGTACATTATCCAAAGGCTTCTGTCAACATCGATCGCAGTTATTTGGTCACGTTTTGTCTCCCGTAAAATGGAGATAGTTTGTTCAAAGCTTCGAAGGTATTGCTGGACACATCTGTATTGGTCCAGAAGTGCAATGGTAAGGCCTTTATCATCTAGCGAGTCGCCACAGGCTAGCTCAGGTATAATACAGCAACAAATCCACCATGCTTTCGCGAAATTGACGGCAGCCTGAATAGACTTTGACGGTCCTACTGCATCTCTGTTAACTAAAGGCACTGAGCCCGTCTCCACTTGTTCCTTTCCCTTAAGCGCCCACCATATCGCGGCCCTGACCCAGTCTTCTCCTGGTATGTCTTCAAATGGCTTCAAAGCGTTAACGAAAGGGCCAAATATGTCATCTAAGTGCTTCTTCAGGGTCGATATGTCTCCCGCGTCACTGGTTTCTGGGTCACATGGAGAGAAATGGTCCGTATGGCGTGGCATCATCAAACCGGCGCCCGTGTTCTGAGAGGATACATCGGTATCCCGATCGGGAGGAGGTCTGGGGAGCGGAGAGGGGGTCATGTAGGGTTTGTCGAGTGAGTCGAGGAGCAATGGGATTTTAGGGAGCTCCGTAGGCTTCGGACTGGGATGATGAACTGCACCAAATGTCAGGGAAGGTTAGTCGTTCTGGGTTAAACATACATGAGAACTTGATCTCGGAGGATACGCACGCTGGATTGGATATTCATCGCCTTTTAGTGTCTCAGGTTGATCAGTCAGGGGAAGAGCAGAATGCCGGTTGGCAGCTGCAGCGTCTTCACTCTTCGCGGTAAGAAAATCTCTAATCTCCTCTGCCCTGCTTTCTTCGATGTCTTCGCTATTTATCGAATCATAAGTCCGTTTCAGCCAATTCATCTTTTGCAATTGCCACCTTGTGTCTATCGACCGTTTGATTGTCCTGAAAGCCTATGGCAATGTGGGTGATGAGGCTGTTTCGAAACGTTGATTAGAATTACCGTAGGACGGTGACTTTATACGCAGACCAGTGTCTACGGCAGGGCTATTTGCAGAGCCGCTAGAATCCAGCTAATTTCAACACGTGTCTTATGATGAAGCAATCTACTTCATAGGCTTCGATGTAATGGTACGGCTCAGGAGACCCCACACAACCTCGAACCGAAGTCCTCTAATCGGTAATTGGGCATGCCAGTTGAAAAAGCATTTTCACCCTGCTTCAAGAGAGCGGCGAGCTGAATACCCACATTGCATGGGCCTATTTTAGCTTGGGGCCGGTTAGGGTCTCGGATGCTAGAAGCTGGGGCACTCTGAAATCTCGCCCATGGTTATGGGGTGGTAATTACTAGTTTCTCATTTCTCTCTAGCCTACCCTTTGCACTAAAGTATTGATGGAAAATCCAATCGATTTACTTGATATCATTGCACGCAGCAACGAACTAGCTCTACAGAGGTGAGAATTGCCTTAGACTGTAGGAGCCCACTGCATGTACTACACCCATAGTGAGCATATTGGGCACTTATGTTGGTGTACAATTTATCACTTGTTGAATTCTCTGTGGTGACTGACCGTCAGCAATTGGAAGCAAGCCGGAATTACCGGTGAAACTAACAATAGTATTGGTGTTTGATTAGGAGACTATTCCCACATGGTTGGCACCCACATTAGACATCGTTTTGGATGGAATAAGGAATAGATTTTCCCGTCGGAACGATAGCATATTCGTTATGTTTCAGTTTTGCTTCCTTTATTCTTACGTCCCAGGTTGGCCTACAACCTATATGACTGATAGCCTATACACACGTATCTTCAAATGAGACTATACCTGTAATTTATATTGTGCAGCAAGAGTTCATTCGAATAGACACGATGCATGGGTGTGGCTAGCCCATTTCAACCATGTTAATATGTAAGAGTATATGCAACAACATGCTGCACTGTGCAGTGTGGATCTCGCAATGGCGCTTGAAAACTTTCTACGCTTTAGGTGCGCCAAGGTGTAGCCCCCAATTTGCCCTGTGAACCCTAACCAAGGAGAGACCCAAAGGGAAGCCCTCACCTCTATATACCGATTTTGCTTGGCAGCGGGTGGATGCCCTCTTTATGGGAAGAGAGTTACGATAGCCTGAGTCTTAACTATATTCTCTATCCCTAGTATTCTCTATGGGTTGATGGCAGTACAACACGTTCTCCCTGTATCCTTTCTGGGTTGGGATGATTGATTGCAGAAATATATTCATACTCATATAAGGTCAAACTTCGAGGCCACTATATTGCTGTGGAATCCTACTAAATTGTAAGGACATACTTATAAGGAGAAGTGGTTCAATATTAGGAAAACTTATTTCTGTGAGGTCACTTTGGGGTCACCATGTCATGCTTTTACCGCAGCGGTTTGAGCCGCGATTCCACGGTCCCATCTGGCTGTAGTCTTCTAGTAGCTCTCTGAAACGTCAGGTCTCGCTAGGGGATAGCTGAACCAACGGACCGTAGTATTGCTCAGCCGTGTGACGACCTACACATGACTAGTATGTTCCTGCTAGGCTTCGAAGGTGCTTCTCGAGCACCGTCTACACGTTCGGTAGATGTACCCAATTAATAATATCTATTGTAACCCCTTTACCTGCGGAATTACATCTAATCCTCTAACCACGTTATTACAAGTCATCAAGCCACTCTGCCACAGTTCAAGCCCATACTATTGTGGCGTAAAGTGAGACTTTCCCAGACTTAATACACAGCTATATAGATCGTGAGGGTGCTTAAGCCAACCCGTCTTCCTTACCCGTCACGGATCATCAAGCGAGATGTCCTCCACCTAGGGCTCGGAGGGTTTCCCGACTCAGCCCTAGAAGTAAGACAGTCGCTCTCGCTAATACCGCAAAATGAGACATGCTGAGAGACTCCCTGTAGCGATTCGATTTTGAATTGGCCGCTTGCGACTATCCTATAAATATCTCAGTGTCGACCCACACCCACCTATCAGTGGACGAGTAGTTGTTGTAATGGATCCACTATTCAGCAAAGATAAGGGCCCAGAACATTGATGCTCCACAACACAAGCCCGTGGGTCGGCTAGATCCTGGGGTTATATGACACGACCCGATGTCTGGTGGGTTTCAAGAGACACGCGAAGTGAAACAAGCGGCTTTCATTGGCGGAGATCTATCCTAGTGTATAGTAAAGTGATAACTTCGGGTTTTACTCTTATCTACGAGAGTAAAAGACTAATATTAAGTTTCTCTTGGTTACTAGACCCTAGGTTACATTCGGGCAATGCCTGATCAACCACTTGAAATTTGCTGTATGGCTAGCTAGAGTAGGCGAGCAATACCACATCGGCAATGTGTTTGAAAATACATACGTCAGTGCATGTATAACCATAAGTTCCCCGCCTTCCATACCGATATCATGTGGTGATGTGGCATTTTAAACTCTTGTCCCAGGAATGTTCCCAGCTACGGCGGACTATATATGCAATGTTTATTCCGCATTGCTTCCATTCTCTTCGGAAACCCAGTCAACGCCCACCGCTTGAAGAACTTGACAATAACCGGCCTTGCATCCAGATACGTTCCATTAGGGTTGTCACTATTCGGCTGCACACTCGGCCACGCGTGCCCCAATCCATCGATCCGGTCGTGAGTAACAGTCCCAAGATCATCGCCACTCCCATACTGATACTTCTGCACATTACCTTCGTACAACTCCTTAGTTACGTTGTGAAGCCCGTACCCTGATAGTTTGGACCATTCACAGATAAAGTGCGGGATAGAGGGAAGGCATTTGCCGCGCCGGCAGCCTCCAGCATAATGAATAATGTTATCTGCCGTACCATGGAATTCAATATTCCAGATAGAGGGGAGACCGGGTGAACACTTGATTGGTACCTTAATAGGGCGGGCGACAGTCTTCATAGACATCCCAATGAGAGGCAGCTGAAACTTGAGCAAAAGCTGCAATTCGGGTGGATGCTTTCAGATCGCATGCCAGAAGGTTCGTTAATCCGCCCCTGTTAGACTCGCCTGCCGCGTATACGCGAGTAGAATGGATGCAGTACTTTTCCTGGAAATCGTCGAGCATTTCCATGGTGAATGCTATGTTGTCGACATCTGCCGAATGAGGGTCCCCTTGCCGTTCTTCCTGTATGTGGGATAATACTATCATAGTGAGAACGACATACATCCAGTCCAGTCCCTGCGTGTGGACAAGAATAGCAGCTGTTTTCCAATTTGCGTTGCTGGATTACGACAACTTCTCCTGGCCTTCGGCTGTTTGCCCTCATCCGTGGAATGTAAATATGAGCCGGGCCGGTTTGTTCACATCACAGTTGGAAGGAATGTGGATCCGATAGAATCGCTGAATACCATCTGATGTGGTGGAACTGACGTTAGGGTTTGGGTTCGGGGATAAGGGTCGTCCGCAACTTAATGAGCCGGCGACACTGGCGGTAGTACTGAAAAACCCCAATAGGTGCAATGATATCAGTCAGGCAAGCATGTTCCCAGTAACCTACTGCAAGTAACGGATATGCGCTGTTTACTTTCCGAGATCTTCATTGCCGTCAGTTACTTTGTATCTAGGGCTTATTCTTTTAGGAAAGAAGGGTAACTCAATCTTAGTCACTTGCCCTGGTCTAAATAGATAGGGATAACATTGCATTAAAGTTTTCTGTATTGCAAATAGTGACCTAGGTTGTATTTATTGCGGTTTTTCAGTATATAAAAAGCAATAGGCAAACAACCGCCCTTTACTCTGGGTGTCAGGGCGAATCGCTCCCTTGAAGGAGTTCTTCCCTGCATTTTTTGGATCTCATTCATATGTATGTACTTTTCAATAATTGAAGACTAACACAATCGTGTGCGGGTCAGAAACAATAATCGAGTGATCGTAATACGTCGATATCTACCATGCAGATGGGTCGACATTGTCGACTTGGAAGTCTGTCATGCAGTACGAATACTATCCACATTCACGTATAGGCTCTATTCCCTGGAGGGTCCCAGTGAACTGGAGAAAAGGAAAGGAATGGATCGTTCTCTTAAAAACACGTGTCCATGCAATGTAGATCCAGACTAACTTTACATCAAGTTAAGCCATGACACGTCACCTACCTCGGTGTATGTCAGGAATACCTCAGCTGGTGGATTTAAGCATAGAAGCTTGCAAATGTAAGAAATATCATTTCAGACTGCGATAGGTCAACCTCGTGTAAATACGTTTTCCATGGCATTACAAATTGACACTCTACTTGCAATCCAACGATCGATAAATGTCAACGAAATCTATACTATTCTCTTGCTCTTCGGGTGTTTATCTAAATCTATATATAACAAGCCCTGAAACCTCCGATGAACTGTTTCTCCGTATGCAAATGAGTTTAGATAATTGCAGCAAATATAGATCAACCTAAGATTGACTTACTGAGGATACCGAAAAGGCCGCTCACAATATGATCAAACAGAAGTAATCAGACCAATAGGCTCCCCGCAGACACGTCTTAGTTTGAGGATCATCCCGATAGTTCAGCTCTCCGACCCACACCAACGTGCAGAATAAATTTCACTATTGATTGCACTATTGAGTGATTTTCTCTATTGGTAGTTAGGCCAGCAACCGTAGTACCAAATCATTTCTCAGTGCAAGAATCAATTTTGGACTAGACATGATGTACAACATCTATCTGTCCCAATACGTTGCACCTACCATTGGGTTATGCGCGATAAAACTAGGGAGCAACTGTAGGTATTTGCTCCACCGTCCTAGGATGTACAATCAGTATGTAGTGTGCTTCTTGACCTAAACGAAGCTAACAATTCCACAGATCACAGCTCCGGGAGGAGTTGCGGGCCCTTCGTTCACTGCCATCGGAACGTGCCCTACCCTAATTAAGTGATCTGTTGGAGAAGGAACAGGGATTATGGCCATATCAGGAACTCATCTGCTGCTATCAGACTCTCTGGAGGAACCTGCCCGAGTCAGTCCGGGATGGCAAAAGCGCAAACTGGAATTCCATAATACAGCGTACCCGCCAGCGGATCAACGATGTCACCCCCTCGATGTCTCAGCTGATACCCTCGGATTCATCACAGCCGGCACTGATGGACCCGGAGTCCCACAGAGAGATATCATATACCCTAGTTCAGGAGGTAGTGAAGGCGTTTGACCTTGGTTTAGAGTGTTCGCATAGAAAGCCACGGGTGGTAGTTGTTCTGCCCAATGGCCCTTGCCTCGCCTTGGCTGCTCTGGCCGTAGCAAACCGCTACACCTTCGTGCCGATGACTAGCGCAGTAGCACCTGATCAGCTCAAGAAGGATATAGAGGCCGTAGAAGCAGACGCGGTCCTGATCTTGGACAAGGATGTGCAGAAGTTCGGCCTCAAACTGGACCTGTCCATCTTCGCTGTCCATATCCAAGAGGACCTGACCATCACTACATCCTGCGTGAAGCGATCAGATAGAGCAGGTTGCTCCCGCGCAAGCCCAAATGGTCCGGAAGACCTTGCGATGGTCTTGTTTACGAGCGGCACTAGCGGTAAGAAGAAGCTTGTTCCAATCACAATGATGAACCTGCTGGCGAGCGCAATCTTGACGGGGGAGAGCTTGGGCTTGAATGCTACATCTCGCTGTCTCAATATGATGCCCCTACATCACATGTAAGTGCCAGTGAGGTAGAGTGGTAACTAGCTAATACTGACCCTCATATGCACCAGTGGGGGCCTAATTCGAAGCGTTTGGGCTCCTTTATTTGCCGGCGGAACAACCATCTGCTGCCCGTCTTTCGATCCGACTCAGTTTTGGACCGGTGTCAAGGATTGGCAGCCAACCTGGTACTATGCCACGCCGACTATGCACCAGATGATACTAGCACAAGCCAAGTACCACGCGGACACTGTGAATCAAAGCTCGATCCGTTTCGTTTGCAATGCCGGTGGGGGCTTCCTCCAACATTAGCAGAGCAGCTCCACAAACTATTCAAGTGCAATGTGTTTCCTAGCTATGGGATGACGGAGTGTGCACCCATTGCAGCACCACCACTAAGCTACAATCTTGAGCGAATCGGGTCGTCCGGCCTCCCCGCCGGACCGGATCTGGGAATCTTAGATATCAGCCAATCTGAGCAGCGCTGCCCTGCAGGTACTATAGGGAGGATATGTGTTTGACGACTTCCAGTTTTTCCTGGATATTTAACAGCCCAGGGAATCAATAAGGGCTGTTTTGATACATTTGGCTGGTTCGATACAGGGGACCTCGGTTATATGGATGAGGCAGGCTATCTGTATGTCACAGGCCGCAGTAAAGAAGTCATCAATCGTGGCGGAGAAATTATTTCGCCTATAGAAGTTGACGATGCTCTCCTGTCCGCAGCAGGTGACGCGTCAACCATCCTGTTTCGACGCATAACAGAAGCTCTTGCCTTTTCCATGCCTCATGAGGTGTTCCAAGAGGTGGTAGGGGTCGTGATAGTCACAGCCCCGGGAGAGAAGCGGCCAGACCTTCGCCAACTCCAAGAAGGTTTGAAAGGCCGCCTCGAGCAACCCAAGTGGCCTACAATTGTGGTTTACATGGACCAGGTTCCAAAGATTGGGAACAAACTTTGTCGTATCGGGCTGAGCGACCGACTTGGCCTAGAAATGCTCACAGATAAAACACCTACGGCTCAATGCCACTATGAAGGGCGATTTTCCCAGTCGGGGACCTCAGTAAGGAGATGTTCAATATGTCCCGAGTTAGTGAAAGCTCGAATTAAGCAGGTTTCCGGAGTATCTGATGTTCTTATACGGCCGAACCCCTTGGATGGGTTTCTTCATGCTATTCTCTTCGATAGCCCATCGCATTTTATGCCGCCTGAAAACATTATCACCAGTTTCCAAACCCGTCTGGATGGATACCTTATACCAAGCAGCATCAGGGTTCTTGAAGGGCCTATACCACGAAAGGACGATGGATCTATTGATAACGCTATGGTAGATGCTCTAGTGCAAGCTACGAATGATGCCTCCCTATCCCCTACTGAACGTCGTGTCTGCGGTTTGTTCTTTGAAGTGCTTCAATGCCCCGCGACTAGCCTGGGCTCGACAAGTGAATTTTTCAGCTGCGGTGGTGACAGTATGACAGCTGGTCGTCTAGTCTCTCGGCTCCGCCAGGATTTCCGTATCCACCTCCCGGCCGACATGGTATTCCGGCACAGCACCGTTGGCGAGATCAGCGACCTCATTGATACGGCCGGCGCTGAAGCAGCATCCAAAGAAGCAGGACCACAGGAATATCCCGGCTGTCGCGAAACTTACTGTTCTACTAATCCAATTGTACTGATGCTTAACCTGCTCCCCATCGGCATTTTCTATCCAATGCTCCAATCCCTCAATTGGACGCTATTTATTTACCTGATGTCCGAAACCTCATCACGTTGGCCGCTTCGTGGCTCTCTCATGGGCCGCTTGCTCCATATTGTCTTAGCCAGACTGGCAATACAACTTTTCGTGGGCATCTTTTGTCCACTCCTAGGAATTGTGTTCAAATGGCTGGTTATTGGTCGCTACCGTGCTGGGATGTATCCGATGTGGGGACCATATCATATGCGCTGGTGGTTGACAGAAAGCACTCCAAGTGTGCGGAAAGGTAATCCTCAATCAATCGCGTTGGAACATCTTCAGATGTGATATTAATTTTTTCAGTAGGGTTTCTTCAACGGACACTACTGGAGCCGAGTGCTGTATTATCGAGCCTTAAGCGTACGAATTGGCAGCAATGTCCGTATTCACGAATTAGCTTCCCTAGGCGAGTCTGACTTGATTTCCCTGGGGACGGCGTGACATTGGACCATTGTGTCTGTCGTCCCTTTGCTGCAGAGCGCAACACGTCTATGCTACTACAGCCTATTCAGATCGGTGCTTACTGCACCGTTGGCTTACGGGCGGTCCTCGCACCGGGTTGTAGCCTTGCGCCAGGAACATGCCTCGGTCCTAATACTTCTAGCTGGGAGACAAAGGATGCAGGGGAATTCAACCGGGACTTGGCGTCTGCAGAAATCCCCAAGCCACATTAGATCTGGTACCCCTTGCTCGTTGAACCACTTAGACTTCTAGTAGGGCTTGCCGAGAGGTTGCCAATGCTAGCCGGAATTATCCTCCTCGTCAACCAGCACCCAAATCCGATGGAGGAAGATACTTTTAAGCGCCAGGTATTTTGGTTCGCTGATTCAGCCCGACTGGGCCAATATATCCTTGTGAAAGCGTACGGTGCCGTCGTGGGACCTTTCGCTTGGTTTCTAGCCGTGCTTTTCGTCAAAGGGGTACTTGATGTGTTCTGTGGACGCCCACGGCCTGGCCCTTACAAACATATGTCCCAGCGCCAGAAGCTGAGGAGTGCGGTTCTCGATCGTGTCTTTCCGAGGGGTGATCTCAGTCGACTCACTCGTATCATCGGAACACATTATGAGCCATTCTCTATTATCGTGCGAATGCTTGGCGGTCGTATTGGTGAGCGCATTTACTGGCCCATCTGTGAACTGACCATGATTGAAGATTACGATATGCTAGAGATAGGCAACGATGTGGTGTTTGGCTCCCGGTCCTCTATGATGACGGCGGATGGGATTGGAAGAGGGCGCATTGTTATCGGGGACGGAGCATTCGTGGGGGACCGTGTCGTTGCTCTTCCGGGAGTCACAGTCGGCAAGCGCACGACGTTGGGGTCCGGAGCTTTGCTACGTCGTGATGGAGAATATCCCGATGATACGGCCTGGGCGGGGAGTAGACATGGTGATGAGCTGAGGCCTCGTCGCAATCACAACCGACGAGTTGGGAATACATCTGAGAAACACAGTATTCATGACGATGACACTAGCACACCATTTGGGAGGGCATTCTATGAGGGCCAGGCAAACTACCACGTTTTGGGTATTTGGTCAATCTTGGGCTACTTAACTTTGGTAGCCATTGTGGTAGCGGTGTATCCTACGGTCAGTGTCTTGACTGGTCTCCTAGTCGTCCGTCGTCTGCTCCGGATAGGCTTCTCTGGATTGGAGGCAAACTGGTGGCGCCCTCTCTCCTTCTACGGGATCTTTACTTTAGTAATAGCAGTGATGGTTCTCCTACAAACCCTTGCAGTCGTGGGGATTACCATCGCTGCTAAATGGATGCCCTTGGGACAGCGGAGGGAAGGGTATTATCCCTGGGATATGAGCAGCTATTCCCAGCGCTGGCAGATTATGCTCGCGATCCAAGAACTCATCGATCAATATCCCGGGAACATTGGAGTCTTAACCCTCATCTCTGGCACCGCATATCTGCCAGTCTTCTATCGGGCAATGGGAGCAACTGTGGTAGTTCCTGGTTACACCTCATTTATGAGGCCTCTAGATGAGTGTGACAGGTAGTCTTTTTTAACCAATTCAATCGACCTATCAGGGAGTCTTATCTTTTCATCCTTTCCACAAGACTTTTCTACCTAGTTTATATGAAAGACATTGAATGAATAAAACACAATCGCACCGCCGAAGTTAAAAATTATCTCATGAATATATGATTGAGCCTTTACTTGCAGTAAGTTGACACGCGAATGATTCTTATTCACTAAAGCATACTTATATTATGTATTTGAATATCCAACGGGAGAAAGATAGGAGCCATTTGGCTGCCAACTCAGGTTTAGGGGCTGCCATTTAGTCTGTCGCATCATTCAAAGGTGTCTATGTGAAAAGTCCAACACCATCTGTCCCTCTTATGTTGAAGCGGTTTCTGTCTTGTTTAGATAATCTGTCCCCAATGCGAAAGGACTAGCGAAGGCATCACCAAAGACAGAAAGGAACAAAGATAGATGCGCATAGGAGGGTAGCAATATGCCAATGAGAAAGGAAGGGCAAGCGTCGCAGCTGTTCATGACATTTAAGCCCATAACATACTGAACAAGGCTATAAAAATATTACAAATCCCCATAGCTAGCATATCGCATCTGCGTGTGGGTCTTTGATAAGCATAATTTGCTAGAGTTGAGCCGAACAGTAGCAGTGGGAAAGATACTATGCAAAGAAGTTAGAAGAGTGGCTATGTAGGAGTTTATACTAAGAGATAAGTATTCCTTACAGCTTGTGAGATGTCCAAAAAGCCATACAACAAGAGACCAAAGCAAGAACGCAGCTGAGCCGTAGAGTACCCCTATAGTAATACGCAAATTAGTATAGCGCTTGCTTACTATTCCCGTTGGCGTAAAACATAACTTACAGCTACAGATACTTCCAATATATGACTGCTCCCAAGCCTCTTCTCTATCTTCACGGATACTTCGAAAAAGACATAAACCTATATCCACTCCAAATATCTCTTGGAGATATTGTAATGTTGCATCATGAAGTTCAGAACCACGCCCTAATCGCCAAGACCGGGCAGCTTCTTCTGCGAAGGTATGACCGGTTTTATGTTTGGATGTGAGGGTCTGTATAATATATCTCCGGACGTGTTCTGGGCAAGCAGATCGATCAGGGATTCGGGCCATTTTCACTAGGAAATAGAGACTGTAATGGATGCGCGGTGTTGTTTGTTTTCGGGGAGGGTAAGAGCTGAGGCAGAGGTCAGAGGTCGTCGATCTAAAGTGGATTTAATGTATTTATACGGCGGACTAACGTAGTATTCAACTTTTCACCTTAACCTACCTAGGCTAATAGATTGTATACCTTGGACTAACCTGGGCCGGTTAGTTAGGTTAGGTTATGGTATTAATAAGGCAATTTTATAGTTAATAAACATAGTAGGATTAATACTAGATCAATTATAGTTAGCTAAGTTTACTATTTACTATATTAAATAAAGATTAATAGACTTAGTAGTTACTAAATACAGCTTATCTAAGTTGACTATCTAATTTTTGGCTTAACTGTAGTTAGATATAGAAATTCTATTAACCTAGCCATACGCCAGTCTAGAACTACTTTTATTATCCCCCTTAACTTATCTATCTTCAGGGTTTTAGCTATATAACTCATAGATATTATTCCTGCTAATATTCCTACCTCTGGATATAACACCTGCGTTTCCTTTTTACATAGTCTGATGGGTGTCAGCTGTGGGCCTATATACCCCTATATACGGGACTATTCTGTTTTAGATAGCTTTAGACTTGATAACAAATCGGGAAATCAAGAAGCTTTGAGAATAAGAAATTATTGTAAGAGACATAAATATGGGCCGGCAGTCCTTGATATCTCCTAATATATAGATATAAGGTGTAGAAATCTCCAAGTACTCGCTACATCTGATGTACCCTCCTTCATCAAGTTCCACCCCAGCAGCTCGAGCATTCAATCACTCTGTATTCGGAACCCGGCCAGCCGCGAACAGCATATGTGTAATGCCTTCCAATAATCTGATCTCCGCCAATTCTTCTACTACTTCTATATCCGCGCTCAGGAGGAGCTGCCCTCCTTTTACACAATTGAAACAATAGCTCCCAGCCTTAAAACAGCTGCGTAAACTTCACCTCAACATACCTACTGCGTGCAACAACGAAGTACCTCGGGCCCTCCCCCAACTCTAGCGCTAACATCGAACCCAACACCTGAAATGGATGGGCACAGACATATTGTGAGTTACGGTGGTATAAATTGGGAGTTTAAGGTAGATGAAGGACTTATAGAGGTTCAAGCGGAAGAACAAATAACAAGGTTACACTGGTCCTGGCTACAGGATATTTTTATGCAGGAAACTCCTTGGGTATTTGCTAGTCGGAAAGGTCGGAATATACATATATCGTTACCTCGTGTCTGGGCTCCGGGATGGAGTGGCTGGACTGGTGTTGACTTCTGGTCAATGTAGTGACTACCGCTGGAACCGATCGGTAGCTCTGATAGGGCCTGGCCAAAGCCGAAGACTTTTAACTCTCCGTGCTATCGTTATTCAGATATAATCTGTTTTATAGAACATAATTTGGTGAATAGTTCAATCCGTAGGCTGTTTGGTTAAAGCTATCATGATTGCGTCAATCACGAACTATGCTGGACGGCTTTGGGACTTCGACTTAGGTCCTTTTCTCCTTTTTTTCCGTATCCTTTAATGTATTATGGCAGAACGGTTCAATTGCGTCTGTATAGTTTACCAATGCATTATGTCTATGAGAGAAGCCCCGTCTTGAAAGGCATCGTAGGACGTTAAGACCTTTATATCAGCACAACAGACGTGGCTTACGTACCTTATACATGAAACAGAAATACATTATACGTGCATTCAATATCGCTGAACTTTACGCGCTAGGTTCAAAAATCGACACTCCGTAATACAGCGTCATAGAGCTCGGGATGATAATGTAACCTACCACCTTGTCATTACAAACCAGCGCCACTAGAACGATCCGCTTCGTCTGTTGACTTGTTAAACCGTTTTAAGCTGTAGTAGGGTAGTCCCATGGATACTGAAGTGGATCTGATATCCCCACGCGTAAATTGTTAATTTGCTGTGCTCAATCCCCTAAACTCCCTTGTCTATATGATGGCATAATGCATGCCATGCTACCCAAGCACAGTTCTATACAAGCGGTGGGTAGAACACTATGTGCGCAATTGAGTTAAATGCCTTATGTCCGAGAAGATCACTATATGGTAGTACTTAATATATATCGTTGACGTCAAATCGTAGGTTCGACAATAGAATGACAGGCCAAGTGGAGACTTCCGGACGGAGCTGGAAGGAGCTGATGGTTGCATCCAACCAATTCAGCGGAAGGGACGTGCCGTGGGTGTGTATCCAGAGCATCCCGATCGTTTTCTCATCGTTAATTGGAGAACCACAGAACGGGCACCGCATCCTAACTCCAAGCTGGCCCGCCGATATCCGTTAAGGTATCTGTCATTTACACCACTTATATACCAGTCTCAGTAGGGCATGATAGATAAAGCCCTGAATGAGGCTGCATTCGGAAGCTACTCCTACCCTAAGAATGACAGCTTGACTATCGAACACAACTCTAGCTTCATATTTGTCCTTGGAAAGTGCTATTTTTCACGTCAGTAGTGTGTCATCATCTTGTGACGGTATCTTGAAGTTCAGGGTTTCGTTAAAGTTGAAACGCAGGCCGATCAGAATTCAAAAATATATAAACCCCACGCTATTCTCCTTCTCTCCCCAAAGGTGTATATTCCTGGAGCAATCGTCCAAGAGCAATATTCCCATACCATAACTATCACTGTCCGTTGATCACCCTTTATACACCGAGTTTACTCGCCTACCATGCATTTTGTCAAGAGTGTAGCACTTCTTGTCATTCCGTCTGCCATGGCCATGTCCGGTCCGATTCTCGTATGACCTCCCACACTATCTAGTGATAAAGACGCTTGTCAAAAACATATATATTGATTTGCGAGACTGATAGGGATTCGGCTTCCGTGATGACGAATGTCACGATCCGGTTGGTCCCATTGAGAGCGGAGAATGCTTTCGCACCGACTACATAGAGTAAGAATCCGTGTTATGAGCTCCGAATTCCAGTGAATCATACTAATGTTGATATCAGGTCATATGCGCTCAATGTTCTGTCTGGGTGTTCGTTTTATTAGTAAGATTTACACTGAACGCATTGATGACAGCACAATGTACTAACCCCCTATAGTCGCAGCAGCGAATGTGAAGGCCCACACAGTGCGATCCCTCAGCACCCAGGTTGCTACCCAGCCAATTTACCGGGCAAGCCTTTTTCGATCAAGTGTAAGCCACTCGAACAGTAATCATTAACATGGTAAGTTTAGAATCCCACCTCGTCGCGTTAAACAGATTCCTGATGCATATGTACAGAAGCTCTTAAGTGGATCCCCTGGAAAGGTGAAGACAAAAGAATAAGAGATATAGGAAAAGGAAACGAAAGACTCGAACCATTGCTCATACAAGTGGTAACACGAAGCTCATACCGTCACATCTTCGAGGGTGTCCTGTTCATTTTTCAAACACCTAATGTTTAGTTATTTAGTAAACACCTCGGTCTAGGTTTTCCCTATAGGCTATAGGTTTTCCTATACTGCTATGCGAATGCAGAGGTTATATTTTGTCAACTGTCGCGGTTTTGCTTCTAATGCAGGGAGATTATTTGGTAGCTAAGCTATATCCTATGGATTCCATAAAAGTTTAAGATGAATAGGGATTAGTGATATGTAACCGCAGTAACTCCATATAACAAAACTCTCTAAAACTGACCCGCATTGACTAACGCTGAACCCAGGGGAGTGTAGCATTCTAACATGTATGTTTGGCCAGTGCATTGTGGATAACGTATGAATTTCGGAAGCATGTATATTTGCTCGAGAGCGAAAGGAGTCAGCAGGATAAAGCAGTAAGTGTGCGGCCAAGAAACAAAAAACATATTGTATGTTAAATTCACAATCCTTCACCCCAAGAAAACGGATTAAGGTAACATCTCCCGATATACTTGTTCGTTATTTCCCAACACCAGTACAACCATGCTAATGTACGAGGCGAAATGATGTGGTCACACATTTGGCCGGCCGTATTGTTATATAGCGATGCTACAACCAAGAAAATATAAGCAGCTATACTCCGCGCTGATATGTAGCATAATTGGACGATGGCCTGAGATTCGATCGGAAGCAGACAGGCCAGTAGATGATGGATAAGGCTGATATAGTACCGGTATTGCACCGAGGGGTGAGGGTGGTGGGTCACGAACCGATCCATGAATGTATCCGCTGCTGATGTACGGAGGGAGGATACTACTATGTGGAGTATCTTGGATTTCCAGCCCATATGAATTCTGGCCCCTGGTTTTGTAGCCTTATGCAGAGTCTGCCCGGCGGTGGCTAATATTTAATCCACCAGCGAGTAATCTGATATAAACAAACGGCAAGACGATTCATCTGAGTTTGTGGGTCTTGCTCTTGTCTCTGTGGAAAACGCAGCTTGAGGACTATCATACTGTGGGAAGGAAGTATAGAATCGTGGAGTGAGAGGCTGAATTGCCAAAGTTGGTTGTGAGCTGGAGGCAGTACAAGCCGGGGAGTAGAAAGTCATGTCATCGAAGTGAATTGACTTGGGCGGGATATATTTGATAGATACAGGGAAAGAGGTGTGAGATGCTAGCTCAGACAGGTATTGTCGGAAAGGAAGTTCGAGAGCCCTGGTCGGATGTTAGATATGGAGAACAGTACATGGGAACAGCATACTCACCTCTCAACATCCGTTTCCTTTCGAGGAATACTCCCTGGTCTAACTTCGGGTCTTTTCAGGTAGGTGAGTCTACCTCGTAGTGGAATCCGGAGCGCTTCTTTGACAATTCGGGGTGCAGAAACAGCTCCAACGTGCGTCCAACGTGCAATGAATCTCGTTATAGTCCAGCCTGGGGCTTTCAATGGGTCTACCGGCTTCCCCCAGGAAGATGGACGGGTGATTACTTTCACTTGGCCATCCGGGGTATTGGAGCTCAGGTTGGATTGGAGTGATGGTCCAACCACGGGGTCTATTGACTTTGATGCCATTAATCAGCCAACCTTTTCAAAAGGTGAACCGAAGATATCTTTCTCCCAGGTACCTTTGTATTGTTTCGACCTTGGTAATGATGGCGAAAAATGAAGGGACACTGCAGGATGGTGACCCTTCGTTGACGCTGTCACAGTCGTTGACCCATTATCAGCATCGTCAACAGACTGACCATCTCCGGTTACCCGGAAGAAGAAATTTCTTTTCTCAAAAAAAGAATTGTTGATCTCCATGATCATGGCAGTCAATTCCCGATTCGATGAATATAAATACCAGTAGTTAATAGCGCTTTGCTGGAACCATAAGAACCGTGGTACGCTAATAAGATATGCGTAAGGAAATTCCTTTGGATCTTCGCCCTAGTAGCTAGCTATCAGTACTGTGTCCCGACCATCTGATGTAACTCCTACACACCACTGATTCCAGGAAGACATGTAATTTCTCTTCTAGGCTGCGGTCGCCGCTACCACGGTCAAGGTAATAAGTCGTATCGATAGTGAACCAACATTTTTTCCCAACATCGTTCCCGTCCAGGTAGATTGTCAATGGACAGAAGATTCCCGACGTGGCCACGAAGCCCAACCGGTATACCGATCAGGGAATAATCGTACCAGTAGTTGCACCTCTCTGTCTCGGGGAATCTGCGCGTGAGTGAGTCTAGATGGAAATAGAATTGGCCTTCCTATGAAATCTCTCTGGATATCTAGATTAAGCAGGATAGGCTCTCTCCATAGAAATGCCGCAGGCATCAGCGAACAAACAAGGGAACCTATCATAGTCACTGAAACTATCAGAGAGAGAAAGATGAAAATCATCATTTTAAGGGTGGACCAATTAAGTATAAAGCCACCTGTGGTGTGTGGGAGATGGTTAACAGTAAAACAGCACATCAGGAACGGTAGAATACAACACAATCAAGAGAAGTGTGTGAGTGAGCGTAGAGTATTTATGATTTAAAGAGGGCAGTAATCAAGTAGCCTTATGATGGCCAGTTAAGATAGGGGTGTCTCTCGGACTCGACTTATACGTTGAATGCCATCAAAATCCCGGATTTCAGGGTGTATCCTGTCCAAAAACTGGAATATTGAGACAGGCTTTATACGTCAGTCTCCTTGATAAGTCCCTGTTTCGCTGCGTAAACCACACGTGCACCCCTCTTCATCCCTCCTCCGCGGCTATTTTCATATTTGTACAGAGGTTGGGTACCGATGTGTTCCGGACAACTTTAAACCCCAGAATTCAAGGTTCTCCCTGTGAAGCTTGCTGATGACAAGAAGCAAGAGGCACCCTCATAAGCGGAGGGACAGATTTAGCAATACGCACCACGGCATCAACTATTCTTACGCTACTCGTTTTCTGTTTATTTATCCTCCTGTTAGTTGAGTTGAGCAGTGGTGACAAGTGGACAAGTTACTTGTCCAAGTATTCTCCACTGGAGCCTCTACTGTCCATGGTGCAGAAGACTAACTGAAGGAGTGATTGAGTCTAACTGAGTGTATGATCGAATATAATTTATGGAAGAATAAGTCTAGGCAGCGATAGCAATGTCTCATAAAATGGGGATCTGATCTGGCCGGGCGGCAATGCTCGGGGGAGAAATTGATGTATAAGCTACCCACCGGATATCATCGGGTGAACAGACACACTCCCCGCAGCCCTAGTTACAAACCTGCCCGAGTCCAATATCTAGGTGGCCAATGCTTATTACGAGATCTATGCTAGACGATGATCTCATAGAGGCAAAACTTGTAAAAAGTCGGTTTAAGCCTTAACCTGCGGCTTCCGAACCATACAATACAGCTAGAAAATTAGCATAACCCACAAGCAAAACAGACACCAACTTACCTTGCAAGCATCATTCCCATCCACACAATCAATCTCCGTAACCAAGTTAAAACCCAGTTTCTCGTAAATTATGATATTCGGAACTCCCTTCGAGCTCTCTAAATAACATGGCATGCCATCCCGATCCGCCTGCTGCGTGACAACCTCCACCAGCTTCCGGCCCAGCCCCATCCCGCGCATTTCCGAGCTCACAGCCAAGACATTACAGAAGTAATACCCGCGCGGGTCGGTCCAGACTACGTCGTGGGTTTTCCGCTGCATCTCCTTCCACATGTAATACCGGTGGAGATTGAGGCCACCGCGTCCGCCGAAGCGTACGTTGAAGAGGAATTGGCGAAAGGAGAGGAGCCAGTCCTGGGCCCAGACGGACCAGGACACGGGCTTGGAGGCCGGTTGGGGGGAGAACCACCAGCTGACGCCGACGACCGAGCGAGGGTGCTTATCACTGATAGGGACCTTGGCGACGTACATCGGGGTCTTGCAGTTCAAGCCATATTCGAAGTGGGCGGCGAGGGAGGCGGCGTTCCGGTGGATATTGTACTATTTCATGATCATGCGTTTAGGGTCTATACAGGCTTTCTTTCTTTTTTTTTTCTCTCTATAGATGGGATTCGAGAGAGAGAGACATAGATTGGTAATTCGAAACTTACTTCTGAAGAATCGAATAGCCAGTGGAAATACGGATCGTCGGCAAACGCCGTTTGGACACATTCTACGGCCTCAGGAATGTCCTGTTTGGTCATGGGGACGATCTGGAGCGCCATATTGGAAGTTTTGGATTCGGCTCTAGCAGTTCTGATTCAATTCCTACTGTGTCTGCGAATGGGCTGGGATAACGCGATGGTATAAGAGTGCGAATGGCGGCGAAGGGGGAACAAGGACAGCGCCATCTAAGGTCGACGAGCCACGCAGGATAGAAAGGTCGGACTGTACGACGATAGGGGGACGGATACGAGGCGGAGAGAGGAGATGCAATACAGATGAGCAGCTTGTGGCGGACTTGAGACCTTTGATTTTTCTATCCCTTTGCTCCGGTGCATGACCAGGAATCCTTATAAGAGCACACCTCTCACATAGCCTTTAGCCCTTCCTGGCAGTTCGACGCGGATGCTTCGATTGTACATACAAATCCCACCCTGACCAATCAACGCCCCTGGCAATGATCATCCTGCCAAGCCGCTAGGCGATATTAGGCAGGTTCTGCCGTTATCTGCCATCAGCTGATCACTTATCATGCACCTTTGGCTGCCTCAGGCTCACTATTGGGAATGTTGATGGATGATCGGTGTCGACGCAACTGAACGTCGAACATGATTAGTTCTGTGTCACGGCTGGACTCTGAGGGTCTCGCATCATCAGCACGAATGTGATCTGGCCGGTACCACCGTATGGCGCATAATCGATCACAAGTCTGTCCACTTCGTGCCACCCGTACTTGCGATAGAGCGGGTATCCCTCAACAGTGGCCTCAAGATAGATTCGCGCATTCCGGGCATCAGCGCGTTGAGTCCCCCACTGTAGTAGTTTGCTACCGATCCCTTTTCCTTGGTATTCGGGCGAAATGGCTAGAATATCCAAAACTATCGTTTCGGGGTGGTATTAGTCAGACTATTACAGAACAAGCTTCACGTAATGTGGGGAATGTCCCCAAGCAGCCAAGAAAGGGAATTGAAACACAAGGCGACAAATTGTAAGGATCCACGTACTCATATCATCTTTGTTGACATTGGCTGCCCTTTTCTCTTTCATCAGCTTGAAGCTCAGTTCCCAGATATCTTCTCTCATCTCTTTCGGTCTCAAACTTTTCGCATTCTCCACCATCACCCTGCCCGCCTCGGATAACTCGACTTTACTTTCTTCCCAGGGGATTGTCCACCGGGCATACCCCACTACCCGATCGACACTGGTATCCACTGCAGAGAAGACATGAATATCAGGGGACGCCATTTTCTCAAGACAGCGAGCCTGCTTCATCGGGATACAGACCTCGGGGTCGATTCCCGGCAAAGCATTTAGCCACATTTGTTGATTTCTAAAACTGGCTATATTAACACCACCAAGGGCGACCGCCTCAGCCTCGGTGGCGTAGTGGACGTCAATATTGTTCGTCATCTTGTACCGATTCAGCTGTGCCGTAACTCCAGGAATTTGCTTGGAGAGAGACCGCTGCAGGTTTATGCTAGGGGCTCAAAGCCCGTTGATAAATAAGGACGGCGCCAAGGGACCGGGCACCCGTTTAAGTAATAAATGAACCTCGGCCGTGAGTCACTCACCATAGTTTAGCCGGTTCGCTAGTACAGGACAGAGAAATCGCTCACTGTCTAAGCGTTACATCGTGTTGTTGTTTGATTATGGCTGTCAGCCTGTTTACCATCACGTGTGCCGTAGACCCTAATGAACATGCCTTGTAAGTGAAAACCAAAGTCGCTTGTGAATTTCCAATACTTTCGTTCCATCGCGGTCATAGTCTATATACAGCAATCAATAGTATTTTAGATATTAGGCCCACTTGCCCAACACACCCATCAGGACCATACCGGCTATCAAAGCCACTCCCCCCACCAACACTCTAACCAAGGGCGCATCCAGCAACTCGCCTCCTTCCATCACCCAGTCTCTCGCCCACATATCCACAACACCCACCCACACCAGAATACCAGCCGACAAAGCGTCCAGGGTTCCCAGTGCGATCAGGGTGCTCCTCTCGTTACCATTGAATGAGTGCAGCACCCCCATTCCGATCGCCATTCCGATCGGGGTAATCAGCGCAAAAGTACCCGCCATCACGGCTTTACTGGGGAAGATGCGGCCCGGAAGCAACGCAATGCGTGCTCCGAGGGCCAGACCTTCGAAGAACTGATGAAACACGATAACCACCAACAGGGTTTTGTAAAAGGAGTCGCCCGCGACAACCAGAGTCAGACCGATCAGGATACTGTGGAAAATCACACCTGCTTCCATCACCAGGACCGATAGCTTCGTGTTCGGGCTGGTACCGTCAGTACCATGGCTGTGGCTTAGCTGAGCGAGCTGCATCGTGCGTTGTGCTGTGTTTTCTTTCGGAGTTGCGGAGTCATTATTCGGTGGTGTGTCCTCGCAGCACTCCGGGGCCGATTTACTTGCGCGAGCGGCGATGAAGCGATGGCCGATGTATTCGGTTAGGAAGGAAAGGAAGATACCAGCCATCACGACGGCAGATGTGGTGGCTTCGTAGTCTAGCTCGCCGAGACATTCGTTCGTGAACATAAGGTTGGCATGGGTGTATAGCTAAGCACGATTAGCAGGTGTCAGAAAATTCAAAGAATGCCAGCCTCACATGAACGAACGCGGTGGACAGGATCACACCAGTACCAAATTGCTTGATAACAGTCGATGCCATAGTATTGATCGTGGGAAACGGAAGTTTGACCAGCAACATCGGCAGGAAGACCCCAAGGGCACTGGTAACAAGGATCACGAACAACGTTCCAATGCGCAGTGGCATATCATAGTCGCGACTCTGGCCACCGCAGGACGGCTGGCTCGAACCTTCCGACTCACCTGCACCGACACAGTGCCTATCTCTGTTAGCTTTTGTTGTTCTGTTCATGTATTGATGTCTTCGCAGAGAACATACTCAACCCCGGCATGGAAATGACAGTTTTGTTCGCCACTGGAGGAACTGCTGGAGTCGCTGCTATCACTGTGTTCGTCTCCGGTTTCTCCCTCTTCCAGAATCTGGACATCGTTTCCGTCTGTATCCATGCAGTACCTACCGTATGTGAGATATAGTCGAAGTCAGTCTGGGGGGTTATACTCACTGTGTGCCACCATGGGAGTGGCAACCAGTATACTGTGCTGGCAATTCCCCAGTCGGAGTTCCGGTCAACGATACCTGCACTTCGTTTCCTTCGCCATTAATGCAGTAGACGTCGCTACCATGGTTATGACAGCCCGTCACTGCGGATGACTGTGCCGACGAAGTCGTAGTAGCTGACACAGACGTGGCCGTCGCCTGTGCATGTGTAGTGATAGGGGTCTCTTCACCATCGGCTCCATAACAGTATTCCACGCTGCCATGTGTGTGACATCCCGAATAGGACTGCGCATGCACCACGCTGGCTGCAAGAGACGCCACAAACAACCCCCGAAGCATATTGACCATGTTTTTGTGATGTCACAGTTGCAAGTTCAACTGAAGAGAGGATGATGGGCCGAGAAATCAGTTCTTGATCAATTACTATTTATCCCTCCGTTCTCACAAGGTGTCGCCCCCATGCGATGACTCGCTTAGCAGGCAGTAATTTCGATTACTTGGAAAACTTCACCAAAGTCGGATTTCTCCGACACAACGGCGCGCTACTAATATTGCTTTGTGACAGAGATTTCCTCCTCCGCCGAGAAGCCTCGCGGGCTAACCCCCAAGGTAGCTGTGCCAAGCACGACTGTCTCCTCCGCCAAGAAGGTTCCAATCGCTATACCCGCCTTTATATTGAATCATATTGGACAAGACGAGACAGAACCACCGAGAATGAATACGGCTTGTTTCCCCCAAGGTCCTCTACCAAGACCTTGGCATCGGCCGTCCCTTCCATGCCCACGATGTCTTGGCATCATGGTTCATGCTGATATCCAACCATGACATGTTGTATGTGCATGTTTTAGTAAACACATGGGATGGTGCATTCTGTGCGTGTCAGGAGATGCTTGACAGATTCCTTCTCTCATGCCTTACGATCGCCTTCCATCCGGAGATGCTTTGCTGCAATTCCAGACATGGATTCTATGATCACAAGAGGAAAGCTTAACGACCTACAATGGCCATTCAGAGCAATATCAAGCTCAGCCGCAAGGTACCTCTTGGCACAACATGTCGCAATGGAGATACTCCCGAGAGATCGCTCTCAGCTATACCGAAATCTCTGAATACGATCCGTCAAAGCACTTGGCAACCGCCATGACAAGAACAGACAAGCAGTCCGTATCCAGAAACCACAGTATAAAAGCCCATCTATAGTCCTGGTCATGTAGGTTCATAGACTCCGCAGACTCCCTAAGTATCTTGTTAAACCCTAGCCACCATGGTAGCCCTCGTCCCCTTTCTCCTCCTATCCACCGTTGCGGCCATTCCTGCCCCCATCTCCCTGGCCACCCGCGACCAAGCAACCCCCCACGCCCCATCCCCCTGGGACGCCGGCGCAACAACCCAATACCCCATCCACCAAAGCTGCAACGCGACCCAGCGTCGACAGATCGAAGCCGGTCTCAACGAAACTATCGCCCTAGTCGACCACGCAAAAGCCCACATCCTCCGGTGGGGCAATGAAAGCACCATCTACCGCAAATACTTCGGGAACAGGCCCTCCTTCGAAGCCATCGGTGCCTACGACATCGTCAGCAACGGCGACAAAGCCAGTGTGCTGTTCCGATGTGACAACCCCGACGGCAACTGTGATAATGAAGGTTCGTATTCCCTCCACCCTTCCTCCCTTAGAAATCTCAACCCAACCTACCACACCCCATCCACCATACTAACGCCAAAGCTAAATACAGGCTGGGCCGGTCACTGGCGCGGTGAAAACGCGACCGCCGAAACCGTCATCTGCGACCTAAGCTACTCGACCCGCCGCTCGCTGACCTCCATATGTGCCCTCGGATACACGGTTTCCGGGTCCGAGACGAATACCTTCTGGGCGGCGGATCTGTTGCACAGACTCTTCCATATGCCTCCTATCGGACAGACCTGGGTTGAGCATTTTGCCGATGGGTATGGTGAGGTGCTTGAGCTTGCCGCTGGCAATAAGAGCACCTCGACTCGGGATTCCGAGACGTTGCAGTATTTCGCTCTTGAGGCTTATGCGTATGATATTGCCGCGCCGGGTGTTGGGTGTGTGGGTGAGTATGAGGAGAGTCAGGAAGAGGCTGAAGATGGAGCGGATGATTTGCCTGCGGTGAGTTCTGGTCTTGTCTTTGTTTCTGGGGGTGTTGGCTGATATGCTGTAGAATTGCCATACTCATGAGGGTGGCGAGGTGCACTGTACCTAGGTAATGGTGGTTGTGGACTCGGGTTGTGTGCCCGTGTAGTATTGAGTATAATGGACATCAAAGGGGTCCGTATGAACCAGATGGTATTGGTATAGGGTAATTGTACTAGGAGGGATGTTAATATCTGCTGCGATGGTATATTCACTAAGTCATTCTTTACGAATTATGAGTGCGGGAAAATTTCTGATAGAATACTATGATCTTTCTGACGCAAATAAAATGAAGCTCTGATGCACTTATTTTACATACATACATACATCAACCTGAAACACGTTGTTCTGTATATACCGTTAGATCCCTTTTCTTCTGTCAGAACATTCGAGTCATGAATAGCTTTCCCAATGTCGGCTGGGCCAATGTATAGTCCTCATTAATCTTCCCTTGTCCCATGTCCTGCCTGATTCCAACCCCAGTCCGATGCACCACAAGCTGAACCATCCTCCAGTGAAGAATAGCTCATGAGATTCTCATATACGTCGCACTATAGGGGTATTTAATTAGTAGTCATGCAGCAAACCCCCCTATGTAATCGTGCATTTCCGGAACCCCATCAATATATGCACCGAGTTTCCCCGACCGCCCAAGGAAATTCTTTACCTCCGTTATAGGGCTTACCTGTCGCTACTGCTCATTTACTAAATATATATACCGTGGTTAAACACCCTGGGTTGGTCAGGAGGTATAGAACAAAGTCAATGTTCTGCTGGATTGTGTACAATATACAGAGTCTAATCCTTCATTAAGGTCAAATTTTGGAACTTGGTATACCGTATACCTGCCTTGACGACGGGTGTCAAAAAGCCACGCCACATAATGTGGCCGATTTTCGCCTATAGCCGAGCCGTTTATAGAATATTTGTGATCCGGAATAGGCTCGAATTGTTCTCCCTTTCCTCGAGACCGGGAAACAATGGCCCTGGAAAGAATTCTTGTGATCCATGGACATCCCATTGTCACGACTCACTACAGGGGTGTCCATTGCGTCGATGCGTTCATACCAATTTGTTACACTGTCATTGTACCCAATGGGGGAAGTCGGAGGAGTAGGGGACAACGACAAGGGAACCATTAGGTACTGTGGATCATACATCTTGGTCAATCCTTCCGAAGTCCTGGCCGTGCTGTTCCCCTTTTGACTCGTCCTCTTGTCTACCGAATATATTTCAGTCTCCAATCGGTGGACCCTAACGTGTACATCCTGGATGCTCGTCCCCCCTCAGACAACGATGTGTGTGGATTCTATCGATCCGAGTCCTCAAGATTCGAATTACAACTGCGTCTAGACTATTTAGGATATAGCCAAGTGTTCCAGTCATTTCCCTTTCCAATTGCTCTGGTAGCATTAATAAGGGCTATGCAGCTTGACTGACTTCCATCTGATATCCCACCAGTCGATAATTGAACATCTCGAAGTTCCCCGGTCTCGACCTCCGTCTCGGGAACGATACTACAAAAGTGGGTAAATAAGGCGCAGCTGCAAGATATAAAAGGGTATCAAGTTCTTTCCAAGCGTGCAGCAGAATAATAATAAAAGAAGCATCCTCATCCTCAATCCACATTTCCTCAAGGTTAAGACAGTCAATCCAATCAATACTCAAACCTTAGTATCTCCATTCATCCTTTACAAAATGAAGTTTCTTGCCAGTGTCCTCGCGCTCACGACTATTGCTGGGGTATCCGCCGTGCCTACATCCAACAGTGCCACTACAAACACTGTCACCAGTGGCAAGTTCACCTACAGTGGTCAAGGAGTCGTACGTCCACACTATCCCCCCCCCCCCCCCCCGGAATATAGGTCCCAAATTTAAGTTGACTTGATATTATCAGGATTTCGCGGTTCAGTGCAGTGGTGGCCTTACCCCACCTCATGCAGATTGTCAACCTGGGAAATGCCAATGCAATGGGAACTATGGCTGCTGGTCTTGCAATGGTGGACGCATGCAGTGCCAGCCTGGACCGGGCTCTGGAAGTTGCTGGGCCTAGTTTGGCTAGTGTATCTAGCTTTATATGCATATATCCACTGGTTATTATGTATGTTTGTGGTCGAGAAGTATGTAGATGAGGGTAGGGTGGTGAACGGTGTTCACGATAAGTGCATTCGATGAGTTCCTGAATTTGTCGACTGCATTCGGAACAGGTGGTGCCTCGGTTAAGACTAACGAGGCGAGAGGGGAGGATAGAAATAGAGTGTTATAACTGTATTGGCAGTGTAGATTGTGGATTTCAAAAGCGAGGTTAAAAAAATAAAAGTAAAAATATTAAAAAATTAAAAAACTGGTATGTGGGTGCTGTACCCCCCAGGTAAGAAATTCGTTCTCACTGGATTTACATTTTCATAGACTTTCTACGCAAGAGGGACCTTCATCTCTCCTGGAGTAAGGTGGAACAAAAGTAAACTGGTAACATAGGTCCATTTGGTGTCTCTCCAGCCGTCATGCTTTGACGAGGTCATCCAACCAGTCCAGTTAACCACTAGCGCCGTGCCAGGACCTTTTATCTGGTAAGCTTCTACACGATGCCAATTCGCCAAGGAAATACCCACGGTGATTCGTCCCTCTGCGATGGTAGATCGGACTAAGTGCGTGCTAGCTGCAATGTGGGGGAACGTTCCAAATGCCACCCCATTCCACTATTGTAGATATAAATAGTGGGGGTCGTTTGTATGTGTTCTGAGGACTTGCTCATGAGCGTACTCAACCCTAGCGACCTGATCTAGTGGTAGAAACTGACGTCAGCCGATACGAGGATGTTCCAAGGAGCATCACAAACCATCCTGTGCCATTGCAGGGGCATCCCATGCCACTTTCAGATCAATTGGTCCAAAACTATTGGACTGGAATCGCCATGATCGTATTCGTGCACACTCAGCTGTGTTGATACCTGAAGTTGAATGTGCATGTCGTGCTCTACACCTGATGCCCGCGCTAGACTGTTTTCGGCAGCCATCCCACCTTTCCCCAAACATGAATCATCCGCTTATGTTCTCTTCTTCTTCTTCTTCTTCTTCCCCCGCTTTCACTTTCTCCAGAATCTCAATTCTTTCATAGCTTCAAAGCCAACGTGAACAATGGCATCGGCGACATTCCCCCCTCCCCCTGTCAGTTCCATTGACTGGAACAATGTCGGGTTTAAAGTCCGTGACGGTATGTGATGTCCCGCGAAGCGAAGTAAACTCCCCCCCACTAACTCCAAACCTCCCATAGTGAACGGCCACGTCGAATGCCACTTCTCCCACAGCCAAGGCGGCAAATGGAGCGCTCCCAAATTCGTCAGCTCGCCCTACCTGCCCATCCACGGCATGGCCCCCGGCCTCAATTACGGCCAACAAGCCTACGAGGGTCTCAAGGCCTTCCGCCGCCCGGACGGCTCCATCAGCGTCTTCCGCCCTGATCGCAACGCCGTGCGCATGCGTCGCTCCGCCGAATTTATTTCCGTCCCGCCTATTCCCGAGGACCTCTTCGTGGAGAGCGTGAAGCTCGCCGTCGCGGCCAATGCGGAGTTCGTGCCGCCCCATGAAACCGGCGCTGCGATGTACGTCCGACCCTTGGTCTTCGGCTCCTCGGCACAGCTGGGTCTCTCCCCTCCCGACGAGTATACATTTGTGGTCTTTGTGATGCCGACCGGGGTGTATCACGGCGTGCATGCCGTCGATGCCCTGATCCTGGAGGACTTTGATCGCTCGGCGCCGGAGGGCACCGGATCAGCCAAGGTGGGCGGCAACTACGCGCCGGTCCTGCGGCACAGTGGACGGGCACACAGTGAGGGATTCGGGATCACACTGCATCTGGACAGTCGCACGCGGTCGGAGATTGATGAATTCTCAACGTCAGCCTTTATCGGCGTGAGGAAGGATGCCTCGGGCGCTGTGACGCTGGTGCAGCCGGATAGTCAGAATGTAATTGACTCCGTGACGGCTGCGTCGGTGTTGGAGATTGGAGAGCGCGTGTTCGGATTCACATCGGAGAGACGCCGCGTTCCCTATGAGGAGCTGAAGGAGTTCAAGGAGGTCATTGCTTGCGGCACGGCGGCGGCACTCGTGCCCATCCGGAGCATCACCATGCGGTCGCGGGGCGATCGCCTGACCTACGAGGCGGGGGATGACGGGCAGAGCGGTGGGGAGGTGTGCGTGAAACTCCTGCAGACGCTGAAGGGGATCCAGGCGGGCAAGATCGAAGACAAGTTTGGATGGAACTTCTCCGTGGAGAGGCCCCCGGAGGGCTGGGCCACGGCTAGCGGCGAGAGGGAATCCGATGGTGCCAATGTGCCATGAGTGACTGGCAATCAAATGATGTTACCCGATCGAATTAGGAGGTAATCTTTCACACGATTCATTCCAAAATGTATTGTTTGCTCCGGAAGCATTAAATGGACCCTATCACAATTGTTTCCCACTGAGCAAGCGCCCGGCGGGGGAGGAAGAAGAGGGGGCCCATAGAAGCACATCAATCTACAAATCTCCGTAGAAAATCACGGATTATACCCACCACATCTGGGAAGATAGTAGCGGGCTCTTGTACCATACGAGATCCAAAGAAGTCCATAAAGAATGTTCCAACATAAGCAGCAAAAACCACCCAGAACGGGTTCACAACTGTTTCTAACCGTCCAACCCCAGCCACCCACTACTAAGCCTCCCCCCAAGGGCCGAACCGCTGCCCCCCCGACAGGGCGGTGTCCGCCAACCCAACCACTAAAATTCGCGAGGTCAAAATCTCCTCATGAATCCCGAGTTTCCTTCCTGCAAACAACCTTCACCATTCTCTCGCGCCCGGGGAGGAAGGCCCCACTCTGCGAAGTGAAGGAAAAAAAAAAAAACAAAAAAAAAAGGCGGTCTTCAATAACACAATTCCACGGGTCATCGATCAGAAACACTAAAAGTCCTATACTTAAACCCCCAGAACCCTCAATCGCCTGTCACCCGCGTGTTATCAACTTTTCACCTCCATCGACCTTGCGCGCGCACGCGCGGGCGGCAACTTCATCATCCACTCATTCCAATCTCACCCTCACCAATCCCCTCAAACCAAACCAAACCAATAAAGAGAGAAAGAAAGAATCAAAATGGTCTTCATCCGGCTAATCATAAAAGTCTACCCACGGGAACAACTCTCGCGCCCATTCCCAACCCCAAACAGGAAGTCATTCAACACCACCGAACCCGAAACGAAGCCCGCGTCCTTCCTCCTTGCGCTCCCCAATCCGGAAGAAATCACGCTCGGCCAGCTGGCCGGCCTGATCCGATCGAAATGGACCAAACTCCGGCCCAATGCCGAGCCTCTCGATATCAAGAAATTGCTGGATGATAGTCGCGACACGGTCGATTTGGATGTGGATATGACGGTGGCTGATGTGTGGGTGAATCAGGCCCGTGCGAAACGTGATGAGGATGATCAGGTCGGGACGGTGAGGGTTGTGCAGAGGCCTGCGGCGTATGCGCCTGTTCGGTTTCCTTCGGTGGATCAGGATTGGGGGGTGGGTAGGGAGGAGAAGTTTACGGGGAAGTTTGAGACGATTCAGGAGGCTGCAGAGAGTGAGACTGACAGTGGGAGTGGCAGTGAGGAGGAGAGTGACGACGAGGAAGAGGAGAGTGAGAGTGAGAAGAAGAATGTGATCGAATCGCGGGCTATGGAAGTGGATGGCAAGGACGATGAAGAAAGTGAAACCGATGAGAGTGAAGAGGATGAGGGAAGTGAGGAGGAGAGCGAGAGTGGAAGCGAGGGAGATGAGAATGAGCAGGTCAATGGACGCACCAACGCGGAGGAGTCTGGGGATGGAGGTGAGAGCGAAGAAGAATCGGCCCCGGACAACGACGTCCGCATGGAGGATAGTTTGCCCGAAACGCGAGTGCTCAAGAGAAAGATGAGCCCCGAGGAGCTCGAGCCCAAAAAGCAACCCCGTTTAACACAATCGAGTCAGGCGACTGAAGCTGACACCGACAACGTGAATGGAGCCCCGGTGACCAGTCCCTTGGGGACGCGCAAGCGCAACGCTGATAGAGCGCCGTCGTTCTCTGGGGTTGGTCGACGCTTGAGCTTTACAGAGAGGCCGGCCCTGTCACATGGCCTTGGTCTGGGTATTACGAAGAGTCCTCCTCGCAAGAAACCATTCCTGATGGCTGATCTTTCTAAAGATTCTACACAATCCGAGTCTGTTCCGAATGACGCAAGATTGTCGCCGACATCTGTTCCCCCGAGTAGCGCACCACCTGCTATCCGTCGCAGCTCGGGCAATCAGCACCCCGCAACCCCGGCCAAGTTACAAACCCCGGCAGATAAGGTCCGACTGCTCCAATCCGCTCTGCGCAAGGACTCCCCCGCCGAGCGGTCCCCCGAACGCCGATCCGTGTCCTTCGCCGAAGGAGAAGACCATGCCATTCCTACCTCCGTCCCTGTCACGAGGCCAACTGCCCGGGTCCCCCATGAGAAGCCGACGAATGGGACCAACTCCGGCTCTAAGCCGGCTCCCCCAGAGCCAGAAGAACCGTCAGAGGAAGAACAGGGCCGGTCGGAAGACGAGGAGCTGGAGTTCAGCAAGGAACTAAACATGGAGATAAACGAGTACGACAGGGAACTCCAAACGAACGACCTGGATGAGAAGTCCGAATACACTCGCAAAGTGAAATTAGCAGCGAAGAAATGGCAGATTATGAAGAACAACATGAACAAGACCCGGAGAAGAGAGCAAGAGAGGTACAAGAACGCAGTTAACGAACTCAAGGTGTTACATCCCCAGATTGTCGAGCTCAAGGAGTTCAACAAACCACCCGCCCAGCGCCCCAAGTCCCAGATATCGAATGGCACTCCAGCTACAAGAAAGCTATCCCGAGATCCTACCAGTTCGCAGAATCGCAGATCTCAGGATCCCTGGGACGTTGAAATTCTAACTCCAAATGCGAACTCCAAAAAGCTTATTCCGACAAACCTTCCATCCTCACAGGCCAGTCGCAAGTCTTCCGAACGCGACGAAGTCCAACCCCAAGAACAACAGAAACCACAATGGAGCGCCGAAATCCCCACGGCTAAGACTGCGAGTAGTTTAGAAAAACGGCCAGAGCCTAGAAAGCTATCCCAAGAGAGACCTCCATCTCCACCCACAGAATCCGAATCTGAATCCGAATCTGAATCTGAATCTGAATCTGAATCAGAAAAATCCGGATCCGAAGAAAACACGACGGAGCACAAGAAACCATCTTCACAGGAGAAGCCACCATCCCCACCCGCAGAGTCCGAGTCGGAAGAGGAATCCGGCTCCGAGGAAGAGGAAGACAATACCGCACCAAACCAGCCTAACTCCCCGACCAAACCGTCTCCCCAGATTGAGGTATCTGTACCCGAGCCCGTCCCCGAGCCCGGCTCAGGCTCGGACTCGGAACAACAATCCGGCTCCGACGAAGAGGAAGAGGAGGAAGACGACGACGAGAACGACAGATCCACGGATGAAGAAAGCGAGAACGAAGACGACAACAAACGCGAAGGAAAAGAAGCGGAAATAGTCCAACAACCAGAACCACAAGAAGACGATATCGTCCCAGAAACAGAAGAAGAGCGAGAACAAGAAACCACAACCCAGGCCCAACCCAACCCACCATCAACCGAAACACCCTCCAACAAACCCGACCCAGCCGCCGAAGAAACTGCCTCCGACACGGACGAAGAAGAAGAAGAAGAAGAAGAAGAAGAATCAGATGACGAATCCGAAAAAGAAAACCACCACCCTCTCCCCAAATCAACCCCACCAACTAAAGCCAACGTCCCTCGTCGCACCAGTCTCAATCCGCCTTCATCACAACCGAACGCGCCCTCCAGCCAGCAACAGCCAACCTCCTCCCAATCCACCCCCACAGGCTCCCGACCAACCCGCAATACCCTCAAAACCCTCCTCTTCCAACAGCGCGCAGAGCAGGCGCAGGCGCGTTTAAAGAAAGAGGAGGAGGCGGCGAAACGGAATACCCAACCGCGTAAGGATATCTTCTCGGGGCCAGATAGTGAGTCCGAGGATGAGGACGAGAGCGACAGCGAGAGCGAGAGTGAGAGTGAGAGTGAAAGTGAGAGCGATAGTGGTGCGGATGCCGGGGATATCTTGTCCAGTGGAACGATAGGGAAGTTAAGGGCCGCTTTGCCGCGGAGGTGAGCCTTTCTTCACTTCCTTGCTTTGTATCATTTGTGTCGTTTAGTAGTTTGTTTCTTATTGTATTGTTTGTTTTCTTTCTTGGATGCAGGTCGTTAAGTGATGAGTAGAGTGTATCTAATTGAATCTGAGCATATGTCCGTACTGGATAGTTGGGTTATGAATTAATGGAATATTCTATACGATGTTATTATTGTAGCGAAAACCATAACTACTTCAAATGTTCCATACAAGACTAAGTGAGATACACAACCAATATGACCCAAAATTATATTAATAGGATGTCTAAAACGATATGAACAAAATATGATAATAACACAACAACCGAATCTATAAGATCATGTCAATATGCTATAGATGAGTAGATGCAATAATAACCACAACAATCGTTTACTCGGGCACGGTAAAGTACCGCTTGAAGCGGTCGATGCGCGTCAATTTAAGATCCACGATCACGGAGTGACAGCTCATGAGTAAGCTCGGGAACCTGACGGTCCAGAAACTCAAGTATCCCTCGGGCAGACCGCCAATGTGGGCCTTCAAATGCTCGGGCATATCATTGTAGTGATGACACTTGTTACGTAATGCCCGCAGGAGATCGAGCATCTTTGAACCGGTGTACTTCCGCTGCTTGCCCAGGTTATCTTTGAAGGAAGTGGGGAGCTGACGTAAGAAGTCCATTTCAGGACCCATAACGCGCGAGGCGATGGATTCCAGACACAGGAGAGCGTCGGACGGAGGGTCACGTGGTTCGAACTCGAAATGGTCAGATACATCACAGAGGAAGGTGAGACGATCAGATGGATTCCAGAAGAATGGATGGGTTAGGACGGAGCTGGCATCGGGTCTAGAAAGTATTAGTATGTCGATATTGGATAGTGTGAGACGCAAATCTTACCGTTTCCGTGGGTCAAGTGACAGCATCGACTGGATCAGGTCGCGGGCTTCGAAGGCATAGTCACCCAGGCGCTCGAGTTCGTCGAGGTTGTAGTTGCCTTTAACAATGTTCGCCTCGCGCATGAACTTGCCGTTTTTGTCAAATGGGTGGCTGCCCCTGGTCAGGACATAGTAGAAGACACAACCCAGAGAAAAGATGTCGATAGCACGGGTGGCCCGTCGGTTGGTCTGGGGGTCGACAACGGCAGGCTCCGAGGACTCGGTGTGCTGGGACTCGGTACCTTGGATTACCGAGGTCTTGTCGTCGTCAACCAGGAGTTCAGGGGCACGCCAACCAGATGTTCCCGCAGCATGTGCCGTGGTGGCTCGGAAAGAGCTTTGGTTATCTTCTAATTTCTTGCACAAGCCAAAATCGGAGATGAGCAGACGCAAGGACCGCGCTCCGGAACGCCCTCTGGGCATGGCCACTAGGATGTTCTGTGGTTTCAAGTCACGGTGAACAATCTTCAAGGAATGCAGGTACCGAACACCGCAGATGATCTGACGTAGAATATCCGGCATGTTCACATCCAGCCCACCCTGAACCAATTGTGGATAGTCGGAAGGGCGCTCCACCACGTCTTGCAAAGAAGCGGGGCATAACTCGAGTGCGATGTAGAGAAAGCCGGCCGCCTGCTCTCGGCAGAAGTAACGAATAACATTGGCATGGTCGTCACTCTCTTGTAACAAGCCAACCTCATGAGACGCAATGTCGTAAAATTCAACGAGCATCCGCTTCACCGCGACATCACGTCCATCAAACGAACCTCGGTAGACGACGGTTCCATGGCTTCCATGTCCCAGGACGACATCAGTGAATACCCTCAGGCGGCCGATCTGGAGAACACCATCCATCTCCATGATCTCATTGGACACTGTACGGACCATCTGCACATCAGGCTCTAAACGAGATTTGGGCTGAAGATTCTTCACGTCACTGACAACCCGATCCGTTTGAGAATCGCCTTCAGAGTCCGGCTTCTTGCCCCGCTTGTGCGCCTTGCCGCCACGACGGCCACGGCGAGCTTTCTTTTTGGGTTTCTCGGCGCCATCTAAAACTACCTCATCCACGTCCTCGTCGCCATCCGGGCCCCGAGAGGGCTCTCGAATGCGTACCCGGGGCGTACTATCTGGCCCGAGAGCATTCCGGTCTTTCTTTGGTTTGGGGGTTGCATCGCCGCCCTGTTGTTGGTCTCCAGGAACACTAACATCGACAGTTACATTGGGCACCGGTCGAGTAGGGCTCCCATCTCGTTTAAGTTGCGCGCCAACGACGGGAGTTGACGGGGTGGACAGAGGTGGTTGATAGGAAGAAATGATGTTCTTCAGATCCAACTTTTGCTTGGCCAATTCCTGAATATTATGAGAGTTGAGATAGATGAAGGCCCCAAAGAACAGCAATATCAACGTCACAAAGATGTCAACGGCGTTATCCCACCCCTTTCGGATGATCGTACTATGCCGTAACGCCGGCGGAAGAGCTAGTTCTGAGTGACTCCGGCTCAATTCCTGGGGAGTATCATTGGAAAGCTCCGGTCTCGACGATCCAGATAGGCTGGGGATGTGACGAACAAAACGAGGGCCATTGAGCGAGTGCACACCAGCCAACGCGTCTCGTTGCTGACTGGGGGTCAGGCTCATGAGCGCTTGTCCATAACGGAAGTAATCCTTCTCGTAGCATTGTGCCATCTTGGCCCGTCCAGTCACCAACGGGTATGTCTCCTCCGACATGGCATACCAACCGCCCGCTTCAGTGCTATCGATATAGACACGGGTATCTCGATCATCCAAGGAGCCGTAATCGGGGTCAGGAGGCTGCAGAGGCTGCGAGAGAAGCACCAACGGTGTCGGTGCATCAGGCGAGTCGAGGTTGGTTGGGCGGACGACATCAAAAACCCGAGCAACCGGGGTAGAAAATCGTTGGGTGTACCGCGGTCGTTCCATCCGAGAATGATCGAACCCCAGCACGACTCCATCGTGCATGCTATATATGTGGCTCTCATCCATCGTACGATAGTACTGATCTTGGAGGTCTAGGTCACGATTATTGCCCGCCCATTCGGAGTATTTCAATGTACAGATCGGATCCCCTGTTTCGGTATTCTGAATAGCTACAGCATACTCGATCCGACCGAGAACCAGGGTGCCGGACGGGGATTCGCAGTCATCCGAGTCCATGTCCAGTCCGTCAACTTTCCGACACTCCTGACCGGAGGGGATTGGGCCTCTAGAACTGAATACGCGCAAAATCGTACCGGTCCGAGCGTCAATGGTATAGAGGGTGGTCTCCTTTCGAGCGGTATACGTAACGGCGGGGTCCGTTCCCGAATACGGTGTCTTATCCACCAGGTCTTTCACCGTCAACCCCAACTTCTGTAATCCGGCGTCAGGACCGGGACTGTAAATAAAAAGGCTCCCGTCTTGACTCGGCTCCACGATCCAAATAAAGTCATCTTCCGGTTGGGTCCGATCGAAACTGGATCGATTTGCTCGATGATAGATGCTTTCGACCATGGGACTACTCGGCACTTCGAGGGCCCACCGGGCCGTGCCAGTCTTGCGGTCTCGAGCGTGAATGGAGCCGTCGACGGTCGCCAGTAGGACAAAGTCCTCAACCTCCCAATCCTGCAGAGATCGCGCGTTAAGCGGCGTAGACAGGCCAGCAGACGGGCTGCTGGCCTGGGCAGGAGGGGCTCGAACGGCGCGGCCGGGGCCCGCCAGAGCCATAGTTGCTAGGGCGCTCGCATCGGTGGATTTCACGTTCAATGGAGTATGCAAATCTTTTCCAACAGCATGGCCGGTCGACCCTAAGGGGACCGACAAGGTGGAAGGCAGGTCATAATGTTCCGGCTGCTGCTGCGGAGCAACAAGAACAGGGAGCAGAAGGAGAGCGACGCTGGCGGGGAGAGTCGATCGGGCGCCAGGCAGCCGCCACCGCATCCTCAAGGACTACAATGTGGGAACGATAGGCGTTGTAAATGTATCGACGTCGACGAGAAGGTAGCCAACAGCTCATCAGTCTGTACTTAATGACGAGGGAAAGAAGGGCTGGGTGGAAGAGAAAGGAACCTAGGGACAGGGTGGACGAGGAACCAGCCTCAAATGGGTGGAAAGGCACCCGACCTAAAGGGGTTTAGCGTTAGCACCACCCAGTTCCAGTTTTTCGAGAATGATGGCGGCGGGTGGAGATGACGGGGAGGGATCGATCATTTGCTTACGGGTAAGCACGTCGGAAATTTTCAATCGAAATGACAGGGAAAAAAAAAGAAAGAAAGAAAGAGCTTGAAGATAGAAAGGAAAATTAAAATCAGCTACGGAGGGACAACAGAAAAGAAAAAGGGGCCGGAGGACGGAGTACAGCAGGCGAATATGTGTGTGTGTGTGTGTGTGCGTCTTCGATATTATTAGCATGTCGGTATTGAATGAATCAAATTCATTTATTGATGGAAGGCAGAAGAATTGACTGGCAGTGGCCTCAGGCGCTCCGAGGCGGCGCAAGGGCGAATCCCCCATTGGGGTTAGCGTGAGACGATTGTGACGCACCACTCCTGTCCATCACGCCATCTAGAACCATTCAAACCTTTTACCCTTTGACCATTTTACCATACCGTACGGTGTATGTACAACTGGACCACAGTACAACCAACTCTCTTTCTTATCCGTCCTGCTTGACTCCTCTTGAATCTGCCTTCCCTTGATCTGACAGTCTGACTTCCCGTGTCCTGTCACCCTTGATCCATGGATAGTCCAGGGTGAGGACTCCTGGACGACAAGGTACATACTCGCGGATGTCGGAACGTCAGCATTCCCTTGATATCCCTCTCGGAGCCCCGGATTGAATTCCCCGCCAAGGGGCGATTGACCAGTGCAACATGTCTCAATCATAATTACTAGTGGTTTCATTTTCTGAACCCTCCTCCTGCTGGTGGACAATAGGATCAATAATAGCATTAGTGAACGGAGCTTACCGATCACGGCACTAGTACGCCTTTGACACGTAGCACGTGATGAGGCCGACGTAGATAGCCTGAAGCCCTATACATACTACATACACAATGAATAGCTTGAAGACAGGGATGGTGGTCTTTCTTATGCCCATAGGTCTTAGGGAGTCTAATGATGGTACCAATACCATATAGATCTAGTCTTAGCCAGCGGTTATCCTCCGGGTTCAGTAGAGGGGAGAGAGAGATATATATATATTTGCTTCATCCACCTGTATATAGTACGGAGGAGTTGCACTGGTAGTTCCCATGTCAACACATGGTCTGATTGAAAAGTTTAGAAGTGTTACTCTTGTACGGGGCTTAAATTGAAGTTGTATATATTATTCTGGGTCCATACCCTTTTTCTATACACTGGTACTATAAGTATGGCTTACCACTATGTAGGTCGGTGACTGACGCGCATTACAAAGGCGGTTCGTTAGATTGAATAATATGTAAACAAACCAAACAAAAGCGTTGGCGGTGGCTTCAGTCAGTTGTACCAACTGAACAACTGCCCAGGGTTCTGTTGAAATCGACGACTGATACGGTAGTTGCGTGCCGGGAATAGCAAAATGTCCGACGTAATACGTTGGGTCAAACACCCCACGCCCGTGATGTGTACCAAACCAGGACAAAGATTGTATATTGCACAATCCGGCTCTAACTTCTACCTCTGGAAACAATAAGAAGACGAATGCTACAAGACCGAAGGCTTAAAAACGAGAAAAGCCCTGATTAGAGCGATCAAGCAGACTGGCGTTGATGGGCTGTCCCTTATGCAGCTCGAATCCAAGAGTCTGTTAATTTGTGGCGGCGGGGAACCCTCGACTCCGCTGCCTTTCATTGATGCTAAACCTAACCACGAGGAAGTCAATCGGAGAAGTGCTAGTCTGCTCTCATATGAAGTACGGGCCCAATGAATCATGCCGGACATCGATGACCTCATTGAAGTGTGAAATTAGCCAGTCGGGCTTCGTTGTGGCTTCTCTCTTGTCGTATTCCATAGTATCACTTTCACTCAATTTGCCGAAGATTTTGAACCAATCGCACATTTCGTAGAACGGTTGAGGCAATCGGTCTAGGCCCAACCCCACAACATCCGCTGACGATGATGAGGGAGAGCAGCGAATCAATGCCCTTATCGGCAGAGACGACGTCATCGGTGAGATCCGCAATGGCTATTCCGGCTTTTTCGGATATGATCTGAAGACCTGTAAGGAAGTCACCCTCACTGGGTCTGATCTCAGGCTCGCTGTGCATGACTGATGCTAGTATATAGTGCACCTCCTCAGCGGCATGGTCCTTCGAGGGATCTCGAGGCTTTTTTTAACTCGCTGGTGGTAGAGTAATCCATGAAGATGGACTCCAAAGCTAGGCCTAGGTCTAACTCCCTGGGAAATCTTGCAGTGGCTGTCAAGGATAGTAAAGAGTCAATGCGCTAAACGAGGTATTTCTGGGGAGATCGGTAGCAGGAATACCGCGTTTGTCGGGCATTATATGGATAGCTCGTGGATCCTAGAAGGTCCTGCAGGCTCAATGGGTACAGATACGCCGAGGGTGCTAGGCTTGGATTGTTTACAGGCTGATGTGGTTGAAGGAGTAGCCGGCGGCCTCTTCTGGTGTTGACCCCTTTCAAGAAGCAAGAAAGCTTCGAGAACTCGACGAGGAACTTCTTGAATCTGGATTTCCCCAGTTAGTATTTTTCGCGCTCTTTGAGTGAATTGCAGAGCTTACTGCAAGTTGCGAAAAACAGGCAACGACCTTGTTTCTGTCGACGACAACTATATCTCCATGTCAAAGATTATCCTTGCGGGGAATCTTCTCCGTATACGTCGTGTATTCTCTACCCAGGGAGATACCTCAAATATCTGGCTCGAGCCCCGACCGTGGTTGATGAAAACTTCGAGGTCGAGATCGCGCTTCTTGTTATAATCCATCGCGAAGATATGCTGTTAGTACCAAGTAAAGCTGGTTCTGTCCCTCGATAGTGTAACTTCCGCAACGCCATTGGATGGAGCTTCTGCGGCGCTCCGGGGCTATATGGTGTATACAGTTCCATCATGCGCCAGAAAAGAAATTTAGATGAAATTGAACCCTGCTCAGGGAGGAATACAGATCCAAGCAAAGGTTTCGGTGCCGGTCTCATGGGTTGAAGGTGGTGCAGCAGTCTCGCTTCTGAGAGTCTAAGCAATAATCCCGCGTTACGAGACATCCAAAATGACTAGGTCTAGGCCTCATTTGCCAGACTGCACTGCCCACTACCATTATTACATTTCTCATGGTAGTTTTTAAAATGCTCAGGGGAAGCCCAAGACCCTCTCCCATCCGATCCAAAACACCGCATCGATGCGTAAAAGGGCAAATCGAATAATATCGAGACTTTTTGCGTGTAAACGAAATACCATCCTCGCCCGATCAAGAGTCTGCCTGAGCTGCCTGTATTCTTCCCCGGGATCCGTGCCTCCAGAATCACATAGCTGGTGAGCGGTGACCGTCAGCAGGAACAGAAGATTCATTATACAAGCAAAGGATGTTTTCAGCCCTGTTCTGGTCAGTACGTTGGTCTTCGGAACGTATCTTCATGTCACACATACAAGGTGGCCAGAACGCCTGGTAGTGTGCGGGTTGTAGGTTCGATATAAGGCTCAGGGCCACATCTGCCTCGGCTGATGCTGTCTGGCGTATCTGCGATCGTGCGGCGTGCCACTCTTCATTTTGCTCTAGTTCGGAGGAAAGGTGATCCACATTGTTGAAGGGGCGGAGTAGTGCACGGAGGATTAAGATCTTCACAGATTGATAGGCGATGTGGAGAGATGCGGAATCATCTGATGTTTGTTTACACCCGGGTGCCGGTGCCATGGCTAAGGATAAAGGGAGACTTGTATACCATTCTGTGAGGTTTTGCATAAGAGGACGAGCGCTAGACATTGTCAAACGAAAGTCCTTGCAGAGGGTGTACAACGAACGGATAGAGCTAAAGATAGATTAGTTCGCGTGGTTTTTAGAGGTGGAGATGCGAGCGATCCCTGAAGATTATCTCAGGGTCATCACTTACTAAAGACTCTCCAGAACATTATCCAGTATTGTGGTGAGTTTTGAGAACTCGATAGCATATGCATGCGCATTGCTGGTAGGGTCCTCAGACTCAATATCGCTCGAATCCAATTCAGTAATGAGCCAATTATTTCTTGAGACGTGACTTGGTCGGCCAAAGCTAAAGGCAAGCCACTTGTCTAGGGCGAATACCACCCATGATAGGCGACGACGGGTACGGATCTCGTTTGATGGTAAGTTCCACATGGCAGGATCCAGATGCAGCCCGAGTGTTTGTGCCATTGACACAGCCATGCCCAGAAGCGTCCATTTCATTGAGCTGTCAAGCAACAAAGGATTCAAAGGTGGGTGCAATAGGAGGATGAGTGCTGCTTGCAAAGACTGCATTGTAGGTTGGGATAAGGCATTATTGAGTTCGCGCCAGGCGATTCCGAATAAGACTTGCGGTGACGGAGGACTATACACAAACTCGATACATAAGTAGTCATCGAACGTCGTAAATGGCTGAGTGATCAAGTATATCGCCGCTAGAAGATGTGCTGACGCGGCCCGTGGCTCTGGCAGTCTATCCTCAGGGAAGATAGGAAATTGCCGGTTAACGAAACGCGAAAACCTGATTGTATGTCAGTTGCGATGGAATGCTGGTCCGAACTCAACCAACTCACAATTGGATCAGTCGTTCCCCAATCTCCGGGGCCACGATCTGTGATAGGTCGGGCAACGTGTCCTTGGCAAACGGTGTTTCCAAGCTACTCAGGGCCTTTGACTCGTTGCTTAACTCGGGTTTTGATAACAAAAATTGCACTGGCATCTCTGTGTCCTGCACTGACCGTATAGCAAGCTTGGAGAATGGAAACTCTGCTCTTGCGTCGAAACGATAATGTCGTAGAACATAGGGATCCATATCACCAGTCAAACCACATAGCTGGGAAGACAGTGATGGATGGTTATCGAGGGACGGAGGCCCCGGAGCAGGATTCGACTCTATAAGAGACAATCCTTGACCCTCATACATGCTGAGCATTAGCTCGTTCATGATTCCATTATCTCCGCTACCTAGGACAGAGGCATGCGAATCTTCAAGTCCTTGCACAACGCTCAAGTCATATAACTGCTCGACAACCCTTGGAGCATCACCATGCATAGCGCCTTCCGTCATATACATGGCTATTGAATCCACTGGTTGCACCGAGCTTGCAAATTCGGATGACTCATTCGTTCGCCCATCATTAGAAGCATTTCCATCATTGAAAGCGTTCAGTGATGGACCGGGAGTAGTCTGCAGCGGGCGCCTCTTCTTACGGACTATACGATCGGTGAATTCGCAATGTTGTCCATGAACCCTGCATAGGCGGCAAGGGGGAGCTGTGTCGATCTGACACGCCGATTTCCGCGAGCGACAAAGGTCGCATGCGCGTTGAGCTTTGCTCATGTACCTACGAGGCCCAGTCCCTGAATATGGGTATCTTCTGGGAGGTGTGCCATTGTCCATGTATCTAAACTGGGGGCATTAGGGTTTGTGATTGAGAGAGAGAAGAAAGATTATTAATCTGGAGTCAAGCAGTGATGGGTGTCTTGAAACTATACCAAGTATGGATGAATTATATTGTCACGTGTTAGCAATATTTCACTTATCCTGATTAGGAAAGGGGCTGGCTAATCCACCATCTCCTTGATTCTGCTTTATTAACTTCACTTCTTTACTGCTCCCTGGACTCATTTATTATAAAGTGACCTGGTGAATGGCTATTCTCCCTGTCTTTTGGCATAGTGCTATTCATATATTTTGTACAACGGGGTTAAAACTTCCAAAAGCGAAACTCTACATATTCGCATGTTGTCCATTACATGCTATCATAATTTACTCCGAGCTTGAATATGGCTGAGTATGTCAGAAACCAAATCAACTGCATCCTTGGCCATCCCCATCCCAGCCTGGAATCCGGTCCCTCCTGCGCCATAGTTGTGTACCACAGCGTTACCCTGCGGTGTGGTCTCGAGCTCCACTCGGGCACCACCTTGTCGCGATGGCCGCAATCCCACTGCAACGCGAATGATCTCTGTTTCTCCATTTTCGAGGATCGGCAGGAGACCTGCTGTACGACTCAGAATTGACTCAGTCTCTACCGGTCGGGCCTGGCTAGTATGGTCGCCTGGTTGTAAGTAGCCACCTAATATCACGGTGCCATCTGAGTGGGGTCGTGGGATTATATAGGTTTCATAGTCTTTGCCATGTCGCATAACATTGATTTTCACTGATGGCGCCTTGACAAGAATGATCTGACCGCGTGTTGGATAGCATTTCGTGTCATTAACTCCCACTAATTTGACTGCTGCGTTGCCGATGCAGTTGAAGACAATTTGCGTTCCGTGCAGGAAGACGTCCTGTAAGCTTGCTACCTTCCGGCGAACAAATTTTACACCACCATACTGCGGCTGAGATAGGAGGTATTTCAAATGTTGGCAATGTGCAGGCGCGTTGACGGTAACTGTGGTGAAACTTATACCAAAAGCAACTCCCTTAGGGAGATCGGATGGAGGTATGATGACAAGCTATCGGTTAAAGACCACAAGGTTAGCACATCTGCCCAGTGAGTGTGTTTGTGTGCTACAATACAGACTTATGTAATGGGCAACCTCACATCGCGAAGATACTCCGTCATGCTGTTGATCTTATCCTGCGACGGGGCTTGATCCCAGTACTCTGTTGACTCGGTTTTGGACAGATACTTCGCTTCTTCTGCCCCGTCATCAATCAGGCCCATCATGGCCGAGTAACCGGATTGATCCCAGCGCAGCGCATTGGCATCATTTCCCGATATGCCCGAGAAATTCGCTCCGGCCCTAAAACACAGACGGTGCGTTAGGATACGTTCTATCGAATGTAAATTGAAACTATGTCTGCGCACCAAGGAGAGGTGTAATCAATAGATTCATCTCCCGGAAGATGTTCTGCCATGATTGTGACATGCTGTCCATAGCCACGTTTCGATAACTCCAAGGCCACGTTCAAGCCGATGATTCCGGCGCTGGATGATTAATGTCAGAGATCGTGTACGTGAATCGAGGGCTCCTATATGCTCTTACCCGAGCACCACAATATCGTTATGTGTCATTTTGAATTGATCCTTAGTGCTTGACGGCGTTTAACACACTATCCTAGCCTATATAAACCACTGTCAAGATAGATGGTGTCATACCAAGGGAATATCCGGCCTTCCGATTGGCGGCATTCCTGTGGAGCCTTGAGTGGCGAATAAATGGTCCTATCAGCATAAATAAGGTGAAGGTGAGATAGCCGATAATTGAGCGTTGGAACCAAAAGGAAAGAAAATTATGACTGTGACGCGACTAAGGACAACAATATTGAGGATGGGCTAAGGACTGAGGAACGTTCGGCTATGTATCCTTCCCCGTCACCACCATATATTTACCACTCCCGACTTGGGCCTCTTCGTCTTCTCGCTGACCCGGAGTGGTCTCCACCGAATCTAACACTGGAACCGGCTGCTTCAACGTCCTTCCGAAGAGTACATAGAAGAGGATTCCCGCCACGAAGCCTACAATTGCTAGGGATCCATACATCCAAACTAAATAGGGATCTTGTGAAACCGGGGCGAGGCCAATACAAATGGCCGCTGCTACGCCAATAGTCAACCAGAATAGAGAAGACACCAGGGAACGCAGACTATTGAGATGGCTAGTTAGTGCGTGTGCCCACCGGATATTACAGGGTTATCTTACCTTTCGGGCGCATTGGTATATGCGATCTCTAAGCCAGTCACCACAACGAAGGCCTCTGAAAAGGCGACAAGAACGTATGCAGGTGTCTGAACCCAAACGTGAATGGTTTGTGCAGGGGAGATGTAAATGTAGTGCTGGAGCACACTGGCGTACACCATCGACATGGAAGCCATGAAGAATCCGACAGTAATCTTCAACTCTGGTCGGAAATCGATCTTGAAGTGACGCAACATCGGGTAGACCACGACTGGTATCTTCTTAGACTACTGCCATACGAATAGACACGGTTGCACTTACGATCGAGAAACGGAATGAAGATAATCAACGCGATAGGGTCTAGATTTTGCAGCAAATCGTTCGGAGTGCCGTGCAGAGCCATTTGACCCGCCTGGGAGATAAGGTTATTCCAGATCTGGACCCAGCAAATAAAATAAAACGGGAAGAGGAGGAATAACTGTTTGTCATGGTCAGCAATCGATAGTTATGGCCGATAATGTGGGTCATCTTTACTTTGCAGGCTCTGATGCCCTTCTTAACCCCGTCAACACTCTGATCGGTGTAGTTGGCGCTGGATGCAACAGAGTATTTCTCCATCCGACCCCGTTGGCTCAGGACACTCGGCTTTGCGTTTTCAAAGCCCCTTTCTGACATAGCAACATATACTGTCCTGGCGGTTTCGACAATTGGTGAACCTTGTGGTCGGGTCTTGATATACAATTTGCTGCTACATATAAAGACCACGGCAGCAAGGACAATCACACTGGAATTCGATATTAGTCAAATTTTCAAGAAACCACGAGGTATTGTATTTATAATCACTAACATCAAGGGTATGAGAAAGGCTAGCCAAAAGGACACCTTGGCTTCGACGTTGACAGTAATCAATGGCGATAGAGCGCCAATATTGACGGCCCAGTAGAACCTGGCAACCTCATTAATATCGTGCGGCATAGGTGATAGGAACGTGGTACACACCACATGAACATTCGCTCCACAGTGAGCTCAGGGTCGATGACGACACGTTCTCCTGACTTCAATGTCTTGACAAAAGCGCTACCTCTCTTATACTGTTCGGCACAGAAAGGTGTAACATTTGCCTTGATTCCACCCGTTCCCAGTCCAATGATAACCATCGAGACAACGAGCCCACCAAATGCCGATCCACCATTGATAGCTGCTGGAGTCGCAGTTGCCACAAGGATCGTCAAGCCGACGATATAAATTCCGGAGGCTATAACTATAGCCTTAAACTTGCCGACATACTGATCTATGAGGTGAGGGAGAAGATGAGTCAGTGGACAAGGGACCTTTCATACACACAACATAGCCTGCCCTTACCGGCTACTACAGCCCCCAGGATGGTGGAAGCATACGCCCAAAACTTGAAAAAGTTACCTAGAGCGGACGCAATGGCCTGTCCCTTACCAAGAGCACCTGGCAGATCCGCACCAGGCACGTATGGATTTCTGCCGTTATGCGTTTAGCGGTTATTGATAACCCGAAATAACGAAACAACATACTTGATGTAATTCTGCAGCGGTCCGCTCAGGCCAAAGTAGGTGAATCTTTCTCCAAGCTCTACAACGATGATCAGTCCGACAACCCAAGGAATACGGTCAGGCACCCGACGCAAGCCCGGTTCATACGCCTGGTCTGCTTGGAGAGGTTTCGGCGTATCTGAGTGAGTCACCGTTGACTGCATTTGACGATCCAGGACATCTGGAATTCTTGTACTTTCCGGCATGACTGGTCTGATGCTGCGTATGAAAGTCTATGCCAGAAGGTCGAGGCGTCGTTGAACTAGTCTGTTGCTGCACCGTTTATAGCCTCTCCACACCTTATCTCCGGTGCCTGATAAGGTGTTTTGCGGGGAAACGATACGAGGTTGTGGATGCCGATCACGACGTTCTTATCAAGTGGGTTTCAATGCCACCAATTGAAAGCGATGCCGCTGCCGGTCCACTATATCCATCAAAGACCTCTTTAGGGGATCCTTCACGAGCGGAGAATTACTGTGCGTGGTGACGGAAAAGAGATCGTCAGAATTTACCGCCGCCGGGGAGCCCGTGCCTTTTGCAACCTTTACCAATTGACCCAAGTTCACATCCGCACGACGGCTACACTCACGCAAGCAGAACAGATGATCAGAGTTCGTACTTCTGCAAGGAGGGAGGGCAACGTGATACCGGAAAAGTACCTGAAAGGTTTAGATATTGAATGGCAGGAGATGTGGGAAAATCACGGAAAGGACATGGACGGGGCTCACTTGGTGACTATCGAAGAATTTCGGCAATGCCCTCAAAGGTACAGCTTTACCTACCCAACGTGGACAGGTGAGTTCTGTCTATAGTGCTATGTCGAAGGAGGCCATTTAACGTCTCTTGACCACTCCCTACAGGCCCAGAAGTACATCATGTCCGAGATTATCAGGTCCCCGTCTCAAATCCCAAAGGATCGATCACCTGTCGCGTATACACACCCCCCGGGCTGGGTCCATTCCCAGCACACCTAAATTTCCATGGAGGCGGCTGGGTACTTGGAGGTCTACAATCCGAAGCCGCCTGGTGTCGTAGTATCTGCAACGAGTCATCTATCATTGTCATCGATGTGGATTATCGTCTCGCGCCAGAATATCAGTATCCTATCGCGCTGTATGACTGCTGGGCTGCGGTACGATGGGCACATACCAACGCACAAACTCTCAACCTTGATCCCAACTCCGTCTCAATTGGGGGGCTGTCCTCGGGTGGACTGATCACCGCTGTTCTTGCCCACTTCGCTCGCGACTGCTCTCCCCCTCTCGAACTGAAACTTCAACTGATGGTGGTGCCTGCCACAGATATGCGCTACGTGCCGCTGTCTATAACTAATGCTGAGCCCCTCACTGGAGAAAGTTGCCCGTACCCCAGTGCCATTTTCTTCTCCGATCTACCCTGGTCCCCGCTCGCCCGGGAGTCTTGGTTCCTAAATTACTACATTGGCACGGACGAAGAGGTCCGATCGGAAATCCTTTCAGATTGGAGAATGACACCTGTTCTCTCACCCTCTCTGAAAGGACTAGCCCCGGCACACATCGTGGCGGCCGAGTTTGATGTAGAAAGGGATGAAGCTGAGCACTATGGGCAATTACTTCGTGAGGCAGGAAATCCAGTAACCATGAAAAGGTACGCGGGTGTGCCACATGCGTTCGCCCATTACAATCATCCCACTCGGGGCCTGAGCAAGAGCCGAGAGTTCATCAGGGATACGGCAAGGCTTCTTTCGGAGGTACACGGCACCAGTCAACGGGACGAGGAGGCGTAGGCTGCGGGGATCATCCATACATCGAAGGATACACGTTACGCTCTGTTATTGGTGATTTTTCTCCGAGTCCAGTCCTGGATAAGAAGTGCGGGCCTCAAATCTGCCTGGTTCAGCTGAGGGAATGGCATGGGCGACTTGCGATGCGATACACACGGTATAGGGAATGGCAAAGCCATGATCACGAACTCTATCGCCGTTAGAAATGAACACATAAGTTAGCACAGAATGTAAGGACCATAGAAAACATCGTGATGTGTATGATCAACCAAGTCTCCGAAACCATCTAGTAGAATAATATACGTCGCACTTGTAATTATTAAAGATAATGATCTTCCCACCAAATTCACGACCCTGCACCTCTCGATTATACCTCACCCAAGGGTCCACGCTGGGATTAGGGGCTAACCTCCCATCCCTACAAAAGGAGTTGAGGAGCTGAATGATACTTTCCACATACCTAGATTAGTTTGCGACCAAACACAAAGCGTTGGAAACCATATCCTGACCCTTGGTTGAGATATTAACGATAGTTGGTAGAAGATCTTCAGTGGGGGAATGCGGCGCGCTCCTGGACAAGTAGCTAAGGCTCTCCCAGAATGCAAGGGCGGCAGTGATCTAACGCATCCCTTACATATCTGAAGCTTTCGATCGAGCCCATGTGGCATAGCGGGTCGACCTTAAGCCTTTGTAGCTTACTATTTGGTCAATTCACGAATCGTGTCCGGTTCGCTTAAAGTGCCGGCATGTCGGTAAATCTGGGGGCGATCTGCGAACCACTTACAGAAGAGAATAAATCTCAGTCCCGGGCTGGAGATAACCCTAGATATCGCGGACGGAAGAATCCTCCGTGTCATTCCTGACTCTCTTAGATATGATCTTCTGTTTGGATACGAAGCTCGGAGCATGATTGAGTCGGGGAGAACACCATTGCTCCGGGCTCTTATCGCCCTACCTTGACGGCGGGAGAAGTCAATGCCGTTTATGTGTGGTGCCTTAAATCCATGCTTGTAGAGATGGCGGCTCTCAGCTAGGCAACTGTCTGTAAACGCCTGACAGTGGAGAAATATTAAATGGCTGAGGAATATGTAGCGGATATTCTTCCATGTCAAGACGATCTTTAATTGTTAACCAATGTGTCCTAGAACTGATAATCAGATTGTCTTTAAGTGTATAATGACTTTATCATAGCTACCGGGTATTAGGATCTGTTTACATAATGTGACACCCAATCTGTAGAGTGAGCCTTGTATAGACATACAGTCAACTTTATATATCAATGCACGATTAATATATGTATTTGGCTTTGAGCACACACTTAATGCAGTAGCATAGAACATTTTATATTCGCTGGATGCTTCTACATGGTGATTAAGTGTTTTTATGTACATTATGTCTTGGCTATATTGAATATATATCTCCACACACACACACACAAATATACATCTATTATTTTCTATGATACGTTCTTTTTGATATGTATTGGCTTAATTTATATTCTATTATATATACTATATATAGGGGAGAACACTACTTTGAAATACATTTACCTATGCTATGGCAGTCCGTATGGAGTTGGAATATTGGACACTACTTATATGAAATTCTATACACACAACACTCTATAAACAAGTCCAAGATGAAGATACGGTATGTGTATATGGCAATGGCTCAGGTTTGGTTGTACTATGTTGCATGTATCCATTCAGCAATAACCGAAATCAGAGACATGAGTATAGGCCTGCTATTCGAAGGCTTCAATCATCAATAGGTATGCATGTATTAGCCCATTCTTATACAGACTTTCAGCTTGCCCGTCATTTGTATATTCTGATTGGGTTACTCGATCGCATAGGTAGTCCTGGTTGCTAAGAAAAGGAAGCTCAAATGCCTGATGATCTACGTGACTAAGTAGTGGTTTATGCCATCTACTTTGTGGCAAATTACGAGAACTGTAAACATGGGTTACCAATTTAATACTGAGTGATTGAGAAGTAAGTCCATTGATGTTATTATGTATTAAAAGAGTTTCTAGTCCTACCCTTCAGGCAAGGTTGAAGGGATACAGATCCAGGACACAAAGTTATCAGGGGAAAGTAAACGAAAGACACCCAATATAAGTCAAGTTCAAGACCACTTCTGTTCCACCGCGTAGTCCACATTCACATATGATGAGACAATCTCATGATCTGTTGATGTGTAGCTATAGAAACCCATCACATTTACTTGGAGGGGACGGGAAGAGAGTCTAGAAGTTCAACGAGGGGGCCTCCTGAGGGACCGTTTGGGCACTCAGCGCCTAGACATTCGCATCTCTGTGTAGTTGTTAGTCTATTGATATAGATTTGGATATAATCTTAAACGAAAACTTACGGTTTTGTCTGAGTCGGGTTCCTTCACGCATTCCCAGGGAATGTAAAATCTATCACCAGTGCATTCCGCCTGCTTCAACGTGCATCCCAGTGGCTCCCCAATTGGGTTCACCGAGGTAACGCTTGCACCAGAGGGCGTAGAGCCATATGCACAGCAGTAGCCAACGCGATCTGGCTCCTTCTCGCCATGGCTCTGCTGGCCATCACCATTGTGGCCATCACCATTGTGGCCATTGCCATTGTTTCCATCGCCCTTGTTTACGTCGCCATTGTTTCCATTACCGCCGTCATGGCCTTGAGGAGCTGCAACGGCAGCGCAAGCGAAAGCAAGGATGGCAGCGACGGTAGTGAAACGCATCTTGAATGAAAGTTGGAGGATTGGATACCCGAGAGATTGAACTGGATAAACGAATGGATGAGGTAAAGAGTGTCTGAGAGAATGACTTGAGAGGCTTGATGATGAATGATTCAGATGTTGGGAGGAAGAACTAGCCCTTTATATAGCTTTTGGGGAGCTTATGACCGCGCGTATACCCTGATGATGTTTGATACGAAGTCAATCGATAGTATGCCTATGCATTCCAGGTACAGATTTAAGATGTCTGAGCGCAGCAGAGTAATACATTCCGTACAGGCCCACAATGTCCAGTTATACCAAACATGCTTCCTCCAGGCATGGTGGATGAATTGAGTCCCTAAACTCTCCCGAATCATGTTTCTGGCAGGGGCATATCCTTTGATATGCCCAGCACCCCTGCACAAGATGCATTGTGTTGTCCAAGGCTCTTTGAGTTCAAAAACACTTACAATTTTGAAAATGAGTTTTACTGGCCCACTCAATCTACTATCTACACATATACACACATTGTGCTTTGAAGCTAAGGTAAAAATCATTATCTCTAGCTCGGTAGACTCGACTGTGCGTCGACTACCTTCTCCAAGGTATTATAACTATATTTGGTCCTCTAAATTGATCTAGGAATCCAAGAGCGTATCTAGCGTTGTACCTTTGAAAGGACTATTTCGGTAGGCTATTTAATATCGAGCCCCTACATGTGCAAGTTCCCTGAATACAGTTAGAGAGTGAGGCAGTGGAATGTCCGAAGCATTATTTACAAATGTAGACCAAGACACTACTAGAAGTCCGTATGGGAGCACTACCTGTATCTGAGGAAGCTTAAATTGCATTTGTGAGGGATCGCCAGTCCGGGGAAGACAAGGAGGCTGTCTCCTATAGGCTACTTCGGTAAGCTCAGTAAATCTTCCTAAATGCAATCCTTCCACAGTTAAGCTCTGATAACTTTAGAAACATTTTTGAATTCACAAGGGTCACGGCCTCGCTTCGAAAGGAATGTTTTAATATGTATACCACAATGTGATCGATATAACTCGCTAAGGGAGATATACATAAGAACTGTTACCGGAAAGGTGCAGTGTTCCTACTCAATAAAGCCGATTACCAAGACCTGGAAAGTGGTTCCTTTAGTTAATTATAATATATTATATGTTATTGTGACGATGTTTATTTGATCAGCTGTGTATGGAATGTGTGTAGTTTATACCCGATAACCTCCTTGTTAGCCGAGGATTGTGAATTTGTGATATTTTAAGCCTCGTGTGAGATAAGCGATGTATGGAATGGGAGTAGTATGTGCCGGATAAATTCTCCGTTCGTCACTGATTGTGATGCTTTGACCCTTTAATGAAATACGTGATATATGAATGAAGCAGGCGGTATGTAATGGATATCTTTTCCGTTAACCAAGGGGTTGTGAGCCCCTTGTACGTAGAATAAGCGATGTAAGAAGTGGTAGAGATACTTGCCCTCATAGTGTCTCGCTTCATTTTACTTTTACTCCTATTTACTCACTCAACAGTTTCGCTATTCCCTTTCACATTTTCTTTCTTTCTTTCTTTTCAACACTGTCCTTCTTACAGGTGCTAACATGGCGATGCTAGAAAGGTGTTCTCGTAGCTCCTCTACACTTGTGGATGTCTTAGACGAGAGTAAAGAATTAGAAGAACGGAGAGCCACACAGCACGCGCACTAAAAGATTAGATTCAATTGTGGCGGCTTTTCTCCCCCTGAATCAACATGCTTGGGAAATTCAAATGTAGGGCATGCGGAAAACTAACCAATCCATTCGCTTAGTTTTCTGGGGCCGCTGCGGCGTGCCGATCGATCATCCCCATCGCCCGGGTTCGGGCAGGGGTTTCAAGAGGTTCAGCCGAACCTTCAGCTCAGCCAAAAAAAATGGGCCCCTCCCTGGAGGTGTGTTTGTACATATATCGTTTCCGTCTACGAATCTTACAAGCTGTATGGAGTATCTACACCTGTGTGATCGGACCACCACTGGCCATAGCAGTTCTAGTAGGTTCCACGGACGATCATCAAGCGAACTGCTCTCCAGGGATCTGTTCACGTCCTGTCTCGTATTCTCAATAGATCTATGACTATCTACATCAGCATCGCCTATGTAGGCTTGGCTTACTTGGCATTTACTCGGAGTCGCCCTAAGTCTTGCCTTCGCTAGTCTCATGAACCAGACCAAACTTGATAAGGAGTTGATGTTAGGGCACGTGCAGGATTCGATCCAGTTTGTCTTCAGCAACTTGACCGTGGTGAAGTGGTGGCCACTGTACCACAGGTTCGAATAGGTTTTATGTTTTCTCTGCTATTAGACATTTGATGATAATAGTATCTTGAATTTCCAACTACTTTAGCCATAACCAAATACTGCTACAGAAACCGATCATTCCAATTATAGTGCAATGACCTCCTGCGCCCTGCGGCAGGCATTCATCGTGATGTCTGACCCCCTGACAAGGAACCGACGTTTACAAGGACCGGGGAGTTCATCGAGCAACTATCCTATTTGGGGGAACCGACTATCTCCAAGGTTTCCTAAAAATGGTCGAAGAAATGCTCCGGCTCCAAGTTTTTCAATCTTGTTTATTCGTTCTGAGGTTTCAGTGTTTACGGCGCCAAGTTCTCGTCTTTCCAATATGGCACTTGTGCTCTCAATGATGCTGACTTAGGTACATGGAGAACCCTTTCTCTCGATATAATACATGTGAAGCTCGACTACCATGGATATGGAAGCTCAATGATGTCCTGGCTATGTTGTTGACTCTCTCCCGCCTCCTAAGGGGCTAGAGGTGGCCCTTATCTATATCACGTACAGGAATAGGTTTCTCGAGAAGTAAGTCCTGCTTGTTCATCTGCGTTAGAGTCCATGCTCAGATACCAAGAAATTCTCGACGGCAGCTTGATTGACCGTAAAAGAAGACGTCATTCATAATGCGAGGTCGAACATCTATGCTGATGCAGTTGCTGCTATCTGGGTATATGCCTTGACATTTCCCTGGGTTGCAGGTCCATCACAAATACCCTAAAACAAGGAAAGGAAAGGAAATGAAAAGGATAAGGTAATAATGGGCCTATTCTAAGAGATGCTTGCACACAAGTCTTGACTATATATATTGAAATGTCTTTCACCGAACCCCCCACAACCCGAACAAAACAACCAAAAAATACACCCCTCCTACACCCTGGACATCCACTCAACCTGTATAGTCCTCGCCACTGAAGCCCGGCCATACTGCATCCCAAAAGCCAGTGCATTCCCCACTCGATCCAGCGGCACCAATGACACAGACATGAGAACACGTGTGAGCGTAGTCCCTGGATACGATGGTGCTTGTGAGGATGCCTGACTCGTCGTGAAGGAGGGCGGGAATTTGGATGGTTCCCACCGAGGAGGCTGTTGTGAAGTGGAATATTGTGTTTGGATTCTTGGTTATGACCTTGGGAATATTATGATTGAAGATCACGATGGATTCATATACACTCTCGAACACGGGGTTTAGGGCTTCTATGATGGGCTCTTCCGGATGGCTGTTTGAATCGAAGGGGTGGCGGTCAATAGTGTTCAGACTCGGTCTATGGTACAAGTACGTATTTCCTCGAAGTTATACGGGTAAATACAGTATCGCGTACTGATTGTAGGATTGAGATAGACTTTTGTCATCGGTGGAACCTTCTGCGGGCATGATACCCTAATCATGGCTATTCGAATGGGTCCAGTGGATCTCCCGTTACTTACCCAAGATCGCTTGCACCTCTAATTTATCTATGTCAAAGGGGCTTAGGGCCATGTTGACTAAGTTATTAACATCCAAGAAGAATGTATTGTTTTAACACCATTTATGGAAAATATTATGGTTTCATCAAACGCCCAAACACCGGAAATCTCATCTCAGGAATACAACAAGGAAACACGACAAGGAAGCGGTAAGTCTGTCCCTGGTAGAAACAAGAGTCAATAAATCAAATGCGCCCCAGAATATGCCCATGTCTCTAACTTAACCTTTCCTAGTTTCTGTACAATGCAAATTTCCACAAGCAAGAAAACATAGTCCCTGGACTATCCACCATACACCATCCAGCTCACTGAGGCCACCCAGCCACACGCGAAGAAGAATGTGATGATCGATGCGCCAGCCCGATCACCGGTCGTGATCGGCTTCGGTGTCCCTATCTGCTGATCCTTATGGCCCGAGCCTGCATTGGGATTACTCTTGCTGGTGCCACCGGTCTCCGCCGTTAACGGTACCTGGTGCTCTTTCTTGTGAGCAACCATGGTGGACGAAAGAACACTCAGCGCACTCATGTCCGACTCCAGTGATTTGGAGCCATCCCATGTGCCTTGCTTGTACCAACTCCGTCCACAGTCAGTTTTGGAGTCACCACCAGAGCACTGCTGTGCTGCGGCTTGGGCTGAGGCTTGGATCTTCGGGAGGATCTGGTCCTCTGTGAAAGGAGCAATGGTAGTCGTGAAGGTTAACCAAGATGACAGAAAGCCTTTGAAGCAGTCTTGGTTACGATCGCACGTCATGCTCTGCTCGCAGGAAATCTCTGACATGATGTCGCCACCGTACTCATGGGGGAAGAACTTGGCTATGGTGGTACCCAGCAAGCCATCGACGGCTTCTTTCCATTTTGCATCACCATCGGTCTATCGGTGGTCAGCGTGAAGGAACCGGCAAGTGTAAGGAGGAAGGGAACACACCAAGTTGTACATGTATGCAGCTCCGCTCAGGTAAGTCCCGTAATTGTACGTCCACTGCAGATCCCCATGATCCTGGCAATTGGCCTCCACGGTCGTCGTATCGGCAATGTTCCAGTCGGTTGTCTTCAGCAGCGGCGTAGTGGCACTCCAATCCCAGATCTTCTCCGCCCAGTCAATATACGTTTGATTCTTGGTGTAGCGACCCAGACGAGCGGCTAGCTGGAAGAGACCGCCATTCGAGATCGCGTTCTTTGTTGTATACCCAGCCTGGTACGGCCAAATCTGCCATCGGAGACCCCCATCGCAACTGGAGTTATCCCAGCGCGGGACCTGAGTGTTGAAAACCCCTTGTGCCAGCGACAACCACGACGACTGGCCATCCTTCTCGGGAAAGTTCAACTCGGCCGCGGTCATGGCGGCCAGTCCCCAGAAGACCTGATCATCGTTTCCAAGATAGTTACTGTAGTTGGCCGGGAAGTAGTCGTCCTGCCCTTTCTGCCAGAGCATTCCTTGCGTGGTCACCTCGTTGTAGGAGGTGTCGCCAGTCCAGAACCAGTATTGAATCAGGGTCATAAACATTGCACCGCCTTCCCACCATGTATCGGGGAGCTTGCCGGGGGTCTGGCCCGACTCGTTTCCATGGTAATAGCTCATCATGTTGTAGGCCGCGGTGGCGGCTGCGCCCTTGATGGATTCTGGGGATCGAGGACGCAGTTAGTATGTGATAAGAACACGAACGAACGGATCCAAGTCGAATGTTGAACCATATGGCGCACAACGTATCAGCTTACTCTCATCTTGCAGGTCAAGTTGCATCGCGGTGCCCCATGCCGCGAACAACACGGTCAGGAATACTGCGTATAGCCAATCTGGCGGCATCATCATCTGCGAAGGAAGACTGCAATTATTGAAAGATGGACAAGAACCACATTGATGTAACCAGACACTGAAGAGAGGGGATCCAACAGTCAAGCAAAATGGGGGTGGTCGGAGGGGTTTGTAGAATGCGGAAAAGAAATGCCCTGGAATGTACGGAACGGGTGGCTTTTTTCCTGTCAGGGTCACTGACCCATGACGAAAGCAATCAGAAGGGGAACAGAGGTTGGAAGGGGGTTGTCACAATATCAACAACACTCTGATGCAAGGGATGGTGGCAGCGACGAATCTGAATTATTCACTTGCATTCTGGATTTATGCTTGCCCCTTGGCAGCCAGAATGAGACAACGTTGGCCATCATTAAGCTATCGAAAGGTCGACTGCTATTTGTTTGGAGAGCTTTGCGACCCGACATAATCCATGGGGTACATAGGACTAGTAGTACCCAAGCCCTATACACAAGGGATAACAGGTGGATGTAGGAATACTCGGAAGGTATTGCGGCTTCTGCTCTCGTTCTCATGTCGACATGGCAGCATTCTCGGTCTTGTTCAAAATTTTGCGAGACTAACTGGCAAACAGCTATATCGGAGTACTCTTGTATATTGGTTGGCTTTCCATGTCACCAAAGATGTTGAAGCTAATCATGGGTTATGCACTGCTTAGTGATCATGTGGATAGACTTCCTTAGTTCGTTATGCATCCGATTTAGGTAAGTCATCGACATGACCATTTCTCCCCTAATACCTTTGCATTGTCCATGTAATCATGTTCCAGTACAGTCCTGGTCTGCCCTCACAGATACAGAGTAGACATGCTTCCTAGTATGTCAACCCAATCCTATGACTTCTTACCAATCTAAACTAGGAAAGAAAAATACGGCATGTCCTCTCCCCGAGTTGAACGGGAGTGGAATCAAGGCGCGAAGGGAACAAGGTCTACCAATCTACATGAGTTTATGGAATCAGAGACAACCCTCCTAAGTGTGTACATGCCTGGGATAATTTGATGTTAGATAAATTTCGAAATATACACGCTAGAGGGTCCGGGTGGTCCGGTCTGGGAGCGGCATGGTACGAGGAGCGGAGACCTATTTGCTGCTTCTTTTCCAACGGTCGCCCATAACTTGGAAAAGTTAGTAACTGAAAACACTGCTAGTTTGAAGAATATCATTCAGTGTATTGCCGATCAGCTATCCCGAATCCATCTCACGGAGAGAATTACTTAAGTACAAAGTTGCCCTGCGTCTTAGACCCATCCGTGATATCATATAGTTGATACATAACCGAGATTTGATCCCCACCGACATCTGAAAACTGAATATCCCCCTTATGCTTCTGGAAATCGACTTGGATGATAATTCTATTCCGCAGGTTATCTTCAATTGTTCCAATGGACTTATTGGCAATAGTCACATGGAGAGAAACATCTCGGTTCTCAGGGTTCAGCCAGCCTTTAATCTGCATTGTATTAGAGCGGTCATTTCATATCAACGACTGCAACTCACCGTTACGGGCCCGTCGGAGCCGGACACATCTTTGGCGTTCCCAGGTTTGGTATGTTCGATTTCCTCGACTTTGTACAGCGCTTCCTGTCCACCTGTCCGGGTACGCTTCACCTGATCGTCTAGATCTCAATGAGCTAATTGCATCGTGTTTCGAAGGAGCCTTTGCACGTACCGATAATTACCACAGTCTGGTCGGCCATGACTTTATGTAGAGGAACAGAAAAGCCTTGTCTTCAGTCTTCAGTCTTCGGAGGTTCTGGAAAATGGACAGAATCCCATCAGAGAAACTTGGGGTATTTATCTCGTTATCTCCTCGTTTGACACCTGTCCGCAAACTTCCCTAGAGCTTGCCAACCTGTTGCATTTCGACAGCATGGCGGCGTGGTAACCTCCTGCATGCGTTGCCAAGTGCACAACTCATACTTCCGGCGATTCAATCTCTGGTAACCCGGCGTACTGCACCAAGGGGGGCTTACCATGTCAGCCAGCCCCAGTTATAACTGTGGGTCAAGATACTACGCTACTATAGACTGTGACGTGGAGTAACCCGCGGATGTTACGCAGTTGAAATTGTTGTTCACGTCCAGAGTCCAATGTTTTACATCCGGATATGGAGGCAGACCCACAGAACATGACGGAGCATTGCAGAGTCCATTCCCGGCGCTGTCAACCCTTCCACAAACATGTCAACATACTCTACCTACATGAATGGGAGTCACTCAGCACAGTGGGAAAGCCACCGAAGTCCTCGTGCGTCACATAGACAGGCTTTTTATCTACCTGGAGCTAAAACTTAACTTCCGTTTGCAAGACCTCTGTCCGGTCCAGCACCTCCCATCTTCTTTCCCACCTCATGCACATACATCAACCCAAAAATATATTGCCTGTGGTACTTAGTAGATCCAGCTGTCATTTACATACATTTTCAAGACTAAAGATGGCCGGATGGCCGGGACACATCGCCCGCCCCGGTAGCCAAACCACTTAGGTGTGTGCATTAGTTCAGTAAATACAGACGGTCTTGGCAGAGAGTTAGTACTAGAACTTAGACAGCGGCACGGGCCATCCATTCGACCCACTTGGACAACTTCAATTTCATACCCAAGTCAACGGCCTTTGTGTGACCCTTAACCTAGTCTTGAACCATATATAACTTGATTTATACGTAAAACATTTGTGTATATTTGACTTATTTCTTGTTGTTTGTTTAGTCTATTCAATCCTACATTTCTTACTATAGTATAGGTATGAGGTGATAAAGGTTCCTCACCCTCGCACGGGCCTTGTAAAAAGGCACCATGACGTTGAGGTACATATCTAGGCACTCATACATGGGTTGTCTCATCGCAACTCTCATGCGGGTTTCAGCTAAAAGCAGGTGAAGACGGCTTCCACTTATGTCATTGCTCGCTCGGCCAGAATATTGATGTCATTTCGAGTTGATGAATCTGATGTGTACCACCCCGTCTGCACCGGACTACATGTAACCTCGAGGCCGTACATGTCATCGACCGCATGCGGCAAGACGTGTTCCTAGTATGACGGCGCACACGAGACTATCCACCTCAGCCCCAGGTAAAACAAGTACTATTCTCCGGCACGAATGTCTGCGCTACCGTCGTGTTCGATAGATGTGGAGAGATCACAATATAACACGACTCCCGACATAGTGCAGGATCTTTTGCTGAAAACATGCCGATTTTAGCTCCGCGGGAGCAATGGGATCTCCTCAATCTACTGCTTGGCACAGTTGCCCTCATCAGGATTATTATGCCCCCATCTGCCATAGAGGCCAAGCTGTCGATACCTGAAGACCCTCTACATCGATTGAGCTGACAATAGGGCAACTTGAGGAGCTTTTGACAAGGACTTCCAAGGAAAAAAAAAAAAAAAAAAAAGACCGGTAAGTGGATAGTCGGGGTTGACTCACAATTCGAATATAAGGTATATGATGCCTAAGAAATGGGTTCTTCCCTTGTACTCCCCTACGGCATCAGAGTAGACCGTTGCAAAAAACTCTCGAATAGCTTCATGAATCCGTCCTTTAACCCCAGAAACCCTAAGCCCCGGTGTAATACATATTGGCTATAATAATGACATGCAAAGCTGTACAACCTGCTCATTGAACTGGCTGGTTAATGAACGGTTACTGTATCATTGCAGCTACGACGTCTGCACTGATTGAGACGGTTCCTAAAGTGATCAAATGGTTGGAGTATCCATCATGTGACCACTAGCCAATTGAATATCACTGTGGGATATATAGGTTATGCCTATTTGTTAACTATCACGTGGCTTCAACAGCATAGTTTGATGACTTTAGGGACACCTCCGTTACTAGAGGATATTTTGTGCGGGAGGTGGGTGTTCCAGTATCCGCGCCACCGGCCTGGGAAGATGTTGATCTCGGAGCTGCTTCACGTTACGGAGGTTTGAGACAACCTAACCGTGCCCTAACGCTGCTATCTCCGCTAACCCTTTACTGTGACGTGTTGGATCGTCAATACTTTATATAGGGATTGCCCTACCCCTGCAGTAATAACCCATGCTCTTAATACCTGTGAATATACTTCATAGATCTATCACATTCCCACGAAAGCTGAACAGAACGAGACAAACAACCTACTTCCATTATCGAGGGTGCCCAATTCAAGCCAGATCAAGAAATCTCAGACCTAACCGGGAAGACCCTCCTGGTCACCGGCGCCAAAAGTGGAATTGGGCGGGAGACAATATTTTAGCAGGCAAAACATAATCCTGCTCGAATCTTCCTCGCAGCTCGTTCGGAAGCCAAAGCGCAAGAAGCAATAACCGAATTAAATAGTCTTTCAACATACAATGCATCAGTATCATTTCTCAATTGGACTTATCTTCATTCCAGAGCATCAAATGCGCGGTAATAACTTTCCGTGCCATTTCTGATCGTCTTGACCTACTGATAAGCAATGCGGGTATCACGGCCAACCCCCGGCCCGGACAAACTGAAGATGGGTACGAGATCCTATTTAGAACCAACCATATGGGCCACGCCCTTTAGACTTGCCTTCTCCTCCCCACACTCAAGTACACAGCGACTATTGCACCGGATATTCGAGTACTCAGGTGCCCCGAAAGAGGGCTACTGGCTCGATAGCTGACTCAAGACCCCTATGTCAGATATTTCTACCTGGACTATCTACGGTCAATCTAAACTGGCAAATATTCACTACTCCAGAGATTTGGCTCAACGGCATCCGGAGATAAAGTTTATCAGTCTCCATCCTGGTATCGTTAAGACGAATCTTGGGACAGAATTCATCTCGGATTCCGAGTTGGTGGTCGCTGCTGCTCTCAAGTTTGCCATGAGGTCTACAACGGTTGATGCTCGCGGAGGAGTTTTCAACGCTCTTTGGGCTGCAACTAGCACCGCTGCAAAATCGGGGGTGTTTTATTACCCTGTGGGGATAACTGGAAAAATTTGACGCTTGCTAAGGATGAGCGGTTATGCGAGTAACTTTGGGAGTACACAGAGTTAGTTATATGTATTGGTGTGAATAAATGCGATAAATAATCCAATAGTAGTAGAAAGCTGCTACCATGACGTAGTAATGTAGTTCTGCTTCCACCCTTTAGTACAGCACTGTAAACCCTGTGCTGTGACAATCCTATGCACGAAACTCTCCTGCATCTGATATACTGGCTTCATTCCGAATTCACACAACGGCGAGAATATGTCATGTAACTTGCTCGCTGACAATTATAGCCGTCTCTTCGGTAAGCGGGCCAAGACGTCGAAGTTAAGAGATCGTCTTTTACTATGCAGTAACACATAAGGGTGGAGTCGGCGATGCATCCCCCAACTATTTATCAATATATCAAGAAGTAGAGTACGGAGTACTCCACCACGATTGCTATATTCCCCACATATGTGACCATTGGTGAACTGACCAGTGGTTCAATAAGATTCATGAAGAAAACCACATGATCCAGAAAACATCTAAACTGCGTTTTCAAATCCGGCCTAAGAAAGACGATACTTGAACGCTCCACTCATACGGCCGCTCAATCCCACCTGGCACTGAATTGTAGTATTCCCAACCCATGATACCACCAATTTCACCATACTCATTATGTAGTTAACTGTGTCCTTAAGTATCTTAAGTTCAACGCAATCATCTCCATTATCAGGATTTGTCAACAACCCCGCCACCGTGTTAGAAGGATAAAACCCACCGTTGACAATACTTTTGTAGTCAGTCGTTCTCATACTTCCGTGTAAATTATAAAACTAGATGTTGCAGAAAAAGATCTAGTGTTGATGGCCATGCTCTAGTTTAGAGTAATTCAATTGCGAGAAGTGGTAGAGAGCTCTAGATTGAAGAGCCAATGTAGTAGCGGCCGTAGATACTTCAAAGCTCGGACCAAAGTCGTCATAGAGGTGGTTGATCCATCGACTAATGCCTGACTGTGATATTGGCTCTTCTATATCAAGGTCGATACCATCGAACCTGTAGCTCTTGAGCATGCTGGACAGGTTCTGATAGCATTCTTTAAAGGTACTATTGTTGTCTAGGGCGGCAAAGCTACCTTGTGCCGCGCTGCCTACCGTTGCCATGATTGTGACACCTCTCTCACGAAGTGCCCATATGTTTGGCCGAACGTCATTGAATTACATGTGGTCAGGTGCAAATATCCGTTTGGTCTGAGAGGGAAGCATTCTAAGATGAGATGAGTGATTGCGGTTGTTCGGTAGGGTAGTTGTCAAAGCAAGCAACGAGACTGGAGAGGGAGGCTGCGGTGGTCTGGTAGTAGACGATTATGCGAGGAGCCATATTGGGGTGTACGATGTGTTAGACTTCCTGCTGAATAGAGGGTGGAGGTGTAAATATAGCTTTAGGTTGTTTCTGTCAAAGTATTTGGAGACTACGAAGTATACACGGCTTTGCTCTGGTTTATACCCGTTGTTGAGGATTGATTTTGTTCTATTACCCCCTTTCAGAATATTTTCGGGCATTTTATCCGTAGAATTTCGGAGTATTTGGCACTGTCCTCCATGTCTCATTTTGCGTGACAGCGGGACGTGCCTAACATCATCTGTCGGACTCATGTCGCCATCGCGGTTGTCCCGCTGAGAGACATTGAGGTCGTGCGATGCCAAGACAAGACCAGGGTGCAGCTAGGAACGATTTGATGCGCGTCTTTCGTGATTTATTCTCATAATTGCCTAGCTTATAGGGCAACATGCAAATAATAGTAGGCCAAAACCACATTGTCAATCACATCATTGCCACCATAATGGCATACTGTTAGGGTTACATCTAGATCCTCCATTTTTTCTTAGAGCTGGGGATGCATATATGCATCTTTCCCTGCTGATACGTGCCGTGTTGGTAGCAATAAATACTTCTACGCTTTCACTTCTGTACTCTTCCTGTGAAAAGGAGGTTGGACATAGTTTGCAGTTGTGACTACCTGGCGCGTTAAACCATGGGTCAGTGACAACAATTCTTTAACCTCCCCTACCCAAGTGAATCTGAATTAACCTTCTATTAGCTCCTCACGACTTTGTAGAATCGAATTCACCCGGTGGAGAGAACAAAGCTACGTTCACCGTATCAGACGAAGAAAAGGGCTCTCCAGCCGCGACCGACCCCGTCTACGATGGTGACCAGTATCTAGGCCAAGCACCCACCGAGGAGGAATTAAACACCCTACGCAAAGTCCCGGGCCCGGTATCAGGATCCGGATATTGGCTATGCACCGTTGAGTTTGCAGAGCGTGCCTCTTATTATGGCTGCACCTGGGTATTTCAGAATTTCATTCAATATCCTCTGCCCCCCGATGGGAATGGCGCGGGAGCATCGGCGCCAGGATCGGAGAAGCCCGCAGGAGCACTAGGGCAGGGATTGCAGGTCTCGTCCGCACTGACGCTGCTGTTCAAGTTCCTCGCGTACTGCATTCCCATCTTTGGCGGCTGGCTAGCGGATACGAGGCTGGGTCGATATAAGACAATCTGTATCGGTGTGGTCATTTGCGGTGTTTCGCATATTATCATGGTCGTCGGTGCGATTCCGAGCATATTACAGGCTGGCCATGGCATGGCTCCGTTCATTGTCAGTTTGTTGATTCTCGCCTTCGGAGCTGGTATGGATTCAAGACCCCGTCTTTATCTTCACCGAGGGTTGACGCGTATCTAGGGATATTCAAACCTAATATCTCCCCGACTGTCATGGAACAGGTCACCTTTAAGCATCCCTACATTAAGACGCTCAAGTCCGGAGAACGAGTCGTTGTCGATCCTGAGACCACCATCCAACGGCTTACACTCACATTCTACGGTATGCCTGTATCAAGCTGTTCTGTATGTCAAAGAAAGGCTAACTTTGTTGTCAACCTTGCAGCTCTGATCAACGTGGGTGCTTTCTTTGGACTGGCGACTAGCTACGCTGCGAAGCGTGTTGGTTATTGGCTGGCATTCCTCCTTCCCGGTATCATCTATTTCTTGATGCCGATTATCTTAGCCTTAGTATACAAGAAGACGATCAGAACACCCCCACAAGGCAACATTCTCGGAGACACCCTGCGTGTCATTAAATTAGCCGTCCGGCAAAACGGATTCCGGAAGTTCGGATCGGTGGCGTATTTTGACTCAGTCAAGCCATCGGAGCTTGCACGGAAGGGTATAGCATCATACAAGGGGAAGCCGATCAGCTGGAATGACGGGTTTGTGGACGACGTTCGTCGCACCCTGGTAGCCTGCCAGATCTTCCTGTTCTACCCCCTCTATTGGCTTAACAACGGGGGCATCGGAAGTATCACCAACTCCCAAGCCGGATCAATGACAACTAAAGGCGCACCAAATGACCTCGTCAGCAACTTCAACCCTCTAACAATTATCATCGCATCACCCATCCTCAACTACGGCCTCTATCCCTTACTGCGTAAGCACCGAATCGAATTCGGCCCCATAAAACGTATCACCGTCGGCTTCATCCTCGCTGCCCTGAGTTGCGTCGTCGGCGCCCTCCTCCAATGGCGCGTTTACGAAACTTCACCTTGCGGCTACCACGCGACGGAATGTGACATCGGAAATGGAGTCTCGCCGCTCTCCGTCTGGGCCCAGATCCCGATGTACGTTCTCCAGGCCCTGTCGGAGCTCTTTGCCGTTGTAAGCGGATACGAACTGTCCTTTTCGCGGTCGCCGAAGAGGATGCGCGCGTTGGTTGTCGCTCTCTTCCTTTTTATGTCTGCCCTCTCGTCCGCGATCAGTCAGGCTGTTCTTCCGGCGTTGGCGGATCCGCATCTGATTTGGCCATTTGTCGGGACTGCTGTCCCTGGAGTGCTTCTTGCGGGAGTGTTTTATTGGATGTATCGGGATCTAGATAAGGAGAAGTTCTTGAGGGAGGATTCGGATAGTCAGCAGGAGATTCTGTCGGAGAAGGAGAAGAATTAGAGTGTTGATTCTTGTTATTTTAAGTGCGGTAGGCTGCTTTACGAGGGCTTTTTCTTCCAATGTTGAATATTTACTCAGCTTCATTACGTTATACACGTCTTCTAAAAGTCAGCATCATACAGGATCGGTATGTACTTCCCATCTGCCCAAACCAAGGATATGAAATGGTAAACTCTACATTACTCGGCTTCTATGTAGGCTTCCTAGTCCTCGACCCGAAAAGATTAGAATGGGAAGTAGCTCAATGCGTACTCTCCCTTCTGCTCAAGGTAGCTTACTTTAATGACATTAATTTGTGATGGAAACAGTTTCGGATGGGGCGACAGACATTGAAACAGCCATGCTGAAGGCACGGGGCAAGTCCAATCTCGATGACACTGGCACGAATGTAATTCAAACTACAGGCAACTGCATCCGTCAATGCAACCACGCCAATCTCCTAAAGCCTTTCACTCTCTTTGCTACTTGGTTATGCAGTGCCCCAGTTGGCTCTTGCTTCGGGGGCCATGTCTAATGCCCACATGCCCAAGACTAAGTCCTACCTTGTGATCTGCAAGTAAAGGCCTATTCGGCCATGCCGTGCGCATACTTAGAGACGGAAGTTGATACTGAGATGCAACGCTAAGCCCTATCTCTGACTTCATCTCTACTCCCACTGCTGCGACTGTGCCATGCAGAACACGTCGAAGGAAGGGTGTGAGTGGTTAGAATAGGTCACTCCTGATCTAGAGTACACAGAGAACCTGCGTGACAAGTAAGATGGCATTCCAGACTTCTCCATGATATTCACCTTCGTCTACGTTCGCAGCGAAACATACCCAAAGCGGAAAGCCATTGCCAACTTCCTGCAGGACTGTACTACAAGTATGTGTATCATGAAGCCAGGCCTATACCAGTGATGTATAAGCTGGAAGTCTATTTCCGGAAGACATACTGCACATGGCACGGATATAGACAGCTATCACTCAGACGAACAACTAAGGCCAACCAGTCAACGTGAGTACCATAGAGAGACATGATGTGACATGCGCCACTTCGTCACATTTTGATAGCTTGCGCTGCAACTCTTTGCTCAAACCTGACTTCTCAAACAGTCCGCATTGGGAACAAGATATCAACTCCTCTCCACTTCGACCAGCCCAGACATCTCATGACATTGACTGTGACAGAGCAAGATTCCATGAATACCGATTCTAGAGCAAATATCCTAACGGTAATGGTGATAGCTCACTCTAGCAATACTTTGCACCTCTGAAAGCATCCGGGATCGAGAACAAATGTAACCGTGAAATTAGGGCTACTGGTCTCTATCTGTGAGTCCCGATGCTACGAACATCATGGAGAGCTCCACGTTCCGTCCAAAATTACATCAACCTTCGCTATCTTCGACTGCTATGGCACCGTTGCATGTTGACTTGGAAAGAATGTTTCCAACTTCAATGATGATCGCATGGAGAAAGTGAAATCTCCATCCCGTAGGAAGTTGAGGAGCATGCTCAAATATTTAAGGAGCTATAGTCACGGCCCAATTGCCTCTCTATCATCTCAATCAACAGGCTCTCAAGCATTCTTACTCCAACTCAATCTCAATCAAAGAACAGCATCTTCAAATCTGCTCACCATCATGCCTTCCGCTGTGAACAAGAACGGCCCAACCTACGTCCCCCAGCCCGCCCAAACCGGCAAGGCCAGTGAGCCGGACTTTAGCATCTGCGGTCCGCTCTTTGCCGCTGCCCAAAATGGTGATCTCGACAGGATCAATGAGATCCTCGATAAGGATCCCAAAAGGATCGACGATCAATGCGAGAAACATGACAAGTACACTCCGGTGATCGTGGCCGCCGTCTCTGGCAAGCTCGAAGCCGTGCAGTTGCTTTGCAAGCGCGGAGCAAATGTCAATCTCCGGGACAGTAACAGCTACACTATTATCAAACTTACCCTGGACAAAGGGTATGAAGATATTGCCAATTGGCTTGTCGACGCCTACCCGGACATGATCATCACTGATCCCCGTCTGCCCAAGGGAGCAGAATGGCTGAAGGCTCAGTTCGCGAAGATATCGAACAACATCAAGGATGAGGCCAGCAAGCCGCCCAAATCAGTGCTGGAGCAGCTTCTCTCGGGAAACCTGAAACCGGATACTGATCGTACCGTTTCGGAGGTCTACTGGGAACATATCCTCCTTCGGTATATCGGTGACATCCCGAAGGATATTGAACGGAACTACTCCAAGAAACTGAAGATGGCGTTCTGTGGAACGTTTGATCGTACCCTGCAGGGTCATGAAGGTATCAAGGAGTCTGCTAGACTGTTGAATAGTGTCTTGCCTACCACTCAGTACAATATCACTGGTACTCATGTTGCTCCGAAGGGTCAATGGGTGACCGAGCGTTGGGAGTATCATGATTATGACAACAATCTGCAGGTTCTGGATGGTGTTGATACTTTCTTGATTAATGAGGAGAAGGGCAAGATTGAGGTCATGTTGATCAATTATAATGTCTACGAATTGAAGTGGATTGATGATCCAGAACGTCCTGTCAAGAAGACCCATAACTGGACGCCAGTTTGATCTATTTCCTTCTAGCTGATTATGTGGTTTGTGGGAATGCTTATATGAATTGAACGGAAACGGGAGAGGGGCGAGTCACATAGCGAGGAAAGACAAATAAAAAACGAAACAAAAAAGAGAAAAAAGAGGGGAAAAAAAAAAAGGAAAAGAGAAGAGAAGATGTTATGCTTGTGGAAGGAGGGTCTTGTTTATGTTTTGGGTCTACTATCGTTAATGTTTAGTACGGAGTTGGTGTTATGTAAAACTTGAAAAATACACAAAAAAATTGTTTTCTATTATTTTACCAGCCGTACATTCCAAACCCTAATCAGATTGTGATAACCAGTGACCCAGTCAATTAATGAGAAGTAGGTCGCTCGTACAGCGAATTTGTTATCTGGAGCTCTATATTCTCATGTCATGTATGCTCCTCTACTACCAAGGTGGATTACATCGGATACAGAAAGCATGCGTGGAAAGGAAGGATAGAGTGTAGTGGAAAAAGATTATCACTGATGCTCATGTAAGATTAGATATCATAATTGCTTTTACACATCATTCTCGCTGGTATACTACATCGTGCGAAACATGAGCCTCGGCAACCTACAACCGGGAAGAATCCCCTGGCTTGCTGCCTGCACAGCATGAAGTAGAGAAAGCGTTGCGTGACATGGTATCGACACACACCGATGAAGGAGGGACCCAAAGACCGGGATTCTTGACGAAGAAATTCGAAGCGCGGAGCATGATGCTGACAGGCTCGGCAGGCATGATAGGGAAATCCTCAGTCCTCGGGAAATGGGTCAGGCCAAACTGGAGGTAACAGACGATATCTGTGTTCTCGATAGACTCATTCCGGTTGGACCAATCAAGGATGGTCTCATTATCAGGGTGGTTCTCCTGTCCTGTCGACTGGCAGACGTAGTTCCCAGCAGGGAATAATTCGTAATCCTTGTAGGGAAGCACCCATAGAGGTTTGCGTGCGAATGCTGCGCGTGTGTGGACGACACCACCCGGTTTCGCTAACATGGGTGGGCAGGATGTGTTGATGATCTTGAATCCAACGGGCTTCTTGGAAGATGGGTTAATGGAGTTCGGATTGATGATATCCCAGGTTCGGTTGGTTTCGTAACAGTACTCAGCGGCACCTTCCAGCGATGTGCGCAATGGTGTCTTCTTGCTGTAGAAGGCATTGCCGTAGAAGTTCTCTGGTGAGCCCACTGGATAGTCTGATGCAACCGCGTCATTCTGAACAACGGAGTTGTTTTGGCCGTCTACCTCGGGATCAATACGCAGTGAGAAAAGGTGCTGATGGTTATGAGCGGTAATTTGAGGAGCCACCTCGGTTCCGTATGGTGCGGCCTGTTCGGTGGGGTGCAAGGGATAGGTGTTCAACATGCCGGTGAGCTTGAGTTCCAGCTTGTAGGTTCCATCAAGGGAGAAGATGTGGTAGAATCCGTAGTCATAGTTGGCCGCGGTGATGATTTGCGAGATAATGAGTTTTCGATCACGGGCGGAGATCACTGTGCCGTCTCGGAAATCTGTGTGTTTATACAGAAGGCCATTATCCTCCTCATGAATACAGATGGCATTCTTGACCACTGCTGCCTCGCCACTTGCAAGGGCCATCACTCCGTCCAGGTAATGGATCGCACCCTTGCAATCACAGCCAAGCTTCAATGAGTTGCTCATGAAACCACTGCCGTATTCACCCACATCAAATGCATGCTTCTTGTGGTGTGGCTTCTCGGGACAACCGTATGGCACCACCATCTCGACCACACTGATTCGGTTAAACAAAGTACGCTCGCGGTCTTGGTAAGGATCATGCGCGCGGACGTCTGAGATGACGATACCCTCTCGGTAGTTGAATCCGATGTGCATCTTGTAGCCGGCCCAGGAGAGCTCATTACCCTTCATCTGAAACGAGACTCCTTGCGGTTGGGTGATATCGATAGGTTTCAGTCGGTCATGGTTGTACTTGTCGCCAATAAACTGGGGCAGGTAGTTGTGCTCGGTAACGGGCATAGCGGTGCGCTCTCCGTTCACATAGCGGATATCCACACTGAGGATTTCCTCTCGCTCGGTATCGGCCACAATCGAGAAGTCCAGAGGATGGGCGTACTGATTATCAAACTCGGAGTTCCGGTAGTATGCCAGACCCTGCTGGAGGCGACGCTCAAAGCCCCATCGCTCGTCAATGCCGATCGCCCAGGCGTCGATGTACACCTTCGACATGTCGGTGATTCCGATGTCCTTGCATGCTTTGATGACACGAGAGTCTTTGCGCGCAAGGCCCTCCAGGATATCCAGGTCTTCGAGGGTGAGAGTTGGCATGACATCGTTGACGTCCTTCCACTCCTCTACCTTCGACTTAGTCAAGTTGGCGACGGCCTCGGCGATCTTGCCGGACTTTCGGTCAATGACAATGGCGAATGCGCGACGGTCAGGGCGTGGCGCTTTCCCTTGTTTGAATGCGGCATACTCTTGCTTCTTAGGCTCACGAAGAGTAATGCAGTTGAACTTGAGTTGCTTTGGACTGGCATATTCGCGGAACAATGCTGCAGCCACTGGGATCTCAGCAATCGAAAGCTGATCTATGATACAATTAATACCCATTTTCTATTCTGGTGTCTCATGATAAGCATACCAAGGGGGTGAGGAATTCCTTGTGGTGTCACGGCGGCGGCGGCGGCACTGTCGTAGTCTCCCTCACGAAAGATCGTGTAACCTGGAATTGATGTTGTGTCTGGAGCCATGGTGTATCTAATTTGGATGATCAAGGTGGTAGTAATTGACTGCGATGGCCATGCCAAAGGAATTTTGTGGGACAGCGGGCAAAGGACCTTTATATAGCTTCAAAAGCCAAGGGAGACGTTCCTTCAATCGCGCGAAGCTTCCCTATACGGAAGCTCAAGTTCCAATGACTGAACAAAGTAGACCCAGTGACTAATATCGGCCTGGTGGCACCGGCGGCTACCAAATTCTAGTGGAAGTTCCTTAAGCAGCCTCTAGTCTTACGTTTAGAATTCTAGGCTCTGCCTTGTGCAGCGACCAATCATGGTGGATTTTCCAATCCACATACCGGAAGCCGAATGATAGAAACCCTGGATGGGGCAGGTCTAACTACTTGGCTAAAGATGCCAATGGCATCCTGGATTTTATTTTGTGGGGCATGCATTCTCGTGTTGATCAATGCTCCTTAGGAGAAGCTCCAGGAGACTGGCTAAATTTTGGCGCATCTACCCTAGCCTTATCTTTGAACAACTACCCTCTGTTATATCCCTACTCCGTATCGCAAGCTACTTACTATCCATACTTTGCTATGTCCTATGTATCATTTGTACGTATCTAAGCACACAATCCTAGTTCCTGCAGCACCCGAAAAGGGCGGCTGTGAACGTAGGCACAATGCACGAAGGCAACCATTCCCAACAGACCCCCCGCAATCCGGAGCCTGTATGATCCACAATGATCGTGCCATGTGGACATTCTCTAACGATTAAGTAAACGCACCTCCGTTGTGCTATGCCTGGTATAGGAAGTCCAGCCGAGCGAACCAACTTGGCGCGGCGGGTAATCGAGGGTTATGGTGGAGACGTTGGCGCAATTCGACGCGATTGGCCGGTTTGCCTTGAGCTCTGACAATCAACCGAGATAGCTTGCCACTACGGCGTTTGTTCATCACTGTGGCTGTTATATGCGGCCCAGAACTGAGTTTCAATGGCGAGGTGAGTTTCTAGGAGCTTCAAGAGCAGGATAATGAAGTAGCCCGCGGAACCCGAGGAGATGAAGCTTGAACTTTGGGTAAATATGATTCTCATCACGCTGCAAGGCAGCAAGTCAAAATAGCCGTGGTGTTGTTCTAGTGTCTTCATATATAATCAGCTTCTTTGACTTTCTTTGAAGTAAATTTATCTTATCAGGGATGGTTCCACAGATGTTATCAAAATCGTCATAAAGTAAAGAAATATCTGAACAAAAGGGAAGACAAAGCACAGAATGAGATACGGAGAAATGAGAAAGGTGAGAAATTCCGCAATATTACCCACCGAAAGCCTGTTTGACACACTCAATTGTCGTATTCATTTGGCTACTTTCATGAAAGAGCTGGTTTAATATGTAGGTTAGAATGCATCAAAGCCCTTCTTAGTCTAAGATTCTTTAAATACCAAAGTCGATCCGAACCCTTTGCAACGGCATGTTCAGACCAATGTTACTATGGACCTGGTCGTGCAAAAGTCCTGGGTTTCAGAGCTGTCGCGCATACCAACAAGACAGCCGACCCTACTCATTGTCTCGGGGTCATCGCATACAGGCGTCACAATAAGAGAGAAGTAATAAGCATATTGGCCGTTATAAACATTGTAGCCAATGACCAAGCGGAAAAGCCTCATGGCCTTGATTATCTCGACCGAATCATCGAGTCCGTTATTGATTGTGTCAAACGTCGCAACAGACTTTCCATCAGATCGGTCTGCTCTCTTAACTTGTATGGCATGCTCTCCCCCTAGGCCCTTACCATGCACCAGAATCAGAGGAACAAGGGGCGCTTCGATTTTGATCCAACCGCTGTACTGACGCTATGGGCTCGACTCCTTCAAAGGGCTGACTCACAGAGCCATCAACAGACACCCATGACCAGGATGGCGCGCGGTACTCGCTGGCCGCCCTACACGGTTCCAAAGGAAGCTAGGCTAGTTCTTCCACCAGGAGCTCCCGCCAAAGCCCAGCTACATAAAGGCTGCTGAAAATGTTGCTGTACTCTTTCGCGATGTCGGACATGACCAGTAATTCCTCAGAAGGATATGTCAGACTGCGTCGGCCATACAGCCCTACTAGGTCGTACCAGAGAAACCGCGCAGTATCCGGCGTTAGCGGACCATATTTACTCAAGTCCGTGATCGATCTATAGGAATGCCTGTCCTTATAATTGTCTCGATGTTCGTCGATCAGCTCAATGCCATCTTCTGAGATGAACCCCCTTTCGCACACAAAATACAGCTTGTCGCTCGCAAACAGCAAACTCCGGCGAGAGAATAGGCGTTCCTAAAAAGCCCATGCCCTTCTAAAGAGGGGCTCATCGTCAAAGTATAAGAAGTTCTGTTTGTAAAATTCAGATATACCTGGAAGTAAGCAGACATCTATGTATCCTCGGCAAGTGTTGCTCACGTGGGGGAGACGTACGCTGGGCCTGGACGTCCTCCGAGGCACAAGTCCCTCTGTGCTTCTCGTGGCCGAGGTTGCTGATATACATAGGTAGGCCTAGATTGACCCCATATTGGCAGATTCTCTCTCCCAGTCTTGCGACTCGTCTTGATAAATGCACAGGCGGTCGATCCATAGGTATTTCACTTGAAGAGCTCGAGTCATCCGTATCGCATCTTGAAATGTCGGCGGGAGTTCATGGAGGCATATTCGCTTCTTCTGGGACTCGACGTTTGACCGTGTTGTTGTGAAAGCCCTGTCCCCACCCCAACATTAGCTAAGTATCACATAATGCCCATGAGTCTCTTCACCCTCCTCGACAAGTTTGACCAAATTTCCCGAGGCCTCAGACCCCACATCTATGAGTCTAGTTGGAAGGGGCCTTGGGGGTATAGCACACGACCTTTGTTGGTTGTTGCAGTCAGTGACCCATGCTGCGAAACGATCACAGACTGCGGTATCTAAAATGTCCTTGGGCAGACGTATCCCGGAATACACTGGCAAGAGGATCGCTGAGGTGACATTAGCCAAATTGCTATTGTCGTATATGTGGTTTGGCTACACCTTCCGTCATAACAAAAGATAATCATAGCTAAGACTAGTGCACCGCGCGGCTGTGTCATATCATTGGGGGTGATCACGACAAAGCCATCCCCGTAGATGCACCTGGTCAACCACAAATCAAAGCGGAGGAAGTTTGTTACCGATATGCTACCGATATGCCCCCTCTCTTCTCATCTTCCTCCAGTACTGTCAATGCTTCATCCAACTGGCCCTCCAAAATATGGCAGAGCTCACACCCCGCTGCTGATGCCCGGCGCAGGCTGTCTATATTGGGGTGGTGAGGGAAGCCCGGAGCATTCCATGTCAATTTGTCGTCATCTTCAATTGGCCACATGAGCGGAAAGCGCCTGGCGGAGTAAATGGTGTCTAAAGGGAACAAGGGGGGGAGGTCTTCTGTAGAGATGCTTTGACACATCGCACATAGAGTCATTGTGATCAAATCTAGCTGGTATAGGAAAATAGAATTTACGCTAAATTTGGGTGGTTCGGAAGACTCCCTGTGCGCTGGCATTTGTCGAAGCTGTCTAAAATGGGATCCGTTACTCTGCGGGCTCGTTTGCAGATACTAAAATCATATACCGAATCGACCCCGCACGGGTGCCACGTAGCTGAGACTGAGATTGAGGCTGAGGTTCCACTTGGCTCTGATTCATGCAAGATCTTGATATCAACTATATACAAAGACTAAATCATAACATTAAGAAATGGTAAAGCGACATGCATCATTAAACAAATACAGGATCCTATCCCTTACGCCTGGCTGTCGACCTCCATTTCGTGGATGGCACTAGGCCCATACTTGCGAGTCACAACAAAGTTCTCAAAATACCGCTCACCCCGATCCAAAAGGCAGTTGACTTGACTGGGGTGAATGTAGTTGAGGACCGCCATAGCAAGAAACATGAGCAAAGCGTCGAAGACGTAGATGAACACTTCATGCTTCATAAGGAAACCGTCGTAGCCATCCAGATACTCCACGACACGAACCACCGACCGCACCAAGATCAAAACACTAGTCACGTAGAGTGCAACCATGTGTCGGCGCCAGATGCGGCCCGCTTCAGGAGATGCGCCAATGTGTTTCTTCGCCATGCGCAGCTCAAAGACGATAGCCGTGATCACGAAAAAGCCGAAGAAGATAATTTGTACGAATAAACCACCGATGATGACGTGCTCCCCGGTGCTGGGATCATCTGCTGAGACCATAAGGCCGGCACCTGTATGTCATTAGCTTTAATTCTAAACGGGGGGAAACATTGTGTGTATATGACCGAGGGAAGGTCTGAATGTTAACGTACCAGACGCTTGCATCAGGAAGGATAGCACATCACCAGCCACGAAAATCTTTGTCAACCAGCGAAGAGGAATGACGGAATATTGTTCTGCCTGCAGCATAGTAATTATGCGGCCAAGGGTCATGTAGATACTAGCGGCGAGAAAGGCCGGGGCGATCAGGATGAGGGCACTCTGCATGATATAGGGGCCCTTGGTGTAGTTGGGAGCTTCGTTCGTTGATAGTACACGGCCGACATATCCAATTGTTTCAACTAGGGATCATTTAGTAAAGCTCTGCCTGTAGCTTGAGGCTGCGACTTACGGATTCCGCCAATGGCAAAAGGGATCATGAACCAAGTCCGTGTGCGGAGTAGCTGATAAAGGTGAAGAAGGGTGCTGAGGGCGAAGAGTGCGACGAAGATGCCGCCAGCGGCACCAGACGGTGTATAGTAGTAAAACGTGAACTCCATTTTCGAGGTATATTATCCCACAGCACGAAAGATTCAAATAGGCTCTAGCGTGGTGGTCTTTGATGGCACACTTTCTGTCTAGCAATGTCCCAGCACCATCCAGAAGGGGGGAAAGGACACCTTAAATAGAACCCAGAGGGCATCAGATCTTCGTTGTAATAAAGTTCCAGAGATGAAAGCATGGTGGCTACCCCTATAGTGTATTGCGCGGACCAGATAACCTAGTGGGCTTGATTTTCTATACGCGGCCCACTTTGGCCTCGCTCTCGTATTCTTTGCCATTTGCAGCACTTCATCAGGCGGAAGTTCTGCGCCGTCCCCTTAAATTGCCACCAAGTAAAAAATACAACAGTATAGCCTTTGCTTTACGTGCTATCTCCCCAGCCATCCAATTTATGCAGTAACATAATCGCTACCTGCAGAGTAACTATAACAATTCGATGCGTCTTACCGAAAATCCCCAGTGCGGGTGATCAGATATCCTCATGGCGCTTCGTTAATGAACCCGGATTAATGGCTGTCCATAGTTAGCCATAGTACCAGCCACTATCTATGGGGCTCCAACAATAGTATCAAGTTGTTGATAACGTCCTCTCGTCGGCAAATCTACACGTGGGTCTCCCATTACGGACCCAAGCAACATACTTCGTACAGAACAAGAAAATTCCTGTGGCTTGGCAGAGGAAGGTTAAATCGAGATCAAGCGGCAGTGCCCCGAATGCCAAACGATCCCGACCATCTTATTGGATCCCTGCCAAATATAAATATATGGTACTAGTAGGGAAAAGTGGAGAGGGCGACGAGCTTGTCGTACTTCGTATTGATCACCGGTTCGGGTAGTCTAGGGCTGGACTAACGTCTCCGCCGGTTAGAGACCCATTTTTTTGGGCCATGTTGATGGTTCCATGAATACCCAAATTTAGAGTAAACAAAATGGACCAGGGGCTTGAAACAATGCGGAAGCCTTGGTATTTTCAGTTTCTGCTCATATATTCTATTCAAAGTCCTACCTAGCGAGCTTCGATCCTAACTTGTCATTGAGCAACGTCTTTCTCTTCCAACTACGAATTGCCTGCCCGAAATTTACCAATCGTTTACTCTTATCCAAGCAGCATCATGGGATACCAATATTACCATTATGATCCATCAGCAGGCGCGGCAATTAGCTTTGCTGCTGTCTTTGGCCTAACGACGGTTATACACATTTGGCAGATGATTCGGACAAGGACATGGTACTTGACACCATTTGTCATTGGTGGCATATGTACGTTTTGTTCGCCCTTTATCAACCAGCTATACCCTAAGACTGTCCGCTGACATATGTATCTCACTTTAGTTGAGGCTATCGGCTACCTATGCAGGTATATCAGTGCGACCGAAACACCGAACTGGACGATGAAACCATACATTGGACAGAGCCTACTATTGCTCCTAGCGCCAGCCCTTTTCGCCGCATCCGTGTACATGATTCTCGGGCGCATTATTCGAATGCTGAATGCCGGTTCTATATCCCTAATCCGCCCATCATGGTTGACCAAGATCTTCGTGACCGGCGACGTGTTATCCTTCTTGGTGCAGAGTGGAGGTATGGACATTGCTCTCGGCGATTAGAAGAAGCCCGCTAACATTACGGGGAACAGGAGGAGGGATGCTGGCTCAAGCCAAGACACAAGATTCAGTAAAGATGGGCGAGAATATGATCATTGGTGGCCTGTTTATCCAGATCATATTCTTCGGATTCTTCATCGTCGTCTCGATTGTCTTCCACCGTCGTATGCTGTCCACGCCTATGCATCACATGGTGGTCACTGAAGTCCCATGGAACCGGTATATGAAGGTCCTGTATACCGTCAGTGTTCTGGTTATGATCCGATCTATCTATCGTGTTGCCGAGTACGTTCAAGGAAGTAGTGGATATTTGCAGAGCAAGGAGGCTTTCATCTATGTGTTTGATGCAGCACTAATGTTCACCTGCTGCATCATTCTCAATTGGTGGCACCCTAGCAAGATCGTTTCTGCTAGAAAGAAGGTTGAGAACGGTGGAGATCTTGAGATGCTGAATAACACTCACTATGATAATACTCAGTATGGACGTTACTGATTGGTTTCGATTCAGCAGGAGACTTTCTCCACTGGGATCAGCTCCAATAAAATCAAGACTTCAGAGAAACTTAGAGCCTTGCTTATTGCATTATTAGCTACATAGTATCGAACAGCTCTACATAGCTAATCTTGTTGGTCAGCAAGACGTCCTAGCAGCCATTAAGCGGTAAATTTTGGAAGGTAAATTTTGGTGTAATTGTACTATATTACCGGTAGTATCACATTTCGCAGCTATTATATTATCTGTATGTTATCTTTATATATGACAGACATTTGTATAGGGTTTGATTGGAATGGATGAGTCCTTAGTCAGTATAGGGCGGGGGGTAGCAATGATAATAATGATAACATTCACTGGACCGAGACACGCAACCTTGACGTGTTACTCTTTTCCTTGCCGCCCTTTCCATTTCTTTCTCCACCTCTCTCTCTCTTGTCCTTCCTATCCAAGTCCAAGATGTTTCGATCTCTGTCACGCTTGACAGGTAGCCTGGCTCACCTTCGCCTACGAGATGACCGAGAGGCCCAGAGAGAAAAAGCCTTTGGCGTGCTATGTGACATGTTTACATTGTTGAAGAATATGCCCAGTGTTTATATTCAACCCGGTGATTTTCAATCCCTGCCAGTAAACATCGACATGAAGGCTCTGCCATTAAATGATGTCACTATCGAGGAGACTCCCCGTGCTACGGTACAAACTGAGGTGAAATTCTTTCTTCCTCTTTCCCACGAAAGCATCTCATCCAAGTACAAAATGAACTTGGAGTCCCCCGAGATCAGCGAACGTTTCTCCCAGGTAAACCGATTGACTGATGGCAATTGTCCCGTGCTAATGGAGTTGGGATGCTGGAATAAGCAAGAGCACCTGGACTATTTAGCTTATAGACTCATGTGGGAAGTGGACGTTGTCCCCAGAATGGGGACTGAAGGCAACTCAAGACCCCTGAGGGTAGTTACGGGCTGGAAGTCCCCTGGGTGAGCTAACGTGATGATTTAGGTATATCAATGCGCAGGACTTATCAGGACTTACTTAGATTTTCCTTTGCGGCAAGATTCGAACCTTACCTCCATACCTACGACTCCCCGTACAGTGAGCTGGCTAATTGTTGGGTTAAGAGCGGCATACCACATATCAAGATAGCCGTGTACAATACTAGTCAAGGGGATCCAAAGCTTTTACTCTGCTCTGAGATTCTCACCGTAATTGCTGCAATCGCTACCCGTCTCATGGATAAAGGGCTCGAAAAACATCTTATCATTCCTGTACGCAAATTTTTCCTAAGTGATGCCCTCTCACTACGGCTTTCGTATCTTTGTTGCTGACTTTATTCTCTTTGAGGTTATGCTTATCTCTTTCCTGGCTCCCGCACATGGGAGAGTCATCATTGCACGTTACGATAGCCATGGACTCCGCATCCAAATGTCCGATCTTTTGCCGTGTAGCTCGGGAGATCGAGCCTCTTGGGACTTCTTTGCAAGGTACCTCGGAAGTGATGCCAACCCAACGGCGGATACATCCATGTTTGTCGATGAGTGACGGGGACAACAGGGTACCAGGGTCGAACAGTGGTTTACAACTGGAAGGCATAGACAAGGACTTGAGTAGTACGGACACAGCTATTATTTCCTATATTGAAAACGTTTGATTTACTCAGTGGTTGCCTAAATTACGTGGCAAAATAAGGTTGCCATCTGTCAGTCAGTGATAGCCAAGACCCAACTACTCCCTAGACTATCTGTCAAGCAGGAGATAGCACGACAAAGCAACCTAAGGTGTCTAGATATTTTTAGGCAGTCGAACGGCATAGCGTTAAGTAAACACTATCTGGAGTGGTTCTCAAAGGCCTTATAAATATCAGAAGAGGATACAAATCTAGAATACTATTGCACTAAGAGCTGGCTTGGTGGTTAACCGCCAACGTAATACATGTAATGATAATGCCGAACTGTTTCATGTGGGGAGCAAGCAATACGTTCCAGGGACCATAAGTCTGCATCCTCATAAACGATCCACAATTTGCAGCAGACTCCTTGTTCACTAAGTAGCCCCGATACCCGTCGTCCATCTTGCCAAAAGTAAGAAAGATTTGCATCCCGTTTTGGGAGACCATCAGCTTACTAGCTAAGTTGTTAGCTAGCTGAATAGTAGGATCCCACGAACACATAGACTCACTAGCCGTTGAGATATACCTCCAGGTGATTACCGCTTATCATCCAGCCCACTAGCTCTGCAGTCTCCTGTAGTTGGATCTTTTCTAGGTCCTTGAAACGGTACCCTTTCTTCACCTCCACAAGGGCGTTGTAAATTCGATCTCTGATGGTGCGCAATGCGCCATCGGTATAAGCCCTATAAGAACACTTTCCAAAGGAGGATTGGAAAAGGACTCGCTTATAAGTCCAACGAGACTGTTGCTCACGAGTTAAAGCAGCAACCCGACGAAGGAAGCTCAAGAGCGCTGCATTAACTATATTCTCGTCTTCCGCGATGGGCAAAGCCTCGTTTCCATTGTCATCGTTATGAGCGGGGGTATCCTCGACACGTCGTTCTGCGCTCCGTTAGTACAGATATTATTGACCTATGTAGGGATCTTAGCTTTGTACTTACGCTGAGAGGAGCTAAAAAGACTACCAAGAGCCCTAGAGGCACGCCGGCGGAGCTTGGTCGCGGGCGGCGCATCGTCCTGTGGGCCTACTTGCAACTCTCCACACTCTCTCTGTAGTTCCAGTGCCTCCATAAATGATCCCGCCCATCGAGGATCCGTTTCAGTAAGAGTTTCAATCAAATGATGCTGGGGTATGAGAACCAAGTACTTAGAAAACTCATCGGAGTTTACTATGGTTTCGGTGGCTCTCGCCCAGTAATCATGAAGACCGTACTTAGGAAGACCAAACTCAACGAAATCCGCCCTCGTCATTCTCTTCCCCCATAGCGCGCGACACATCACGAATTGCTTCTTTCGAATCTTACTCCCAGACCCCATCTTTGTTATATCGTGGATTGTCTTGCCTCGTAGCTTGGCAGTGAGGACCAATCTAGCCCAATCCTCCTCGTCGGCGGGGACCGAAAAGCTCCCAACAAATGAGTCCGCATCTTTGTCTTTTTCTTTTTCTTTCTCCTTCTCTTTACGCTTCTTCCTCTGATTATCAAAGGGCTTGTTGGACATGATGGAACATTATCGTCGTAATCGGGGGGGGAGAAAAGTCAGGATGAAAGGTAAGTCTGAGGGCCGAGGCGAGGAGAGAGTTGAAATAAAAAGTGGGATGAGGGAAGAGTTATAGTCAGATCAGGTAAGAGACGAGAATAACAAGGAAGTAACACATGAGACTCAGACAGTGAATGATAGATAGCCAGTGGTCCCGCTCTCTACATTCCAGAAAGCCTATAGAGGTGGAGAGGTCAAATTCATGGAAAGGGACTATTTACCACTCTATAAGACAGTAATAGTAATGTATATATGCTGCTGAATGGGTCTTTACTGATATCTCGTCAAGCCCTTAGGAGTAGCTGAAGTGTGTCTAGTGATTTGCTTCCATCGTTTTATCATTACGTACAACACTATTTGTACTGGATCATGGGAAAATATATGCTAGCATAATAGAACCTCTCATCTAAAGCCTGCAGTAACATAAAAGTGATATACTATCATGAGGACTAAACATACAGCGCCTAAGTTTCATGACCTTCTTTTTAACAGGGGGACTTGGAGTTGGCTCCGCCAGGGAGTGAACCATGCTGCTTATAATATCGTCGTTCGCGGATACAGATGAACGATAGGAAGCCAGCGAGACCGCTATATCAAATCAAACACTTAGAGTCAGCATTTTCCATATAGAAGGCAACATCATATCGCAAACCAGAACACATACCATAAAGCAAGAGCCAAAATAATTATAATAACACCCAATGCACGACTACTGGTGCTGTGGGAACCCGAGGTCCCCATGATGGATATGATGAACAGGGCGAACCAGAAGATAGTATCAATGATGTTCAGGATCATATTCGCTTTGCTACTTGCCCAGCGTTTGAATCTCGCGGCGTGAGCGGTGACGACTTGATATGTCATAAAGACTGCTGATTTTAGGCACTATATATATGAAGGATTTCCAATTAATTCAAGCGAACAGGGAGAATGGTTCCTCATAGTGTAAGTGCCAATCACTTACCACCGCAATACCCCATGTGTTAGTCCGGCTTGACGGCGTACCCTTGTCGGCCACTCGCGCGATAACAAGGACGAAGGTTAATAAGAGCAAGGAGCCGATGATGACATGCAATCGGAACTTGATTTTGGGGTTATTCTCGATTGAGAGGTTCATTTTGGTTGTGTCTTCCTGTAGGGAGGAGAGTGTGGCTAATATCCTCTAAGCACTATGTGAAGAAGGCAACAATTTATCAGGGTAAATGATATGAGTATAATATAGAAAGACAATAGCACTAATAAAATATGGTTGTAATGGTTTTTGTTAACTTTTTGTGGCTACTCCTCAAATATATATGTATATGATCGTCTTGGTTACTGTGCCTATGCAAGTAAGTCGCATGTCGTACTCGTATAGAACGTCGCCAAGGCGACAAGCAGCGTAGCCTTCTGAAATAACTTCATTTACAACTTCTGTACCAAAGAACACCGGGGTCAGTGATGGGGGATGCAAATAGGCATCATGAAAAAGCTCGGTCCAATTCCGTTTCCTCGCGGATTCCTCGCATTCGTATCGTTAACCCTAAAAGGCTACTTAGACCCACTTGCTCGAAATAGTCAGATATTTTAGCCACTCACAGCAAAGAAATAGTACAGCGTCCTGCAAACCCACTATGGATCTGGATACAAAGTATCGTATCTACTCTGTATTTCTCGGAGACGGCAAATTACTACAAACAGTAAAGCGTGCCTATCTGGGCATAGCACTGTCTTGTCGCTTGACATCGAGTGTATACTCTATAAAGGTCCTCCATCTACTACTCGCACTAATAATCATCCTTGACTGCTCTTCTTCTACTCTACTCTTGGTCGGCTGGCTCAAATCTTAATAATATATTTTTGCTATTAACTCACGCATCCTGTATTCAGTACTTCACCACCCTCTTTTACTACTTGTATATCGCGCCCCATATTTTTGACAGTAACTTGGATAGTGTTGACAGCTCTATTAATACTCTTAGATATACTGAATATTAGTGAGACTATACATTTTCTTGTGGAATCATACTAATATTCATCTTTAGTTTAGGTGGATATAAGATAATACTACATATATACTGAGCTAGACTCGGCCCTCAGCATCAGTTCTCGCCTTATTCCAACACGTCACCTATTTCTTGCATGCCCACGATGATAGTGTAATGAAGATAAAGGATGCCATGTCCTAACAGAAGACCTATATACTACGGGGGATCGATTTAAGGCTTGGGTTCGTTAACAGCAACTTGATGTTTGAGTAAGTGCTATATATGCTATCATCACGCGCATGGATATTTGCGTCATCAACACACCCAATGATGCCTACTAGTCGTTGCCAAGACCCTATATCCCATGCGATAATCTCCTGATTGCGTATGCTGCTGGACACGAACGAATGGATGGATAGCGGCGGCAGTTGCGGTCGGGAGAATGTTGGCGTGTTTCAGCAATATACTATTGCCCTGACTTACGTGGCTAAATTTCATCATAATGAACAGTTTCAAATCCTCCCAGTCTACGCGCAAGATGGGGTTTTTCTGTACTATGGTTTTTGGGGCTCTACTGACGCGTTTGTCTCTGAAGGGCTTGCCTCAGTAAGCCTGTAAAAACTTCTGCTCATGTCCACGCAACACCTTATGGAAAAGTCCCCAGGTTTTTCTAATGAACTTTCCCGGCAGTAGAGGTGTCTTCAAGGATTGTATAGCGGATTTTTCGTGGCCGTGTAAAATCCGGCTGTAAGATATGTATAACAAATGAGTTCCTTATTTTCTAGGGGGGGAAGTCAGTATGGGAAGGATGCATTTTGATCTGATCGTTAACCTAGAGGTGGACTTTTGAAGTTATGGGCACGATTTAAGACACATGTTTTGGCTATGTGATAGTATTTTCTATGAAAACTTCATGTGACACAAGAAATACCACCAACTAAGAAACATCTATGCTGCGTTTTGTGCTATAAGTCATCTGGGAACGGCCAGAGCGCTCTCACCTCTCCAGCGGGCTTTTCCATAGCTTTTCGTTCGATGTACATGGCAAGTAGCTCCCTGTTTTGCCTCCTTTTCTCTGAGATATCTAACTGAGGAGCGATCCAACCCTCAGCATCAGTGTCCAGGCATTCCAGAGCGAGTTGTTGGGCCTCATCCCAGGCCTGATATTCTGCAAATTCGCGTTTGTGGGCATTGATCTCTTCATTGTTGAACGAAATAGGACAGTCTCCGATGAAACCTAGGCTCAACCAGCTCCGCTGTATTTCTATTAAGCATTCTCGGAGTGGGATAGCGCCAACTTCAGATATTTCACTGCATCGAACAAAAATATCTCGGAAGACACGAGGTATATTCATAGCACTATACGCGCGTTTGTTTTCAAGAAGTGTCGCAACTTCGTATCCCTTCGCTAGTTTGGACTGTGACCACTCCTGTAGAGTAACTGTCCTATCGTCCTTATCTAATTCATTAATATTGTCTGGAAGCTTTGGCCGTACAAGTCCTTTAGTGTAATTTTGTGGAGGTTTTAAGAAGATCGGCCACTGAGCTTGAAGAAACAACGGAAGAATTGAAATAGACTGAAAATCAATAAGTGATGTTATTCGGGCGTTATCATCAGACGCAACAAAAATATTTCCCATATGGAGATCGGTGTGCCATAGTGTAGGCTGTGAAAACTGAGACAAAATCGGATGCAAGTCCATTATCCGCATGAGATTTATTGTAATCTCTAAAAGCCGGATTTGTTCCTCGATAGTTCCCTTAGCGAATAATGGTCTACTGTTCGAGCGGCTGCTTAAGATCCGTGATTTTTCGCGTTTCGCAATCGCTATCCCATAACTCGACAATGTATTCCCTATAATCTCTTAGTTAAGTATGTAAGCCAAATTCAGGAGTACTCACAAGGCCCCTGATCAAGTTCTTCACTTGGAACAGGCAGGTCCGTAGCTTGATCAGTAGTAAAGAAACGATCACAAGACGGACCAATACAAAACATCTTGGATGGATCTATATTCTCATCAAGTGCTTGGTATTCTAAGCGGTTCGCATCTGCCAAATGATACAGTCCGCCATAGACAGGAAAATGAATAGCTGAAAGTTGTGCCTCGAGCTTAGTTAAATTCCTTGTTAACGTGAGCTTCTCAATTTCTGTCATCTTTTCCCATTGCTCAAAGAGTGGAATTCCCGCAGCTTTTTCCAAAATAATATATTCAGCACCCACAGGATTTGACTTGTCCGAAGACCAGGAAAGTACACGTGGAACAGGAACATTGGTATACTTTCTCACTGACACAATATATAAACATTCTAAAAATCCATGGCCGGGAGGGAGTACATACCATATTCGAGAACACCTACTTCGGACGCGGTTGTAAGGGAGGCTGGCCCAGCAATACGACATGCAAGTTTTGCCACTATTTCTTTTCCATTTTCCTTCTTCATTAGAAGAGCCTTACTGAAACCTCCTTCGAGCTTTTCCACTGTTGTGATCCGAGACAGGTCCCCACCGGCGGAAGCGGCAACATCGCAAAGGGCATCTATGTCGAATTTGATATAACGCCGATCAAGTTGCCATTGCTCGTTGACAAGAAAATGCCCATTGGTATATGCGAACAGTTCCTCGCGGCTGATTGATTTACCTAGATAAATTAGAGATGTTCTTGATTTAGAGGTATTGATCCGCTTACCACGACATAGGATGGATATCTTAGCTACCGACCGCTGAGGCTGCATTTGTTTGAGACCTTTGAAGAAGGATAACATAGCAGATAGTAGAGATCCCATCAATGTTTCAGGCCACTATGTATTAAAATAAAGGACGGTCGAATATTAAAAATGTATGTTGTCTTCCAGAGGCCATCCTCTGTTAAATAAGAGCAACGATAGACAGGGAGTACGGCAAGCCATTGCGGCCAACGCGCATTAATTCATTTTCCTACATTTTAAACGTGTTTCTGCCGGCAGAATAGTCTACTACACTGAATCTATTTAACTTACTTGCTTAATCTGTTTAATCTGCGTGATCTGCTGAGTCTACTTCGTCTGCGTAGTCTGTGTGGTCTGTGTGGTCTGCGGTGTCTATATAGTTACTAAGTAGTCTGTATAGTCTACTTAGTCTGTGTAATATACTGTATACATAGTATACAGAGTCTATTTACTCTATAGTCTATTTTGGTATAATTATATAGTCATATACTGGGTGAATTAGACTTTAGAACTAGTATTAATTAATCAAGGGCGGCCAGATAAGCGGTGAAAGCACTGTAGAAGAAGAGGATGAGAAAACCAAAAAACAATATAGGAAAATGAATTAATGCGCGTTGGCTGCAATGGCTTGCCGTATCATGTCGGGTGCTGTAAGCAAGTCGACGCGCAATCCTCATGATGGGCAGTATATTCAACGACACATCGCGAAAATGAAGCTAGGGTAACCATCCATGCCATCTGTTTGGTTATAATGGTATGTCGGGCACATTTAGTCTTCGAGAGATTTTTCACTAGTAATCATGCACATTTTATTTAAACCACAAGTCCCAGACTCTGGGTAAATTCTCCAACGGGTTGAGGTTCGAAATGCGAACGTATAGAATAAGATACAGATAAAATTAACAATTCAATTAATTATGCTTAGAGTTATCGCCCCACCCATCGAAGGCCTACTGACTCGGCATATGGCATCTGCAACGTAAGGCCCACCATACTGTTCTGGATCAAGGAAAGTGCATGAGATCTTGCCTGATCCATAGTTTGGTCAGGAGAAGGCACTAGCTCCACACGGTGGCTTTTAAAAAGGCAGAGAAGGACCGCGAAGACCTCGGTCTGCGAGAACTTCTGTCCTGGACACAACCGCGGCCCGTCTCCCCAGGCGAAGAGGTACCTGAGAAGTTCATTTGAAACGATTTGCAAAGATGAGTCGGACTCCTGCGATATCCACCGATCGGGTCTCCAAGTCAGAGGGTCTGGACCCCACTGCTTGGGATCTGTATGTAAGGCTATGGTATTGACATTTACAGGTGTATCCTTGGGGATTATGATCTCTTGTTCGGACAACACTAGGGCCTGTGCCTTGGAATCTGTCTGTCGCACTATTGTCGGCACGGGGCCGTAGAGCCGAAGAGTCTCATACTATACGTGCCATTAGAAAAGTGAACGAACTGTACCACAAGACAAGAAGCTTACCAGAATTGCTCGCAGTCGTTGTATTTGTGGCAGAATCTGCCTATAGGACGGAACTTCTTCATTAGCTCGATCGTACAACAATCGGTCAATCTCTTCTAGCGCCCAGTCCTGCCAGGCTGGGAATATCGCCATGAGATGAATGATATAGATCAAAGCATTCGCAGTGGTCTCGTGGCCGGCAAACATGAAGAGAAACAGATTGCCCGTGACTTCATCGCTGGATAGACCACGATGATCTGTTGGAGCGAGGATTGACGACAAGAGATCTGTGTGCGTCGCCTGTCTTGATCGTGCCGTTCGGGCGTCCACAAACTCGGTCAATAACTCGCCCAAGGCTTTATAGCTCGCCTTGAGTTTCTTTATTCCCCTAACTCCGTGGCCTAGAGCCATTGGGTTTGATATCCCGGTTAGGACCACATGCAGATGCCATTGACAGGCGGCAACGTCACCCGCTAGCATCCTAGTATCATCTTTATCGACCCCATCAATATTAAGACACGCCTTAAAAAGCACACCCAGGCTCAGCGTCATCATATCGGACCGCGTACTGTAGACGGACTTGGTGTTCGTCCATTGCTTTAGGACTTTTGAAGCGTTTCTCACCGATTCGACCCAAACTACCTCGTGCAGTTTCTCATGGAATGCACGCGCGGTCAATTTTCGGTGACGTTGCCAATCAGCCCCTTCTACCTAAAGCCTGTTAGTCCGCTATGCTAAGATGTCGTTGTGAAACCCGAAACGAAAAGAGAGGTTGGTATCGCGAACTCCATACCGTAGCTAGGTTTTTACCGAAGACATTCATTTTTTCTTGATTCTGTTAGTAACTAACCTGTGTTCCTTTCGGGGAAGATCATACCTAGAAGGCTTCTCGGTTTTGGAAAGTCTCTCCACCGTGCAAGCACTTGCTTTGCGGCATCCACATCTGCTACGTAGAGCTCACATGCCGTCGGCGTGACCAAGACGAATAGCTTTCCATATTCGGCATGGACCGCGAACTTTTCCTGGAATCTCGAATTTCTGCGGATCAGTCTAATAAACGGAAATCGAGTTATATAAGTTGGTAAGATATCGAGATCCAGTATATATCTCAGTAATCCCAATGCGACACCGCTGGTAGAGATAGGACTTAGGATAAGAGGCACATGCAGTTCCTTTGCCCGTGTCCAGTTGCGATACCATGGCCAACCCACGTAGATGCACCAGATAGCAACCACAAAGGTAAGTACTGATGCAAGAGACACATAATGTAAACATGAGTGACACACAACGTCAGGGTCATTGAGAGATCGGAGCCGACTCGATACCATTGCGCAAAAAAGTAGTAAATGGACCGAGATGAGTGGATGGAGGTCTTATCGAAGCAGACTTGAGCCACGGTGGAATATATATATGAGCTTAGCCCTGACTAGTTTATGGATGTGGCAATGCACAGCCTGAACAAGCCACAATTTGGAGTCATGGTGCATGTTTGCAGATAAAATCATGTTTCACTGGTGCGACCTGACCACTACCGACTCCTTGGTGTCCTGGCCGAGAGATCACGAACCCCCTTTGCGTCGCTGAATGGATCTGGTGGGTCTTGTAGTCGTACTCGTATCAATGGCTATATAGGGTGAGAGTCGCCGTCGGATGTGGCGCGTTTGAGAGGTGGCAGAATCACTAACTAATAGAGCAGGCGGTGGGAAAGCGGAGTCCTTGCATGTGGCGTTTTCTTGAAGCACCAGAAACTTTTGAGGCAAACGACTTCACCAGTAATCAAGGCTGTCTATCATTGGGATGATGAGCCACTCGTACCTTTGTAGGAGTTCGCGAAATGCCCATTCGTCGACCCCACCGGAAATCCAGACATGGCTGCAAAGCCTGTAAACGACGAAGAGTGAAGGTAAGCTTCTATCCTTCCACTCCCGTTGGTGCTTGGCACGATGTAGATAGACAGGAGCTTTAGGTCTTCACCTTTGGTAATGCCAATGGTCGTGTCCACCATTGAACGCCTGAGGGACTCGTCTTCTAACCTGTGTCATTAAGTGCGATGAAGCACGGCCAACCTGTTCTAATTGCAAACAACGGCAAGAAGACTGTGACTATGGCACAGATACCCCTTATATCTGGGCTACCGAGGAAAATACCCCTCGGCGGCGAGCGCGAAGCCGAGTGAAAACATCGTCCGATAGCCAGGATACAGTGCTACCATCAGCAGATGCCTCTTTCGACTTGTTAGACAGGTTCGGAACAAATGGCACAACGGCCAGCCCTACTCCGGGCCTGGAAATGAATCAGCTGAAGCTCATAGTCCAGTGGCAAAGGGATACTCACCGATTCTTCTCGCGAAATGAAGAAACGAAGCATATATGGGGTGTGTTACTTGTCGAAGAAGCTTTAAATACGCCTTTCTTAATGCATGGCATCCTAGCTGTGTCCGCGTTGCACCTCTCCTTATCTGAGGCCGAACCACAAAAGTCCTTCTGGCTTGGATTGGCCACCGCGCATAAAGGCCAAGCACTACCACAATTTCTGGAAAATCTGCATAGTGTCGATGCAGCCAATGCAAAGGCAATGATGGGCCTCTCTGGGCTGGTAGTGGCCTTTGCATTCGGCTCTGCATTAACCGGCATTTCTGACGCCGACCAGCCTTGTTTAGATACTCTACATAACATCTTTGTCCTTTCTCGTGGTGTTCAGCAGATCATCAACGTGGCTTCCACCTTACGACACAGTGATTTTGCTCCTCTTTTCGATGCCACCCCACCACAGGTGGCTTACCCTGATCGTGCCAAAGAATCCCTTGATCGCCTCGAACAGCTTAATACCGCCTGTGGGACGGATGGGGAACATGATACTGCTGCATATACACGTGCCATTCGGGAGCTAAGAGGGCTGTCTGTTCACACATTTGCTCAACCGACTTCCATGATGCTGGCTGTGGGTTGGGCCATCAGGGCGACCCCTGAGTATCTTCAATACGTGCAGCGACAGGCGCCTTTCGCTCTAGTTACTCATGCTCATTATTGCACCTTTCTCCATATAGCGCGAGAAAATTGCTTCCTTCAGTCCTGGGGAAGCTGCGTGCTTCGGGAGATTTATCATCTGCTGGATTCCACGTGGAGACCATATATTACTTGGCCTATCAGCGAAGTATTTGGGGAGAACGTGGCTCTGTGAGGATACCGTATAAGCCATCACCTTTTCGTTTCTCTGGCTCTACATTCATCATAGCGTTTTCATATGTATAAAGCGTCTGCATAATTAGTTTATTACTCGCCCGAATGAACTATGCGATTTTACCGCCAGAAGCTGATGGAAACCAGAGTAGTCAAGTCACTAATTTTCATCAAGAATGCATCTCAGTAACCATAAAATGGATAATAACGCGTATGTCTGAGCTCAACCAACAATATATTAAATCAGTTGATTTGCCTGTCAATGAAGACCATCCAAGGAGAGAGCACAAAGATCAACGCGACGAGAGCCCATGATATTGCCCTTTGAACAGCCGGCCTCGATAACAATACCCTCGGAAGATATTGTCTAACAATGTCAATGCCAATGCCAAATGTACCCAGAGCATTATCCCGGTTGATGAATTATTTAATCACTCCACCCAAAGCAGTCATACCCAGCTTCGCCCAGAACCCGCCTTCTCCCTTGAGAGCCTCGTCCATCTCGGCCTTGGATACGGGATCTATACCCTTCGCTCGCATTTTCTCCTGTTTCTCTAGCGGGATCTTATGAACAGGATGGTCCTTTCCGACTTCTTTGTTCATGGTCTCTTCGGAGGGTGTGATTCCCCATTTTGCGGATGGATGAGCAAGTGGCTTTTCCTCGTTGGACTTTTTCTTGGAAGAACCGAAGACCATGTTGGCAGACAGTAGAACGGCTAATAATTTTAGACAAGGAATAAACTAATCAATCAGAAATAGCTCGTGGTAAGCGTATGTAGAGGTTTTACAAAGCACCAGGCTCGTCAGTGTGAAATCAGGGTCAGGGCTAGTTTATATACCTATTCTATCTCCGTCTGACATGACAGCGGTTTCCCACAGTAAGCATAATCGAGACATATTATTGGCACGAAAAGACAAACATATTAGCGTGACTCGATTGCCCGGCAGATGGGATAGGGCCATTCAGCGTTGCCATGTTCGTTGGGGTTACGTTCGGATAGATCCTTGGCGGACGACCAACCAGCCAAATTGATTTGAAAAAGGCACTGCCTTATTGTTTGACGTCATTGAGCGCTAGTTTTGAATGGACTCAGCCGAGGGTGAGACGGGGATATGTGTTTGTTCCCGAAATTGAGATATTATGCTAAAGGACATCCCGCAACCACACTTCTACTTTGGTGGTGGCCATTGGAACAAAGAGACGTTGATCTCTTTTCAGATTTCTTGGTCATATCCCCTCAGTAAATCATGCACAACTCGCCGATTGTGATTCGCACGGATAATGATTGGGGGCTACTAGTTGGGCTAGGTATTATGATACAGCCTGCGTAACCTAGGTTGTTTCTGTCTTCATCAAAGCTTGCAATAGATTATCCAATGAGACGCGGTACACTGTGCCCATTCAGAGAAGCTGAAGAGCGGTTGAACTACCAAGGCTGCGCAAAACTAACCTCTTGTTCAGGATAGTTGTCATCAGAACATCAGGTAGTCATGCTGGCGAACCAGATCCTTAGAGCAGGTCTTTGCAGTGTTAGCTCGTGCAGTATCATGGAAGGTGGATTTGGCTTACAAATTCCATCCACGGAACATTCCCTGATTTGTTTGCCTGTTGTTGTCTTTCACCCCAAACTCTGCTAAGCAGTTCATTCATGGCAGGGTGAGGAAATCCGGTTGACTTCTTTATCTCACGCATGCAAAACTCGATATATCGTTTTTGGTGAGGTATAGATGTTTCTGCACTTGCTATGAACAGAGGGAACAGCAACCTTTTGAACCAGGATGAGTCGGCCGAAATTTCAGCTGAAGCATCAAGGATGGCACAAACAGACGACTGGATTCGGTGATCCTCACAGGGAATAGCCCATGTATCTGGGAACCGCAGCACCCGAATGATACAGACATGGCGGTAGGCCTCTGCGAGCTGTATCCACTCTAGATCTTCACTTGGAAAAGCGGCACTTTCAGGGTCCCAGGCCCGAAAGAATTGTTCTGCATCATCTAGTAGGTTCTGAAAATCATCATGGGAGAGCTCTCCGTCCATATACTGTTTTCCTGCCGTGAGAATACATCCTATCTCGTAAAACAATTCCACCGGGCATCCCACTAGAGTCTCTAGGTTAAAATGCTCGGCTTCTAAAATACACCTACGAACATTGTCACTGTAGGCCAACTTTTCAGCACCGCTAAATGCTCGAAGTACGTCTAGCCTTGTCTGATGGTTAAGGTAGGTATGATACGATCGATGGGTGACGAGACTTACCAAGTTAAGGCTGTTAGAAGGAATGTTGTTCGTGGAGATGTGATGACCTTGGGCTGCTGTGCAAGCTTTCCACATATGTAGCCAGCTCCGGTCAGGTGCACTCCATGAGATGATACCCCGGTCTCACAGATCTGTTGTCACATAAGTCTCTGGACTATGCCGCTACGTTTCAAAGCAAGGGAATGGAACTCAATCCTTACATCATACAGAACTAGTAGAATCACAACTGCCAGCAATATGTCCTGTTCATCATCTGTGAGGCCGTACATCTCTTCTTTCATCAAGAGGGAGCTGAGGGACTGCAATGCGGATAGTTGATGCTCTATCATTCTGGCAACGCTCACGTTCTCAATCGCCCGCTTGCCAGACGAGATTATGTGGCACATGGTAAGGCCCAGCACAGCATTTAGAATTCCAATGTCACGATATGCAAGCGGAAGGATATAGCCTCGAAATGGATTGCGCAGATCGTCGGTATCGATTATTAATGCACTGCATAAAGTCGTATCAACTGCGTCCAATGAGAGTCAGAAACGCATCTTAGGTCAATATTCTCAGGGCTCACAATAACTGAGGAGATTTCCAGTCTCAGGCAGTGTCAAGATATCATCCATCGTGCCTGCGAGCGAGGTTTTAGTGGAGCCTATCGCATCGTTGGTTTCTGTAGTTGCATGAGAGGCATCGCCTCGCCTCCGCTGCGGCAGGCTCGTTCGACCTTCTTCTTTCTTTTCGTTGTTGGTAGTTCTAGATTGGCCATTGGTGGCCGTTGTGTCGTTTGACCGCGTTTCTTGGCCTAGGCTTTCATCGTCAGTAGGGGCAGTATACAGCGCACAGAGTGTCTTACTACTTGGAGATGGCTCGCTCGACGATAGCAGGGCATCATTCTGTTGTTGTCCTTTTGAATTAATTTGATCTTGGAAAAAAAGAAACCGCGGGGGATAGCCCTCGCAGTGGAGACCTTTGACCCGACATCTGTTGCAAATCGGACGAGCGCGGTCACATTTACGGCACTTCTTCCGGCAGGTACCACAGGCAGGATCTAATTGCATGATTAATAGGCCTAGCAGATAGTATGCCGGTTAATGCAGTCAAATTTGACGTACTGCTCCGAGATCTCATGGCTAAAAATTGCAAAAATGCTACACAACGAAGGCTTGTCGTGGACGTCAGTACAAGGTAAGTGGAGAAAGGAGCGATCAACGCCAATAAATACTGTCCCAGCCCACGTGAGAAACGGGCTCCATGATCGTTGTGGAGAAGCTGGCATGCTCTACGATTATTCCTTGGTTCAGCCCCAAAAATTGAAGACAGAATTGTCCTACGGTTGGTACTATTGGATGGACCTCTGCAGCAACTTCGGTTTCTTTTTTTGCTTGTCTTGTTCTTTTTGCTATTATTACGTTATCTGGATTTTATCATCGTTTTGTGTCGCTATTTATACCAGTGGGATACTGTTTGCCTTCGCTATATCGACGCGTTGCCACGTTGTTATTGCCACGCCTAGAAGAGCAGCAGTCCACCTGTTCCACTAAGGACACTGCCAGTTACCCAGCGCGATTCTTCGGAGCAAAGGAAGCTATTAACAAGTCAGTTTCGGGCATCTCCATAATATGAAAATTAGTGACAGTCTCTTACCTCACGAGAGGTACAATATCCTCCACTTCTCCCATCCGTGCCTCAGCCGGCGTACTTTCGATCATCGGTTGCAATGCTCGCTTGAACTCCGGAGAACTGTTGTGAAATTGCTCTGTGGCAATTGGGCCTGGACTCACGCAGTTGACGGTGATTCCATGAGATTGACCAAGCTCAGTGGCCCAAACTCTTGCAAACGCTTCTAGACCAGCCTTGTTGGCTGCATACACTGTGGTTTCCGCAACGCCCATGCGAGCTGCAGCAGATGTGATAAGCACAATTCTTCCGCCTCGAGGCATATAAGGTACGGCGGCTTGAGTAAGGAACACGGGAGCTATGCGATGACAAGGCCATCAAGGAGCCCAACTATCAGCCTTGTCAATTGAAATCTTCTCATGGTCGCTCCACATACCTTTCAAATTCACATTCACTAAGGTTTCGAAAAATTCCTCTGAAATATTTTTGAGATAGCAGTCATCTCCATTGCCCGCATTATGGACTAGTATATCGATCGATTTGTTCGGACTCGCTTCCGCGGCTGCATCGATGAGTCTCTGTCGATCTGTAGTGGAGGTGATATCGGCCTGTACTAGAATTCCCTTTCCCCCTGACCCTGTCTCTTCGATCGCGCGAGACACCGAGATTGCTGATGGAAGCGACTTTTCACTGGTGTATGTTATAACAACTGCAGCACCTCTGCGACCAAGGTCGAGCGCAATTCCAGCACCGATGCCCCTGGGGCTCATTAGCCGTGCGATGTCTTCAACGCTCGAGAGAGATAACCAACATACCGGGAGGAGCCCGTTACAATGGCTGTTTTACCGATCAGGTTTGAGGACAGACTCGGTAACTGCCCACTGCTCTGGCTGTTGGTGTGCATGTTATCGACTGTCAATATATGAAAACAAAATGAAATGTTCAGAGTAACAAGACTTCTACGGGGGAGGATATCAAGGAACGATTATAGAATGATATTGCTGGGGGGGTATAGCTACAGCGAAATCAGCGTCTTTTATTTTTTCAGCTATCATGCGGAGGTAAGAGGAGACGCCAATCCCCTCTGTTCGTTCAATCTCATCTTTTGGTAGACTGGTTGAGCGCATTACCGAATAGGGTAAGTAAGCCAGCCCAGTTGCTGGTTTCAGGTTCAGAGCTAGAGTATTAACGTTGTTTATTCCCTTGAACCGACCCCTCCTCAAGGCGCGAAACATGCATAGCCGTAGGCTTCCGCGTTCTGGCAGACGTCATAATACACTTCTCTCGTGCGGAGTACGAAATGTCGATATTCTTTACTTCGTCATACACCCTTGGGGTTCCTGTGATCAACGCACTGCCAAGAGATCGTCGCTCTGGAGAAACAATTTAGGTAAGAAGAGTGCAGAACACCTGTACATTGTACCAGGTGTTTGTAATAAAAAAATAAAAATGAAAATAAAACCTCTGAGACGGGTGATCTAATTTTAGTAGGCTAGAATCTAGAGTCGGTTCCGACATCAACACGTTGAAAACTGGGAATACTCGAAATAGAGGACAGGTGAAAATCAAGAACTTGATATACCTATTCATTTCATAATGCGCTGCCTATTTACCATACAAAAGATGTCACATCCCTAGGTCTCAACACACGATATTAAAACTTCCTAACATCGCAGAGTGAGCCTTAGAAGTCGGTGGGTCTAGCGTCCTTCAAGAGCTCAGGCCGAAGATGGTATATCGGATCCATCTGTTCATAGTAGCCGCACGCGGGATCACTCATGTAATATCCGATGTACTCTTGAATGTCACGGTCGTAAGTCCGCGCCACATCCTGCGGTACGGCTAAAAATTGGTTCTCCTCCTGCCGTAAAAATCCACGCGTGATGAACGTAGCGAAAGCTAGGCGATACTCGTCTTCGGTGACATTTGAACCTCCACCATGAAAGGCAGACGCCAACATAATGAAGCCATCACCCTTTTGCATGTCCGCGAAAATGCACTGATCAACGCGGGGTGGAGTAGTGCGATTAGTGCCCCTGTAACGTGTCAGATGGACCGTCTCGAGGATGTTGGGGATGTCTCTTTCGAACGTACCAAAGGTGGCTTCGGGGAATGAACTGGGTACCCCCGTTCTCCTTCGTAATTCTGCAGCCAGCCACAAACAATCCAACGGCTGACTCGCGGTCCATGTCACGAGCATCATCCCATTTCTCGATCTCAGTATGATAGCGATGGGCGATATAGTCATCACGGTGCAATGGTTGGGCCTTACCCCCGGGACCAATTCTCATCGCTGTGCAGGAATGTACGTAGGGCCTTGATACTGACTCCTTCTTCTCATCCCCCCACCAAAACCAGCTCCGTGTAGTCAGAAAGTGGTCACAGACCTTGCGAAAAAGAGGGTTCATCAATTGCGTCTTAGTGTATGTAGGGCTTCGCGCAATTAGTGAAGGAGCCCGTTTAGTTTGCACTTACAGATGACGTTAGCCCTAAATCATGTATGCGTATGTTGAAGTATTTTCCGACTTACCTGGGAAGAACGCGCCGTCCCATTCCATGTCGTTATCCATACGATCTTTTACCTCACTGTATGCCTTATCGACATCTTCTTCGGGGATTAAATTCTTCACAAATACCCCGCCATCACGCTTAAGAAGGTACAAAATTTCCTCCAGCGGGGTATCCTTGGACACCTTCTGGACCTCGTCACTGTACTTGGATGTACCAAAGGAGTCGGACATGTTGGATAATCTGCAATTGGATGAATAACTTAGTACTACCTATACAAATGGTAACAAGTATGGCTCTGGGGTATGGAAGCGATAGATGCATATCTTATATCTTAAAAGATAACCGATGTCGTCACAAGATGTCTTCGTCTACGCCCCTTGTCCCTTGTCGTCTGACATCCGTGGCAATTGTTTCTGGGGATTCGTGTGGGGAAGCTGAGAGGTTGGATATATTACTCAAAAGGGTAGGTTATCCAGCTTAGGTGGTTGGGGGCGCACGGGCCCTTACGAGCCCTGATCAACAAGGAGTTGCAGTCGGATCCATTCCCGATTTATCTTCCTTTCTAGCATTCTCTTTTTGTATTTCCATTTTTTCAATTTACCATTACCCCCGTTGAACTTTCTTCTTCTGTATTCCGCACTAATATAGCAGTAGAAGGTTTGCTTATCGGCCATCGGCATCTAAGTTTGCGGGGAAGTTATACTAGGGCTTTGTATGCCCGATAAGCACGACCAGAGGATGGAGAGCCACTCCCTTACAGGCACAACGTTATCTGCCTCGTTGTAGTATCCCTTGATATGTTTAAGACATTTGGAATGTAGTGCATATAAAATGCCGCAATTCCTGAGGCGAATAAAGTGTTCAACCAAACTGCGCTCATTCATTTGTACAGTTTCATACTCATTGTGGTATTCCTTTTTTCTAATAAACTGTATATCTTACCATGGCATTTGCACTGGAAAAGCCCATCAAGGGTGAGCCTCCTGCGGCCGATGACCAGAGCATCATCCCTGGAACAGTCAACGATATTGCGAAGGATGCAGACGACGACGATGCAATCCTTCGGGCAAATGGCCATCAGACGGCCATGCCTCGCCAGTTCAACTGGCTCTCTGCTCTTGGACTGGGCTTTTCAATCACCAACTCCTGGATTGGCTATCTGGTATGGTCATCTTCTGTTCCAGAAGAGACCCGGCTGACAATTGTGAACGTGGTAGAGCTGCTTCGGCCAGAGCCTGACATATGGTGGTGCTCAAGCTTGCATATTCAGTCTGGTCGCAGCTTTCATCGTTCAATTTATTGTGACTTTAGGACTAGCTGAGCTAGGGTCTGCCTTTCCTGTAGGGCTAGCCGGTTCCTAACAAATACACACACACGGACACGGACACATACAAGGAAGCTACTGACACTGTAGATAAACAGTCTAGCGGTGGGCAGTACCACTTCTGCTATATCCTGAGCCCCGAAACCACGAGGAGATACAGTGCATATATTGTTGGCTGGCTTTCCGTTTTGGCATGGTGGATTGTCACGTATGTACCATTTGAAATCAACCTGTCATATATCATCTCCGCTCTAATATTTTGCTTCTTTTCCTACAGCTGCTCTGGTATCTCCCTTGCTACCGTCGTTCTGAATGGTATTGTCAATTTTTGCTCCCCAGAATACGTTGCCAATCAGTGGCAGACATATCTTACTTATGTTGGCGTGTCATTTGTTACGAGTAAGTATCGTGGACGGCAGAAAACCATGGATGTGCTTATAAACAGAACCAATAGACTAATTACCTCCCCCATCTAGTTATCCCAGTATTTACCGCATCTAACAGAATATCGCTCGTAACCCAAATAGCACTTTATCTGTCGTTGTCAGGCTTCGTCATCTTCCTCGTCGTTTCTGTTGTCATGCACCAGAAAATGCAGCCACAGTCTTTTCTATTGGAGTCGGGACAAGGAAACAGTGGGTGGAACGAAGGCACTGCCTGGCTACTGTCTATAAGCAATGCTATGTATGCATTTGGGGGTGTGGATGGAGGTCAGTTTGTGTTACTTCAGGGCAGTGTTGCTTGTCAAGCACGGTGCACTAACGCTGAATAGTCATTCACATCTGTGAAGAAATACCCAAGCCGGGAAAGTGAGTACCGCAGATCATGACGATAACAATGATGATAGGACTCCTTACCTGTCTTCCGCTATTTATTGTCTTTATGTACTTCACCATTGACATGGAGGCAATACGGGAGGCATCTCTCCCCAGTCTTGAGCTGGTATACCAGATGTCAGTATTACACATCACACAAGTCTTACAAATATCTAAGACTAACATCATGGACCAGAACCGGAAGCCGAAGTGTTACTCTAGGGCTATTTATCCTATTATGGGTCATTTATGCCTGTAAGTCGTCTGGTAAACAGATCACTTGAGATATATATCCAACAAAAGATATAGTTTCCCTTCCATCACAATGGGTCAGTGCTGGTCGAGTTGCATGGGCGTTCGCTCGCGACGTAAGTTTCAATATTCTCTGTATGAGGTTAATGCTAGCTAACTCTTGTCAAGAAAGGAACCCCGTTCCCAGAATACTTCTCCGTGGTTAATGAGAAGCTCAAATTCCCTGTCCGCACGACAGTGGTTACCTTCCTTTTCAGCTGTCTGTATGGCCTTCTATATCTAGCCTCCACGACCGCATTTAATTCCATCATCACCTCAGCAGTCCTGTTTTTGAACATCACCTATACTATACCCCAGGGAATCCTCCTCACCCAAGGCCGCACGGGCCTCCCAGAAAGGTATTTGAAACTTGGCTGGGTTGGATACTTCTGCAACGCTTTCTCGGTCCTCTGGATTGTAGTACTCGGCGTTCTCATTTGCATGCCACCAAATCTACCTGTCAGCCTGCAGTCCATGAACTATGTGTGCGTAATTCTCGTTGGCGTTTTTACTCTTATAAATGTTCTTTGGCTCTTCGTCGGAAGGAGAAGTTTTGAAGGGCCACATATTGAGTGGAGTCTTGTACGCTCCAAAGCTGATTGAAGTTTGTCAATTGTCCGTTCCATCTGCCTTATGATTGATTGCACTCACGATTCATGATATGTATCAGTTATCATCGATTACAAGTCATTCATGAGGAAATCATTCATTGCCACCAGTGCCTTGAATACATTCCATAACCCAATCAAAGCCGAGAGGAGTTCCCTCCAATTTTTCTATTAATGTTACAATTACATATTATCATTTGAAGGACTAATAAAAACCGTCAGCCACGTTTCATGATCTCTAGATCACAAGAACCTACTCAGTTAGCAAGCCACAACTTGCATACACATCCTTCTCAACCTCCTGGGAAAGCTTAACAGTTTCGAGATCTATGTACATAGTCAGAATCGATAATGGTAAAAGTAGAGTCCACAACTCACCTCCGTATGGAAGAATTTGGGTAGCGAAGATCATAGCAATGCCATTGACACGATCGGCAAACCAGTATAAATTTGCCAGGCCCTCCCAAGACGCTGAACCAGCTGCTCTTCCAGTTTCGCTTCTCTCGTGGCTCAACATGAATGTAAGCCCCCACCCATTGGTCGGGTTTCCAGGCTTTGGGATAATAGGGCAATCATTGGCGAGCATGAGTTTTGCTGACTGGCAATAGTCATTGTGATGGAGCGGATACTGTGGAATTTGGTCGGTGAACATTTCTTTCCACGCAGAGGATTAGTATAAACGCACTGACGAATGTAAGGCGTAGTGAGGGCTTACGCTGTATTGTTTCTGACTTTAAAATCTGCGCGTTGGTCTTTGGGCAGGTTCCGTTGTTGAGAAGCATAGCCAGGATTTCTGTTCACTTAGTTCCGATATTTCATGAGATGGGGAAAACAATAACGCACTCGAATACTCCCTGGGTGTCCCGAAGCACCCACAACCACCCATACAGAAGTTTTCATTCGTTGCATACACAGATTCGACAAGCGCATGTCGAACAAGTTGGTCGGTTACGCTCAATGAGCCGTCAACTGCGCGTTGGTGCATGTAGGCAAGGCGTTGCTTCATGTCTCGCGTTGGGTAGAACGCCAGATCCTTTATACCTAGCGGCGCAAAGATATACTTTTGAAAATACTCCTGAAGGTTCATTTTCGTGGCCCGTTCTATAACGACTCCAACCCAATCGATGCTCACACCGTACTGGAACCCCGTTCCTGGTTGGAATACTAGCGGTCGCAAAAGAACATCTTCTCTCCGTCCTGAGAAATCGTCGATACCGGTCGGCCTTGCCCAGTCGCAGAGCTTAACGTCGTCAAAAGCATATCCGAACCCGGCTTCTCATGAGTTAGAGATCGGTCAAGATAATGACTGGTAGAACTTACATGTATGAGTCATGAGCATTCTGAGCGTAATTTGTCGCTCTTGCGGCACCAGGGTGTACGATCCAGTGGAGTCTTTCGTCAACACTTTCAGTTCCTTCAGCTCTGGAGCAAGACGGCCAAGCTCAACGGCATCGTCGGGTGCGAGCTTCCCTAGTTCCACAAGTTGCATGCATGCTATGCCTGTGAGGAGCTTTGTACATGAAGCTATCCAGAACACGGAATCCAATGTCATGCGTGCTTCGCCACCAAGTTTCAGGCTACCCGATGCGTGCGACAGGATTGGATTTCCATCTCTGGCCACTGCGATGCTAACCACCCCTGGGATTCTAGGATTTGGACCACTTGTCGCCTCATCCATTCGAGCAATAGCCGCGCTCGCGTCTCCTGTAGACTGTTCAACCTGCATAGCTGTTGCTCTAAATTGTATATATCGACCTCGATTACTATGCGAATGTTGAACGTGAAGGTCACAGATAAGCAGGCGAAGAATTGCCCACTTCTACTAACGTAAATCTAAATTTTTGGTCTTGACCATGAGCTCTAGCGTCATGAGATGTTCAACGAGTTTCAACACTAGACACTTTTCTCTTGCTACAGCTAAGCACACAATACGCAACAGCAATTGGAACACTTTCCGTAGTCGGAAAGAATCACGCCCTGGATCAAATAAGTTCCAGACCACCGCTATATCTGGTAATAAACATCATACGTATACTCGCATTCAAACAGCAAAAAGGCGGGGTTTGGGGACGACGAATGGCCAACACTAGGGTTAAGTGGGTCAGCTGCTGGGAGTATTACCCTATCGGGAAACCCTGTCAACTCTTAAGTCGCATAAGGAACGCTCCACTGCGGCGATACCGAGATCCCCTTGGCGATAAGTCTGTAATATCATTCGAGTGCGTAAGAATATCCAAAGGGGGACTATACCCCTACGGCGAGTGTGGGGTTAATATGGCTACGTTAAGGGCTTTTTCCCGCGGGTCTCAACAAGATAAATAGCTGTTCAACCACCACGCTGATCAGGTTCTCCCACTTATCAGATTCCTTACTCTTAAACACCCTCCCTCGAGTACAACGAATTAGGCCTCGCAATGTTCCATCCTCTTGACCCTCTCTCTCCAGCAGAGCTGCGCAAAGCTTCGCAGACACTGCGAGCCTACCATTCCCCGACCGCCGTTCGGTTCAAGGTTATCGACCTCCTCGAACCCCCGAAGGCAAGCCAGCTTGCGTACCTGCAAGACCGGACTGCTCGAGTTCAACCACCTCCTCGCAAGGCTTACACATACTATCACAAGCATGGCAGTACGACGCTATGTAAAGCAAAAATAAATCTCAGCAAGGGAGTCGTGGAAGTAGATGAGGAATACCCAGAAATACAAGGACCCGCCGATATGGACGAGATTGATCGCATCATTCAGACCTGTGCCGAACATCCAGCAGTTCAGGCTGAGGTTGAAAAGCTCAAGCTTCCCAAAGGGTGCGTGAACCACTATTGTGCAGAATCAGCGATCACAGTTTTTAGCTGACTTTCTGGACAGAGTAACGATAATCAATGATCCTTGGCTCTATGGTACAGATGATGCAAATGAGCGTCGACGCCTCTACCAATGCTACATGTACATTGCCCTCAACGATGACCCGGAAGCGAACCACTATTCCATCCCGACCACGTTTGCCCCCATTTTTGACGCCCACACACTTGAGCTGCTAGAAATTGAGAGACTCCCAATAGGTGTCGGAGCCGAATTAGAATCCGACACTCTGCCCTGGGAACCCGTCAAGGCGGTGGAATACAGCGCAAGGGTTCTGGGCAATGACTACTTCAGAAAGGATGTGAAGCCTCTGCACGTAGTTCAGCCTGAGGGTCCATCATTCAGCATCGATGGTCGTCATGTTTCCTGGCAGAAATGGTCCTTCCACATGGGCTGGAATGTTCGTGAAGGTCCTATTCTCAATAATGTCTTCTATGACGGTCGGTCCCTATTCCATCGAATCTCAATGAGCGAGATGACTGTCCCTTATGGTGACCCTCGCTCCCCGTATCACCGCAAGCAGGCGTTCGACCTGGGAGACTCTGGATTCGGTATCACCTCTAACACATTGACCCTGGGCTGTGATTGCCTAGGTCTCATTGCTTACTTCGATGGTATCCGGACCTCAGGGTCCGGAGAGCCAGTAGTCATGAAAAACGTCATTTGCATGCATGAAGTGGATGACGGGGTCGGATGGAAGCACACGAACATTCGCAACGGGCAGGCGTCCATGGTTCGAAACCGCCAGCTGGTGATTCAGTGCACGGCCACTGTACTCAACTACGAATACATTCTCGCCTACATCCTCGACCAGGCAGGTAACATCCACATCGATGTCAAAGCCACTGGCATTGTATCTACCATGCCCATTCGCCAGAAGACTCTTTCTCCATGGGGAACAGTGGTTGCGCCGGGTGTCCTTGCCGTTAACCACCAGCATCTCTTCTGCTTGCGTATCAATCCAGCCCTTGATGGAGTAAGGAACACGATTACCTATGATGACATTAAGCCGGTCGTGAATAACCCGCAGCTCGACCCGTTCGGTGTAGCGTTCCGTGTCCATACCACACCCGTCACCCAACCTGGCGGTTATGATCTTGATACAAGCCAGTCTCGAACTTATAAAATCATTAACCCATCTCAAATCAATCCCGTTTCGGGCAAGCCAGTCGGCTACAAGCTACACGCGCTACCCAGTCAAATGCTCATGATGGGCCCGGAGACTTTCAACTACAAGCGCGGCCATTTCTCCTCAAAGCCCATCTGGGTGACGTCCTACCAGGACGATGAGTTCTGGGCTGCTGGCGAGTTCACCAACCAAAGCCGAGAGGACACTGGCTTGGGTGTATGGGCTCGTCGTAATGAGAATGTCGAGAATGAAGATGTCGTTCTCTGGCACACTTTTGGCGTTACTCATGTCACTCGGCCTGAAGGTAAGCCCTCCCTTTCCAATGATCGCAGTTTACGTTAAACGTTTAGCTAATTGCGATCGTAAATAGACTTCCCGGTTATGCCAGTTGAGAAGATGTCTGTCTCTTTGAAACCAACTAGCTTCTTCGAACTGAACCCTTCCAACGATGTTCCTCGCTCGAACCAGAACATGAATCGCTCAACCTTAGTGGAGCATTCGAGCACGGCGCCGGATTGCGGAAAGTGCAGTTTGTAATTAGCTTTGACTGTATCAAAAAGTATAGGATACTAAACAGATCACCACCTTCAGCTTCTATCCAATTAGAACAAATTGCTACCTCGTAATTTCTTCTTCATCAAAGTAGTCCGTTTAAGTGAATGTTAGGAAGTACTATGTGCGCTTGTCCTCATCAGCTGTGAGATCTATGTTCTTCCTACAAATAAAGCTTCAGTAGAAAGATTAGCAAAGAAACGGATGCCATTCATTTAAAGCTCTTCTATCCTCGATGTTTAGTCCACTTATAGCTAAGATTATGGAAATAGCTGCTCATTATAAATTAAGAGTAGCCACCACTCAGTATTCCGGTACACATTATTCTATATGCAGACTGTTGCCAACACCTAGTGCTTTAAATGCTCTAAATTATCATAAGGCAGCCGTATTCTGAACTATCACTGAAGTCTAGCATACATAGTCCTCGGCGTCAGTGTAAAAGCCTACCGGCTAAGTCAATCTTTTTCACAATGAAGTCTCTAACCCTTCCATTTCTGGGACTATGACTGGTAGCAAGATCCCTGTGGATAATGCACTGAATCCAGCCTGGCGTGATACTGTCGTTCATTTTATTACCTCTCAGAGCTGGGACAACTGAGTCCATCGCCGACCAAACCATCGAAGGAGTAACTTATACCAAGGGATATGCGTTACTTCAATTAGCTCCTGACACAGGAAGTACTTCAATGAGGTATGTATTTTACATATTTGAACTTCTCGTTTAATTTTACAATTGTAACCCAAGCTTCAGTTCCTGTATTCATATGCAATGTGCTGGACAGGCAAACCGCTACGAGCCGAACTGGCAATGGTCTCTCTTTGGGCCCAATTATTCCCGTCTTTATACAATCAAACAAAAGTATGATCCGGATCACCTCCTCTGGTGCCATCATTGTGTGGGCAGCAAGGCATGGGTCGAACAAACCAATGGCTCCTTGTGTCGCGCTTTCTGATTCTCATCCTGTACAATACCGAGGTAAAGGCTCGCATGCTAGGAGGCGGTACTCGTACAATCAGCTGGAGAAATGCCAGCAGATGAGTACATCAGGTCCGGGGGCATGATATCTAATGCTTGCATAGATTGTACTATTTTCCATTGGGATCTCAGGCTCCAACCTATGGCGCCGAAAGCTTTTATCTGATTCTCAATGACAGGTGTTATTGAAATACACTTTTCATTCATACACACAATATTCTATAACAAGTTGGCCATCCTTATTTACTCTATTAATCAAAATGCTCCTCCTATTCTGTTATTTGTGTTGGTCTAAATATTGGCTTGTGCGTCAGATTGTTATATTCAAGTACAACTGTGTCAACGCCATTACTACTGCTAGTAGAATAGACTCTCCACTACCTCTCTGAATACTCTCAGATCAGATTAGATTAACAAGCATCAATAACCAAAGAGATATACTCAACTACACGATCTCCAAAAGCAATTGTGAGTGATGGTTAAGGTATCCATAGAATGTCGCCTGATATATCGGGCATCAAATGGGATCAATAGATTCTTCCGGTTCCGAGATAACTACACCACCGCGTTTTGATATTTGGATTTGGTTCGTTCTATCACGTCGAAAATGGGCACTCTCAGCGCCAATCAGGCCTAAAGCTCCGTAGCTCTTCCATACGTGAAGCAGGAAGGTACTTATTGGTAATCATGGCTGGTAGCGCCAAAAAGAAAGTCTCGAGTGCTTGTGAAAGATGTCGACGCCAGAAACTAAAGGTCAGCTTCCCCCTGATAACCGTTAAGTCAACATTGAGTAACGTCCTGGAACAGTGTGATATAACTCGCCCATGCACGTTGTGTAGAAGAACGGGCGTTGACTGTCAACCGGTCACTCCTGCCCGGTGGAGGGTTTATCAACAAGATCAGCCCCGGAAATCGGAGCGCTCTACTAAAAGGATCCGCATAGTTGAACCTACGGGGTCTATATCATCATCGCGTAGCAATTCTCATCTCCAGTCTCTTACTGTCTGCTCGCACCATGTTGCCCAGGAGGATACATGGGAGACAATCGATCAACAACCAGCCTCGGCAAACCATCAATCCTGGAATTCTAGCTCTACGATGGCCTTGGTGGATGGGGTATTCCTACAATTCTTTATGTTGCGCTGTGATGGTGGCTGACCCTTCTGTAGGCATTCCAACTTCACAACGCAGCTACTCCTGAGTCAGCCGCAACAAATGCTATTCCTGGAGCCGGGCTCGGTGACCTTGTGTCCGACGCGTCAGGGGAAGAAGAAACACCGACGACGAATCCCAATAATGGCCGTGCCTCACCAGCAACAAGCCCCATGCCTCCAATGATCAGATCATTGGCCTATTCCTCTCGATCAGCTGTGGCAGAGCTGGTATCACTTTTACCTGACTACCAAGCAGCAGCTTTGCTCGTAGATACCTACTTTGACCGAGTCCACTGGTTCATGCTCCTTTTTCACCAAGATGACTTCCGGCGACGATGGCCGAAGCTCTACAAACTATCAAACTCGCGGACCTCGAATCCTTCCCAAGACCTAGGATTTATTAGCACATTTCTGATGGTTATCGCTATTGGCCTACAGTACATGGGGGACCATCGCCGGCAGCTCTTAGCCACGTATGGCATTGGCCCTGATAAACTCAAAGAACGAATTTTCTCTGCCGTGAGAACACGACTATTGGACATAGTTTCTGTCGGTTCCCTAGAGGTCGTAGAAATGTGTGTGTTACTCGGAACCTACTATTTATACCATGGGGCACCTCGACTGGCATGGCCGGTATGTGGCTGTGGGCTGCGCATCGCTCAGGCCCTAGGCCTTCATCGCAAAAGGTCATCGAGTCCCCAACACTCATTACCAAAGAGTACTGCTGCGCGAAAGCAGAATGAAGCAAGAAAGCGAGGGTGGTGGGCCATATATGAAATTGAAACATTTTGTTCAATGGCATATGGTTACCCTCTGAGTATTAAAGACTCTGACTGCGATGTTGAGCCGCTAGATCCGAAATTCAACTCACCGATTGGGCAATCGCCCTCATCCTTTGAGAAGCCGGCTACAGGTGAGGCAACCTTACTGTCCTATAAATATTTCATGTCGAAATTGTCTGTCATTACCAAGGATGCATTATCTGAATTATATAATGTCCGTCTTGATTCTGCTGAAGGCTCACGGTTACATCACTCAACCTTGGACCCGTCCTATGTTATCGACCGGGTACGCACAATTGATATGAAGCTACGACATTGGCATGCAGAGGTTCCCTCCGAGCTACGGTGGGATAACATAAATGCAGCGGATGTTAGCTACTCATCACCACAGGCAGTTGATCGAGATATTGGTGCATCGGGGCCTGTATTCGAGAACCATATTTATCAGCTTCAGGCGCTCACCCTCAAACTTGCTTACGAAAATGCTAAGATCCTTGTTCATCGTCCGCTGCTGTCGTATAAAGTCGTTTCCCAATCCTCTAACTCTGAGCCCAGGGGCTTCACAGAGTCAACTTCAAACTGCATGAGCCCCTTTCGGTCTTCACTGCAGACTTGCCGAGCTGCAGCTATAAGCATGGCCGAAATTGCTTCGCACCCAATTGTTGACCTCATATCAGAAACCTATGCCGCAGCATTCGTCAGCATCCACACATTCACGGCCGGTGTAACCTTAGGAATCCTCAGCAGCATCGATCCCCTGGGACCACAATCTCGCGATACAAAGATTGGGATGCATCGTCTCATGGGCATCCAAGAGAAACTCAAGCATCGCTCAGTCCTTGCTGCACAGGGTCTCGAGATTCTTCAGCGCCTAGCGAGGCTCGTGATGGAGAAGGAACTGAGCGTGATGCTTGATGTGTCCAAGCCTATAGAGCTCTCGAAGCCCAGAGATAATGAAGGTGACAATGCAGCCGGTGGATTGATCGAGCATTCTCAACTTCTAGAAGCGGTCGACTCTGCATCAGATGCTCCCGTTTCTGTAGCATATACTCGGCGATCTGATGGCACAGCTTGTCCAGTTCCTGGCCAACAATCAGAGATTCCAACAACTGATTCTACGTATCCATTCAGCGTGGCCAACGAGAACGCCCTGCAGTATATGGAAGACCCGGCTTTATCCGAGGCCATTTCTGATTTTGATCAAGGTACGAAAGACTGCTGTTTCTTCTTGGCTCCTGTCACTAATGTTTCGTTCAAGTAGCCCTCTCTACTTACGCCCCACGATTATCAGTGGATCCCGAGGAGTCGTATAACTCTTCGCTTCCCCGACCCCCTACCGACGAAGGCTTCCCGATGCTGGAGCAAACATGGATTTGGGGTTTGGAGAATATTCCACCCTAGGCACCACGCACCATCTGACGAGGTAGAACAAATTCACATTAGCTTGCGTACATTCAATCGACAAAACGTTCTTTGACAACAAAGTCCTTAAAGTGAGGTAATATCGGCCCATGTTCTCTCAGAACAGGTGTTATATATCGTTAGGCTTAGTATCTACATGGCTTACAGGCCTGCCTGGCGTGAGGAAGCATGATCTGTGTGATCTGTGTTATTGATTATATACCAAAAAGCCCAAGTCGTCATTTACATTTATCACTGGAGACGACTCAATACCCGGCCGTGCTATCAGCCATGGGCTTGAAGGAAACTTCCACCGGCTCGTTGCCAATTCCTCGCTTTTTCGCTTCCTCCAAAATTGCCACAGTCGCCGTGGCGCCAATTCGAGTCACACCCAAGCTCATGACATGCAGTAAATCGTCCAATGTTCTTACACCCCCGGCTGCCTTAATCTGGACATCTTTCCCCGACTTCTCTCTCATGAGCTTGAGATCCTTAACCGTTGCTCCGCGATAGTTGTATGACCCATCCTTCTGCTTGACAAAGCCATATCCGGTCGAGGTCTTAACGAAGGCGACTTTTAGTTCCGTGCAGATCTCGCACAGTTTAGCAATGTGCTGAGAGTGGAGATAATCATTCTCAAAGATAACCTTGAGAATGGCACCACTAGCCACAACCGCTTCGTTGATCTGACGGATCTCTTCCTTCACATAGTCCCAATCGCCACCAAGGACTTTACCCACGTTGACGACCATGTCGATCTCGTTGCCACCTGCCTTGGCTGCTGCCGTCGCCTCGATCACTTTGATCTCCGTTGTGCTGTTACCATGAGGGAACCCGATCACCGGACAAACGAGGACGTCGCTACCGGCGAGCTCTTCCTTGGCCAGTGGTATGAGGTATGGTTTCACGCAGGCGGTTGCAACGTTGTTCGCACGGGCGATGCGCAGACCAGCAACAATGTCTTCATCGGTCATGGTCGGGTGCAGGAGAGAGTGATCGATCATTTTGGCAAGTTGGTGGAGGGTCACGGTAATCGTGTTGGAAGACATTTTGATAGATTACTGAATGAACGGTTGTTATTTCGCAATAGCAAATAAACTATACAATGGTAATATGAGGCCGTTAAGCTCTATTCATGCGGCTGCTATGGGACGTACTTATATTGCATTGATGAACAGGGCTCCACCGGAGACATTTTGGTCCATCACCGGGAAGGTTACCATATTCGGTAATGTATTCCACCGGAATCAATTGCCTGCAGTTAATTGCGTGCATCCAATTTCCAGCACCAACAGCCACATCGTAAAAAAGAAAAGTGAAACTAGAAATAAAGTACAGTTTGGCACATTATAGCATCGTATTAGTCTTCGGTGTATCACTTGTATTAATTTCCTGCCCCACACAGTGGTGAGTCTCTGAATACCACCAAATTTGCAAGGTTTCGTCATGTAGGACTTTGGAAGAGCCTGGAGTGTGGGCTATCGGTAAGTGCAACTAATTGTCAATACGGAGTCATCTATCTTGAGGCAGCTAGTTTATAAGCTTCAATGAGGTACTATGTCTTCCAGGGTTAGATTATATGGCGTCTCATATATGTTCACGGTGTATACAAATCGACTGATCTCAACCCGGTCAAGTTCCCAGCCAACCTTGCTCGACGCAAAGCAAATCTTCCTTACAAATGCAAACTGTCTCGCTACTCACAAGTTCCACTTCCTAGCCAGCTCAAGACCCTCCGCGAGCGCAACAACCCGAGTCTCAATGGCAAATCCCTCCTTCTCGAGCCTCTTGATTTCCGAAAAGAGTGACTTCATAGGGAGCATGAAGACTTCGATAAACTCTTCCTCCTCCAACTCTGGGCTGGGGTTCTGATTCTCCGGTAAGGACAGGTCCACATTCACATAAACGAGCTTAAAATTATTGTTGCAGAATCCGGGAGCTACCAAGCCGTCAGTCTTTCTTTCTAGCGAAACAGACACAGCTCCTATAGCGAGATCCGCCAAGTCGTGTACTCACAATTGAACAGAGTTCTACTGGTCCTTTCCGCCTCTCCCACAAAACCAGTTTCCTCCTTGAGCTCCCGCACCGCGCATTGCTCTGCGGTCTCTCCGGGGTCAATTAGGCCTCCGGGGATCTCGATGACCACCTTATCCAGAGCAGGTCGGTACTGTTTTAATAAAACAAGTTCCGGACCCGTTGACTTGTTCAAGGTGGCCACGATACTGACTCCATCGAAGTCACTGTCCGCCGGTCGAGTCTGTGCGACTGAATCAGCTACTCCTCTCTATCGAGACCTTGGTTCGCATGACAATGGAAAGATTTTACCTGCATTTCGGCAGACTCCCAGATTCTCTGCACCCCATTAGGATCGCGATAGGTTGTCTTGACTAATCTCTTCCATTCGGCTTCTTTAGTGTCCTGTCCTTCACTGTTAGATGGCACTCGCTGCCTGGGCAAGAATTCAATACGTACCAGGGTACGTCGCGAGAGAATCACGGGTTTTGCGTATTTGAAGTCCGGCATACTGCTTGATGTTGCTAGTGCTGTCATGCAGAAGCTATTTTTGTTGGATTTGCGATGACCCCGCGAGGCCGCCGCTGGGAAAAGTGGGGCTGTGGGGAGGACTTATTGCTCGGTCTGTGGGTGTAGGATGAGTCTCCCTAATCAATTGAATAACATTGTGCTAGATATCTAATATTAACCAGAGGTGAATTTCTTCTTCTTTCTTCACAAGCCAGTTATGTACATATCGGCCAGTTCCACATTACTCATTCACCCTATCCTTTGGCGACCCTCCATAATGATCCAGGGCATAATGTTTCACGGGAAGTTAGCCCAGAGATCTTTCATGTCTCGATGGATACACACGCCACAACTGCACTACTCTCTCTGTTTCGTTTCGTCCTTCTTTCTGTCTTCTGTCTCTGTTTTCTGCTTCTCCACACGCTGGTCTGTGGAAGCCACCAGAAACGCGAGAACAGTCAAGAAGGTTACAATGCCACCAAGGAAAAGTCGAGGAAATTGCCACGGACTGTACTGGTCCTGAATTCCACAGAAGACCATCGGCGGCCCAAAGGCTGAGCCGGCGTAGCGCAACGAGGCTATAACAATCAGCTGGTGCTGAGTCATGATGTTCGTGGTGACAAGAGATATTGAGCTTACCAGCACTCGTAGAAGATGAATTTACTCGTGTTGCCCGAACGAGAAAGAACGCAGAGGACACTATGGAGAAAACTAACAGCCCTGAACTGATATTAATACCCCGCGTTCAGTCGCGGCCAGCAATACTGTACATACAGGAATTCAACACCCCAGCGGTAGAGCTATACCATTGTTCCCTGATATCCTCTTGAACCGTTCGGTATAGAAAACGCCCGATATCTTTTCCGAAAACGTGTTCGAATGTCCAGGCAGAGGCATGACGCAGGTCGTTTGGTCGACCTAACTGCCAGCGACTAGCTACTTCTTTGGCAAAGTCTACTGTTGCATCATGCTTAGAGACGAGAATGTCAGAGATGTAAGCTCTAACTGCATTGGGCCCAGCAGAGGCGGGAGGAAATGCCATCGTCGCTATATCTTGTCCGATTACCGAGGGAATGAGCACGCGTCTTAGGACAGGTTGGGGCCAGAATTGAAGGTAAGAAAAAATCAGTGCCTGGATGCCATCAGGCCATCAGGCAACAATGATAATCGCCAGGCACCGGCACATGTGATTGTGCTGGATCGATGACGTCATGGATATATTTAATCCTCTTTTCAAACTCGTCCACAAAGTTCTAAACTTATACCCTTACAAGTCCTCGATTATCCCTTAAAACTATTCAATTGATCTTAATACTTTAGATTCCAATTCTTACAACATGCCCGAATCATTCGCCACCCTCCGCAATCGTCGCAGCGACGAATTGTCCCGTCTGGCCGATGAACACCTTCAGCACGACTTGCGACAGGAAGACCGCGATACTTTGAAGTCTGCAGCTTCGAAAGTCTCTCTTTGGACTGGAATTGGCTCTGCAGTGGGAATTGGACTGGGTCTCTATGTCGCCTTTCGACTACGAAGCTCGCGCAAGGCTTTCTTCGATGTTTTCCGCGCGCAGGAGAGACCCACACAAGTGGTCTTCGCCGATGGTCGGACAGGTATGAGATCCTATGCCTATTGCTGCTATTCACGAGGGGATACTAATCAAGATGCGAACAGAGTCTATTCCCGATATTACCCCCTTACTGAAGCCAACTACGCTTGGTGATTTCGCAACGTACTTCTTTGCTTCTGCTGGTGGACTCTTTCTGGGTGGAGAGCTAGGTAAGACCTAACCCTGAACCCTATAATGACTGGGGTAATGCAATATATAGATCTATTGACAGAGTACTAACTAAATTCATTGTTGTAGGCTTCTTGGGCGGAGCAGCTAGTGGCAGTCGCACGATCACTGCTGACCCGGAACAGAAGAAGAGGATTGAGACCGCTTTCCGGCGCTTCCGGGCCGACGTACTGCGCAAGGAAGCCGACGCATTGGATCACGGAGAAAGTGTTGCTGATAAGATGTTTTGATCTCGGTGTTTAATGTATTAGTAGTAATGGGTGTTGCATGGTTCGGCGCAGACCTGATTTGTCCATTTACAAGTGCTCAGCACTTCGTATGGTAACATATGAAAAAAAGCATCCATGGCGTAATGCCAGAATTCTTCAAATTTTCAAACTTCCCAGGTATTATGGCATAGAAAGTGCGTCATTGGAATGCTAAGACCCACTCGAGCGCACAGCTCCGAGTCAACCGGAAGAATTTCGGGCTGTTTCCGAGAGAATCCACTTCCGAGATTATAAATCTTGGTCTTATCTCACACATAACCCTCCCTCTACCAGTTACTTGATACAGAAGCTCTAGTTCCCCTTGTCATAATTATACTATCATGTCTAATCTCACATTTTCGTGTGCTCTTGTCACCGGCGGAGGAGGTGGCCTGGGCAAGGCCATAGCCGCGTACCTCCTAAGCAAAGGCAAAAAGGTCATCATCGCAGGCCGTACGGAGAGTACACTACGAGAGACAGCCAAAGAGATCGGGGCAACGGACTATTTCACCTTGGACACGGGCGTGACCTCACAAATCCCATCGTTTATCAAAACCGTCACGGCAAAATACCCCGACCTCGATTGCCTGGTCAACAACGCTGGCGTGCAACGTCCACTAGAGGTCCTCAAAGACGATCCAACCGACTTCCTAGCAAAGGCAGATCAAGAGATCGATATCAACATCCGCGGGCCAATGCATCTTACTCTTGGCCTTTTGGAGCATTTCAAAAGCAAGCCCAACGGCGCTACAATCATGAATGTTTCTTCCATTCTAGGGTTTGTGCCTTTCTCCGTCATTAACCCTGTATATAATGGGACCAAGGCATGGCTGCATTTCTGGAGCATGACGCTTCGTACTCAGCTTGCACGCGGTGGGTATGAACGGGTTAGGGTGATTGAGATTGCGCCGCCTTCGGTGGGAACAGACCTGCATCGGGATCGGGAGGATCCGAATGATAATAAGAAGGATAAGAATCCCAATGCACTTTCTGTGGAGGAGTTTATGGGGTTCTTTACTTCTGCTTTGGAGCGTGGGGATAGTATGATTGCTCCTGGGATGAGTCAGGGTGTTGTGGATAAGTGGTATGCGGAGTTTGGGTCGATGTATGATACGTTGACGGGGGAGAAGAAAGCATCGAAATAGGAACTAGGGAAGGCTTTTGATACCAGACAGGGCATCTCTTCTGCATAGCCAGTCATATACAAAACACAAGGCTCTTACAGGTTATCGCGTGCAATCATGATTTCATCCTCCATCCGGAAGCATGGGCGGCTCGTTGTAGAGTGAGGTAGTTGTAGGTGCTAATCACTTTGCTATAACAAAGGGAGAGCATCGTTTAAATTAGGGCAGTTTTCTGGTTAGAGCAATGGAGCAGTTATCAAGAGACCTTACATACAATATTACTCTAGTTACAATTTATTAGATCCGAGACTTTGCGTTCTATGGCTTGTTTGTAATGTTGCTTGGTGCTCGGCTAGGATATGATATCTTGGTCCTTGAGGACGGCGTTTAAGGGGACACCATTTGGGGAAAGGTTTCCCAAATTTGCTAAATATATTCTAGAGATCCTTTCCATTCTCTAGGGGTACGGAGTAGTAGAGCCCTGGTTCATGCTGTTGGATAACTGCGTTAATTGGACTGGCAATTCTAAAAGTTCACATTCATAGCGAAAATTATATATCAATCTAAACATAAAATAAACCTAAAGTTATGGAGCACCAACTTGAACACAGTCCCATAAAATTGGGAAAGAAGACGAAAAAGAAAAGAAAACTATAGAGATTGATCTCACAAACATAGAGCTTCACACTTCTATTTAGGTATATATATATAAAAAAAGAAAAAAAAGAAAAGAAAGAGGAAAAAAAAAGAAAACAAGAAAAAAAGTGAAAAACCCGATGAAGCTTGTACGTTGCTCAGTAAAGATTGTTTAATAATGCTAATTATTTCAACTGTTCTTCAACAATTGGTCGCGTAACTCAGTCGGTTAGAGTGCTGAGCTAATAACTCAGAAGTCGAGAGTTCGAGCCTCTCCGTGACCACTTCTTTTTGTTCAATGATTGATTGACATTTTTGCCCAGACGAGTTTACTTCTGGATTTGGTGTGTTACCATTTTGTGATTTATCTTCTTTTACCCGTAGTAGATAGTATGGACTATCTTCCAGTTCTTCCATATGCTAATTCCGCCTGAAGGGGCGCAACTCGAGAATGACGAACATTGCTTTCTCAGTACACAATTAAAACAACCCCCCCCCCCCCCCCATATTAACCGACTTATACTCTTTTGCGCAGTTCGATTGTACCGTCCCGAACCCCTGGTCTTGAGATATGGAATGTAGACATATTTCTTGACCCGCGTCAAATTGCCTGGTGGGGTTGATCCTTGCCTTTCTGCGACGGTCCTGGCGCAATCAGTGGTGTACCCGGGATTTAGGGCTTACTCCCTGCTATCTATATCCTCAAACCTATACTTGATTGACTCTACCGTAATATCAAGAAAAAAATAGCCTCTACACTAAAATAGCTTGGTTCTATCAGAACATCTGATACGCGCATTTCGAAGAGGTCTGCTCAGCCCCCAAATCCGGCCCCCATGGCTAGGATCTTGGGTCAACTCATCACGACTATTTCTCCCTCAAATATCCCTCCTGTGTCCCTGTCAGTCTCTTACAAGATCCACCATTCTCACAGTACCCTTAAATCAGCATCTGTTATTGTACAAAATGGCAAAGAGCATCAGCGATAGCTTCAAAGACCGTCGGACCATCTATGCTCTGACCAACGAATCGACTATCTCCGATGATCGATTAGAGGAATTACTTACCAACGTTGTTCTGCACACTCCAAGTCCCTTCAACAGCCAGACCTCGCGACTGGTCATGCTCCTCAAGGATGAGCACCAGAAACTATGGGATATCGCATATGAAGTTGCAAGCTCAACCGTTCCTCCAGAAGTGTTTGACAAAGTCTACAAACCACGGATCGCCATGTTTCGCGGGGCATATGGGACGGTGAGTATCGCCGTGATTCTGTTGGAATACAATACAGGATGTCCGCTCATTTTCAACAGGTGCTATTTTACGAGGACCCTGCACCGATACGACCCCTAGAAGAAAAGTGGCCGATGCTGAAAGACAAGTTTCCGCAGTGTATGTCTTTGGACAGAAGTATACACTCATCCTTGAATATTCCTGTTGGCTAATTTTGTTCATAGGGTCTGAACATGCCAGTGCGATGAATCAATATGCGCGTGAGTGAAGTCCGACAAAACCTTGAGTACATTGCTGATCAATACTTTAGTTTGGACGCTTCTGGAAGCAGAAGGGCTTGGATGTAGTCTCCAGCACTACAACCCGATGTTTGATGACCCCGTCGCCGAGCAATGGAACATTCCCGCGGATTGGAGTCTTAAAGCGCAGTTGGTCTTTGGGAAACCGATCGGTGGGCCTCGCGAAAAGACTTTTGAGCCTGTGAGCCAGAGGCTGTTTGTGCATGGGAAGTAGAAATACATGGATTGATTGAGTCGCGTTTTTCTAGAGCTATAACAATGTCATCGTGGTCAGTTTGGTTAAGGTTGAACAATATCTCTCTACTGGAATGTTTGGGTCGCGATGTTAAGGAATTTCTAGCTTTCTGCTCTAAGCCTCTAACATAGGTAATTAAATATAAATATACTGAGAACATGTCGGTGTTGCAACTGCGAATATATATATCTGGATGCTGAATTGCCAGAGTGGCCGACTGTTACCATGTCCCGTTTAGCTAGCTAATATCATAACCATAAACCAAGACGAATTCACGACTCTTTAAGATCTTATGCACAGTAATTGTCGTTCAGACGTAAAATGTAGGCAGTTTGACGTGCAGTTGGTCTGAAGCGGAACCCCTCCGGGCCTCCGGTGCCAAGCGACGATCAACGGGGCATTGCATAGGACCTCCAGGGGATAAGGCCAATGACATAAAAAACAAATATGTCGATCGTTTCTTCAGGGTGGGCATTGTGTTTCGGATCTCGTTCGTATCGCCTGACGGCTGCCTATAAGTTCCCCCCGTCCTGCTCTCCTTACTTGAAGTGCACTCCTACGCACTCCAACATGATGTATCACGCGACCGGTCCTAACCCTTATCCTCAATGCATAAGGACTTCGGGCCCTTACAAACCTTGTCATTCGCCATGATTGAAGGATAGGTTCTATATTATCGTACACGAGAGACGAACTAAGAGCGATGTCATGCTGGCTTTTTTCCGATCACGTCATATAAGAATTCAAGTTTCTGTGCCGATGTCACGAATGATATCGGGTTGACTCATATAGATAAGAGATGATACTTGCCGCAATCATCTACTTGATTATGATCGTCTTCCCAAGGACAGCCTCCGTTGCTGAGAAGATGTTCGACTGTATCGTTTTCGACGCGTTGCCACCATCCTTACCGAGCCGAATTCAAGCAAGGCAGGGTTAATACGATCGAGGCGATCTTCAGGCCGACGCTAGTGATCAGTCCAGGCTGCAGTCGATGAGATTCGGCAAAGGCACATCTGATTCACATAGAGGTGTTAAAGCGTCGGACAATTTCTCGTGAATTTCACGTTGCCAATGGCAGATGACAAAGTGACAGGACGATGAGCAAGGCATCACACACTACTGTTAGAGAAGTGTGCGAAAGGTGCAGAACAGCAGGAGGTTATATCACAGTCGTTCTGGGCAGCTTAGCAAGCTACGCATGCGTGCTATTGCGCGAAGGCCTGCTCTAACTCTGCCAACAAGGAATGAATTGAATTGGGAAGGTCGCCGCAGCAAAGCAACTGGACCATTATTCCGCAGCATCGAGACTCACGAATGGACGAGCACGGACCCGACAGACTATCTGTGGTGGAGCAGCCCCTACTATTACTTAGGCAACGGCAAAGATTTCCACTTGTCACCATCCAAGCCGTTCCCGAAATGTGAGCCGCGGTATCTTCTCCAGGCCAACAACACCAACCTCTCCAGACCTAAAAATCATTCACTCGTAATTACGTCCAAGTCCGAGTCATACAGCCGTCTGTAACCAGGATAAGGTCGCTATACGACGGTTGCAGAAGCATGTTACAGAGGCTAGACCGATCGGATTCCTTAGCTACGATCTTAATTTGTCGCGGGAGTCACATTCTGTTCCCGAGTCGACTATCGCCGTGGTCAAGGTAACAAACGAGTGAGCCCATGGGGTGGGTCGAAGAAACAATTGTTCTTGAAGTTCTTGGATACGAAAAGTCAGTTAAGAATATCCGGAACTCCACTAATCATACCGCACATTTGAACGACACCCGCACTGATGTCTCAGCCACACTTGCCGTTTCTCGCAAATGCTGGCTTCATTGAACAAGTGAAGTCATTAATCATGTGCATAGTCTTCTTGAGCTCTCATTATAGATGCTGGTGCTTCCCGACTATCATCTTAGATGACCTACTGGGGGGCTGCTAGGGGTGATCGAGATTGTAGTGTCGAAGATCTGGCTTGCATGCTACATCTCGGTTAGGGGCAATTTTTGCGCTAGTAAGGGAGGCCGTCGAATGTTGAGCTCCATACTCCATGACGTCGAATCTGTCAGTCTGTCGGCTCTTCGCGATGGTCTCAGACTTGGATTGGCGGTAGTGCGCCACACTCGCTTAGCGGCTGTTGACGAGCAAACCATGGGATCACCCTGAAGACCCTGACATCCCGAGGGTTGGTTCAATGTCCTATTTTTACACCAACTTCTGAGACCTTTTAACGGTGCGGCCGAATAGGAAGCCTGCAATGCTCATGCACAGCCAATGACGCGATCGACAGAACTGACAGCTCGCAGCTTTTGCGGCGTTCGGGAAAATTCTCCTCGACGTCGGCAAAGAGCCGAAGTGGAGTCGCCACAGGGTCTAATGCTACGCTTGTGGACCCGAAATTCAATAGTCCCTGCAACGGTTCTTCTATAGGGCCAAGGGAACTGAGGGCCTCCGGTATTGCCGGTCAATGGGGTGATTGCTATGTAATTTTCTCTTCTCCTTTGGGGAAGTGCGGGTGTGCTGCTATTACGTACAAGTCGTGTGGGAGCATATCGTGACTGACTTATATAAAGACGAGGTGATCTACCTTTTTCTTCAGGGTTGTTCTAGATCGATACATCTTATATTCTAGCGTTAGCATACCACCAATACCAAGCACTACGGTCGTTTCTTCTCAATCCATACTACCTTTCGTTTAGCAGCCCTTTGCCGTCGCTTCTTCTTTTAGGTAGCTGATCTACTCAGTTCAAGTCACCATGCGTTCTTCGATGCTCTTGCTGTCTACCCTTGCCGGCTCTGCCCTCGCACTGCCGGGAGTTTACCATCACGGGTTCAACTCAACCTCTTCCTCTCACAGCGCCACCCACTCTCATACCCTTCTTCCCACCGGTGGCGGCGGCGGAGAGAAGCCCACCGAGACAGGAAAAGGTGGTGAATCTCAGACCACCACCGCTCCTGGAGGTTCTGGCTCTGTTCCCGGAACCACTGTGACTTCAACGATCACCGACACCATTACCAAGACAACCTTCAAGCCCTGCTCAACCCCAGTCCACACCGAAGGTGGCACCACCTACTATAGTTCCTGGGTGACTGCTTCCACCTATGAGACTACCACCTGCTACACGACCACCACTGTCTTGACTTCCTCTCCTACCGCCGCTCCCACTGCCCCTGCTGAGACTACTGTTGCCCCCGCTCCCAGTGGTGGCCATGGCTCCGAGACCTGCCCTCCTGCCTCCACCGTGACCGTGTACGTTACAGTGGGCAGCGGTGGCTCTGGTGCTACCACCACCACCGCTGGTCCCGGTGGTCCGGGTGGACACCACTGCGAGCGCTGCGAGACCATTACCTACACCAACACCCAGGGCTACACGACTACCATCGTGATCCCTCCCATCCCAGAGCCCACTGGCACTGAGACCGAGCAGACCACAACCACCGAGGTGCCCTCTACCACTACTGAGACCAACAAGCCTACCGGCACTGGATCCCACCCCACCCACACCAAGCCGACCGGAACTGGCAATGAACCCGCTCCCACCGAGACCAAGACCTGGCATGGTGGCCACCACAGTGTTGTCCGCAACTAAGCTGATATAGTATTTGACATTCTCCTTCAGACGACGATGAAGAGTTATGCTTCTAGTACCTCATGTGCAGCAAGAATGAGGTTTTTACGGTCCTTAATGATGTCTTGCATATAGTGATTTTGATATGCTGTTATGTATTTAATTCTAGCCATTCCTTAATGTTTAGCCACTCCTTCATGTTATAGAGCTCAACAGAGAAGACAATATAGATCAGAAGTGTATGCCAACCAGAAACACTTAATATCAGCGCCATGATGCAAATATCGAAACATGTAGCTACAACGCTCCAGTATCTTAGTGTACGTTATTATTTCTATTAGGGCCGACTATAACTTTACTAGAATTGGCCTGGTTTGACTGAACTGCATCGCGTCTAGATGACTATAATCCTGACAGCCTCCTCAGCCGCTTCTCTGAACTATCTTCAACGGTCAAGGCGAGATTAACTTCGACGATAAGCACTGTATACAGTATCACACAGTTGCTGCAAGCGCTTCGAGATGGAAAGTATTACCCTTTCCGTTATTACCTTTATCCGGGTTTTATTGAAACACCAAATGCGAAGGATGGCGGACTCCAAGTTTCGGGATAATATGTACAATCCCACGATTGGAGACAGTGAATATTAACGTTCGAACTAAGTACCAGCTGGACCGAGAATTGTCTATATGAAACCGCCAATTTCCGAGCAATTAGCAGTATAGATAGGATTCGCGTCGACGAAGCTTAGGGTTAAGGACGGTCGCCGAAGAATGCCGATCCGTTTGAAGATCGTGCAAGCATTATCTGGCTAGACGACCAACGGCGCTTTTGTTAAATGTCTTAGTGCTATCTATCGAAGAGATCAGAGCCACTGTTTCGTATCCCGATTATTCGTAACATCCCAGGAAAAGCGGGATATTCTATCACCCAATGCGAACTTATTCTCGCCTCCCCTCGTCCGACTCCTACCTCTTCCAGCCATGCTTTCATGAACCATGAATATAATAATATCCGATTGCAAGGTTTGCAATTTGACGATAACACCACGCAAGATTCAGGGGGGGCAAAGGCGATCTTAATAACTGGTGTCAGAACACAGGGATGCCTGGTCTTGCATTACGCGTCTCTTTTCTTTTCGCGATCTAGGCAACGATGCCTGCTTGTTGGCGATCCCCCTGCGGAGGGGGTTAGTTCACGTTGCGAAACTTTTGTCGGAAGTGGGATATGACAAGATGTCAAGTTTGAGCGTGTCGATTTGAGGTTCTTGTAAGAAATTGAGTAGGACGCAACGAGATTCGAATCGGCGTCGGCAGATCTTCTCGGAAGAGACTCGGAGGTATCTCGGATACATATCTCCGATTTTCCCCAGAGTCGATAATCGAGTATCGGATTCTTTCGAGTGTATTAGCGAAGTATGGATTCGGCGATCGGAAAACAGGGCCTGTGTTGGCCCGCGCACCGAGGCAGCGGGCTGAGCTGAGTTGATGATATATTCTATCTATGATTCTCCATAGCCGTGGATCTGGAAATTATACTGATCCACCGTCCCACTAGAATGTTTCTATTTCGAGCCTGCGAGTTCAGCCCCTTTTCCCCGTCAGTTCTTTTCGTTCACGACAAACAACATACGAAGTATTTTCCACGACGCCAAACCCGAATATTTTGCTTGCTTTGGTTTAGAATCGCTCGAAACCTATACGGTTTAATCTTAATTTTATTTTATTTTATTTTTTATTTTTATTAATTTGTATCGTCCTATAGGTCAAGGTACTTCCCTGCTCTTGGGATAGGCGGGTTTCGCCGACCGTCACATTCAGTTTTCACAATATTGTGTCTTCCGATTTCCAAGTCTTTTGGGTCTGTGAGGATGAGGAGGAGGAGAAGAAGCCGAGAGTCCTAAGCAGTGGAGAGCGACGCTAAGGATGCTCTGCCCTTTTAGACAGTAGACCCCGAACAGACAACCAAAGATTCGGTTATTCTCTCTGCTCTTGATAAAATGCACAGCCTACTCTAAGGCAACCCATGTTCGGCTCGCACCGACTTTGCCTGTGAACAGAAAAAAAGACCAGCGATCCATCCTCGGCTTCCCCACATCAGAACTCCAAAAAGAGGAGGTCGAATAGAGGGAAGAAGAAGGGCTCGAAGACGGTTGTAGTTGTGTTAGTAATAGACAACACGAGAAAATAGAGCCATAGCCACAGTTGCTTATATTCTTTCCCCTCACGCAGGTCTGGGCGCGGAAGGATTCGATGTGGAGCAGTGGGCCTGATACGATGCCCTTCGGTTGGACTCATGGACTTCAGCCGCATTCTAGAAATCGGTGTTGGTCCTCGGAGCGCAATCTGTATGGGTACAACAGAGCACACACTAGAAAACACAGAGCCTCGTGAAGAGTGTGAGATGCCCAACTCTTGCGGTCTTTTGCTCGGACCATGCCACGTCGCACGGCTGACTGCAGGCACCACGGCCAAGGGCAGGAGGGGAACACACCTCAAGATACGAAGATGGTGCGAAGTTTTTGACAGCGCGGAATACTACGGAAATGTGATAGTGTCGTTTTAGTTTGCTTTTGGATCCCTTGGTGTTTCCTGGTTGGGCCCTCTGCGCGCGCTCTCTCTCCCTTGTGGTGGTTGTCCAATATCTACCCACTTGCCTCCGCCCAATGAGACCCCAAGCGGTGGAGTTATACACATGGGATAACCACTCAGGCGATCACCTCGGGTGATCATACTCAGCAGGAGGTATATCGCGATGGGTGTGCAGAATGAGCCTATCTGAAATGGTTATAGGATCGTTCTGCATCGGTTAGCCGCTAATGGGGCATCTGCCATCTGGTATCCGTGAGGTCCAAGACGGACGACCATGGACCGCAGTGGGGTTATTATGCGACGCGGGAAATGTGGAAAATAAGTGGATAATCAGGATTGTAATAGGTAGTAATAGTAGGACTTGTGATGAGGAGTGTGTGCACGCCCCCCCACTGTTGCCATATCGAGTGTCTTATTGCGACATTTACTGATCATAGCACCAAAAAGATCCAGCCGTAAGTGGGTTGTCCTTCTTTTCTATCAGCTTTCCAAGCCTACCCCCAACAAGTCAACTGCCGTGGAATTAATATAACCCACTGCCGATGGCTGCTGTGGCGGTCGAAGATCGCCCGGCCAAGTGTGGGGGAGACGATGCGATCGACATTCCTAGACGCGAGGAGATTTTCGATAGTTAAACTCGGAATGGGTAAAAGTCGGTGAAAGGCAATCTTTAAGGCAAATTGCTATACCCAATAATACGAAAGATTTTGAACCATGGATTTGTTACCTATCCACTGCTCAAACTGTAACCCCTGGAAGTCGGACATTTATTGATTGTTTTCCCTTGCATCTGCCAACATGTAAGTCTAGTCTCAGGGGGGAAAACTTTCAGGGCTGCGGGAATCACGGGAAATTTTCCCAGGCTTTCCAACTAAAATGCCAGCATATGACTACGTCATTTGGAATACTAGACCAACACCCTTGCCCATAACTAGCCCTAGTACATACTTTAACATGTGCTAGTATTCCCCTTAGTAACTTCTTTCTTTCTGGGTGGCGTTTTTAGCGTGTCTAAGCACGCCATCCCAGTGACTTGTCACAGTCTGGTCCTCGGAGGAAGAGGTACTCCGTATTTCATACTACCCCCATCGCTTAAGCGAAAATATCTCGGCATCAGTGCTGCTGCCCGATTATTGCTGTGCCTTGCGAGAGAAAGGACCCGCCTTGTGGCTCCGTGATGTGGGCTGTTGCGGAGATTGTCCTGCAAGGGAACTTGAAGTTTAAGCTAAACCATTAGTATGAATCCTAATCTTGTCAGACACCGGAAGTATACACTGCAGGAAAACACAGCCTGACTCGGGGCTAACAATCTGCATCTTTCACAATTGGCTGCTTTGGATCCATGCTGCTAGCTTTTGGACTGACAAAAGTCACTAGCGGAAAAACCCTAGTGCAAAGATGCATTTCACGGCGCCTTGTGACTTGTCCCACCAAAATACTGGAGAACATTCTCCATCGTGATGTCAGGACAAGAAAGGGGAGTCCCAGGGAGCAAAAGGGGGTTCCATACATAAACCCCCGGGAAGCCCACTGAAATCTGCTGCATGAATGAGCACACGCAGTCCACTTCCATTGTCATTCACCATGCTCTCCCTCCTGGCTGCCCTGTCCTTGCCCCTGGCGTTGGTCAACGCCTACGCAAACCCGAGTCCCTGCACCGGCGACTGCTGGGCTCATGATCCTGGTCTCTGGCGACGAGATGACGGCACATACTTCCTGTTTTCTACCGCCGGTGGCATTCAGGTCAGCTCGGCACCGGCTCTCAACGGGCCATGGACGAGAGTGGGCGAAGCCTTGCCCGGTGGTTCGTCCGTCAACCACCCCGGCAGCACGAACCTCTGGGTACGTCTTGTTTTTTTCCTGCGTGAGAAACTCTCCAACCAAGTGCTAACACTTTGGTAGGCCCCAGATCTGCACAAACAGGGCGACGAGTATTACATGTACTATGCCGTCTCCACTCTGGGATCTCAAAACTCCGTCATTGGGGTGGCTACCTCCAAAACCATGGAACCCGGTAGCTGGACCGACCACGGTAGCACTGGTCTAAGCTCCGACGGCTCTCAGGGGTATAACACCATTGACGCCAATTGGATCAAGATTGGAGACCAGGGACTTCTCACCTTTGGATCTTATTGGCAGGGCTTGTACCAAATTAATATGGATAGCCCACTGAAGGCCGGCACCGCAGCCGCAGCCAACATTGCTTACAATGGAACCGCCCCTCATGCCATTGAGGCACCCTACCTCTTCCACTACCTCGACTTTTACTACCTGTTCTTCTCCTCCGGGAGGGCTAATGGATACGAGACCAATTTCCCTCCCCAGGGAGAGGAGTACCGCATCAATGTGTGCCGTTCCTCAACTGGCCGAGGTGACTTTGTAAGTGACTTCGCTTCCTGATTTTTTGTTCCTCTCCTATTCTCGATGTTGGTACTAACTCGCATCGCTATAGGTCGATAAAAATGGAGTGTCCTGCCTCGAAAGTGGGGGCACAACTGTGCTCGCAAGCCATGACAATGTGTACGGCCCTGGCGGACAGTAAGTAGCCCTGCAATCTGTTTGGAAGAACTTGTCACTCACGTATTTCAGGGGTGTATTGGCCGATCCGGCACTGGGACCAGTCCTCTATTACCACTATGCGCCTCGGGATGGCGACTTGACTGTTGAAAGCTATCAATTTGGGTGGAACCGTCTGAACTGGGTTGATGGATGGCCCACCGTATAAATGGAAGGAGAAATGAACTTCTGCATGCATATATATATATCCTGATGTGCGATTGGCATACTGATACCATTTAATGTTATTATTTAATACTATCCGTGACTTACTTTTCTTTCTATCTTTTATGCTCTCCGTTTTTTGGGGAGGGAGACTCTTGATGGCGCTGCCAAGACGTAGCCAAACAGAGCCGTCGATGGTCAGCGACAAACAAGAACACGGTAAACAAAAGACTCACTGTTTGGAGTGGCTAACGATCCATGGGACAGTCTTGATATTTCCGAGCATACGATGTTCTGGGCCCCCGTGGCTTTTATGAGAGTGTAATTTAGGGTCCCGATCCATCGGTCTAATAAAACAAAGAAAAAAAAAAACACGAGGTTCCCCGCTTTTGAAGAGAAAACGTGGCCAGAGAAACCCTCACTCATTCACCATCAACATGTCTTTTCGCATCTCCACGACCTCACAACTACGATGGCCGATTATGAAGACACGATTGAGGTTGACTGGGGAGTGGCCACCCCCGATCTGACCGACGATACCTCATCTGAGGCCAGTACGTCCCTACGATCTACCGTGCTCGAATACGAATTCCGCCACGGTCGGCGCTATCACAGCACGCACGCCGGAAACTACCATTTCCCCAACGATGAAGTCGAGCAGGAACGCCTGGACATGGTGCACCATATTTACTATCGACTGTTGCACAATCGATTATTCTTAGCCCCGATCGATCTGGCGGGAAAGCGGATCCTCGATATTGGTACCGGGACCGGGGTGTGGGCCATCCACTTGGGCGATGAATACCCGGCCGCCGAAGCCATCGTCGGCAACGATATCAGTCCTATCCAGCCGCGCTGGGTGCCACCGAACGTGAAATTCTACATTGACGATGTCGAGAGGGATTGGGTGGACGGCCAGAAATATGATCTCATCCACTGTCGCTACATGGCGGGTTCGATTAAGGACTGGCCGCGGTTGATTAGGCAATGCTTTGGGAATCTGAAACCGGGAGGATATCTGGAGCTGCAGGAATCGGTCAATACACTGTATGCGGAGGACGACAGCTTACCGCCCGACTGTAACACGGTGAAGATGATGGATGCGCTCAAGGAGGGATGTCTGCGGATTGGACAAACCATGGATCCCGCTCCACATATGCATGGTTGGGTGGAAGACGCTGGCTTTACCATCGTTGACGAACGGAAGTTCAAGCTCCCACTTGGGAACTGGCCAAGGAACAAGCGGTTGAAGGAATGTGGCAGCTTCAACCGTGTCAACTTTGTCGAGGGCGTGGATGCCTTTACAGCCTCTATCCTCCCGGATATACTAGGCTGGCGGAAGGAAGAAGTGGTGGTGCTTAACGCTGCAGTTCGGAGGGAGGTCATGGCAAACACCATGCATGCGCTCTTCGACTTCCTGGTAATTGTTGCCCAGAAGCCCATGTAGCGACTCACAGGATCTGTGGGGGGCGCATGTTCCAGCAGAGGCCGTGCTGGTTTGGCTGGTCTAACTCGGCGGTAGGGGTCCTTCCTGAGTTCGACGGGACGTTCATTGTTTGGAAAGATCATTTATACTTCTCAGGCAGTAGATGTATCACTTCGCTTATGCATGCAGACTTGGCAGGGCAGTTCAAAGCTGCCTCGCTTCCAGATATCGAGAAAGATTTTGCATGCCGACCGAAAACTGTGGTTGGTTTGGCGAACCGTTTGGAAGTTTTGGTCCAACGGGCACAATTCTAGCTTCAACAAGGCAGTTTTTTTCAAGAGGGAACATGTCATGGCGGCTGAGTTCGCGTGCGTTGATCCTCGATGATGAGCGGTGGAAACGAAGCCCAATGCTCATGAATCATGACCCCAGACTATGCCCGATTCAGCGATATCGAGCGCTGGAACTTTGTCCAGGACGCTATTCCCAATTGGGCCATGGCACTGCCTGGTCAATGGTCCCGATGTGTCCATTCAGCGTCCAGCCATCCATCTTTATGCTTTCCAGTTCAATTTCTGTCCCAGTTGCTTTCCACTCTCTGTTCAGAAGCCAAGCAAGGATCGACGGACAACTGGAGTTCCATCCTCCAGTGGGACTTCTTCCTACATAGCAAGGTGTCCAATGATTCGTCTAGTCAGTGTTGGGATAGACAGAATACGAGCTCCCAGCCTATGGGATGGAGTGCTCAACCAACAGAACGACCAATACAGAGGATGCACATCAAAGGCTAAGGGGTTCCGCCCAGAGGCTTCATCATGCTGCTTCGAAGATGTCATCCCGCTGCCAAGTGGACCGCCACCCGCTGAGCCTTATTATTTGATAGTGAAAGTGATAGCCCCCATGGTGTCAATATACAGGCATGGCATTAACTTTTTCGTTCGTCAAGTACAGTGACATGGGCATGTCCGACCGCGTGGCTATTTTTGGGCATTCATGACGATGGAAAAATATTCCGACTGCGAATATATAAGGAGACCACCGATGGGGCCATGACTCCACTCGGTTAATAGACCACAAATCGATTTGCCTTCGATTAACTGCAACAAGCATGTATCTTAACTTCAACGTGCTTTGCACGCTCCTCATCGGAGTGGCTCAGGGGACACCCCTTATTCGGTCGCCAACGCCTCATGCTCGGAACCAGCAGATTCAGTGGAGTCCCTGTGAGGCCAACGGAACCCTGGCCACGGAGTGCGCTGCGTTTCCTGTGCCCCTTGACTACACCAATGAAGCCTCTGATGCTACCCTGAACCTCGAGCTCATTCGGATTCGCGCCCCGAACAGCCCTTCCAAAGGAAGCGTATTCCTGAATTTCGGCGGCCCAGGTGATAACGGAAAACTTAGTCTAGCTACGTACGGACCGATGCTACAAGCGTAAGTGTCTCTTGCATTTGACTGGAGACCTTTGCAGTGTAAAGCTCATGATGTCTGTATAGTGCGACCGGTGGCTACCACGATCTTGTAGTGCTCACCCCAAGGTACGAGTGTTCAACCCCCCGTTGTTCTTCTCATTGCCAAGCTAATCCGATCCTGCACAGAGGAATGGGCAATACCATTCGATTCTCCTGTTATGCTACCGATGAAGAACGAGCTGCAGCCTCAACGTTATACCCGGAACTCGCTGGTAACGCATCTGACGTCGCCCTGGGACACAACAATGTGTCGTCTGGCGTCTTTGCCGACACCTGTTATGCAACCCAAAACGAAACCGGCCAATTTATGACGTCAGCCTTTGCAGCGCGGGACTACATACGGGTTATTGACGCCCTAGAGGAAGACGGACTTTTACGATACTGGGGTGAGGCGATCCGTACTGCTCGAATTGTCTTGGACTCGACCCGCTGACCATGGACTTTGGTAGGCCTCTCATATGGTACCATATTGGGCGCCACGATTGCCGCTATGTTTCCGGATCGGATAGGCAGAGTTATCCTCGATGGTGTCGCCAATCCACATGAATACCAGCTGAACCGGTGTGTTATTCCATCTTCTTAGCTTCGTGGAGACACTCATACTGATCCCATGCAGCGATTTGCAGATGCTCGTAGACACGGACAATGTGCTTACTGGGTTCTGCGAGGAATGCGTCGCCACCCCCGATAAATGTCCGCTCGCCCGAGACCGCAGTGCAGCGGAGATCGAGGAGGCTATCTATGAATTGATCGATCATGTGAAATTCCATCCTCTCCTCATCCCGGTTGCAGGCACTCCCACCCTTCTCGAGTACACTACCCTTAAGACTCAGATTTTCAGTGTACTTTATTCTCCAACCGGCTGGGATGACTTTTCTGCCTTTCTCGATAACCTCATGACTGGCAAGCTCGAGGAGGCAGGAGAATATCTCACCAAAATCACATCTGGCCCACCCAGCTTGGACGCTGAAGCTCAGTTTGGAATTAAGTGCAGCGACTCGTACCGTACTGACAACAGCGAGGAGGACGTGCTCTCGCTTATCAAGCAACGCCACGAGCTCAGCCGGATTGGAGGAGATGTCTCTGACTTCGTTCTTACCCGATGCGCGGAATGGAAGATCAAGCCAAAGGAGCGATACACGGGTAATTTCCAGGCGACGACGAAGAATCCGCTCCTGATCATTGGCAACACTGCTGATCCGGTCACCCCCCTTGCAGCCGCACGCAATGTTAGTGCAGGGTTTACTAATAGTGTTGTGCTCGAGCATGGTGGTTACGGGGTAAGTTTCACCGGTTCTTAATTCCTTCATGCTCAGCCACTCACTGCTCATTCTTTGACTAGCACGCAAGCTTGGGGCAGGCATCCCTCTGTACAGCGAAGGCCGCTCGCGCCTATTTCATGGATGGCACGCTGCCTGAACCGGGTACCAAGTGTGAGATCGACACCACGCCGTTCTCTGGTGATAACGGATGGGAGAAGGTCCTCAAAGAGCTCGCGGCCGATAGTAAATGAAGCCGAGGGTAATGGCCTATCGAAGACGTTCTGGAATAGATAATGACGATACGGTTCGCGCTTTGTTCATGTTGTTTTGTGATATTTGTCCACTCGTTACTCTCGGCGATCAATTCGTCGGCTGCTTCGCACTGTTTATAACGTACTTTATCAAGGCCCTAGTATATAATTCAAGCACGTCTTAATGTTGGAGCACCGATGCCTGCACCGATGTCTTGTATAAATTGTAGCTACCAAGTATCTGGTCAAACAGAGGTCAATTAAGTGGCTTTTAGGATCTGCGGCTACACAGCCACAGTCACCTGAATACCGACCCAAACCCTAATCATCTAACCAACGAACAGAACGGACGAGACTACAACAACCCAACAATGGCTGCTTTCAATGAACAATACCCCCCCGACTTCCCCGACGAGAGAGGTCTCGCCCTAATATCCGACATCGTAGACTGGCAGATCAATCATGGCTCATTACTGAAGCACATTGATCCTGAGACTGATTTCCCTGATGACCCCTCCCAATGCTACCCCGTCGGCGTCACGGTCTTTCCTACATTATTCCCCCGAGAGCAATTCAATCGCGCTTGTGAATTACAAACTATCTACAATGAACTGTATTGCGCCATGGCTGAAGATGAACATTGGATTTTCCAGGCAATCCGAGACCTGATTCCAGTTGACCCCCTCGCCGCAGCACTCTGGGGCATTCATGAGGAGGTGAAAAAAGTTGGATATGCGCAAAAGGTCTCCGTCGGCATTTTCCGATCGGATTACATGCTAGACGCACCTGAGATGGAGTTTCCTCTCCGACCAGGAGACACTTTCGATGGCGCCCTAAAGCAGGTCGAGCTTAACACATTCTCATGCGCCGGGGCAACCCATGCGAACAGGGCAGCCGAGATGCATCGTTACTTTGCACGCACCAATGCCTATGATCCTGGAGTTGACCACTCAATCAACGTCTCACTCGCTGCTCTACCCCGTAACAACAACATCACATCCCTCTCTGCATGTCTCGCCGCTGCTCACAATGCATATGGACCGAAAAAGAGCAGCGCGGCTACCGACACTGCCGTTCTATTCGTAGTGCAGCCTAACAACTTCAACATCGCCGACGAGCGCCCCCTGGAGTACGCATTATGGGATCGCGACCCACCCGTTCCCACATATCGAGTCGACTATCCCACCGATTTCCTAAAATATACGACGTTAACTGAATCGCGAGAACTCCTCTTCCATCCACCATGGTTAGGGTCGAAGTGCGTCGAGATTTCGGTCGCGTATATGCGCGCCGGGTACGAGGCACACGAGTACGACGCAGCTGGTAAAGAAGCTCGTCTACGAATAGAGCTTTCCACGGCGATCAAATGTCCTTCACTGTTAGCACACATTTGCACGTTCAAAAAAGTCCAGTGTGCTCTCACGACACCCGGAGCAGTGGAACATTTCATATCCCCCGAAAAAGCAGCGCTCATCCGGTCGACGTTTGTATGCATGTATCCACTCGACGATTCTGAGGCTGGAGCCTGTGCTCGTCGCCTGGCGACTGACCCGGAGCTTTCGCGAGATTACATCTTGAAGCCATCGTTGGAAGGTGGGGGACATAATATATTCGGGGAGGATATTCCGGATTTCCTTGCTTCTATTCCCGAGTCTAAGTGGGCCGCGTATATTCTCATGGAGTGCATTCGGTCGCCGTCGGTGTCTAATGTCTTGTTATCTTCCACTGGGTTGGATTCTGGGGGAGTTATCTCGGAATTGGGGATATTCGGGACATGTCTTTGGCGGAAGGGGAGCGAGGGTCAACATTGTGAGATGCTGCAGAGTTCGGTCGGTGGATGGTCCTTCAAGACTAAGCATGAAGACGTGAATGAGATGAGTGTTGTGAAGGGATATGGCTGCTTTGATACGCCGTTACTGTTCTGATATTGCTGTACAACTGGTATCGCTGGATCACTACGGAATGATATATGCTTTGGAGAATTGGTACACTTAGTACCCGAGTTCCGATATGGATGGCTATTCCAATTCGACATTTAGTATTATTTCACTTCTGCTATAGAGTAGATTTAGTTGCAAGCAAGGTCTAGCTGATTGCCAAGAATGCAATGACTGATCGCAGTTAATTGTAAACACAGCTCTGTAGTCGCACCATTGGATCCTCCGAATAGAACTTCAGGCATGGCACGATTCATGGGCGAGTATTCCCGACGTGTATTAGTAGCTTGCGGAGTTTATCTTGCCACTGGACGTACTCCGTAGCTGGGAAAAATGGTCATAAAAATAGAAGAGAGGAAAGAACAGACAAGGAAGAAAGAGATCAAGAGGCGATCGTGGCGGAGATTAAGAAAAGATCAGCAACACCGTCCACCAAGGCTGGTAAAACGGTTCCATGGCTCCGAAACTGCCGACACCGTTTGATTATAGCAACGTTCAGACGATACGCAGTAGTCTGCGGAGACACATAGCTAGACTGCCTAGTGTCCTTTTCAAACACTGCAGTACATTGATATGTCGATTTTAATTAAAACACTACCTCTTTCCATCGGTTTTAGGAAGGTAGGTTGAAGGGGTGTACAGACAGACTCCTCTAAGCCTCTGCTCGACTCTAAGGGGTACCTAGAGGAAGATCCCTATCGCCGATCACCTCCTGACTCAGAAAATCATGGAGAAAATGTTCCCCATCTATACTGGAAGAGGAAATTAAATGGGTCTCAGCTGAAGCCACGCGGCGCCGATCGCAGCCCTAGTTTCACTTATTAGCCTAATACGGTAATATATCGTCGCCACACCCGATGCTACGTCAATGCCAAATTTTCAAGCATGTTGTCTCACGGATTGAATTGTGGCTTGAATTTAATCTTTTAAACATTGTTTCAGTGTTTGTTTACACCCCGAGTAGGAGCAATGTGTATAGACCTTAGCTACCATGGAGCACGCCAAAGATGAATACCGTCTCTCGTATGTCCGAATGGATGACCCACTGGAACACCAGGCGCAGCGTCAACCGTTGTCCGCATCCGATCAGGCTGTTCTTGCCCAAGGGTCAGGATCCCTAGGGTCAAGTTGGATATGGGAGATTATGAGCTGTGTGGTGGCCGTGGCATCGCTTGTCGGCATTATCGTGGTGCTGTATGTGTACGATGGGAAACCTATGCCGGATTGGCCGTACGGTATCACCTTGAACGCAGTTATCTCTCTTTTAACCACGCTCATGAAGGCTGCCATGGCGTTCCCAATCACCGAGGCCTTGTCTCAACTTAAATGGTCGTGGTTTAGTCGAGGAAATAAGCTGAGTGACTTGGCATTGTTAGATGCTGCGAGTCGGGGGCCTTTCGGGGCTGCTCTGGTGCTGCTTCGGTTTATACCTCGGTAGGTGCTGCAGCTTCCAATACACCCGAGTGAGGTCCAGCGCTGAACGGGGAAAAAACAGATACTTGGTGACGGTGGGATGCCTTGTTCTCGTCGTCGCGGCAGCCATTGCCCCGTTCGTCCAACAAGTGATTGCAATCAATATGCGGCCAGTTCACTCTTCCAACTCGTCTTCGATTCAAATCTGCAACACCAGTATGTACACCGACTACGGCGAGGGAGCTGGTCCAGGGCAAAATGAAGTGCTACTCCCTACCCTGGCGTCTATTTACACGGGAATCTTCCAAGACCAGAGCGCCAGCAGTCCTTCGGTGATGACAACTTGTCCGACCGGGAATTGCACCTTTGTTCCCTACCAGTCTCTGGGATTCTGCAGTCGCTGCGCCAACATTACCGATCAGCTTACACTGAACAAAACCACCCTAGGGTTTAGTACGATAGAGACCTATGACTATCAGTTACCGAATGGGTTCAGCTTCAGCACGTCACAAACGGGGATGTACCTCATGAATTCAACAAACGGCCTTCCCCTCCTTCAAATCGATACCAAAAACTTGCCACTCATCATGAATTTCACGGCTATCAGTGCTTCCGGCTATGGAGTACCACCCCAAGTCAGCGCAACTGAATGTGCTTTGTACTTCTGTATTGACACATACGAAGCAACCGTCAAGGATGGCAAGTTCAGCGAGCGAATAACGTCCTCCGCTACCTTCACTAACCTAACAGCCGACGCTGTCCTGGAGAACTTTGCCCTAACTCCGGACATCTGCTACGTGAACGGGACGCAGCACGACGACAAAAGCGAATGCACCTATTCAGTCAACGTATTCAGTCGACTGGCAATGGCTAACTCCCTGACCCCACTTCTGAACGGGACAGGACAATTAATCATGTCCAATCGACGATATTGGTCCACCGACACGGCTAAAGCTCTCTATGGAGTCCAAGGCAACTTCACCGATATTAGTACTGTCTTCACGTCTCTCGCCACTTCACTTACAACACATGCCCGGAATCAAGTCTGCAAAGCCTCGGTCAAGGGCATGACATGGACTGTGGAGTCCTTCGTCAGCGTTCGCTGGCTGTGGATGACTCTTCCCATTGCCCTCGTTGGAATGACGATCGTCTTTTTGATCGTGACCATGATCAAGACCCGGAACCAATACATTTGGAAATCATCGCCCCTGGCTCTTTTATTCTCGGATTTGGCTGTGGATGGGCAGCATACCTTCGAGCGGAATCCCAGTCTCAGTGGTATGGAAGATGTATCGAAGAAGATGAAGGTTTGGCTGGAGATCACACAAGCAGGCGTGAAGCTCAAGGGTATTCCCCGGTAGCGATAGGTTTAACTCAAAATTTGTAATACTAGGAATAAAAAATTAATGTGTACAATTACCTGTTTTAATTCTCCCTTCCCTCTTTTTCTTTTCTTTTTGCTTTTTGTTTTTTGGGATGGCTTTAATCCAGGTTTGCGGGGTTACTATCGACGATATCCACTATGATCCACACTAATCCATAGGGTCAGCATTGTCCAAAGACACATTAAGTCTCTGGCGAAGATAAGTATTATCCTGCCGAAGTCTCTCGATTTCGTGCTCATACTCCTCCAGCGTATCTTCATTCGCTGACTCGAGCTCCTCGATGATCTTGAACACACGCCATAACCGAAGGACCACGATCAGAGACCCCAGTTCTTCCTCTATGCCATGAAGAGCAACGTCGACCCCGAATGCGACAATAATCACAAGTGCGTCGAAGACGTGGAACTTGGATGAGAAGTAGCTGGTGATTCGGTTAGCTTTCAGATCCGGGGTTGTGGAGTGAATTTGACAGCTCGCATAGCGATATATATACTGGTACAGATGTGCTTTGGAGAGCAATTGCAAACCTTGAAGACTTACCACTTTCCAAAACTGAATACAGTAACCATCAATTCCAACATGAAGAGACACGAGAACACCAACCCGATGATCGCGAGTACCTCCTGAGTGACACTCCAGCCGGCGGCTACATAAGAACCATGTTTCGTTAACTCACAGACATGTAACTCGATCAGGAAATCGGCAAAGGTACAAGCGACATCGACGGAAACGAGCAGCAGGATGAGATAATGACCTCGTCGCGACGATAAGAAGTCCCGCGCCGCCTGTCGCCACCGTGCGATGAGGGGAGGTTGTCCTTCTTCCTCTGGCAGATATATCTGTCGCTCTCGGTGTGATCTGAAACGGTGCTCGTAGAGTAAGGGATCGGCTGGAGAAGCCATGGTATTCGATTCTACTATTCTCGTATGTCTAGATTTGTTCTGGACGTCAAGAGATATCTTCCTCCTTTCCTTTTGTTTTTGCCTGCCGCATGATTCGCAATCTCGTACCTGATCTGCGATGTAGCCGATACCTAAATGTCTTTTCTACGGTGGGCCAGAGCGGCCACTTCGCAACTGACAGTTATCCTCAATTATCTTGTCTAGTATGATACTGACTCTCTGAATCCATGTAGTTACTTCTCTTTTATATCAATGATGATGTTTTGGTATTTGGAATAGTTTCATTTGATTTTCTGGGCACCGCAGTCACGTAACCTACTTTGCTACGAAGTCACTCCAAATTGCTGTTCACTTGCATCATGTCCCAAATCGTTGCTGAGATACATCTACATCCACGTTCTGATCGACAGTACTTGAGGAAATCGACAATAACGAAGACCACTGACAAGGTGCAGTTGTATTAGTTATTTGAGAGTCGGTCAACCCACATGGCTCCTCTAATGGGGAAGGCGCATATCATAACAATGTAGACATTCTTCTGTTTAATCATCCACCCCTCAGGAATATTCACAGTCTTACTAGGCATTCAATGTACTTTTCCTAGGATACAATATTCTCGGATAAGTTAGAGCGTCCGTAACAGCGAACCACATGCCACATAAGTATAAAGTAGATTACTAACAAAAGACTTATGCGCTGACATATAACAGATATATATCCTTGCTTATTATAGAGAATCTCTAAACTTAATGTACTTCTATCAATATACACCTAAATAGGTTTTTGAACATTTTCCACAAAGAGGGGAAAAAAAAAAAAAAAAAACTGTTGTTCTATTCCCCAGATAAAGAAAGACGTGGTCTTCACAAGACGTCGATTCCAAGGGCTATCCATACAACGAAAGCACCAGCACCTCATACCTACCTATCCCACGCAATCCGCTTTGAAAATATCATATTTTACTTAGGCCAGATAGGCTGCGACCCTGAGACAGGGCTCCCGATAGAAGGTCCAATTCAGGAACGGACTGTGAGTTCAAGACATAACCAATCAACACGGCCATACATTTGCTGAATATACAGTTACAGAAGCAAATATTATCAAACATCAGTTCCATTCTCTTGGCTGGTGGTCAAACTTGGAAAATATTGTCAAGTGTAACATCTACCTCACGAATATGGGTGACTTTGGGGGTATGAATGAAGTATATACGACCTTCTTTTCAGATTCAATGCCGGTGAGTTGAGATTCCTTACACTATAGTGGCGCTTGTAGACAGACCAGATAGTATTGACGAAATATCGAAGGCCCGGAGCTGTATTTGTGTCAGAGAGCTACCTCTAGGGACCAACGTTGAGATTGAATGTGTCGCAGCTGTTAAGGGCGATCAGAAGGAACACCTGTTATCTGCACTTATATAATAATAGCTATCCCATGAACCTGTATCCGATAACTATTCAACTGTATAGTCGTACGTGCCTAAATCAGCTTCAAGGCTTCACTTCTAACTACCACGACATACCCCCGAACCGAGAATTGTCTTTTGGTCTAGGATATTGACGAGATAAAAGAATTATGGACCTTGTAATGTTTTCCAAATATCTTCACGTGCCAATCACAGATATCTTGATATGATAAGCATCTGGAACATGTCTTGTAGTGGATAGTCTGGAATACGAGAAATGAGTCATGACTCTCCACCCCACTCCCCACGTTGGGTAACCATTATATATAAATGGATCTCTTTCCTTGATGTAACGACAATTATCAAACCAACCGTTCTTCAAGAAGTAACGTTCAGTAGTTCACAATGACCGAACAAACGCAGCAGCCTGACTACCATCTCATCGGAACCCATACGAGATACTCCAGTATGCAACATCCCGCTTTCCCCCTCACCATCAACTAACGATCTTATACTACAGGCTGGACATCCCGTGTAGAAACGGTCCTCAAGTACTTCAACATCCCTTACACATCCCAGATCATCCACTTATCTGAGGTATCCAACATATCCCCAACACACGTCGTGACAAGAAAACTGACAAAAACAGGTCAAAAAGGTCTCCCATACAGGCCTAGTCCCATTGCTAGAATGTCGCTCACTCGGCCAAAACATCCGTCTCAATGACTCCCTAGCCATCTGCGAGTTTCTGGCCGAGTCCAATCCCGAACTCAATCTCTGGCCGCGCGACCGACGGCTCAGAGCATTGGCGCGCAGCGCAGCAGCGGAGATGCACTCGGGGTTCTCGACATTGAGAAATCATTATGGCACGAACTTCATTGCCCGGTATACGGGGAACGTTCCCGTATCCGAGCAGGCAAAGAAGGAGATCGAGCGACTGCTCGTTATCTGGGATAATGCGAGGCGTACGACCATGGCTTGTTTGGCCGAATTGAAAGAGAAGGATGAGGGATTCTTGTTTGGTTCGTTTAGTATTGCCGATGCTTTCTTCTGGCCTGTTCTTTGGGTATGTATATTCCTTGCCTTTCACAGTAGTCGCATCGTTTGATTTCGGGGTCGATGCTGAATGAATCCCACAGCGCTTCCGTACCTATAACCTTCCTCTTGACACGGCCAGTCCTGCTGCGTTGGCCTGGATGGAGACTATGTGGAACAATCCCACTATACAGAGGCTGGCGCATAACTATTATCGCCAAGCAGAATTACCGGAGACGCGGATCGCCCACTATGATGATATCTTCCACGACCGGGATGATGTTCAGTATGGCACGTTCTTGGAGGGTTGGACGTTCAGCGTTGCTGAGAAGAGGTTTAACTGAGGTGGAAACTAAACCATATTGAGGAATGGTGATAGTAATACAATCGTAGATTTGATAAAACAGAACTTGAAACCTGCTAACTATTTATACAAAGTCTCGGGTATCGAGCATAACGTAGAACTGACTAAAGGTTTCCGGACCTTGAAAAGTCACATGAAAAGAAAACACCCCATGGACGAAATCGACAAGAATATGTAAGGTGGGAAGCGATATGTACAAGCCGAGAGACTACACTTAGCAGCCCTTGCACTCCTTGACCCAAAGGTTGAGGCCGTAGTACTCAGCATTGTGGCCACCGTACCAGTAGACCTGCTTGGAGGGAGCGTCGCCGACATCAACGGAGAACCAGGGGCGACCGTTGTTGGTGAAGTAGCCCTGGGTGTTCTGCCCGAAGCCGTTCATGTTGCCGTTCTCGGGAATAGCACCAGAGTGAGGGACGGTGAGGGAGACGGGGGTCACGTCCTTCTCCACGATGTAGAGGTTCTGGAAGGCCGTGGGGACACCGTCCTTGGAGGTGAAGGAGACCATGCCGTTGGCGGCGGAGCGCAGGATGAGGATCTCCTTGCCGTCGGTAGCGTCACCGCCGACGTAGACATACTCTGGATAGAAATTGTCAGTGGTCGTTCATGGACTCTTGGAACCCTTACTAAAAGAGGACTTACGGCCATCAGTCAGAGCAGTTCTGCCGCCATCAGCGACCAGAGTGAAGGCCGCGGGGAGGGCAGTGTTGTTGGAAGGGACAGCAGCAGCGCTGACGACCGAGAGAAGGGAGGCAAAAGCAGCAACGGAGAACTTCATTTTGGATGTGTTGAGAGGTAAAAAAGTGGGTATGAAAGAGAATCTGCTCAGTGTATTTTGTAGTTTGTTGATGAAGATGAGATTGTAAATCGGAATCCCAGGGGCCTTTTATATCCCGGCCGTGAATCTATATCTCTGACGTTTAAGCTATGATGGTTAAGACTTCACTCTCCAAATCTCCTAAAATATCCAGACAGTGGAGAAAGAGTGAGACATGTTTTATTCATGGCAAGTCTTCATAGGGTGTCAATATACGTGAAGTGGGTCAGATCCCGACATTCTTTCAAACATCCAGGAATCAAAATGAATAAAGTCTCGGGGGGAAAAAAACCCTTGCGGGGAGTTCCGACTAACGCCCAATGAAAGAGCAACACTCCATCGATCGGATCCAGACGGCTTCACAACTTCCGAGCCCTGAGACGGAACTTTTCCCGAAAAGAAGGCGAAGACCGACTGTGACATCAAACGGTTGTCGATCATTAGCCGATCCGGCGTTTCTATTCTTATCTTCCCAGAAGCCCTTCCACGTTTCGGCACTTACTGAAGACTCGGGATGCCCGATTATCCACCATAGGTTGTACGGACGAGTTCCGCCGTCGGTGATCTCATGAATGTTCTTGTTGCTGTACCTATGAAGTCAAATCCCACCGGAAAACTTGTTGAGCACTGCCACCGAACATAGTCAAAAATATGAAGAATACTGGCAATAAAGAGGCGATATATAGGACGATCATGTCTCAGTTTTCTTTCTATCACGATCTACACAGGATAGGCACCAAGAAGCGCCCAAATAGTGATAAAAGTAAAAAGGTCCAGGGAATGACAGGAAAATAGGCAAGTGATCATCGCGCGTGGACTCCATCACGGGAGGGGAGTCCTTTTTATGGATATATATGAACTACATGATGGAAGAATAATCACGCATTTGTCTCAGTTTCAGTTGATCAGCCCCTGGACCATCGTTTCCCCCCTGTCTCTCCGCGAAAGGAACGTACCCCTGAGATAGGTCAAGTTCCGGCAGGTATGAGCATTCCTTATCATTTGGGCTTCCGTATTTGGTATCGAAAGTTTAGATACTTCGGGGAAGAGGAGCCAATAAACTGGATTATCTCACAGGCGGCTGAAGTACTAGGCTATGACGAGAATCGAAAGCTTGTACAAAGCTTCTACGCCATCCCAAGCTGTGTCTGACCAATGAAGCAATGGATAGATTGCTAGGTTCCACTAGGTGAGACAATGGGGCGTACATGTGGACTACTTCAATAGTCCAACGTGCGAGGCCTTCCATAACGTACAACCCAAGTTCTGCTTGTTCAATTGCAATGTTTCATGAAACCATACTATATACGCTTCCTAGCGGAATGGAGACCTCGGAAAGAAGGTAGCTAAAATGGGCCTCCTGAATATGGTACCGGATGCATAGTGGATGATCCTTCATGTTCTACAAATGACTCAGTCGGTCGCAGCCGTCAACATATTCCTCTAACCTAATGATGTACCATACCTGAGGGCTTCAATCTACTATCAAGAAAATTAAAGAACATACCTTATTGGTAGTTTCAGGAGCTCTTTTCGGCGGCTAGAAATCCATTTAGGGGGACCTACTTACAACGGTCATGGCCAGATGGTGCGGAAGCAGAAACTACTTTTACAAATCAAGTGAGCCCCTGAAAGAACCGCTGGGGTAGTCCTGTCCGATCAAATCGGCTCTACTCTAGTATGTTCGTCTATTATGATCCATAGTGAGCCGTGCTCCGATATGTCTTAGTCCTCGTGGCTATGCTAAATTATGACGCGGCCACGGAACCATACGACTGAGGGTTATCCTGTCGGGTCCAGAATGGTTCGTCACCCGCAGGGGCAACGAACGACTTCACTCGCCAGTACATCATACCGAGTCCGATCACCAAGAAGGACACAGAAGGGGCAAGCCAGAACGGCAAATTGGTGTCGCCAGCCCCACTGGGAGATGCCAGAGGGGACAGCAGGAGGAAAACTTGACAAGCGAGAAAGAGATATGGTACCCATGTCCACACGCGGAATGGGTACTCGGCAGACGGGACGTGTTGTCGAATAATGAAGAGAGCCACCACGACCGCACCGTATATCATCACGAGGAAATACTGGTTCACATCTAGTAGAAAGGCATAAGCATCCCCTACTCGAATGTTAGTACATGCATAATTCACTTCTTGATTCTAATCAGCTTACCAAAGGGCAAGAATGAGACCGCCACTACCGAAGGTCCGAACATAAACACCGATGTCGCGGTGGCTGGGCTACCGGACTTGGATGTCTTGGACAAAATGCCAGCTGCGGGAACGATTCCCTCGAGTGCAAGCTCCCGGATCACCCGAGTGCCTACGAATGCCGTCGAGATCATACTGCCAAAGGTGGAGAGAGCGACCATGGCCGCGGTGACACGCGAGGCGGCGCTCCCGAAGATGTTGCCCAGAAGACGGGCGACCAGCTGCACACCGGCCCGACTAATATCGTCTGGTGTCGCGACAATAAAATAGGAGATGTTGATCAACAGATAGAGGATGCCAACTGAGCCGACCGCGAGCAGGCCAGCCACCTTGAGGGTCCTCCGTGGGTTCTTGACCTCCCCTAACACCAGGCCTGCACTGTTCCACCCCAGGAAAGATTCTAGTACTTTGAAAAGCGAGACGGTGTAATCATATACCGTGGTCGAAGAACCAGCGAATGGCTGGCGAAAATTGGCTCCGGTATCGGCATTGTTTGGGAGCGCTCCCACAAGGATGGCAAACGCGGTTGCAAGAATCAACAGGAAGGTCGCAAGCTTTAGTAAGCTTGACGAGTTGACAATTCGTACGCTCCATTCGCGGGATATCGAGAGGCATGCTGCGACCAAGGCCATTATTCCAATCGCGGCCAGTCGCTGCCCAGCCTCACTGGGAGCGATATCGAACGCAAGGAGGGTGTTATCGGCGACCACGATACTGGCCAGGCCTATATGGTTAGGGAATATTAGTACATTTCCAGATTTTCCCGGAAGACGTTGAGCACAAGGACCATACCCGGGAATCCAAATAGCACATAGAAGGCGTAAAGCGTGCTAGCGAGACGATAGGGGCGAGGATATGCCGTGTCAAAGTACACTTTCTCCCCACCGGTGCGCGGCATTAGACACCCCAGTTCCAGGTAGATGTAAAATCCGCAGAAGGTCAGGACAATTCCCACCACCCATAGCGAAAGTGCTGCGCCCACACTGCCGACGCTGAGAAAGATGGAAGATGGTACGGAGAAGATGGCGGCGCCGATCATGCGGTTAGTCCTGCATCGCACTCAGTTCCCGAGATCGACAGCAGGATGAAAGAAACAATGTGTTCCCTACAGGAGTAGGGCCGTCGAGAATAGGCCTAGGTGGCGTTTGTTGTTCAAGTCTTTGTTGTTGCTGTCCTCCAATTCATCTGGTCTTGCCCACAGGGGCTGGCGCTCACAAGCGCTCCCACCACTCGCCCGACGAGATCGCATTGTTGTGTGGTAACCCCAAGGAGTAATATGAAAATAGGATAAGAATGGACGATACAGGGCGAAACGAAGGATATTACGGTTTTTGGTTTCGTGTGCCGGGGGGAAGGGAAAGGGGAGAGTATTTAGAAAAAAGGGAGAAAGAAAATCTCGAAATTGAGTTTGTGACATTCCAGATTGGCGTCTTTTCCTCATCCACCCGGCATAGCTGCGCTTTTGCCCTTTTTATGAGGGGTCAGCTGAAGCTGCGATATCCAAAGCACAGTCAATTGGTTGGGAAGAAGCGACGATGCCACACTATGGAGTCTGCCATGGCTACTAAGTGGATCCGCAGTACCAATCGGGTCCTTCAGGGGTCTTGCGATTGGGGAAGATAAAAAATCTGTCAAGGGGATCTTATCTGATCGTGAATCATTGCTGGCGAAAGGAACCGAGCTCGATTGAGGCGTGGTATATGTATTGATTTGGTTAGCATGTTTTCGCATAGAATCCTTCCAAAATCGAACTTCTGAGTAGCTTTGAGCGATGTACTTGGCTGGTAAATGGTTGTCAGCGGCAACACGTATGGACCTACGGCTTCCTCCATGGCGAATACCTCCAGATCTCGTTGACTCCTGGATTACTTTGTCAAGCATCGACTATAACATCCGAGGGATACACCCAGGCAGCTTCTCATGTAAAGTGGGCCAGCAAGGCACGCATGTTACGAACATTATGAGGCATTTAACACGGCGGAGATACCGGCAACGAATACGAGAAGCGCCCCGTTAGATGACAGCTGACCTCAAATGCCATCTAATGGTGGTGAAAGAGATATAAATCATGTTCGGGGCATGCAGAGCTCGCTCACCTTAGAAGAGGTGGCCGACAGAGGGTGCCTATTCCAACATCTCCATTCAATAAACCCAAATCCTTACCCTAGGGTCCTCATCCAAGTGCCATAAAGATCAAAATACACTATACAATGACCGATACGCAAGTAGTTGCCGAGTGGTACAATCAAAACGCGGTTCTAGAGCACAATCGACTAAATGCCTGTCGCCTCGAATTCTCCGTTTCGCTGAGGGTAATCAATCAGTGTCTAGAGCAGCTACGACAGCGACATGACCGACCATTGAGAATTTTGGATCTAGGCGGGGGAACAGGCCGATATGGTAAGCATGCTATTGCTCGTTATGAATCGTTTGGAAGCATACATTGCTTCTGTCCAATATGTGTGTGGTGGGTGGGGAAGCTACCGAAAGAAAGCTCATACTGACAAAATAATGCTATCCAGCCGTCGAACTGGCACGAAAAGGCCACTCAGTCACGCTCGCCGATATCTCCAGATCGGAGCTTGAGCTAGCTAAGTCCTTCGCCGCAGAATCTGGTGTGACTCTCGACGCCATCGTCGAAGCCGATGCACGAGCCATTCAGGTGTATCCCAAGGAAGAACATCCAAGGAGCGTCTTCACGACCTCCACCTATGATTTCATTCTCTGTCAGGGCCCAATGTATCACCTTCTCGAGGACTCTGAACGTACGCACGTTCTCCGTGCTTGTGCTTCTATGCTTCGTGGCAACGGAATTCTCGCGGTCGCATTCGTCACCCAATATGCACACTTAAGGGATATCGCCCAACGGGATCCGGCTCGGCTTGGGAAGGAGTTCGATGGTTTTTATCGCGCGTATCTTGCTTCAGGGAGGTACACACGGAATCCTTTCATGGCTTCGTATCATACCAATGTGGAGGATGTAAGGGGATTGTTTCACAAGGTTGATGGGCTATTGAGGACTCAGGATGGTGTCGGGCTTGCTTTATCCCGGATTGTAGCTTGCGAGGGGTTTCTCGGGGGAGGATTGGCCGGGAAGCTGTGCGATCTGTTGCCGGACGTGTACGAGCGTTGGGTGGATGTCGTGATGCAGTTTGTTGACGATGAAGCGCTGTTAGGCAACGCGGATCATTTGCTGGCTATTGCAGAGACACAGTACTAGGTTGCCTTGGACATAGATATACAGATAGTATTCATTGTGATTGAAGTATTCCATCAGTTTCTATGCCCTGTACTCCGCCAAGGTGTGAAGTGAGAATGGCTGTCTCTATTTCCTTTTATGACTAGATCCAAGCGACAAGTCCTACACCGTAGTCTAGTCTATCGCACCCTCTTTTCAGGCGTGTTATTAAACTAGGGCTAAGGTACGGCAACAGGACCCACGCAGCGTACCCTTTATTCTCTAATCTAACAATATCAATTCTAGGCAGACCATCTATTCAAGCTTAAACCCCTGCCTCTCGATAACCCCCCGAATTTTCTCCCTCCCATCCTGCTCATACGATGCAACCTTGCCCGCCACGAACTCCCCCCAGTACTTCCGTCCAAACTTCGACTCATCCACATAAAACGCTCCCAACGACTGATCATAAGACGCAATATTCTCTTTCTGTCCCTCCTCACTCCACCGCTCCATATGAACAATCTCCCGCATCGGCAAGCGCGGTTTGATCTGATTGCCGAAGAGCCAGTTCTCCGTATCCGGATACCCAATGGCCATTCCAAACACACCCAAAGTCAAGGGTGGCAGATTCAGCAGTTCACAGATCTGCTCTGCGTTGTTTCGAAGCGCACCAACGTAGCAGATCCCCAAACCCAGCGACTCAGCAGCAATCGCAACAGTCTGCCCCGCGATCGCCGCGTCAAGGGCACTCATGATAAACATATCCATGTTCTCCAGCGCCCTAGCCGGCTGCTGATCATGCTGCTTGGCAATATTGTTGAGACGGCGCAAATTCGGACAGAATGCAAGGAACAAGGGGGCCTGGCGGATAAACTCCTGGTCGCCTGCGAGCACCGCAACCTGGGCTTTATGCTCGGGGTCTTGGATGGCGATGACATCCCATGTTTGGAAGAGGGATGAGGTCGAGCTGCTTTGGGCGGCTGTGAGGAGCGTTTCCAGGGTTCCCTTAGGAAGAGGCTTGTCGCGGAGGAAGGCCCGGCAAGACTTGTGGGAGAGAATCGTTTCCAGGGCCCCGGGGAGAGGATGAGATGGGTTAATTGGGGGGGAGAAGGCGGACGATTGCGAGTCGCGGTAGCGCTCTTCGACGAGGGAGGAGAATGTCGCGGACATATTAAGGACGAGGCTTGAGGGATGGATAGATTGGATATGACGGAGAGGAGAAGGGTAACCTGCCCATATTTATAGGCGCAAACAGGGCAGCACCTCCAGACAGCTGCTGGGATATCCGGCAATGTTGACCGTTTGGTATACCACGGGGATGTTGATTAATCTGATATCTCATGGTGGGGAGCGCGTAAATACCGATGATTGGTGGATTTCCTTCAAGTGGAGACTTATATGGATCCCTACCGAGCTAGAAATTTATGAATCTCACGCATTTGTGTGTTCGTGATTGGCTCTTGAGATATAGGACCCATGTACAGCCCTTTGATTAGTAGTATAAACATCATCTACATAACGTGATCGGTAAACGAGCCGCCATCTTCTGTTTTCCATAGTAAACACTAAACAGCTTATTTTTGAATCACAATATCTCAACCAATTCAGTTTACCTCTACTTAAAAAAATTAATATATCACTTATTCTATAGTAGAATAATGGTATGTATATAGTTGAATCCTTTTTACCCTCTTATTACTAAGATAAGATCAAATATAGCATATTTATAGTATGTAGTTAGAATTTATATAGTCTAGGACTCGTTTTTACTTGAATTTAATTTATACAGAAAAGAATACTAATATTAGTATCATATCTTGGTTATAAATTGATATATCCAGTAATGGTTGAGATAGTATTGCTTAAAAATATGCTGTTTAATATGGAAAACCGAAGATGGCAGCTCATTTACTAGTTACGTTATCACTATCGCCTATTGGGAATCAGGAGTCACACCCCATCGAGCAGAGCCTGCAGTCCGACAAGATTCGGTTCCGAAGTCATAGATTCAGGACTGACGGTCCTCCAAATCCGATCCAACCTCTTTTGCACCCAAGCCCCCTGCCCCCCCAGCTTCCTGGCAACAACGGAGGCAATGAAATCTTGCAGAACCTTTCTCTCCTCCAACCTTACGGTAACGGCGCCGAGAATGGCCACCGGCCATAACAGATACTCCGGCGGGTGAGACTCGATGTTCAAGAGGGGAACTCGCCACACAGCCTCCTCTACAAAGGAGCGCACTCGCTGGGTTCGCTCCAGATGTGTGATGTCCGGGTTCACTTTCTGGAGCAGGATTTGGATTGCGAGGTAACATAGCCCAAGGGATATGTCGGCAGAGCTAATGAGACCGATCCAGCGCGATAGTTCAGCGTCTAGGCCCCACCACTTTGTGACCTCGCGGCTGTTGAGCGGCCTAGAGAGCCGAGATAGCTTGGTGACATCGGCAATGAGCAAGAAGAATTTGTAGGACGTCTGCAGAATGGCTTCCCTTGGTTGGTTTGCCGGGTTGGTGAGCCTATCAAAATACAGCGGGAGCCCGAGCTCGTTTCGAACCCCCGTAAGCGCGTCAAGCGAGGGATCAAAGAGCATCATGAGAGACGCATGGTACAGAAACGACTCGACGCAGATGCGATCAAACGTGGCTGCAGCCTTGGTGCGGAAATCCCTGGGCCTGCGTTGGGTAAGCAGGAGTCCTGCAGCCGTGACATGAGGGGCGATAGAGGATATCGCGTCTGATCGGCAGGACTACAGTGTGTCAGTTAGTTTAGGCCACCGGTAGCGACGAACACGACAACATGCCTCGAAGACTGAGAGCAGGATCACAGTTGCTAGGACGCAATCATCACAGCCGGCTTTGGTGATATCCGTTAGGGACGTTTGGATAGAGTGAATGGTATGTAGATAGCCCCGCAAGGCAAAATGGATAGGCCACCGCGCTGTACCCGGTAGCTGCATCCCAGCCACGGCGACCATTGCCCCGAATAGCGGAGAGAAGTGTGGCGCCAGGCGCAGCATGTGTGTTTGGTCCAGTGAGCTCTGCCGAAACAGACGAGGTAAGATCGTGGACGCAAAGTATCGGTATAGGTACGCGTTTTCGTATGAGTCAAACGGCGCTGGCATCACCATCGGTGGCGAGAGTGGTACCAAAGACAGCCCTGAGGATGCTAATGCAGGCACTCTGACCTGAGTACGAGCCCATCGCCGAGAGCGGCCATCTGGGGCCTGGTTATCCTGAGTTGGCCACTCGCAGTCCAGCACGTTGCGAGTACATCCGGTGCAACGCGGCCGCGTCTCGTCGCATTTCTTGCGACGCCTCCGACCTGGCGGTGGCTTGATAAATAAGAGGGGCTCTTTGTTCTTTTTTCCTAACTTCAGTACTTGGGGATCATGACCTACATTGGAGGCAGCCGGTCCTGGTTCGCAAGCTGGGCCGAGAGGACATTGCCGTGTTTGAATGCAAATTAAGTAGAGACGCATGTGGATTAAGTTGATGCTTGTCAGTTCATGCGGGAATTATGTTCCTTAGGATAGATGACTCAGCTGCACAGCATAATTCATAATATGCCTCTTTAAGTGTATGGAGGCATCTTCAAAAGTATATATAGGCAATCGCCAATTGAATTGAGCATCTTGGGTTAAACTGAGTGCCCCTGAACAATAGGCTACATATGCATAGTCAGTATAGCATCACCCTACTTTCCCTCCCCTGTGCATTTCACAACAATACTACTCAACCCCACTGTCCGGGATGATAGTCTAGAATGCATAGTCCATTATATAGCGATGTTCACACCATTGCCCACCCAGGTGACCTGTCCATATAAGATTGAAAGAGCCAATGTATGTACTGCGGGCAATGGTAATGCCTCACCACGATACAATCTGACGGTAACAAAAAAAACGTGGATTTCTGGGACCGGGCAATTCGCTGGCCGACCCAGACTAGAATTAATTGAATGAACTATTTCTTGTAAGCTGACAAATGGTGACTAAGTAACTAAGTAAATGCTCAACTATCCATTAATAATTATGAAAAGTGAGTACACACGGACATTGTCAACGGGTGGTTCTTCCACCAGGTATAGTTTTCTTTTTTCTTTTTTCCTTTTTTTTTATTTATTTATTTTTATTTTTATTTTTTTTAACTATTTACCATAGCAGCCATGCTACGCTAAATTGATACCCCAATCCAGGCTCCTCATTTCCGGGCAGTACCTTCCGCCATGAATGAAGACCAGACGCTCCAACCACTGTCCGCTCAGGATTTCAAGGTGTATAATCGTGGAGCGGAAAGGATGGACTACTTCGTAGGTGCATCTTATTTCCAAGTAGAGCTTTAAGGATACGATCATTGACGTTGTCGTCCAGCATGGAATTCTTCGTCGCTCGTGGAACCTGCTCTGGGACGCCGCGACGAGTGGCCGACGGCCAGCATACATGTCAATGGGACAGTTCATCGCCGAAGGGCTAGCCTTCGCCGAACATCTCGACATCCATCACAGCATCGAGGAAACCCGTGTCTTCCCCTATTTGGCGAAAAGGATGCCTGAGTTCCGCACGGGACGTGGCCATCAAGCCGCTGAACTCTTGCAGCAGCATCGGGAGATTCATGCTGGGCTAGAGGGGTTTCAGCGCTATTTAGAGGGATGTCTTCACGGGGGGGAAGAGTTACGACTTGATGTATTGCGGAAGAAGATGGATGGGTGGAGGGAGGTTCTCTGGACGCACCTGGACCAAGAGGTCAAGACTCTCGGTGCGGAGAACATGAGGCGTTACTGGACGAAAGAAGAGATGGCGAGGATACCCCTGTAGAAATCATTGCTGATCTAATCCAAATATTGAGTCAATTGTCTTCCTGGTGAATCTTTACATGGCCCTCATATACGGTATCCTATACATCCGGTTCGCTTCGGTGCTGGCGGGCAACAACTTTATGCGTTGATCGTTCGGAGCCGGATTTCCCTTATTTGCCATGGCCGTGTTGCATAATCTGGGTATTGACTGGTCATTTACATGACTGACGTGTCTGTGTGTCCTGTTTTGTGCCATATCCCTTCTTCCTTTCCTTTCATGGACGGAGGCTTCAATTGGCGAGCAAGGTAGTTCGTCGCAGCATAGAAGCTGGTGGCAACACTGCTCTCGTTCTTCGCCGTGTTCTTGTATAGTTTGATACTACAATAACCTTGCCTTTCTGTGTACAGTAATAGCTATTACCACTGTACCTTTATCTTGAATTAATTGGTTTTATAAGATTGTACTGTAAGCACTGATGTAGATTGCTTATCCCCGGAAGATCATTGTTCCTGTGCAGTCTAGGAATTCTTGAGTGAGGGACCCATCTTTAATCATCCATACTAAAGCCTGGACCTTTCAAAGGGGAATCCAAAGGAGATTTTGCCTGATATGGACAATAACAGTGCCAACTTCTCCGGGGATCAATTCTCGACGGGTCTTTTCTCTAGCCAACGCGCGATAAGACCCGGTCCAAGTGGCACGGTCCGTATACGGTCCGTGTTTGTCCACCGCGGGGTCTCAGTAGAAAGAGAGTTCAAGCTCACTAGTGGCCAATTTCTTGGCTTTCTGTGGCTCCTCAAAGTCGCTAACGTTAAGGTCCGATCCTAGATCCATGGACGGAGTCGGGACTTGCCCCTCACCGTCTTCCGTCCACGGTCCGTGATGGACGGAAACATGATGCTGAGTCTGAGGAAGCCACATCTTATAAAAGGGATTGAACCACAGTCTCTCATGATATCCAAACCAGAGACTCTGATCCGGATTTGTGATCAGACAGCAATTTGATAACACCAACACACGCAATGGCAGCTAAAAACGAACGCATTATCATTATCGGGGCGGGTATCTTTGGCCTGGGAACCGCCCTGACATTGAAGGAGGAGGGTTATCGCTCTGTGACCGTCCTCGACCGAGCCATGCCCCCTGTTCCCGATGGTTCCAGCAACGACATTTCCCGTGTCATTCGATTCGATTACGGAGATGAGGTATACGCTCGCATGGGCAAGGAGGCTTTCGACCTATGGAAGACCCCTGCCTACAAAGAAGCCTTCCATCAATCTGGATGTCTCTGGGTGACTCAGGAGGAAACCCCCGGACAGCCTGTGCAGCCCGCCGCCAAGGAATACAGTCGCAAAACCAGAGAGATTCTGACCAAGATGGGCGAGCCCTGGCACTCAGTCCCCACGGTGGAAGATTGCAAGCGGGAATTCCCCGAATTGACGGGCCCGCTGGCCAATCCGGGCTTCTACTCCTTCTTCAACAACTCGGGCGGATGGGCAGATGCAGGTCTCGCATGTGCTCGTGTGGCAGCTCGGTGTATCGCCGCGGGTGTGTCATTCATCACTGGCCCCGATGGCCAAGTGACTGACTTCGAGAAGAGGGCGGACGGCACCATCGAAGCGGTCCGCACCAGCAGTGGCAACCGCATCACTGGTGACAAGTTCATCGTCGCCACCGGTGCCTGGACCGCCAGTCTTGTTCCATCGTGGAACTCCATGGTCGCGGCCGCTCAGATCGTCGGATACATGCGCCTCAGCCCCGAGGAAATGATCCGGCTGAGGAATATGCCTGTCTACTTCAACCTCTCCACCGGGTTCTTCTGCTTTCCTCCCCATGACGGAACCAATATCTTGAAGGTCGCCGTCCACAGCTATGGCTACACCCACTCGCAAAACGGCATTTCTGCACCTCCAGCTGCCCCGCCCTCCGCCCGCGCCAACTTCATCCCCGACGAGGCCGTGGAACGTCTGAACCTCGGGATGAAGGATCTCTTCCCAGACCTGGAGCCCAAGGGCTGGGAGCGGGTCGCGCTATGCTGGTACAACGACACCCCGAGCGGTGATTTCATCCTGGATTATCACCCGCAACACAAGAACATGTTCATCGCCACCGGTGGTAGCGGACAGTAAGTATCCAGAATCTAGAAACAAAGTCTGATATCACAACATTCTGACTAACCCTGGTCACAGTGCCTTCAAATTCCTGCCCGTAATCGGCAAGTATGTCGTTGGATGCTTCGAAAAGAAGCTCTCGCAAGACCTGTTGCAGAAATGGAAATTCCCCACCGAGTACAAAGAGCGCTTCCAGGACGATGTATTCAAGGGTGACGGAAGTCGCGGAGGCCCTGAGAGGAGAGAGTTAACTCCTCAGGAACATGAGAGATTTGCCGGCGCTTTGATAGCTGCTTCGACAAGGCAGAGCAAGCTGTGAAAGGAGACGCTGATACTTTTATTCCTGGAAGCATATATATACCCGCTGAACCGCAACCGGTTGTTTGTAATGTGAGATGAAATTTTGTTACGTTTGACGTGAAGAGAGTTGTTGTCGATTGAGAATGCGTTCTATCGCAGGCTACAAGGACAATAGACTGCTAGATCTGTGCGCCTTTATTTGTTTTCCAAATCAATATGTACATACACCCTGAAATCTTTTCCTTTCCTTTTCTTTTCCCACCGTCCTGGATTCATCATAAATCATTTAAAGATCATGGTATCTTATGCGAGTATGGTAGGTGTCCATCCAATAATGTACTTCCTCACAATTGCTCCGCGACGTAATCTCCAAACATCATCCAGTCAGGCAAGTCAGGGATTGCTGCATCGAATCCGTCGTGACCAGGCCTTTCGGAAAAAGGCCACTCAGATATAGGATCGGCGCCTACTGGCCCCAGAACCCGCCCGCTGAGAGAGTCCATTCCTGGCTCGCCCTGCCCAGTCGCAAGGAGGGACTGACCAGGGAAATTCGGACTGATAGTGTCCATCCGTTGATACGGTGACGGGACCAAGTCTCCGAGTTGTACGATCTCAGCAGGGGTAAACGACGAACTGAAGTCGAGAATATTCCACATCAGGGCTTCGTCCGCCTCCGACATTCTTGGGATAGTGGATGGAGTGGGCATGCGGGTTAACTCCCCGGAGAAAGTGTCCTGGCTATAATATAGCGACTTGTAGTTCTTCTGTCTCGCAGCCAGTTTATTGACCCGGTTGACCTGCAAACAGCACCGTTAGCAGACATCACAGATCAGGTCGGGCGTAACATACCAGGACACCCATATTTTCCCAATGTGTCGACAGGTCTGTCATGTAATCCACCAACGTTCGGAAATCGCTATTGCCGAGTTGCGCGATGTGTGGGTTTTTGCTGGCCGTATTCTCGAGCTGGATGGTGGCGGCGATTGCACAGAGGTAACCGATAAACGGGTCGTATAGTCGGATGTCCACCTCGTCCATTTCTCGGATGAACCGCGCAATCCACCTCGAATGAATAAGGGAGCTTTCATAGGACTTCTGCAGAAAGGTTGCGGGTATGTTTCCGTCGATGTGGCGGAGTTTAACCATGTTTACGAAAGGATGGTGCAGCAGACATTGAACGGAGTGGAACAAAAACTGGACACACAGCCAGGTACACAGGTACGAGCGACAATGCGGTTCTTCGCGAGCGCGTCGTCGGAAGTCGACACTGCGATACCGATGTGTATCTGCGAAATGAGTCTCGAACTGCATCCAGTCGGATTCCAGACCGGCCAGCGCCGATCCTGATCGCCAGGGGGGTAGCGCATCCTTATCGAAGGGCTCAAAGACATAATCGGTGGTTTTGCCCCAAAGGGAATAAAGTCGAAGAAGGCAGCCCAAAATGCCATGGTCAAGCTTTTCTCCTTGCTTCCCGGGTCCATCGTGTAATGTTCCACGAGCCAGGGACTCCTCGCCAGAGAGTGAGGCTGGCGTATTCGGTGCAGGGAAAAGAATGGTGAAATGTTTGTCTGCCAGACACAGTGAATAGTCTCGAGATGCGTTGTAACTGCGGTCCAGCATGAAAAAAGCCCAGGTAATGCGTCTTCTTTCTTCCGCTTCCGAGTCGGTGAGGGACGACGTATATTTATCTTTGTGTAGGCCGGCAGACTGGATCGTCCGGATACCCAGTGCAACAGATGAATACCCTCGATGGGATTGGCCGTCGGCGAAGTCCACCTGAGCCATGAGAAATGTTCCCTGGAGAAATGAGAGACCCAGTTTCCCGCTCTTGTACTGATGTGACAGGATATCCCAGGCCTTATTGGCATAGGACTTTGTGGGAGGTACATCGCCTCCAGTGGGTCCCGGCGAGCGGCGCGAGATCCGAGAAGTAAGAGCCACTAATGGGAATGCGATTTCTGGGGGTAATGACAGATCACGGCTCAAAAGCCAGTCCTTGGAGAAAACGCAATAAGGCTGGTCGTGAAAATGGGCGAGATAAATGTCTACTTCGGATTTGACAAAATCGGATGGGAGCGAGGATCTGATCAGTTTCAGTCCATCGGCTTGGCGTAGGAATGGAGAAAACATATGATACGTACCCCAGAGAATAATGGCGTTCCTCATTTTGGAAACCGAATGCTACCGGAGAATTACCCATGCTGCGATGGCCATAGCCATGAGAGAAAAGCGAGTTTCCGCTCGCCACTCCAGTCAATGGATTATTCTTCAATAAGCACTCCCTGGGAAAATTAGAAAGGATTCACTTAGGGAGCCCGAAGTGAAAAACCACATGACGCACGTACTGGAGAATGCTTGCCATCTTGTCTAATCTGTCCTCTATGCGCTGGAATCGTTGCGAGCTCAACAAGTTTGCCTGGGCGATCACGCAAGAAACTATCAACCCAATGGAACATACAGAGATTGCAAAGACGTTACCAGGTCATGGCGGTACCTACATCTCCAGGCTCTCCCGAACCACGTTCCTGTCCATTGGCAGGAGAAGCTCTAGTAGTAGCAGCACGATTCGGGGCGGCCTGCGGCCCGTAAGAGCAGCGCTGCCCGAGCCTTTGGCACAGCGAGCATGTCGGCTTCTCGCCTGGACAGCGCGCCTTCTTCCGACTGCAAGGTACCAAGCTGTCAGCTTTCTATTTCACGCCACTCTCAAAGCTTGTTTCCAATTGATCTACGAAGAGATAGAGATGATTGTGCGCCCTTTCGGCTATTGACATTGTACATACCGACAAGGTCCACAGGCCTGCCGTGTACGTTTCAAGGAGACTTTGTGTACCGTATAATTATCATTCGGGGCACTCATAGTCTTCAGTTCCTTGGGAAACCCCTTTGGTAGTAGTGGATGATAATCATATCGGATCAAAATGATAATCGAGGTGGTCGGCGCCATTCCTTCTTCGGCATGGTCAGTGGCGGGCCACGTGAGGCCATGCTCGCTGCCTTAGGCATCAATTATGCATGGTCCAACGGTCGTGGGTAACAAGATAAGATGAACCATTGTAGAGTGTAATTTTCTTGTACATCCTTACTCATAATGTACTTACGCCTAGAGATGTTCCAACAGTCATGGTATATGGTTATAATTAAGCCCCATCATGAATATACAGAGCATTTCCTTATAGGTTCCTTTTATATATATCATTAGCCTCCGTTCTGCAAAGATATCCTAGGAGCCTCGCGCCACGCGAGATATTATGGGCTTTGGGTTATTCAGGCATAATGGAAACGCCCTTTTAAGAACCAACACAGGCCTTGTACGTAAAAGTGCAATATTTTCAACGCCGACGTAAGCCCATCCTTGGATGACTCCTATAAAAGTAGGTTTCATAGAACGCTCGATAAGTAAAAGTAATGCATTAAGCCAATACCCGTTCCGACCGTTCGTGAAATAGAGCTAGCTGATTTGTTTAGCGTAAAGGCTGATTATCTGGGACCCAACTAGTTTAAATTGTTTCAATCCAATCGCTATGTTCATGCGAAAGTGGAAAAGGCTTAGTTCAAGGAAGAAATATATTTGGAATATGATAAGTTCACATTTCCAACTATGATCGCTCACTAGATGATTGATAAGGTGTTGTATAGGGTTTGAGACATTCTCGAGAAGCGCTGCAAAAATAAGTTTGAAAGTACGAAAGGGATATCATACGAAGGGGAACGCGTTTACGTGAAGATATTGATGGGTTGTCCTTCTCCTTGTGGTTTGTCCCTCTATTTTTGACAATTGTGGTAATAACTGACGGAAGGAATATGAGAAATTAAAAGCATCGATTATAATGATCTCTTGAAGCCAAAAGAGTGTCAGGAGGATATTCAAAAGGGCAAAGAATAAACATGTGGCTGAGGATCAGCTGACCCTCACGGGGAAGGGATGCCCTGATTAGGAATTGTCTTCCAGTCTGTGCTGGCAGTGTGAGCCACTAAACCCCGCCCTCCGGGCTTCTAGAGGGCCCACGTCTGCAGTTTTCCGCTTATCATGCATTCTTATCAAGCTGCAGCATGCTGTCGATCGAGCGCGGACCGTGCACGGAATGCTGCGGGGAGAAGGCTCAGACCGGGCCGGGTATCGGTACAGAAGGCCGTTCACGAAGTGGCGGTCGAAGTATGACAACAAAACCCTTCCGGATTGGGCGGATTATCTCAGATATCTCAAGGGGAACTTCAGGAAGAAAACGGCAATATTATGGCGACGTTGTGAGCTTCGTGTTCAGCGCTGGTACCCCTGTCTCTGAGAAGTCGACTTTGAGTCTGATGACTTGAGAGTCGATATCTGAACTTTTAAAAGCCGTTTTGCATAGTTTAAGAACTTCCGCTCGGTAAAAGACAGATGAGCCTGTAATGGAACTGTAGCATATCATGGTAAAGGTGTCCCTAATGAACAAGGGAACCTACACAAGATCTTTCTTGCAGTTTCGGGAGTTCGAGTGAGAATCAATATTACCTAAAGGGAGTTATCAAGAATCACAGATTTGGACAACACATCACATATTGTCTAGTGTCGAAGCCATGGTAGGAATTGTTGGTCTCGGATGCGAAAGAACAATCGAACACGATGACTTTAAACACGTTTCTTTCCGAGCTTGGAGGCTGGGTGCCGAAGATCAAGCTAGAAACTGTGAACTGAATATTTTCTAAAAGTGCAACCTTTCTTCTATTGCCGAACAGTAGTGTGCGGCTATCCAGGCTATTTGATATTCGTAGGGTCAAACATATCTATCTCATACTGGCAGTGTCAATAGTGAGTTATATCGCAAGTAATAAGATAATGGACTTACCTTGGGCAAGGCCGTAGTAGTGCGACGTTACTGTCACCCTCTTTGCAGTTCTTTAGTCTTTTGGAATAGGGGTGGCAGATGTTACCCCAGGTTGCCGTTGATTGAAAATACCAATTGCCCTCGTCGATGGGAAGCCTGCTGGCCTAGGAAGTGCCGAAGAGGACTTCATATAACATAGACCGTGTGCAGATCACTGGGGTTAAGAACTTCAATCTAAGACGATAGTTACCGTTCCAGTAACAAAAAATAAACCTGGAAAGATAACTAGCAACTTAGTTTGAGGCATGGATACACTACCTATGAACCGTCATTAGCGCTCATACGGCATCGACGGGCCGAACCAGCACCAGTTCCAGGGTAGAGAAGTCGCCGCTTACCCCCTAAGGTGGTTACTGGTATTTTCCGTGTGCCCAAAGATGTACCCTGGGCTTTCAACCGCTCATGTGACCGGATGTAAACCTGATCTGCCTGCAGAAGGATTGAACTCGGGGGGAGGTTGTGAAGAAAATACTAATGTTTTTAACGATTAACCATATATCTGGTACAATCGTCATCAGTAAGAAGTACTTTGTGACAGGGAACAATCCTCAAAGGAGGTTGACAGTAATAAACCAGGTGCGATTCAATAAACCAATGTCATTCTACACTCCATGCCACGCATACTAAATAGTTAGATAAAGTTACTATCGGACTTTAATGCCTCTCATTCATTGCTATACACAACATTTAAGAAGCCAAGGGTAACAAATGTATACCTCGTTTCCTGACAGGCACATTCACAGAAGTGCCAATATTATGTACAAAATCAGTGCTGGGCACTACAGCAATCAATACAGTCCTTCCCATGTCATGCGATACTTCTTGTTACCATCACCTATATATACCTGCAGATGAGCTAACGCTTCAAGCGGTATGGTCTAGCTCCCCTTGTGTCTTTTTCCTTCCTGGCCTGAAAGGCTGAATGAGTTCGGCCCAGAACCCGATGGGGGGATTGCTGATTTTGGCGGCCTCTTCATATGCAGTGATATCAGGAGCATCTAAAGTAAGATCGAGTTCGTCTGGGCGCAATAGTCTAGAGCGTTTGAACAATTTCCACCCGGCGAACGTAATGATTCCAAATAGGAGCATCGTATAGTGAGTGAAAAAGGTCGTCACATCCCAGGGAGTAAAGCTGGTGTACCCGTAACAAGTTACAATCATCGTCATCCACAGAAGACCGATGATGGCGCACCACGGCTGAAACCAGCCCTTGTAAGGAAGCTTGGAACGGTCGAAACCCTGCGCTTTGCATGCTCGATAAAAGCAAATATATGTGACACACATCACAATATAATCGATAATGGCGGCTGCCGTCAACAGATTCATGAGCCAGGTCAGGACCTGCGATGCACTGCTGGATAATGTTAAGAAGGAAAGAAAGGGGAACGCCATTACTACAGCGACGCAGCGGATCGGCACCCCTCCCTTCGTACACTTGCTCAGGAACTTTGGAGCCTTACCATCAACACTGAGACCATATAGACTCCTCGTAGCGCAGTAAGTGTACGTGTTGCCAGCAGAGAAAATAGTCGTCACTAGGAGGGCACTGACAATATGTGGCAATACACCGACGCCTAGGTTATCCATTGCGATTACGTATGGCGATGCAGCAGCAGTTCCTGCACCCTCAGACTCACCCGAGTACACTGCGACCAGAGTTGGGTCATTATAGGCGACTAGGATACCGCAGCAAAGAGCACTTCCTACGAAGAAGACCCCGAATCGCCAGTAGGCGGTCTTGAACGCATTTTTGACGTAGATACGAGGATACTTTGCTTCGGCAGCTACCATCGAGATGTATTCCGGACCAACACAGGTGTAGGAAGCCGCCCAGAGAGCGGCTAAGAAGCCTTCGAATCGTCCGAGGTTGTCTGTGTGCAGATATTCTGCGAACGGGCCAGGGTGGCGCCAATGACGGAATCCGAAGACATCATGTTGTGGATTACCTCCCACCATCGTGATAAAGGTAAAGGCGAAGAGGATAAATATCAGGATGACTTTCCCGCCGGATAGCCAGAATTCGGCTTCGCCATACCCTTTGACCGCCAGGGCATTGATACAACTATACACAAGTCTTAGCACGTAGTCGCAGGGGCCGGGTAAACCAGACCGCTTTGTTAAGAGATGATTGCATGGATATGGCTCGGATGCATTTGGGAACCTCACGCGTATATTACAATACAAGCAACACAGACAGCCGCAGGGGGGATATCGTTACGCCAGAAGGACAGCACCATATTAATTGCCGTGATTTCGAAGGGGATCATGATGGCTTCATAGAGGAAGAAGTTCCACCCGACCATGAAGCCTAGCGCATCGTCGACCCATTTGCCGGCTAGATAGATGAACCCACCGCTCACGGGCATGTATGTCGACATCTCCGCCATGGAGTTGTTGACCATAGCGAGCATGACATTGTAGATCAAAAATGCTAGCAATAGACCACCAGGGCCTGATTTACGGAGTGCGTCTCCGATGGTCACGAATATGGCAGTTCCAATGGAACCACCTATGGCGACAAGCTGTATCTGTCGATTGCCGAGTCTACGTTGCAGTCCAGCGTGGACATCATTTCCCAAAATAGTGCCGCGATGGATATCTGTGACAAATTCGGAAGATAGGTTTGAGTGCTGGGATGGCGCTTTCTCGGTTTTCTCGGGCATTGATCCGGGGTCACCAGGATGCAGGTGATGGATGGTGTCCTCTAGGTGTGACATCGCTGGGGCTGGAAGGGGCAAGGGGACGAACAATCTTCTTTTGGTATATAAAATGAGCGACACCTGCAGAACAAGTGATGTACAGAATTCGGGGTAGTGTTTTAATATACACGCTGTGCAGAATGCATTAGAAGACTTATACTAAGATCTATGACATACCCAACCCAGGGGCCAAGTCCTGCAAGTCAATAGAGTGAAGCAAAAACGGCATGTAGCATAAACAATACCATTACGATTTACATCAAAGTAAACATTTCTCCCTCGAGGGGCCTTAGGGCAAATCAGATAACTGGAAAGTTTGACCATTCCGGGTAAAGGGACCTCTTCGCCGTTAGTGCCAAGCCAGAATCGACCCAATTAGGATCTCTCCGAATGATAAACACGGCATCAGGAACGTTCATGCCGTGTGGCGTTCCCCAGGTCTGGATCTGGGCGCCAAGTATCTTGTAGCTCCCTTTTAATCACTACCTGCAAAGTTATCTCGGCCCTCAGAGCCGTCGGCCGGCGCACGGCTGGTATACTCCGTCCCGATCCTGTGACCGGTACGAACCACTGGTCTGGGCCATCCCCACGGGGCAACCTTAATGGAGGCTGGTTCAGATGATAAAGGGAATAAAAGCGTTGCTGGATATAAAAGGCAGACCATGTTTGGACGATTGAAGGGTCATTCCAGAGTAACCAACAGCATCGTGTCCTTACTTTATCAAGCCGATCTATCTAACCCCCAACTTCAAGCTCGGAAGAACAGTCAAAAAAATGTCCTCTATCTGGAAAAACTACTTCGGCCAAGATGAGGTCGCCTCCTCAGGTGCTACCCCGCCGAACACCGCCTTACCTGCCAACTGGTACACCTCACCCGAGATGTGGGAGCTGGAGCGCCGTGCGATCTTTTCCCGCAAATGGATGTTAATCACCCACAAGATGCGCCTCCCGAGCACCGGTGACTACTTGGTCTATGACATTGCCGGGTACCCATTTATCCTAGTCCGCGACAAGGATGGCAACTTCAACGCTTTCCACAACGTCTGCCGACACCGTGCCTTCCCCGTGGTGACTGAAGGGGAGGGCAAGGCCAGAATCTTCGCATGCAAGTACCACGGCTGGTCGTATGGCCTCAATGGCAAACTTGCCAAGGCTCCTGGCTACCAGGATCTCGATGGATTTGACAAGAGCAAGAATGGCCTTTTCCAGATTCATGTCCACGTTGATAGCAACGGATTCATATGGGCCAACTTAGACGCCAAGGAACAGCCCGAGATTGAGTGGGAAGATGATTTCAGCAAGGTTGATTTGCAGGACCATTTTAGTGGCATCAACTGGGATGAGTACAACTTCGACCACACCTGGGAGATGGAGGGCGAGTACAACTGGAAGATCCTTGCCGACAACTATAATGAATGCTACCACGCCGATGGCAAGGATAACAGCAGCATCGACTACGCTAACTCCACCCCGGAGCAGATTGCCCGTGGTTTGAGAACTGCCAGCACCTATTACTTTCCTAACGCTTCTATGACTGTTTTGTAAGTCCTTGCAACCTTCTCTGGTCACCGATCAGCCACACTGACCCTTGGATAGCCCCCACTTCTTCTTCATGCAGAGATTTGTGCCGACCTCCGCCACCAAATGCACGATGCGGTTTGAGGTTTACCGCAACAAGAACTCCAGCGACAAGGATTTCGAGTTGATTAGCCAAACTTACAAGCGGATCATGTCCGAGGACAAAGACCTCTGCACAAACGCCCAGAAGAACCTGAGTGATCACACGGAGAAGGGATCCCTCAACCTCCAGATGGTTGTGCGCGAGCTTGTTAAGGAGCACTACAAGAAAGAGCAGGAAGCAGGTCGCGAGATCTGGCCAACTCGCCAAACACTCCCGACAGCCGCCACCATCAGCGAGGAAGACATGACCTTCTGTAACAAGCTGGATGCTCAGTCCAAGGGCTCAACATCGGCCGGCGGGTGCTGTGGTGGCGGCTGCCAACCTAAAGAAACCCTTGTCTTTTAGAATTGCATATCTAATTGTCTAGCGTCGCATTTTCCTTTCCTTCAGTTTTTTTTTTGGGTCGCAAGGGGAATAGCGGATCATCATATTTCAGGAGTACTCATTTTTTCTTTTGACCACATCATTGCTTACAGGAATACCACCGTCAGAGTGACGTGTGATTGCTACATTGGAGTTTTAGTGCATAGTACCTAGACGTTTATTAGGATATTATTCTTTTGACTTATCATTCACAAACATAAATGTTATACAGATTTCCATACTGTCCAGCTCAGAGCCAGATAAGACAGTTCAGATCATGGAGGGGTTTTTTTTTTTTTTTGGGGGGAGATCTATCTCCGCTGCCCTTCATTGTCAGAACGTAATAGATAGGTAATTGCCTGATTAGATATGCATATCCATGATAGCGATTGTTGAACTCAATGGTGGGGTTCTCAAAGATCGACACCTCGTTGGCTAGTATCATATGTAATCCAACGCCTGTGGATGAACGATCTGTCTTTTCTCATTCCTTTTCCGTAAATGTGTCCACAACTAGCTAAAACTCCAATTCACGGACCCCCCGTCAGGAATTCTGCGGGTATGTTTGCTATGTCTATTCTACATGTTAGTGGCGGGTAGTCACCAAAAGAGAGAGAAAATCCACAAAAATAGAGGAGAAGTCTATCAATAGTTTATGTGGGGGAAGCGGCTAGTAATTGCTCGCAGGGAACTTTTAACCGTTTCAAGGAAAAGTTCCAAGAAGGAAAAGGCTGGGTGGGAATCTAGATCCTGCAATCTCAGACTGGATCCACGGATTGGCGTCGCCTTAGGGCCAAACCAGGGCGGGGTCACGAGGCTGTCATTTGCCCTTTCTATCGACAGCTGCAGCTTCACCCCATCGCAGGTATTCGGGATCTTATCGGGAATTCTCCTGCCCTCCTGTGCATTCGGTGGATTATTATTATTATGATTTCAGATTATTTTTTTTTCCTTCCCCCCTCCTTCGTTCTTCCCTGCTACGCGCTGGATTAACCATGACTGGTCATTGCGGGGGTATTTATCATAGCCCCTTACATCACCGTAGAGCTATATCCTTTGATTAACTTTCTCTATTCCTTATGGTCATTGTACCTCACTTCTTTCAACCATGTCTCTTGTCTTTTGTTTGCCGCGAGTATGATGACACGGGAGAGCAATCGTGGGAGGTTGCGTTCACATGAGGCCTGCCTGAACTGCAGGTAAGTCGCTTCCCAAACTCCCCGCCCGTCCTTCGTTTTGTTCCCTTGTAGACGCCAACGTATATCTACAGGAGAAAGAAAACTCGTTGTCCGGCAGAAAGGCCATCTTGTTCAAACTGCGTTCGCCTAAATCAGCCGTGTCTCTATACGTCGGCCCGGAGGGCATCGCGGGGTGGACAATCTGTATGTAACAAATCTCTCCCATCATCTGCTGATTGGACATGGATTCACAAATATCTTAGGAAGACCGGCTGGCATCTTTGGAAGAGAAGGTAAATCTCATCCTAAGTGGCTCCAGGTAGAGAGTATACTGCAACCCGCTCCGTCAGAATGTTCTTCTGACCCTTCTTTCTAGACCGGTCAAGGCGGCCCGTCAAGACCAAAAACGCGAGGAGCTCGACGATATACCAGAGGCACCCTACTCCAAGAACAGCAACCCACCTTCTGGCGAACCAGCCTTTGAGCGCTTCTCTCCCGGGTCGGGTACTTTTTCTTTTGGATTCAGCAATAATGAGGACTCAAACCCCCATCCCTCTTCAGCGGCAGTCAGCAAAGCTTTGGAACTGTATTTCCATTACTGTCATCGGCAGCCGATATGGTGCTTCGATTATGAAGACCTCGAGGACAAGGGGAGTCTATCTGACGAGCTTATCTATAGCGTCCTAGCGCTGGCCGCACGCTTTTCGCGTGAACCGGGCCAGTCGCAGCGTTATGGAAATACCGCGCGAACGCTCATCATGCTTCGCGTGGCAAATGGCACAGTGGACCTCGAAACCATCGAAAGTCTATGTCTGCTTTCGTATTCTTCATTCATCGGTATGATTGGTTATTCAGAAGGGACTGTTCCAAACGATGCGCATACTAACAGGAAATAGACGGGGACGTGCACCTCGGTCGGTTTCATCTTGGCCTCGCTTTTCAGCTTTGCCGGTCCGCGATGATGGACGTGGAATCCGGCTATCCTCCTGAAAGTCCTCTGACTGAGCGAAAGAAACGCTTGTTTTGGAGTCTTCAATCACTGGAGCAGACATATGGCCAACAAAATGGGTTTCTCAGCCTCCCGGCGGAGAACCTGCGTCCTTTCTGTGCTCCCCACGGTGGAGACCGGGGATTTGTAAAGGACTTCGAACCAAACCCGCCTCAGTTACCGCGGGATGATATCGGGTGTTCCTCGCCCAACGACATAGGCATTTGGAGCCTGGCAGTCCATTTCGGATGGGTTTGGAGCAGGGTTCGCACCTATGTGTCCGACTGTGCACAAAATCGACTAAAGGAGCCCTGGCGCCATGATTCAATGTACACGATGATACTCTCGGACTTGACTGAGGTGGAGAACAAGCTATCTCAGTGCCACCGATACGACTCAGTCAAATTCTTCGAGCGGAGGTCAGAGGAGCTGAGAATGAATCGGGGATACTGGACGCCATGGCTGAAAGCGCAGTTCACCTATCACTGCATTCTGACTGTACTCAACCACCCTTTCCTCTACATTGTGGCATCACAGTCGAATCCGAATCTCTCCATCCCCAATGCCTTTTGGAGGAGGTCTTCAGAGCTGGTTGTGTTGCATGCGACCTGGCTTGTCCGCATGATTGATATGGTCTCAGAAAGAAAAATGCGCCTAATTGATCCCTTTTTCGGACACGCTGCAGCGATTGCGGCCACAGTACATCTGTATTATTGTTGCGCAGCGGACCCGCGACTCAAACAAAAATCGAAGATTGACTTCGATAAATGTCGGACCTTTCTCAAAAGTTTTGTTCCCTTCTCTGCAGCTTGCAGAGCTCTGGTAAATACCCTGCATGAAACATTCCACATCCAATACTAACTGCTTTTCAGGACCAAACTCTGGACAAGATGACACGCATTGCATGCGGCTCGGAAAGTGTGAACTACGACTGGATGCCGTCCAAAATCCACCTAAGTATCCCGTTGATGTGGGACCTTCTCCAGATAAACTGCATGCCGGAGCCGCAGGAGATCTCTGGTGGCTTATTGCATCCCACATTGATACCCGCCATTTCGCGTGACGACGCCGGGGAAAGCTCTACGCTGGAGGTCATCGTGGCCATGTCACCTGAAGTCACGGTCAATACAGCAGATGGCGGACAGGCCGTCCATATGCAACCCAGTGTGGCCAAGATGTCATCCGTGCAATCTTCACCAGACAGCCTCGCGTTCGCCGACAAGTTGGTCGCACCGGCCGACAGTCTCATGATGAATACTCCATGGCTCTGGACGGGCCAGTTCCCAGATGTGGATAATATGGATTACCAAGAACCCGAGTCCGGCATGGGGAATATCGACGGATTTTCCGCCTGGTGGGACATTGGGAATCTCTAAGTCCTTGTGCGCGTCCGCGTTCTGCTTAGCTTTCTGCTGGTATCTTGATGAGGTTCGGGTTTATGACATGAGATGAGAATTGCATGTACTTTTATAGCGTTTATTAGTATCTACGGCTTAGATGGTGCGGAGTTTACCTGGTTTGATCTAGCGAATACACCAAGAAAATATGATGAGGTTTGAGAAATTGTTGATACTTTGTTCATGACGTGTTATGCCTGATGAATTGTGCAGGTTACGTAATTATTTGCATAAACTATTTCGTACCCATCATGACTCTTCATTTTGCCGCGTTGTCTGCCCGGGCGGTGAAGGGGAGTTCCCAATATAGCGCCATACCCAAAGACGTTAGCCCGGCCACCTTCACATCGAGCCCTTTTCTCGTGCTAGATTAGGCCGACTACACACTTTTACTTTTAAGTAGATTTTGACACAACAGCCTATTCGCTAAGGTCAGTTCACACTCTATACTGTATATGATATAGCCTTTGCCGTGAAGGGAAGGAAGCATCCAAAAGCGGCTAAAACAGACCGGAGGGGGCTTAGCGTATTACATCACTTCCTATTTTGTTCTAGGAATTATCTTGTTAGTTGACAAGCGTCGAAGCACCAATGGATGAGATTCATTGCTATATTTTTGCATATTACATTGAGTAGCCCTCTCAAGTCCCACCAGAGAGCTGTGCTTACTGCAACAGAGAAGCAAAACAACGTCATGAAGAATATGAGGTCTCCGGCAAACTTATCCAGTAGTATATGAGCGTCGCCGCGATTCGAGAAATATATATTTCAGCAATCTCGTACGCACCACCTGCCAAACCATCACTGGCATGTTCCAAGCTTAAAGCGAAGCACCTTATAAATTTAGCTATGGCCATTTTTACATATTTCCAATAGAGAATATTAGTCGCGTTACAGTAATAATACTATGCCGAGGTCATATTCTCGTTGATACAGAACAAAATAAAGAGACGGCAGATACTGCTTCCGATCCCCGAGGGGATAAGCCACCTAACCTAAACAAGCCTAGTGGTGCGGATGCCAGCCGTGGCGTCAAAACATTAGTGTCCGATCCCTATTTTTGGCCGTTGGTATGTCGCTTACTGGACATCCGGGGTTTACTTTTGGGGTGTGTATTTGGTATTCAGGAGGTATGGTGTCCCTGCGAAATAACCTGTATTTGAGACACTGAATTTGGTATGGTTTCATCTAAATGGTTTGCATAACTCACTTGAAGGAGCTACCGGATCTTAGATTCGCAGTGAGATGCCACGTCCGTGAAAGGTGGGGAGGGCGGGGTGGTTTTCTTTCATTTTTGGGTGTTCTTATGCGGAATTCCTTGGACTGTGGCTAAAGGACTGGCAAATATGGCACCGCTAGTTCTATCACCTAAAGAACTCTCCTCTAACACACCAACATATTCCCCGCATGATTGCGTGGTTATTTCCCAGAATCAACGGAATGGTTGCAGGAAGGGTGTCTCTTTCGGCAACAAACGGGATAAGAACCACTTGAACCACGAAACGAATCGACACGTGCAAGATTAGTCTATAGTTGACCGTACATGCTGCCCTGGTTGGTTTCCCTGGCGCGCGAGAAGCAACGTGATGGAACGAATTGAGCGAACTCCACCCACGAAGACTGTGGGGAGAACACTTCTCGTTCTTCCAGTTCACTTGAGTCAATACCGGGTCAATGCTTAGCCTCGTCACTATCCTCATACCGGATGTTGACGGAAAGGCAGCGTTCAATGGGCGCCCCCTTTTAAACATAATTAGGGTTGCCGCCTGCTGGTGATCTAGAATTTCCCCGAATGGGGAATTAGTGGGCCGCCAATGGTAAATTCTAGAACAAAGCCAAAGCCACACCGACCTTTCCTCAGGAGCAACTTATTATTTATTTTTTCGTGCGAAATGTCGGTTCACCCCTATTCCGGTTCATCTCAAAGACTGGGATAGAGACTCTCGTTCATCATGCGCGGAGTTTAGACAAAGAGCAGAAGAACAAAGCAGGGGATACGCCATCGATTGCTGAGACCTCAACAAGGGGAAAGACTAGGATCAACTTCGATTAGACGACGGGACTGCTTATTGGCATTGTGCCAGCAAGAAATGATTTCTGAATATGTCGGCGAGATCGAAGAACTTCCGCCTGACTCGCGAATGAGGTCGGGACAGCGATACCGCAAGTATCTCTACCATACAGCCCGAGCGGCAATATGGACTGCTAATGTCTATTATCTTGTCCGCTTGCTTACAATTTTGCTGGAGCCTCAGCAATCCTGGCAAATGTGGTTAATGTTGGCTATAGAAGCTATATTTGGTCGTAAGTTCAATACATACCCTACTCTCAAGCAGGGATACGGAGCTCTATAATGCTAACCGACGACCAGGCTTGTCTTATCAAGATCAGCGCCTCACCGTTGCGGCCGGTGGGGAACCTGAACGCGGGCCGCGAAAAAGGCTACGGCTCAAGGGTAGCCAAAATCTGCCACGAGTCGATGTCTTGATCCCTTGCTGCGGTGAGCCAGCTAGTGTGATCTTGGCCACCGTTCGCGCTGCCTGCACTATGGACTACCCAGAGTCTCAGCTAAGAGTACTTGTCCTTGACGATGGCGCTTCACCCGAGCTACGTGATGCTATCTCGGAATTGCATTCTAAGTGGCCTTACCTCTTCTACCACACACGTGGCAGGCAGTCAGGTCGAGTATTTGCCAAAGCCGGAAATCTGAACTATGCACTGTTCACTGTCCAGAAGGATACTCCACCGGAGTTCTGTGCTATCTTGGATGCGGATTCTATCCCAAAGCCAGAGTTTCTGAGAGCAACACTTCCCCACTTACTTCTAAGCCCCCAGGCAGCGTTGGTCACTACCAGGCAATATTTTGACAACCTTCCTGCTGGGGACCCCCTCTCGCAATCTCGCCTTCATTTTTACACCTGCCAGAACGCCGAACTAGACCGCTGTGGACGTGCTATTGATGCAGGATCAGGGGCAGTGTTCCGGCGCAACGCAATCATTGATGTTGGTGGGTATCCCACGTTTTCATTTTCGGAAGATTGGCAGCTTTCCCTGATCTTACGGGGCATGGGTTACCGTACTGTCCAAGTACAAGAGCCGCTGCAATTCGGGCTCGTTCCCACATCCCTTGAAGGGCACATTGCTCAGAGAAACCGATGGCACATTGGGCATTCCCAGCAGCTGTTTGCCTTACAGCCACCGACTAGCAGTTCCCTGCCACGGAACCTTCAGTGGAGTATTGCATGCGGTGGTTTGGCTATCACCCTGGGATTGGTAGGCCACGTCATCGGATTTGGTGCTGTTCCTTGGCTTTTAATGTCCCGGTCACTCATCCCCGCCTCTTCTTCCTTCCTGATCAAGGCTCAGGTGATCCTGGGCTTGCTTCATATCTCTACAATGTGGGCGTACGGGTGGCTCCAGACTGCCCATGCGGGAATCCGAGGTTCCCCATTTTCGCAGTTGGAAAATAGTTGGCTAGCTGGCGGTAAGAAAGTCCCACTTTACCTACTTGTTTCTGTGATTGATATACGTATGGTGACCACGCGACTAACCCGACTGATTGCCTCGCTCTGTAGCACACCTATCTGCCGTCATACGATTTCATTTCATTTCGAGCGCTCCCAAAGGATCATTTGTCACCGGAAGCAAAGAAAACTCCTGGAATCGCATCACGAAGTCTTCATTTTATAAAATGCTATATCAGGATCTGTGGCAAAACGGCATTTTGCAAAGCATCTGCCTGCTTGTCGCTACAATTGCTGCGATGTTATTGTCAACATGGACAACACTGACCACTATCGACAGTGAGCTATTGACCACGCATTTACTTACCACCGTTGCCTGGCCGCCACTGTTGCACATTTGCTATCTGACCATTACTAACCATTGGGTGCCGGTTGCATACCTGTTCAGCCCTCCCGTTTATCCGGCGCGGCCGTCTTAGATGGCTGTACTGGTTAGCAAAGAAGGTCCTAGATGTAGACTCTATGTTGTCCAACAACACTCACTGTGACATTTATTCTTGTTTTGCCTGACACTGTCGGACTTCAGAGCGTTGCTAACCCTCGCACTATTGTTATAATAGTAGCCTTGGGGAGGACTCTTTCCAATGCGGAATGTTGCGATGTTACCCGAGGTTGCTCGTTTCACTGACATTGCTACTTGGTGCTAATCAGAAAGGCAGTATAAGCGTAGTGCATGTCTGATCTGTCTCTGAATTTATGTTGTCTGTTCTATCTATCTATTATTTTCTTGTTAATCTCGCTATCCTGATTTTCATGATCTCTAACCCCAACTACCTGACTTACCATAGACTAGAGTGCTTACCTAGATAGCGCATTTATACAATACCTGCTCAGTCGTGTATTTCTAATTTTAATGTTGAATTCTTTTCATTCTCATTTTCTTGCTCATGAACATCATGTTTATTACGAGAGCGTAAAGGACTGGTCATGTGACAGCCTCGGGTTTGGCATCGGAAATGAACTTTTCTTCGTACTTTTTCTCAACTCTTCAAATCCGAAGGTTATCCCGCGCCTCTGAAAGCCTCATTGACCGGGATCCTTGGCAGTCAAAACAGTGCTTTCCTGGAAACGGAGACTAGCAAGCTTAAGTATGCGTTCGAGCCTTTCGTGCGCGTTTTGCCGGTGAGTTGTACATCAAACAACATTACCCTCGGTAAACCAGAGGTCAACCCGGGGCTCACCCATAGATCCGATGGCGCAGAAAATCCAAAATCAAGTGTGTCAATACCGGTAATCCACCATGTCAGAAGTGTCAGAAATCAGAGATTCCCGGTTGCGTTCTTACCAGACCGAGATATGTAGCCTCGAGGGTTTCCCGAAGGCGAGGCCAGTTACGCCGTAGGAATGACGATCAAAAGGATGACCATGAGGAACAGCCGGTCCCATTAGATACCGGAAATAATAGACCAGATTCAACACCGGAATCTTTCAGCGCTGAGGTGGATATCTCACAGATCGACGAACATCTCGCTAGTCTTCCGACAAGTGTGATCCTCAAGTCGTTGAACGTTTTTACGAACAAATTCCCCGAGCTGGGAATTCTTCATCTCCCAACCCTCATGCAAGCGTTCCAGTCGGAGTGTTCGAAGGAGACGAAAGTCCTCCTCTGTGTTACCCTTCTAGTAACAAAAACACAACTATCGTTGCTCAACCCATCTTGGGCAAACAGTTTGCTGCCCAGTAAGCATTACGAATACTACATCCGGCAGAGCCTCTCAGAGCTCATTCTCCAGCCACCTGATATACAAGTCGTTCAGGCACTCCTGATGATGGCACTCTACGAGTGGGGGTGTCGGGACTTCCATAAGGCCTGGGTCTACTGCGGTACGTCATCTTGGAAGCGCCTCCGTGGGATAATTGCAGGGCTGAACAGGTATGCTAGGTATCGCGATCCGAATCATGCAATCCATACAAAGTCGACGTATTGCGCCGTACTCTCTCGATACTGACATCAACCCGGGTGCAGCAAAAGATACGGTCGCTCCGGGAATAGAGAATAGAACGATTTGGGCCTGTTTTATCATGGACCGTATGATCAGTTCGGGCACTTACAACCCACCCATGCTTCCCATGTCGGAGATGGAAAAGTTGAAAGTCTCGCGACCTTTGAGTACCGTGGAATTTGCATTTGGGACCAACGTAAGCCTTTATCCCGGGCACACAGGGCAAAATCTCACCTGGTCTGAACGACTGCCGTCGGGCCTTCTTGATATAACCCAGTGCTACGAGATTTTAGTTTCTGGCTTTGATATCTGGGCACAAGTAATGACTTTTATCTTTAACGACGGACGTCGGGCACCGGGGATGTGCGCCCCAGAGAATTGCCCTTGGGTCCCAGGGTCTCCGTGGTCTAGAACTAAGGCCCAATTGGAAAGGTGGAGGGCTGGCCAACATGATCGCCTTCACTACCCGAGCAATAGTGTTGCGATCCACATGACCCTGGGATATGGAGAGTCCTTCACATATATCAATCTTCTCTATTATCTGAGGTTGGGCATCATCGTTTCTCAATCCGGTACAGTAAGACTAATGCGTGTTTATATATAGTACTCTTATGCTCCACCGTGAATATTTTCCATTCATGCCAACCGCGGAGTCGGGCCCGAGGGGACCTGTGGACCACCCTCTGCTCGAAGCGGAAGCCCCTGTCGGCTGGTGGGAGTCAAGCGCACTAGAGCTGTTCTCTGCAGCAGAACACATTGCGAGGCTTTTACACGAAGCATCGGAATGCGGAGCCCATCTGATGACTCCCTTTGTTGGATTCTGTGCTTTTTCCGCATCGTATATGAATCTCTACATCTACCGATTTCCTCGCATGAACCTCGGCCGTAGTCCTCAGGCTGAACAGCTGATGAACTTTTGTCTTGCTTACTTGGAAGAGTTTCGACACGTGTGGAAGCTGGGAGAGGCTTGGGTGCGTCTCTTTGTTATCAAACTTCTATTTAGTTCTTGCATGCGGAACTCTAACATTCCATTAGGTATCTACTCTCAAACATGCCTCGCTCTTATACGAGCGTGCTTCCGCTGACAGGGGAAGATACCTGGGAAAGACTCGGCAGGACTTCGATCATCTTCACCAGTCCATACATGAGTTTCGAGTTGTTGACCGATCGAACCAACATATACAGGAGATCGAAGGAGCCGAGGGGGCAAGCCCAGGAGCGACATATAGTCAGCCCGCACAACGGATGGTCCCTAGCTCTGAGTCGGATAACCTTAGTGCACCGCTAACTCATCTGCTTACGGAGGTCAGCACTTATTCTCATGAACAGGGCGCATGGTCGCAGTGGTGGCCTACGTTGGAGGACATCGATCTTGCCCTAGTCTCAGGATGATAGCTTTGCGGCACAACCGTGGCATCATACTTCAACGAGCAAGTGCGTTGAATACATTGAGCGCAGAACGATTGTGAAAAGAAGGCCAACTATAGACATAGCACCTGCATAGTATGCCGCTGGCCGATATGCCTCGATGTTGTCCGCTTTCCCGGAAAGCGAATAAATTCCAGATGCAATGGGTGACCCCTATGCAGGATTAGTATGGTATCATGAATTAAACCAACCGAAGGACGTCATTAGCTTACAAAGAAGAAGCCCACGAACCATCCTGCCCAGATGATCGGTAGTATCCCAAGTGTGTTCTTGCCGCCAAACATCGCGCCTATCGTGCTGGGAACTAGACTGAAAAAAGCTCCACATCCGAACCCATTTAGTACAATGAATACGGATAGCACGCCCGTTGTACTAGAGAAAGGCCAGATGACAAGAGCACTGAGCCCGGCCAATATGAGGGAGAGGATCAGACTGTTGATGGGACCCAAAACTGAGTCTGATAAGTAGCCGGCCAGGACCCGTCCCATGGTAGAGGCAACATTCCAAATGGCCAACATGATGACTGCGATATGCTGAGAATGGGTAACCGATCGCGCAAAGATAGGAATAAAGTATGGGGGAACGAAAAGGGGAAAGCAAGCCAGCCCGGTGCCGACGAATAAGATGAGGAACTCCTTTTCGCGGAAGCGATACCTGTACGGCCCAGATTGTCAGAATCTCTCAATGGTTCAATTGTACAATTTGTCAGGCTCACCACTGCGGACGTGGGACGGAGTTCTTCGCATGAGATGGCTGTCGGATAAGACATGCGGCTGGAGTACACACACCCCACAGCAGAAACGCTAGAACACGGAATATCCATTCCAGTGGCAATTGCTTCACCATCATGTTGGTTGCAATACTCATGATGGCAGAGCCTAGACTCCCACCCCCAAAGACGATTCCGACGGCTAGCCCGCGGTGCTTCTCGAACCATTGCATCGGGGCAGTCGAACAAGCCTGGTTGAATTTGTGAGATACGAAATGGCCCAGTAGTACTTACTGCAACAACAGCATAGAGGATAGAAAGAAATAACGCCAAATATGAAAAATATTACAAGGAAATCATACCAGAATCGTCAGGCCTCCTCCGACGCCGAAGATGATACCATGAGTCACAAACAATGCACCAACGTGCTTCGTTACCCAGCTCGCGAGGAATTCCCCTAGACCCATAAGCACTGCTCCAGCTAGAGCAGTTCGTTGGTATCCCCATCTCCGGATTATCAGTCCTACCGGGATACTGATTGACACCATGAAGGACGTAGCCAGAGAGCCGACGAACGTCAATGTCGTCAAAGAAGAGGAGGTTGATTCTAATAGCTGAACTTGCAAAACTCCCCAGGAGTAAATGATGCCGAGATAAACAAACAGTGAGCAAGCAGCAGCTCCCACGACTATCCATCCTCTCCAACCGTCCACAACATCGTCACAGGGACATGAGGACTCGCTCTCGGTAGTGATAGGGAATGGAGCCTCTGTTTTTGTGTGGGGCGCTGAAGGGCCTTTGCCAGTTTCCTCCATGACTGACAACGCATGTATTCTTCCAGAGTGCGTCTTGTCTTATCTTGTAGGCTCAGACGGTGCCAATATCGTTTGCAGCGAGATTCTTATCCTCTCAAGGAGGTATCCCGAATTTTAAGCATTTTGTGCGTCTAACATGTTCTTATACAACCGAAAAAAATGACATTACCTGAGAAGATCCACAGTATGACTATTAGCACCAGACTAGTTACCGTGAGGACTTGCTTGAAGCCGAGGGATGGCGATCAAGTCGCTCGCACAGTCGAGTTTTGAAATCCGAGGTTCTGTTGCCTCCGCGCGGTACCAACAAACCCGAAGTTGGTTCAAACCCGATGATAAGGACTTGACTCAATCCCACCCCGCCTTATTGATAATCCTTTCTTCTATGCTGCACCTCAAATACGAATGCTTCACTGACCTGGCTTTTGTACTTCAGGATGCAGAGTCCATACGTTGATCATAGTTTGTTCGCAGAGGCAAGACAAAGCTTCGGCTATTGGCTGGAGGTTTGATGAGCTACGGAGGATACAACTCATATGGTTGCTACGAAGGGATAGATGACATCTTGTACTATATCTGCACTTGCCTGAATGCGAAAAAAGGAAAATAAAACATGAGGTTGGGGAAGAGTCGTGTCGTGGTAAGACAAGATCCACATAGGTTACCTGAAATTGCCGCGATATTCGGAGATAGATCTGGACGGTGACTCGGGGCGATCCGTCCTACAATATTCCACCGGTTATATTCATGGTATTGGCCATTAGGAACGAGAAGGATCGGTTAATCTGGCTTACCAGTCTGAAGTGTTGTTGCGAAAGCCGAGTGGATTTCGGCTTTCGGTTTTAGAAGAAGTTCAACGCCAGGAAATTCCCAACATCCCCACGTATATATTCTTAGTTAATCCCAATTAGGTCCATCATACTGCGATTCATATGATATAACGTAGAGGTGAATCTCTGTCTCCTTGATTTTCTTACGCGAGGAAAACTTCGCCTCCTCGCAAAGCATTTGAATAGTTCCGAAATCATACTCTGACCTCTCGCTCAGCGATTCATCCTTACCAAAATGGCACCTTCCAGGGTAGATGACGATATGCAGCCCAGGCCAAATGAACAAAATCCACCAACCGCGAAGTCACATGGTGAAGGTCATCTTCTGCACCGTTCCCTCATAGAACATCCCGTCATGGTGGAGAAGGCTAAAGGGCTGACGCTACACCTTTCCGATGGTAGAACTGTTCTCGATGCGTGTGCTGGCGCCGCAGTTGCCTTAATTGGCCATGGTAGGGAAGAGGTTCATCAAGCCATTATGAAACAGATGCAGAATGTCAGCTACATTCATACGCAGTCCTACACCACTTCTTCAGCGGAGGAGTTGGCCGACTTTCTTCTGAGTGGAAACCCCTACGGGCTCGAGAAGGCATTTTTTGTTGGCAGTGGTAGCGAGGCGGTCGAGTCTGCTTTAAAGCTGGCGCGACAGTATCATTATGAGAAAGATGAGCCTGAGCGACTTCATTTCGTCTCCCGACAGCAGAGCTATCACGGCAACACCATTGCTGCCATGTCAATCTCGTCGAATCTTGCTCGCAAGGTCCCCTTTAGTGGCTTTATGTACCCTCATACCTCTCATGTTTCCCCCGCATACGCATACCGGCATCAGATGGCGGGAGAGACAGAGGCAGAATTTACGTCCCGACTGCTGCGTGAGCTTGAGGAGGAATTCCTTCGCATCGGTCCCGGGAAGATTGTTGCTTTTGTAGCCGAGCCGATCGTTGGCGCAACCGCGGGCTGCGTCACAGCCCCTGCCGGATACTTTACCGGCGTCCGGGCTCTGTGCGATCAGTATGGAATTCTACTGATACTTGATGAGATTATGTGTGGCGTGGGACGTTCAGGGACATTTTTCGCTTTTGAACAGGAAAACGTCGTCCCTGACATTATGACTATCGCTAAGGGGCTTGGAGGTGGATATGCACCCATCGCAGGAGTCTTGGTCCACAAGAAGGTAATGGATGTGCTCCGCAAGGGCAGCAACGCTTTCAACCATGGACATACCTACCAGGCCCACCCTGTTTCTTGCGCCGCCGCGTTAGCGGTCCAACAGATCGTTCGGCGAGAGAATTTGGTTGAACGCAGCGCTGCTCTGGGACAGGTTCTGGAACAACAACTGCGGACTAAATTGGCGGGCTGCCCATCAGTTGGCGATATTCGCGGGCGAGGCCTCTTCTGGGCAGTAGAGTTCGTGCAGGACAGAGCAACCAAAGCGACATTTGACCCCCCGGTTAAGTTCGGCTTGCGAGTCCAACAAGCTGCGTTCGACCGAGGATTGGCAGTCTATCCTGGTGCGGGGACGGTGGATGGCATGCGAGGCGACCACATCCTCCTGGCTCCTCCTTTTACTGTTACTGAGACGGAACTGCAGCAGATCTGTGAGACCTTACGAGAGGCGATAGAATCCCAAGAAAAGGAGTATATGAGTTGTTAACACTTGTATCGCATAGGCGTTCTACAGGCCCATATATGTATATAAAGCTTTACTATAGACTCAATACTCCCATTCAACATTTCGTCATTTGATATGTCGTCGATATGATTTCTCTGCAAAATATTTCCGAAATAGGTAACAAATCCCATGGCTGTGTGCATGGGCCCAGTATCTCTCCTCAATCCAAGATCAAATTCCCTTCATCCGAATGGTTTGAGATTTATAAACTCTTCTCAAGAGAACAGTGGAGAACTCCATGGTTGTGTAGACAATTTGCATTTTTTCGTTATAATATAACTGGAAACCTTGTACCATTCATAGAAAGACAGTTATTGCATCGTCCTAGTATGCTTGGTAATCGTCATAAATCCGCTCATATTTGCTAAAGTAGTCTTAGCTTCTAACATGCCGAAAGCTAAACCGATCGTGCTTCCACCGAGTACCATCTCTAATCTTCCACTCGAATCATTCGAAGACCCATCCCGAGGCGAGGTATCGTGGCGCACTCTTTTCACGCAACCAACGACCCCAACAGACAATCTTTCTGCCGGGATTGCTATCTGTCCAGGGTATTCTGGATGCTTATGCAGCCATCACCATGCTCAGGCTGAGATATACTACATTCTTCAAGGTCGAGGAGTAGTGACTATTGATGGCGTGCACCATAAGGTTGAAAAGGGCTGTGCCGTTTTCATCCCGGGTGGCATGGAACATTCAGTTACGAATAATGATGAAGAAGAGTTGAAATGGCTCTATGTCTTTCCTGAAACCAAGTTTAGTGATGTCGTGTACCATTTTACCGGAAATGGGAGGCCGAAGTTATAGTTTGAGTCGACGATTGGATGGATATATTGGTGATTCTCGGCTTTGTCAACGGGAGCCTCGTCTTTATCAGATATTTGTCTTTGAAGTTGAATACTCATATTTTCGTCAACTTGTTTCTCTTGGCTTTGGTAAATCTTACATAGCTAAGGCGTATGTACTGCAGAAAGCTGGATTATCATCGGTCCCATGTCGTTCGATCATGGACCAGAGTTTGGTATATGACCCGCTTGGAAGCTCTCTTATGACATTGCTAAGGAAATCGACATTCTTCGGAGCTAGGAATTCAGGAAACGGGAATGCATGTTCTATCGAGGAAACTTCCAGTCGTATTAAGTAGTATCTAAAGGTGTTGTGCCCTATGGTTAAATACTCCGGCAAGTATTCCGACCAATCAAGTGCGTTGCCACAGCTTTGAAGTCGTCGATCTCGAGATACGTCATCGTTACAGCAGCCGCGCTTAACCCTAACGCCTCTTTGATTTTGTATAGAGTCTCCTGGTTTATATTGATCATGCCTCCGAGATACTGTTAGATCAAGAACTACTTTGTACAGCATTCTATCACTCTTCTTCTATACCATGGATCACCCGCGCAGAAGTATCCAACCGGCCGCGTCGACCAAGCGTGTACCAACCGTTCGTTCGAGCCCCGCCATCAAGCGTTCAATCTCGTCTGCGACAGCTGGACTTCAAGATCAGACTGGTTCGGGGTCTGCCGGTCAAGCGCAGGAGCCAAACAAACAGGCCCTCAACTACAGTCTTCAGATGAAGAACGCGCTCACAGAGCTCCTTAATGACGCCCGAGCCAAGGGAAGCGATCAGGGAAGCCGCTGCCTACAGAATATCCTGATGGAAAACGAGCGAGAAGTGAGGGAGAATAGACGGAAATCGCTTAATACCCGAGGCGCGAATTGAGGATATATTTGATCATCGCGGAATGTCATCCTATCTCTTTCCGGGGAAACAACGTTGGAGGTCTCCCAGCCGCATGCAAGCATGGGGTTCTATAAGGATCATTATGTCGCTTCCAGGCGTTGTAATGATGAAAGGGGGTTTTACAAGCGTCGTAACGTGGGAATATGATAATTCCTTATATTGTGGAGAGATCAACCCACCAACACAACGCCGTGTTTCCAGGCCTGTATGCCGTCAAGGAATACCATAATGGCAGTATGTATGTTTAGCCACTTCCACTATTGTGACATTGTTTAGAAGGTCATGTCATGAATGGCTTCGGGCATCTCTTCAACTTGTGCCTTCGTGCTTTCGGGAGCGAAGCATGTGTATAGCTTCTGTCTTTGCGCTGGGTCTTTAAATTACTAGCACACGCACATAAGGCATACTAGTGGTGAAGAATTCCTTTCCTAACTTTTGTGCTTCATTGTTGGTTCTATTGGTACCAAAGGTCAATACAAATGTACTATGAGGTTAATGGTATATGCGTTAAAATACTCTCAATTCGATAACCTTTCATATCATCCTATTCGAACACTGCTAATCATTTTCAACATCCAACCAGAAAACCCCCACGAGCTATCCATACACCTGAGATAGATGCTGACTGCATTGTCGAGCTATGCTGAAGGGAATCTTGATGGTCGGATGCGGCTCGTAGAATTGAATGACAACTCGATTCATAGTTCGGCTTCAGAAAGTCTTCCAGGCGTACCGAGCGACAGTATAATGCAGTCGATCTTAGCAATCCGCAATAGGTTCCAGTCAATGCTCTCTCCGACCGAGCTTTAGAGCTGCCGAGGAAACCAGTATGTCATGTGGGGTTTAATTGTACATACATCCAATGGGGTTGTTTAGGACTGAGAGCTGCGGTTCGGATACATTCTCCTATCACCTTTGATAGGGTTCACGACTCGGTCGGTAACCGTGGAAAAGCACAGGAGTCAGAGCGTATGACCGCGCCATGATATCATTGAGATGTACAGGATCAGGGACATGATGGGACGTATATAATTTTTGGTGCCACTGAGAAGCTTCGCGGGAAGCACAAGAACAATTACACCGTTCACACCAATCGACAGAAAATCAACATCGATTCGTTCCCTCTTCGCCACAATCCTCTTTGAAGTGTAGGTCTAGATATGTGACACAAGTTGGACACTACAATTTCGTTGCGTCACTAAAGCACATACTAGAGAATCTTTTGCCTCCCTTTCCGATCACTATGGGAATCGGCAAAGCAATATGTCATTTATAATTTAGGGGCGATCTCCATCAATGGTTAACGTCACTCCACTTTGAAACACTTCACTTTACAGAGTTGGGTCTATCCTGCGATGATGGAAGACATAATTCGACTTTTTATGCCGCGCATACGCCAGCATGTGGGCTCATCCTCTTCTTTCTATCCCACCTAATGTGCTGTGAAGACCTAACATATGTTGCCAGCTAACAGTGAGCGACCTCGCCAAGCTGGCCCGCGTGTCGCATGAGTTGAACGATCTGGCCACACCGTACCTCTACCATACAATGCACTTCCATAGCCCAGGGCGCATCAAGCCGGATGACCAGCTGTTGTTGCAACTGGATATCATCGGGGATCTCCGATTTGACAAACTCGTATATACAAAACGCGTGGTCGTGTCAGGATCATGGTACCAGACTTATGCGGCGATTGACTCGGAGCTTGGGGAGCACCAAATGCTCTCTCCAGCAGCTCGAATGTTCAGCAACATTATCAGCAATTGCATTTTAAGGATGCCTAATTTAGAGGAGTTCATGTACTATCCATTCTTTCACCTACTCTGCTGGGGTTGCCCAATGGTACCCATGGCTGTTACCTGGAGGGTGCTAGGCTAACCTACTTTCCAGCTGGGACATGCAAGTTTCACTGACACAGGTCTTGCTGACGACCGTCATGCTGCGGCCGAGGCTGCAGTGCTTGCGAATCTGTATGGGTACCAACTGCACCCCGAAGCCGTTCTTTCGCCCAACCTTGAACCTCCACACAGCAGTTAAGTTGAGGGTAATGCACCTCACCCAAGTCGATAACGTCTCAGTTTTACAATCGTTAGGTGTGGCTCTGAAGAATGCTACACAACTCGAGCGCCTTTCAATATGGGCTGATGACCGTTCCGAGCTAAGCATTAGCAGTCTCTTGGAGAAGTGGCAAACGCCTGCTCCGTTTCTATTGCGCTCTTTAGACCTCCGTGGGTTTTCCGATATAGGAATCCCAGCGAAAAACTTGTGGGCAGCAATCCCACCGATCAAACTGAGAGATCTGACGCTAGAACTTGGGCCGAGGCTCCTGACGCAGGACTCAACAGAGTTCTGGGACGCGTCCGTTGAAGCTGAACTGCGTCCGCTTCGGTTGAGGGTAAACTTGGGTGTCAAGGGCATCCAAGACTTCATTTCGTCTTTCAGTGGTTTGGAAGCATTCCATCTTGTCCCATCTGACACACTACGACCGATGGAGCCAATATGCAGTCTTGTTGATGCTCTCAGAAGGCATCATTCCTCTACTTTGAGGGTTCTGGGCCTGAGCCCATTTTTGGATTGGCCCAGTTATGTACTAGATGTACCAGATATCAAGTACTTGGTGGGGGCGTTGCCAGATATCGAAGAACTCCGCTTGAGCCAAGCGAACCTGAATCGAGTGAGTCCTGCTTAAGTCAATGCTGCTCTGAGCTACCACTGACTCGGTTTCCGCGCCAGGAATTAATGCAGATCGCACTGTTGTTGCCCCGTTTACGTGTGGTTCAGATTGATCTAGTCCACGAAGACCCGGCTACAGAGTATATCTTTCTGGACTTCATCGTTTATCTATTACGCAAGGGCTATGCCCGGAATCTTACCTATGTAGCCTTTGACGATACTACCGTGCGTGAAATACGCCGAAATCCGATACGGCTTTCCGACAAAGCCTCTCGGGTTGGATATGTTGGTGGCACGGTACTTTTGGATGAAGAAGTCTACGACTGGGTCAGAACATCCTTCTAAGGTTGAAAAAAGTACGACGACATCAATCATTCAGCAGGAAGCCACCCCTGAGGATGTCAAGATATCTGCGGACTTCTCTCGCTGACTTTTCGACAGTCAATGCCCTATAGATAGTAAGTCGTCTCACACGGGTCATATGCAGGACCCTTTACAGTTTTCTAACCCGAGGCAACTGGCCTCATGCGTATATTACTGCGTTCCACTGGATGTTGCGAGCCATGTCAGAATGCCAAGAGTCGAAGCATTACGACTCGGTCCGAGAAATTTGTGGTCGATTTGCATTTAGAACTCCGGCAATAAGCTCTATGTATTTACTTATTTGATGGTTTGGCGCTTGGACAGTGGGCCTCATAGCATTGGATACATAAATACTAGCTTTCTACGGTAAATAATGGTGAAGAAGCGCTTACGATCTGGTAGTTTTCACGACGGTCGCAGGGACGACTTTCTTTCCTCACATGACTTGCCACACCAGAGTGTCCCAAACCTACTCTTGTGTTGGAAAAGCACATCATAACACATAATCCGAGGGTAGCAAAATTAACTCAAATGGGCGATCATGACTGGAAACGGATTGCCACATGAAATAGAATGTAAAATCGATGTGGAGGGAACTGCGTGACTTTAGGGCTGCAGTGTCTGTTAAACCCTGATTTTCTCAAACGCCACACCAGAAGCTGCTCGTTGGAAATCCGACACATACAAAACGACCAGTTCAGTCCTGTTACGCAGTACCAAATTCAGATTTCCATTGGAACATCTGGGGCGAAGCGTCGTCAGACAGCCACCGCCGGGATTACGTATCGAGGGTGATTTGTGGGCTGTGTTGAAGCGCCGGGTCCACTGTATCCACTCTACGCGTCAGGCACCGACCAGTCGGTCCAGAACCATGTGGGTGACCCGCTCTATTGATCGAGATTAGTTTCTAGATTGGTCTTCAGGTCCAGGGACAATGGCAGTATTGATGTAAGCTTCTGCCTAAGCATCTAAGCCCAAGGGTGCCCGGGCCAATGGAACACTTGCCCTGGACGTTCGAGACTTGGACTCCACAGTTCGCGTGGGAATGGTTATCCGAATTCTGACATGGCACAGGACTGAGCCATACAATCGTACGGAGTAGGTTTCCCCACTGATTATGGCGTTGGCTGGTGTTCGCCATCCTATCCGGCTCCACCATGAGGCATATAAAGTGCTATACTCCTCCGACCTACACCCTCTTGCTTTTTCACACTGCACAGACAATCCTTTCAGTTCTTTCCATTCCTTCCTTTTCAATTTGCTTCACGTTGAGGTTGATCCTCCGACTTTCATTTCTAAATCCTCATTCTTGACCACTCATTAGAGCCAATTTTTGACCTCCCACCTTATTTTCACGACAACCCTTGTCACTTCTTATTCAATACCAACCATGATGCTCTCGAACATCCTTCTTTCGGCAGTCTTTGCGATGACTGCTTCTGCACTTCCTCACCCCTACCCCAGAGGTAGTCCGACCACCACTTCCATCGCCGCCAACTCTAGCGCCAGTGCTAGTGCTAGTGCTAGTGCGAGCCCCAGTGCCAGCGCCAGCGCCGGCGGAAGTGGCAGCGTCAACATTGTGAACAACCTCGGCAGCACCGTATACCTGTGGTCCACCTCCGATAGCTCCAGCGATACGCAAACCATTTCCTCTGGCGCCTCGTACTCCGAGGCCTGGAAGACCGAGTCTACCGGCGGAATCTCCATCAAGATGGCAACCACCGACAGCGAGAGCAGTGTCTTGCAATTCGAGTACACCGCGGATGGCGACACTGTGTACTGGGATCTCTCGTCCATCAACCTGGGATCTGACTCAGAATTCATCACCGCTGGCTTCTCTGCCACCCCGAATGATTCGAGCTGTTCGTCTGCTTCTTGTGCAGCAGGAGATACCAACTGCGCCCAGTCGTACCAGAAGCCTGATGATACCGACACCAACAGCTGTTCTGCTAGTGCTGGCATCACGGTCACCCTGGGTTAAGAGAACGAGTAACGTATGCATGATTGGTGGTTGGATTTGCCGTTCTTCATCGGAGAAGACACGGCGAATTTTAGACGGCAAGGCAGGCCTTGCAGCTTCACGGCTACGACGGAAATTGATCTTATGATGCTTCTCTTTGAATTTAGAATAGATCTCAACATCTAGAATATAGAATACTGATATTGTTGAAATATGGGATTTCCACATCAAAAAATATGCTCTTTTATATGTACTAGACGCTATAGATAGAGTCATCTTTGATGGTGAAGCAGGAGACCTTAAAAAACAACTATTACACCTGACTATTGAAATCCTGTGCGGTCAATATCAGGAACATAAACTATAAGTCTCGTATATATTACGTCAATGAGGCGAGGTACCCTTCGCCCTGTCTATACTGTATCTATCGCTCCAGCTATGTTTGAGCATTCATCATCACATCATGATTTCATTCCGTCGGACACATCCTTCCCTTCAGATAGTCTCCGTAATATTTCTTTTAATTGCTTCAGTGGCGTAGGCTTTGTGAGAAATATATTGGCGCCACTCATCATGGTTTCATGCTGCATAGAGGCTGACACAACTGCAGTTAGTATGAGTATAGTTGTGGGTGGCAACTGTTTCGTGCGTTCAAAATGTCGCATTTGCCGCGTGGCTGTCAAGCCGTCCATTACGGGCATAGACATATCTGACACTATAGTTAGCCTTATCTTGCTTTGCCATGATCGGTCCCATAAAGTTGAGACTAACCCATTACTACAGCGTCATATCGATCGGTCTTGAACTTCTCCAAGGCTTCTTGGCCGTTGGTTGCGGTCTGGTATTTAAATCCAGCACTCTTGACACACATCTCAATAATCTAGGTCCGACCGTTAGAACAAATCAATCGCACAAGCTCGGGTGTCAGACCTTAAGGTTGACTTGGTTATCCTCCACGAGAAGAATCTTGCCTGACAATGACTTATCCTGAGTTTCTTCGTTGTCGGACGATTCTTGCTTGTTGTCGCTAACATCACCGTCAACATCAGTCTTTCCTAGATCCTCAGATTTACCATTATTCGCTTGGATTTCTGGTGCTGCGTTAGGTTTCTGGGGGGTTTCCCTGGCAGGCTCGGAAGGGGAGTGGTCCCTTTTTGGCGTTGAGCCCTGGGAATGATCTGACAAACCCAGACAATGCTTGAATGCCGTTGAGAGAGTCTTGGGACTCACACTGGGTAAATTTGTCAGCATGGGGTGCTCGTATTGTGGTAGGGAATACTCACGGCTGTGTAAGAAAGATAACCGATTCGTCCACGCTCTCTCCCAATGCTTTCCAGCTACTTGTTCCCGCACTCAGAACAATCAATGGAAGCGACGGTTTGATTTCCGAGCTACCTGGTGTCGGCTCATTGGAGCCTTGTCGATAATACTTGTAGTACTCATGCTCAGTAACAATAGCGAAATCTGGCCGTTCATGGTCAAGTTCTTCCTGGCTCAATACCCGTAATCCAAACCACCCCGACACCATATGTCCAAGGTTCGACAGGACATCTTCAAATGTTCGCGAGTCGAATCCTAGATCGCCCATCTGAGAGCTCCTCGTGAATAATGAGATTGTCATGCCGTTCAGCTTATCTCTCAAGCCGGGATAGTCAGAGGATTGAATAGAGGTCGACCGTTCTGGCGGCGTGACAGGGAGAACAACATCTACATTTGTCCCTCGATCGACTTCACTTGTGAATTTGATCTGTCCATCCAAAGACCTCACGATTTGATGGACTAGATGAAGGCCCACCCCTAAGCCAGGAGAAGTAGTATCCTCTTGGAGAAAGGCACTGTACAAATGATTCCTAAGAAAGTCTTTAGACATGCCGCGCCCGGAATCACTGATCGTGATATGAACTGCTGGTCTAGGGTCCTTGCCGTCTATCGTCAACGTTTTCTTTTTCATCAATAACCGAATGTAGCCTGAGCGCGTGTACTTGAGAGCGTTGCCGAACAGATTCATCACCACTCTGCGCCAAGCGCCGGCATGAACACTGAACTGCCAACTGTCTTGCCACTCAATATCCACAATAGTCATCAGTCGAGACTCTGGGATATTGGCATTGTTCTTCACGGCTACCTCATTATTATCGTTTGGTCCACGACGCTGATACTCTGCTCCGGCAAGAAGACCCTCAATCACCTCCTGGACCAACACGCCCAGGTCTTCATCTTGAAGAAAGCCAGGCACCGCTGATTGGGGCTTGGACACGTCCGAACCTCCTTGTCTACCGGCTACATCTGACGGCCGTGGTCGGGTGAGAGTATTAATCTTAGCATAATCAAGAAGATGGTTTAACGTGTCCAACAGTGTCCTACCGCAACTGTATATGGTCTCGATCAACGACCGTTGCGCGTAGGAGTTCACCATATCTTGGAGCAGCTCTACAGTCCCAAGTAAGCCATGCAAAGGTGACCGCAACTCATGAGATATAGAAGAAATGAAATCGCCTTTGGCTCGGTCGGCTGCCTCTAGGTCCAAGCGTGACACCTCGGCCATAACCGTGTTGCTGAATGCGGCCATATATGTTAGATCCTTTGGCTCCGACAAGACTCTGCCCGGATCATCAGTCCAGACCAGATTAACTGTAAACCAGCGACTTCGCTGAAAGTCCCAGACCGGAAATATGGCAATGCATCTTGCATCCGGTAGAACCTTCATCAGTTGCTTGATGTCCATAGTCTCCTGCTGAACATCCTTCTTCTGGGCATCTGTAGTCTGCGCGCCCCGTCCACCACTTTCGGAGTAGTCCATCTCATCTGCTAACCCCTCATAACTTAACGCAATGGAACCATCTTCCTCGATGTGAAAGATCTTCCCCCTGGGGTACTGATCAATGAGATGGCTCACAAACGCACCAGAGAGAGAGACATAATGACTGTCCTTCAGGTTTTCCGCTTGGTCAGATGTAGACGAGGTGAAGTGACCAAGGACCAGGCTTCTGGCCTCCTTTTCGCCGTCGGCGGAGCCTGGAAACCCCGACTCTGGGCATGAGGCGGAAGGGACTTGGTCCTCGTCTACTTTGTTGTCGATGCTGTATGCTCCTGGTGTGTCATGCGTAGTCTCAGTAGAACCCACTGTTTGGCGTCGAGCATACACGCTTGCATCGATGAACATTGCCCCTTCGACATCCAGTGCCTGATATATTAAAGACGCGGCGCGGTTGACCACGGATCGCACACTGGAGGGGACAAGTGTTTCTTGAATTTGGCTAGTGGTAGGGGACAGCCGCGGCCGCTGTCTTTTGCTCTTTTTGCTATCTGTCTCGTCCTCATCCCCACTGTCCATTTCCTGTTGGTTCTCAAACTTTCGGACAGGGGATCTATATCTGTTCTTCTTTTGTTCCCGGGCTTTGGCGTTGGCTGCTTCTCCATCTTCATTCAGCCACTCCCGTTGATTCTCTTCCTCATCGGGGCTTGGACCAGAGACTTGTAATTGCTCCAATCGCCGGTTCACATGTGCCATCTGTGAACCATATTTTTTGTCCGGAGAATTTCGACCGTAGAACCATTCGGCCAGGTCTGACTTTCCTCTGACGAACAAACCCAAGGCCCGGACCATCTTCTCCTCGCGATACTCCTCTCGCATCGCTCGTTGCGACAGCAAATAGTCCATAACTGTCACCGAGAGTTCTTTCAGGAATTGTACTTGTTCATCACTGACTCTATCCCTCGGCTGGTCGTCAAGCACTGCCACACTCCCAATGACATATGCATCCGGTGACTGGATTGGTACAGACACGTAGAACCTGTTATGCGGATAATCAGATACCGATGGATGGTGTTTGAATCGATCATCTTCAGTCAGATCCGTCGCAACAAAAATGTCCAGACCGTCCTCTACAAATGATCTTACTGCATGATAGCACATTGTGATCTGCTGGCGCGGGAGACGACAAACGCCCAGCCATAAGGCTTCTGTTCGCTCACACCCCTCGGTGCCGCGCAAGCTAAGTCCCGGTGTGGCCTCTGCAACGACATGTTGCATACTCTTATCAAAAAGTGATATTAATGCTCTTTGAGCGCCCATTCGTAGCGCGGCGAGTTGCGCAAAGACTGTCAAGACATTGTCGCGTGACACATTCGGATGGCTTCCAATCGACTGTTGAGCATGTTTCTCAGAATCTGAAAACCCCCAATACGGAAGATAGCTGCACCATTGCATAGTTAGAACTATTTCACCGGAGCATTGCAACGGAACGGAGGGTCTAGTTACAGGTGCATCTCTCGTTCCCGGGCTCCCTCGCGATTGTAGGCGTACTTCCGAGGGCCCCCGTCCCAACCTCCCCTGGAACTCTCACGGGAATGCATTTCTCGTAGGTCTAGGTGTACTCCAATCGGCACAGTGAAGACTGTGTAGAATCACGTAAAATCACGTTCACTGCCGTTAAAAATTATGCTAACAACCGATTTTAATCTTCTGTTTGTGGCAGATGCTATTGACGGTAGATGTTCCATCCCCTGGTGCTCAATGAAGCGGAAGCAGACGATGACAATATATACCACTTAATAATACCTTCGAGTAGATTCGGGGTCATGAGGTGGATTTTCGTGAGATTCGTAATTCATGTTATATTGCCAAACTCCCTGGGACGTAGGCCATTCTGCGGGCCGAATAGCGTCATTTTGTATCGTGTCTGGTCGAAACCACACATATTCTAGGTCTCCTGGTGATGCTAGACCTCGATGACGTATGGAAACAAATCTGGATTTCTGGTAACATCACAGATGTCGACATCTGATCTCTCCGATATTGAGTGGAGATTCCGATCTGCCAGGGTTCCTTTGTCCACTGACGTCATTAGGCCGGCGCGTCACGGAGACTCACCGCCTTCCCTTAAATACGTAAGGACGGCACTTCTATTGGCTGTGGGGCCTCATCTTAAGAATGAAATAGAATCAGCTCGGCACCTTCATCGGGTATGCAAGTAGTAGAGGGCACGGCATCATCAGCTGACCCTCTACACCTGCCACTTTCCATCTCCTGATGCTTGCATTTATCCTACCCAATTTCTTCGCTGATCATTGTCGGACCATACCTTAAGGTTTAGTGTGCTGCCTGCTACATCTATTTGTTAACAATACCAGTAGACAGCTAGTATATATTTCAACAGACGGTAACAGATTCAGAAGAAATATCGCGGCGCAGGTTCCTATCACTCAACATCTCTGCACTATTAGGCCATGACTTGAGGAAGCTCACCTACAAATACTCATGGCCCAATGAATTGTAACATGGCCTTCTTCAAATCAATAATTTGATCCAGGAGGTATTCTACTCTCCTGTGTCTTATGGACAAACGTGCCAGGCACTACGCGAGTTGCGATTCGTCGAAGCTCGGCGAGACAGTCTGGTATCTTGCTGATGTCTGCTTCTAATTTTTTCTCGGTCTCTAAAAACTATTTATATGCATTTATCTATCTTTCCCTTATCTTGGCCAAGAGTAGAGTTCCTTGAGGTCGCCAATAGACCCCTGGCACACATGGAGTCGTTGGCTGCAGCAATACGAACATGAGCAATGCACAACGATAGTACTCTGCAATAACAAATTGTAGACAAGTTCCTAGCAAAAGCCTTGATGCAATTTTCTATGCGCGAGAATGGGTCATCTTTACCAGACACATTCTTTCCCAAAGGTAGGGGGAGCATGGTTTAGCCGTCTCTTAGGTCAGCAGACCCACCCGCCATTCGGCGTGTTGGTCTGCCTCACCTCAACGATAATTCCCATCTCAACGATAAAATTGAAGCCATTCAAGCTCCTATACAACATCACCTTGAGTATCTATCTAATAAGATAGATTAGGATCTTTATTATCTATCTGACTAGCCTCTGTACTAGGCAGATTCCCTATATTTCTCTGTTGTAATAATTTATTGTATTCTAAACTTCCCACTTTCCTGATCTGTCTGAGACCCTGTAATCTTTCTTTCTCTGTACAATCAGCAATATAGCGTTTTATATTATATACAGTCAGTGGTCTATTATACCGGACTCTTCTCTGCGATTTCTATCTATTTTGAGACTTCCGATATTGATAGTATTATTATAGATTATCTTTCAGCTAAGCAGCTAGTTCAGTGACTTCCAGTAAGCTCTGGAATACTCGGTCAAGATATTATACAAAACTCTAATCAAGCTCCGGACTATTATTAATAAAACTCTATGCTTTACTAATACTTCGATATAAACCTTGTATTGTAGATGGCAGTAATAAGCTTGATAGTGGTAGTAATAGTATTGTAATTATCTCAAGTTCTGGAGTAGCTTCTAAAATCTTATATAGAGACTTTATTATCGGCTCTAAATTCAAGAGATATATATCTTGTTTCTTAAAGGCATCCCGGATTATATATTATTTGAAAGTCTTTATATAAATAGAATAAATCTATTTTAAGAAATTACTCTTATTATCTATCTCAGCACTTTTCTAAGCAAGCTTATTGTTTTACTTACAATAAAAGTACTTATAAACTTGAAAAGACTGTCTATTAAGAGACTATACAAGATATATTATATAAGAAGGGAAACAATAAGATATAATATAGTGTTGTCCACAGAACTGAAGAAATTTGTAGGTAAGATAGGATTCGTAACTATTAAAAAATAGTAATCGAATCTCCTTTTTAGAGATACAGCACTTTGTATAATAGTGGAAATATTGAATCCAGTCAAAACTAATCTTATCTGAAGTATAGCCTTTAGGAGATAGAGCTATTCGATACTCACTAGAAATATCTACATTGTACCATCTCTCTAGATAATATACACCTTTGAATATAAAGTATAGAGAAAAAACAAAACTATCTGCTACAATACACTCTATTGCAGAGACCAGTTCCCCTATTTCTTTAGATAAATTCCCCCTTGCAGCTCGTACAGACATAGTAGTTACAACTTTTTAAGACTTTCCCTGCCCCAGTTAGAAGTCGGTTTCATCGAAATTATATATATTTTTGGAAAAAATCTACTTGATAAAGGGCTCTAAGCAGTCAAACCAGTGTTGAAAAACACCTATATCCTCTGTATTGAGACAATTCCTATCTTTAGGCTTCTATTAAATAAGTTTAAACTCGCTTGGGAGGTATTTAATAAAGCAATAGACCCAATTCTTGTCAACTGTACGAGATAACCCGTCAATTGTATTCCGCTGCAGTATTTGATTGGTACTCTGCTCAATCTGTCCAGCTGTAGGTGAATAATATAGATTATCAAGCTGACAAATCCAACAAATCAGTACCTTTTCTTGTGAATCATCAAGGGTTTTGGTTAAGATAGAACATGAGCTTCGAGTAGCTCAGCCCTAAATACACGCTCTGAGTCGTTGATAAGGAACATCAAATTGACATACTAACGCAGAGATATTTGGTTTTTTTTGGCCTTGAGCGGCTTCACAGGCCTGAGAGATTCGCATCTCTATATCAGAATAAGAATTAGGCATAGTAATGGTAAATAAAAGCTCTGAATAGCTTCAATTTTATCGTTGAGATGGGAATTATCATTGAGGTGAGGCAGACCAACACGCCGAATGGCGGGTGGGTCTGCTGACCTAAGAGACGGCTAGACACAAATCGCTTGCAAACAATTTAAACAAGCGGCTCAGGTGTTCGCCGAGGCATCCGAATGCGCAATATTGTGCATATTCATAAATATATGGGAAAGTCACATAGGCTACTCCAGTACATAGTGGGCGCGAACGTAGATCTTGTGTACACATCCAATTGTTATTTTGGTGTCAGAACACCAGAGATAAACTCAATCGAAAGGATCTTCAATAGGACTTCCAGAATAAGATATTGAAACTTAAATGCTGACTTCCGCCCCACCGCGTTCGTCCAATCGAAGAGTGTCAACTTTAATGCTGACATCCGTACCGGACTTGGCATGGAAGATAAGGATGGCTGAAGGTATGAGATGGTCGTCGACGAATTGTAATCTTGGGCTATATATTAAGGTCCATATCTCCCAGTCTCTTCGGCAGAGGGAGGTCAACAGATTCAGAATTCACTGATCCCTCATTTTTTCTCTAAAACAATAATGGGCTTGTTTTCGTCGTCACAGCCTCCCTTGACCGAGGCAAATCTCAGTGACCAAAGTGGCAAGGTATGTTAACGACACTTTGAATAACGTCCATATACTGACCTAGTGGGCAACTTAGACATTCCTTGTGACTGGTGCTACCTCAGGATATGGCCTGCACCTAGCAACCATTCTCTTTCAACATGGTGGTAAAGTATATCTTGCTGCCCGCAACGCATCCAGAGCGCAAAGCGTAATCGACGATATCATGGCACGCTATCCCGAATCCAAAGGGCAAATTGCCTACTTACATCTCGATCTCGGTGACCTATCAACCATCAAAAAGTCAGCCGAGGAGTTCCTGGCGAAGGAATCCAAGCTCCACGTTCTCTGGAATAATGCTGGCGTGATGATCCCTCCACAGGGATCCACAACCGCTCAGGGCTATGAGCTCCAGCTCGGTACCAATGTTGTCGGTCCATTTCTCTTTACCAAACTACTCTATCCAGCTCTTGCCAGTGCTGCAGCAGACTCTCCCCCAAACTCAGTCCGTGTGGTATGGTTATCCTCTTCGGCGGTCCGAATGGCCCCGACCCCGGCGATTGATTTCTCCAATATGGACTACCACAAGGACGAGGGAGCTTGGACAAAATACGCGAGAAGCAAAGCCGCGAATGTCCTGCTAGCCGTGGAGTTTGCGCGGCGCTCTGAGAAGGACGGTGTCGGCAGTATCGTGGGTCTTCTGAGCAATATCGTTCCATGGAGCCTTGCTGATTCAAAGATAGACTCTCGATCCAGGGACTGCAATGACTGACCTACAGAGGACAATGCCCTGTTGGCAACAAGCTGCCGTTGTAAGTTTAACCCACTCGCCAGCAATATTACTGCTAATGCTCCTACAGAAGCTAGTCGCACAGCAACCGGAAGTGGGTGCTTATACCGAGCTGTATGCCGGCCTTCAGCCTGACATCGAATCCGTTAACTCTGGAAAATGGAGTAGGTCCCAAACCCCAACATAATCCTCACGCAGCAGGGTTAACATGTGCTGTAGTTGTCCCTCCGGGAAAGGTGGTAGCAGGTCGCAAAGACCTCTTTGATCCGGAGTTGTGTGAGAAGTTTTGGCAATGGAATGAGGAACAGGTCCGGTCATACTTGTGACGGGTTGTCTTTTAAGTGATATTGAATTTGTTGACCTTATAATTTAATTTGATGAATAGTTTGGTACGAAGTAGGGAACCTGCGCCAAGGGGGAAATGATGGTCAACCTTGTACCTAAGGCATCCATTCTTAAAACCGATTATCTCCGGCTTATTTCCGCCAGACGCGTGACGTCTTGGTGCTTCGACCACCTTGTAATATCTCAACAGTCTCAGACCAACAATAGCCTCCTTTACTATCTCTAATGTCGGAAGACACAAAGTATCCATACCCATGGATGCGGGAACGGAGAAGAGAGCAAAATGCACGGGCTAAGCGGCGTAGTCGTAAGTATCCGTTACGTGCTGTTACGGGACACCTAACCAACGAGACGAAGGTCAGCGGCAAAAGGCGCAACAAGTAGCAGACCCCGAGGCTGTGAAACGGCGTAAGAGTCAGCTTAGGCTAGCTCCTCCAACAGACTCTGGTCCTCTCTGTCGCGTTAACAACCACTCTGTAATGTGAGCATATGAAATCAGATCGCACGATGCACACCAGAGGCTCACATTAACCAGCTCGGCTTGCTGTATACAAGAGCATAGAAGTGCTCGACCACACCTTTTATTTCGAGAGCTTCTAGGCTGTTTCGCTAGCGTTTCTGATCTAGAGAACGTTGCGAAAATCCTCGACGTGGAACAACTCGGAATTGCTGCCATCTTGAAATATGGCATTATTTCGATGGGTGGAGCCCTTGACGATCGTTTGCTGGACATAGCAAACCAAACATGCTTTTGCTGCTGGCTTGAGTTGATCATATCTGACCTCAACTCCCCCTTTAATGTCGGGTTGGCTTTGTACTCCGGGGTTCGTCGTCTATCGCAAATGAAAGGTCCTCCTGGGTGGAGCACCGACGCCGTAGGCATTCCGACGGCAAGAAGATTGTTGCAAGTCGAACCGAAGTGTAGCGACCTCAGAACAATCAGACTCACCAGTTTCTCAAGTACTTCTGCCTTTCTCGAAAATGCCAAGCAGCTGGGGTTATCCATCGGCGATTTTGTAGATGACAATTCGGAATCGCCATTTTGTTCAAGAGTGGGAGATGTTCGCCGGTACCAGCCTATTTCCTATCAAGCATTGGCCGCAGATCTCCAGCCCACCCCGGAGCAAATGAGGATCCCCCACCATCCCTATCTGGACATTGTACCATTTCCCTCCTTTCGTGCCAAAGCATTGACAGCAATTTCATCCGGGACCCCAGCGTTCAGCGAGGATGAGCTATGTTTTGATCTGGCACATGATAGCATGCGCTGTTGGGGTTCCACCGCCACTTCTTTACATGGCCGTGGAAACGGGACTCCTTGGGATGCACGCAGCTGGGAGATCTCTCCATGGTTTCTGAAGAAATGGGGTTTCCTTGTCGGAACCGAGGATGACACTATCTATCAAAATAGTCTCTGGTGGTGGTCCCAGAGGTAGAATCAATGTTGGGCAATGTTGCTATACGATAAGGTCCACGTCTTAACATCCATTCACAGTGAAATCGGTGTAGGATACTGAGATGAAGCAAAAATAGTCTCGCATCTTTTCGCACGATTAATTGACGTTTGATTTCTGCAGATTTCGGTTATCCTCTTATATCCCATGAGTCTAAAACTCTTCTTCCGTCTTCTAATAATTATCCTTCGTGTTACCATTTTCCGACATGCATCGTAATCTCGCTGGTTGATGAAGAAATTTGCTTGCAGACTTTAGCCCCCATCCTTCCGGGGATGTTAAGCCATCCTATTGAGCTCTCCATGATTGTAACCGAGGTTCTAACACACGGAGATAGCAACCGGTACGGCTACCGCTATAGTAGTATATACAGTGGGAGTAGAACGGCACAAGTAATGCCCAGGAAGCCGCCTTGCCATGATGGCTCTGCCCGGACACTGTTCCCAAGGATTTTATCCTCGAGGTTCTTCGTAATATTCCTCGCTTCCTCTATGGTGAGATCCCGGTAGCATTGCGTTATCTGCCACCAGCTCTTTCCACAGTGGTTCCCCGGACTACAGTAGCGACCGTTGTCACAGCATTGGCCTCCTTTCGGATAGCATCCTCCATCACAGCACACCTCATTCGGCGGGCAAGGCTGGTTCGGACAGCATGTGTAACCAGGTCGCAGGCAGAATCCATATTGACAACAGAGAGTACCGGTCGGACAGCAACCTCCGATATCTGTAGGCAGCAGTAAGCCCCAAGAAAGAAAAATGTCAACTCTGGGAACAATATGAGCAGATACACGTTCACGTACTCGCACAATACCCGAAGCCAGCGCCGCACTGGACGCTTTCGCCCCGAGTTGATCTCGGAATCAAAGGTGCCACAGGCTCAGCCTCGAAGACTTCTGCAGATACATTGCTCAGAAGGTCATGTGTGTCGGTAACAAACAGATTAGCCTCTCGTAGGCCCAGGACATAGGCGGGTGCAACGAACAAAACAAACGGGTAGAGGATGAGGTGCCAGTCTGCCAGAGCGACCATGTTGAACGTCAAAGATTGCTATGGAGCCTTTGTTACTTCAGAAGACAACGGCAATGAGGATTGAATAAAGAACGTGTTGCCCGTGGCGGGCCACTGGGCCTAATAAGCCAACAGTCCCTGCGCCACGCAAAGCCAAGACCATGACTACAAAGGATATGACAAGAGGAGGCTAAATAAGATCAAAGAGAAACCTCTCTTACTGGACACAGGGCAACCACCGATTACTGTTGCGTGTAACCCATCATAGTATTCTCACTGGTGGTCAGTGTCCTGGGGCTCCGTTGGCGTGATATGGACAACACCTATAGGTCAGCTTATTTTCCTACAATCAAACTCACTGTGCCACATATCTTTCTTTCTTCTCTTTTGTACTGTTGTGTATCTACTATTTTAGGGCCACCAATTATTCTACTCATGCTCTATTGGCTGGTAGTACCAATCTAAAATTTAATAACTAGAAAGATATGCGCAGGTTGTATTGAAGATGCAACATCAGCCAAGCCTTGGATTTTGCCTTGTACTTATAAATATAATACCTACGGTTACAAAATCAGGACTGTTCAACAATAGCACGAATGTAGCTTCTCTATGATCGATATTTAGTATCTTAGTACAGCTCACTCCTAACCATATATGCTAAGCCGTTGACCTCGATGCACAAGCTGACCCCTGTAGACTAACTTGATAGATATCAGTCGCTCTGTCCAGACCAAAGTACCATAGTGACACTAAATATATATAATATAAGTGTCGTGTACCAGGAAGCATCGCTATAATCTTTCATACCTCTGTTTTCCTGCTCGATGGTCTGTCTCCTCTTACTGGCATAGACCCTCAAAGTCTCGGTAATCCGGGTTGGTGCCAGCCGCTGACCCGCAGCAAGTCTTGAAAGCACCCAAAGCTGTCTTATCTTTGAAGTGTTGACACACTCGAACGCCAGATTTTGTCGATATGACCCCATGGTTCTTCATACAACACATTTTAGTCCACTCCCCGGCAACCTGGGGAAATTGGTTGGCTCCGTCGTCGCAGCGACAAACGTCTTTAGGAGGTGGAGTAGGCGGTCCCTGATTAAGGAAGGGTGGAGGAGGTGTATCAGCTGCATAAGCAGAAATCACAAAGGTCGAGATCAACAGAGTAATGGAGAACCGCATATTGAATAGGAGTTGATAACGTCAGGAGCAGTAGTAGTTCGTAGAGGCCTTTGATGTAGATAATATCGTTCGATAGGAATGGGCTTGAGGAATAATTTCCAGGGTTCACAAGAGGCTTTCCTGGCCTTTTATATTTCATTACTGGTGAGCTATGTTTCTTTCTCACTGCTCCTGGAATGTTGCCTTGGGTTCTGCGCTCTAGCAAAAATTGTGATCCTTGCCATCAGGGCAAGGGTTGGATGTCCTGGAGATCTAAACCTGCGACAAAGGCAGTGTGGATCCAAATCCAACTTGTAATTTCCACCAAAAGCAAGTCTCGCGGAAAGAGATGCCTTGTGGATGTGTAGCATCCTTTCCTTGACGTCTCCAGAAGTCAGAGGAGGCAAGGCTTAGACCCAACAAGCATCTGTGATTGTATGCTCCGTATCCACTGATAGAGCTGAGAAGTCGTTAATACGTTGTCACAACTGTGTGTGTTTTCCTAAATGACCATCTACCATGGCTATCCAACCTTTGTGAGGGAGCGTCAGAGATGTAATAGCTAGCTGCGCTGTGATATCGTTGCAGGTGACATGGAAAATCTGAGATTCTCCATCCGTTGTGCCGTTCGGTTTCTCCGCCCTTGTCAAACACTCTTGTTGCTGTTAGCAATGATACCAAGCAAGCCTTCTGAGTAGTAGGATTGTTGAGTTCGCGCTACAATCCCGACCGAACACCTTGCATAGAAACTGGGCGTTCGGGCGTCGGGTGTAAGAGGTGCATCGGGCGCATTCAGGATACTGGGCGCATTAAGCTTTGATAAAGTCCACAAAGCAACCGATGAATTGAATTTCAGACGTAAATGATCTTCTCGCCGCGGAAACGTCCTGACAAAGGCCGTGCGAGTTTAAGCCCTGATCCTGGAGAATGAGAGTCCTTGATACTAGTTCTACTACGTCTACTGGTCTGTTACCACCTCGAAAGCCGGCAGAGTTCTGTCTCTACTTATGAATAGAATCATCAGCGCCCATTGCCCATCTTATTTAGGTTTTGAGGAAGTCAAAGCAGTTGGTTGATGCGCTATTGCCAAGACGATGTCACGACGACATTGCTGTTTAGGATCACACTGGTGAAATAGAACTCAAGTTATTATCTGCGACAACTTAAATGCGCGCGTCTCCCAGAGCAATGACTATGCAATCGGCCAGGGTGATCTAGTCTGGGATCAGAAAATACCGGCAGTTAACAAAATTCGCGCCTCTGAGCAACACATCTCGGGTCATCCTCGCAGGTCGTCGCGTTCAGGTCGGCCCCGTCTCTGCTCCAACGTATTGAAGTTTTCCAGCCACGTAAGCTTTCGAAGGCTTAGGTAACAATAAAACTTTCATGTCGTGAGTGTGGTTGGTTTTCGTGGCAGACCTTTTGAATATAGGGAGAGGAGGGGACCAAAGGAGTGGCGATCAGGTAGCATGCCAGTGAGAAAAAACAATCATAACTTGGTCCCACCAGCGTTATGTCTTCCAATGCTAGAAGAATACAAACGTGATACCCGACCTCCTTTTCTTTGCAAAGATTCGGGGAAGCAAATGGCTGCACCTGGTCTGCGCTCACTTGTTACCTATTGGTCTGAATCGGGTCCCATCATAGTCTCAAGTTTCAAGTGAAGTCGGATAAGATGTTAGCAGGGGATTTCCAGCCAGTTGGCCCTCCGTGGCCTGAGGCAATGACCTCCATCGATAAGAATTAGCCGACTATCCTGTAATATGATAGGACCACACTTGCCAAGTGGTTCCAATAGTTCAGCTCACGATCTTTAAGCGAACTGCACCACTTGGGCCAATACGATCTTTCCCCACTCTAAAGGTCAATGGATCTGCGTGGCGCTGTACTCCGTCAATCACTTCCAAACGGGACTAGTTTGAGGATATTGACTGGTCATATAAGATTAGTTCATTCGTAGGATACTTTATTTCCCCCTGTTATACAAAAATCTTCCTGTCTAACAATTAATACATTGGGATTAACGAATTGACAAAATGGTCAAACTCATTCTCCCCTCCCTTATGAGCGGTCTTACCCTTGCCCTGGCGGCTAGCAGTGTGTTCTCCATATATAAATTCTTTGATAATTTGCCAATGCTAATGCCCGTTCTGGTGAAAATTTCTAGGTACTGCCGGCGCTGAAAATACCTTGCTACGACGAGACACCGAATGTGACTATTGCATATATATCACTAAGGGAATCCAGGGTCTCGAGTTAGACCTTGACCAGGTGCCTGAGGCTATACAAAATGCCTGCTCCTTGCTCCCAATAGACTATACGCAATGTAAAAACTACATTGACATATACGGCTATACGATTTCTAAACTCCTGCAGCAAGATCTAACCGCCGAAGACGCATGCAGCGGGGTGGGATTGTGCTAGGTGGGCTAAATTGAGCTTAGGATAATACATCGGATTTTGAGCAATTCTACAGAAATTCCACCATTTTGCATTCGGCTACGGCTGCCGCGCACTTCTAGTCTTGAGCCCTAGATTCTAGTAAATATTAAAGCCTTATAAATAAGGAAGATACGATTCTATAGTATATTAAAAGTGGTAGGGGTCTGCAGGATTGGACTATAAAAGCGGTAGATATTTTCGGGCTCGGACTAGTATACTTGGTGGATGACCCAGTGGAATCTAAGAAATAAATTTAATGCGTTAATGAATAGTCCATTGGTGTTCATAAAAGTTGGCAATCTTTTGTATTGTCTGGGCCTCAATTTAGCCCACCGTCATTGTGTGAATCTTTAGGGGTGAGGGCGCATATTTACCTACCGAGGCCTTAATTCGTTCTGTTGCAATCCTAATACATTCCTCCATAGGATTCTGAACATTCCCTATCGTACCGGACTATGCATCTTGCCTATCGCTCGCTGGCCTACATCGTTCCGAAAGCGTACCGCTGATAGATTCCTGTACTCTGCGAGAGCGCATACAGGGGATCCTTAACCAACATGTTCGTCGCCATACATGACTGCCTTCCTTCTGTTCCAAACATAATCTTTTGCCAGTGTGCTTCAATACTCAAGTCTACAGCAAACATGTTAGTCAGCTTAGAGGTGCATGTCTCGATACAAGCCTTTCCAGACAAAAGCCAACATATCAGCCTTGTAGGCACCGACGTCACCGTGGTCCCTGGGCTTAAGATGTCCAAATCCTTAGATGCATGCGGTCACAGCTGTGGCTTCTGGGCTCTGGTCTATCTTGATGTCAGATTCAAACGAGGGGAGTAACCGCAACGTCAGATGGAGGATATATTGTAAATAGTAGGGGCATGTTGCAAACACCGGGGTAAGCACTGTCCAGATGCTTGCGGAGATACACATATATATGCTCACAGCCGCTCTCCGAAATGTATCCAGATGTAAAACCCCAACTCAACAACCTCGGCTTTAATATTCCAGAAAGGAGATCCACTCAAATAATCTAGACACTGAATATATGAGCAGCTGCTCGTGTAAAGTAAAAAGAAGCATAGTTACTAAACCATATAACTATATATTCCGTTTGTATATGCACTTACCATAGCTGAAATGGCAACCCTCCCCTGGGTTGTGATATATAAAGTATGTCTTCTCTCCCAAACTCTCCGCTAGGGCCCGACGTCCCAGACCTCAAACTTCGAATTCTTGCTGGGATATACCTCGCTCTGATCAGCTCTTCTCCACCTGGTACCCTATGTAGTATGTAGTCACCGCCGGCGACACCCACCAACGCAACGCTGCTTGCAGATTGTTCAGCTAGCCACCGGAGGAGTCATTTAATAGCAATCATTATACAAGATGCGAAGGTGGGTCTGGGTCACCCTTAAAATACAGCGATTGCCGCAATTGGTTTCTTGTCGACGTCAACTCCTCGAGCATTTCTGACTCTGGCTTCACAAAAAGCCCGACCTTCAAAATTATCAACGAACAGTGCTGCAACACCGATATTCAGATTTAATATTACTACTTAGGTACTAGCCAACTTGATTCGGTTGTCACAGCTCCGTTCATGACTCTGCATGATGGCTCCCTTATGAATAGACAACTCGGTGTATATCCGCTGGCTTTCCAAATGACGGACAGTGGCCTGGGTGCCTACCGGATTCTAACAAAGGATCTCGGACCCCGTTAGTTATGAATAGTGCTTTAAAAGTAGTCAAAGAAAGCAAGAAACAGTTTCCTGTCTACATAGTATCTACTGCCTGCCTTTCTGCCTACCCTTAGCTAGGTTGACAGGTCTTCTACCCTGACTTAGTATATCTCTGACACTCGTGGTATGTGAGGTTCCCCCATAGTTCCCCCGTTGTCTGACCTCATACCTTACCCTCGACCCTGATCTTGCTGTGAAAGGTAACTGACCATTTCACTGAGTTGTGACAGGCACAAGGTAAGGTAAATCGGAGACCGTCAGTAAGTCCTTGCAGAAGGGCATGCGTCTAACTGATACAGTTTGAGTTCACAATGTCGAAGAACAAGTCGGGAGCAGAATGTAGAAAAGCGGGATCTCTCGGAAAGATATCTTTCTCTGCACAAAGCTATGGTGAAATGATTACAACGCTGATTATATGGAAAGTAAGTTAAACGGCTCGCTACGCGATTTGGATACCCTATATATCGCTCTTTTGATGATATACTACCTGTGCATCTTCAAACAGGAAACGACCGATTTCCTCGGGATGTGGAAGGAAGAATGATATTGGGTGATACTATATTCCTTGACACGTAAAGCCATGGGAAAGGTTGGCCGAGACTGACAAGGCCAGCGCTATTGTGGTGTCGAGTTTTAGTAAGGGCGAAATAGAGACTCTGCTCAAGGAGTTGTCAACGGTTGTTATGTTGGCTCAGTGTTAAATGACGTCGGACTAATATACTCTATAGGTCCCAGCTGTTCACCAAATAGAAGTTCACCTGTATTTGCAGTCGAAGGGCTTTTGCCGAGTGGCTACGGGCAAAGGGGATCCATGGAATATAGTCCAGACTCTTGGGTAATATAAATAAATTTTACCGACAGACAGGGCGGTCCAAGGACATTGCGTATATAATGCGAGTGATTGACCAACCGATCGTAAAAAAGACTGGCTAGAAGTATCGCAAGAGCCCGATACAGGTTGTCCTCGCATGGTGTATCAATAGCGGCCGTTCTGTGATCTCAGAAAGTGGCGTCGATTGGCAAATCGAGGAGAGCCTGACAGCCCGTTTTGAACTGCAGACTGAGGACATAGCTAAGGCTACTACGCTAGACGCAAAAGCTCGCTTCAATACCCCAGCCTGGACTGCGAGTCGTATTGTACGCTGACCTGGAAGGCAGTGGCGGCACCACGACGGGAAGAACTCACTAGTCTCCTCTGCTCTAGAGTACTCGTTCAGATATTACGTCTTTTCGAGTTTATGTACGTCCCTTGATTAAATGAGTAACCACATTTGACTGACCTACCTATTTTTTTTTTTTTTCTGTGTTGCCAGTTCAATCCAAGTTAGGCTTCTGAATAGCGAGGGACGAATGGAAGATAATTCCATGCCGCCAACTAAGCAAGCAACAGTTAGGACTGTTGAGGCATAGAACAACGACAACATCACTCCTTATATATCTCACTGAGTAATCTTATAACCAATCATGGTTGCCGATGGTTCGGTTCGCTCCCGATAAGCTTGGCAAACAGGACTCGGCAGCCTCCCGATCATTGGCATCGGCAGTGCCGACAGAATTATGCACGGCGGTGGAGCTCAAGTGGAGTTCTCCAACGTGACAGGCAATGTTGTCGAGCAATTGAACCTTGACATATGGATGTTTGAGCCCCAGAATTTGGTTCGGAGGCGGGAACAGGCCGCACAATGAACTCAGGATCTTCCTTCGATCAACAGTGCGGAAGAACCGATAGACAAAATGTGACTAAGTAGTATCCTAATAACAATACCATACGAGACAATTCTAAACTTTGGTTTTTCATTCGGCTTAGATATTTGCAAGGATCAAAGTAGTGCCATCGGCTAGAGGCGTATTGAATTAGGGGTACTGAAAAGTTTTCTCCTGTGCCTACTCCATAATGATACAAGCAACTTGTACAGTATCCCAACATAACTACAGATTGGGAAGGTAGTATTGGTTTCACAATCTCTATTGGACTGCCGAAAGAGGTAATCCGTACACAGGACTCATACTGTCCCCCAATCCCTGAGTGGCCTTTGATGTAGGATCTTCGAGGATAGTCTAATTCTTTCTCCATGCTAACCACACTAGCCCGCTACTAGTTTCAGAGGATCATACTAGACCCCACGGAACCTGAACATCGTAAGAACCCACAGAATCGGGATATCGGTTGAACCAAGGTCGACATGTGATTGAGAGACATACTTACTCCTTTCAAACGGATGTCCAATGGATACCACTTCCATTGTTTCTATACTTCATCCTTCACCTCTAGCTACTCCTATACTAGTTGTCCAAAAGAGGTACCATATCAGGGATAAATGTTTGAAGGCCTTAATAGTATACATCCACCATGCGTGAATGAAATGCTCTCCAGCCCCACTAACATTTGCAATGCAGGGCGTATGGATTTCAAGGTATTTAGTAGACTAACATAATGTTCATCAACCGACTCGAGCAGGAACCGAGAGAAGAGTATCCAAAGGTACAGAGTAGTTGGGAAGCAAATTCGGCGAGGAGATGGCTGTTAATCGATGGCTTCCCTATTCAACTGGTCCTTTGCTATTGGACTCCTTCTAGCTTTCAGTAAGTTACTGTGTGATTCTGATTTGAGCATAGAGGAGCCTGATGGTCCCACTTCAACGTGGGGATCTTTGAAATCCACCGGAGATACTGTATCTTCCGCCTAACGGCGTCTAGGAACTGCCAAGGATGCGCTGGCGGAAATCGTCTCAACACCGGGAGTATCCACTATGTGGCTGTGATTGAAACGGGTGGGTCCCAGTGCTCTGCAGCTAGGGAAGCTGCCAACTGTAGGAGCCTGGGTAGTTTGGTATGGAAGAAGGGCAAAAGGGGGTACGCTTGCTGTCCCGAGGCTCTGGGGAACGATATACTCCACAGCTCAGACCTAAATTTCGAGACATCATGCAACGTACCCAGAACCAAGCCCATCCCTTGGGGGCCAAATCCTGCTATGATGATCTATACCAAGATTAAGCGAAATCTATCCTGCCACGTGAATCGGAAGGCCTCTGAAAGTCGGTCGGAGAAAGCTATATAAGGGACCATATCCCCCCGGAATAAAGACAGAATCATCAAGCAATCATCCCTCGCTCAAGCCAACTACCTCATATCCATTTCCCGGTATCTCTTCATTAATCAGTCAAAATGGTTAAGATTCTCTGCCTCGCTGCCTTGGGCCTTGCTGCCCTCTCTCAGGCTACTAAGCTGGTATATCATCCTCCGTCTATCTGTTCCCAACTGCTGTCTAATCCTCAATAGCATGTCAACAATGGCTACATTACTGTCGACGAGGCTGTTGTCCGCAGCTCCATTGACGTTAGCCCCCCTGTGAACATCTACGCCCGGTTCGATGGCAGTTCCAACAAGGAAATGGTCAAGCCCGGCTGCAAGTTGCACGCGAATTGGGAAAGCAGCTATGGTGATATTTACTTTGGCGAGGACAACTGCCTCTATGACTCCAAGGGTAAGTTTGGCTTGGTAGTTCTGTCCTGGATCGATGCAATAGCTGACTCCATTCAATAGGCCAGAACATCAACGGCCAGTGCTGCAAGCCAGAGGGTAATCTGCCCGAGGTCAAGAATCCCTACTACTAAGTTGGATTTTGTATTCGATGAGGCGGTGAAGGATGGAGAATGATAGGACCACTCATGTACTCTACCGGTGACGTTCATGTCATATGTATGGCAAATACAATATACTTTATAGCCTCACGTGATGATTCTTCGATGACTACTTGTTCCCCGATAGACGTCTGCGATGATGAGAGTAGGTGCCACTGTCGCGCAGAATGCATCGTTGCTTGTGGGTCGAGAGAAGGACAGCATCGAGGCTCTCGATGGGACCCCGTGGTGGGTCGGTGATGCAGCAGGCGAGAATGGGGTCGCTGGAAGATTGGCACTGGGCGGGCCGAGATTGCTAGTCTCTCGACCGAATCCCCGGTTTGCATGTCACGAGGGTGACAGAGAGCCCATGAACCCCCGTGGCCGGATGTGGCCGGAGGTAAACGGCAAACTGGAGCGGGATATGTCGACTTAGATCCATTCTATAGGCAGATTATATCACTGTCAACCACCCTTATGCAACCTGCCCCCGTTAATCTACGTGCCATATGAAAGAGCCACCAATTGGCTATAATACCGATTCGTCACTCATTTTGAGCTACTTGGGTCAAATAATACAACCTTTGAAACGAATGAATATAACTAACTAAACAGTGCCAGATAGGGCCGCCCCATTCTTCTCCAAACAGAAGTCTGACGACTATTCTGAATGGGTGGTACGACTATTTAAAGGTAGGACAGTTTATCCTTGGGGAGGAAGAGACAGTAAATCCCAGCCCCTCGCCGGAGGTACTTGTGGATGGAAAAAAAAAAAAAAAAAAAGAGAGAGAGAAAGAGAAACGAACAGAGCACGGACGTGAGGGAGAGAAACGGTGCGGGGACTAGTCATGCAAGTATTCATACCTCTCCGAGAGTACGACAGGTCATATGAGAAGCGTGCGAAGGGCAATGTATAGGCAGGTTTCGGTTGGCATTCCCAACTGGTTGAAATAGGAATATTCAACTCACACGCGGTTTGCTACATTCCCAGTATGCCTACGATATATGGACTCTGGGTGGCCTGCATCGTGGGCATCTCACAGAGAGATTATCGAGGAAATTGAAAGTTGGCTAACGTCGTACCGCCTGACTCAGGCTACAAGGCTGAAAACAGCTGATTTACCCCCCGGAGGCTGGAGGAACCAGTGAGGAACCAGCGCTATCTTCGGGTTCGACTCTTGTTACGGTTAGACCACCCTATGCCCCAGATATTGAAAGGCGCTAAGGAATCGTTCCAATTCATTTGGTCATGCGCAGGGTATAGATATGATCAAGTACCTTGACGTGTCGGGTTTCTTTCTCTATTGAGACAAGAATCGGCGGATTCAATTGTCGCGCCCCTGACTAGTCGCCGGATCGGCGCGCTTGAGCGTGGCCTCCGTGCCAATCACGTCCTATCTGCTCAGCCTCGAACAAGGATGTACATCTTATCATGCCGGACCATCGTCTATTTTCCCGCATGTTCCGGTGCCTGGCTGCTGGAGGCTGGGGACAGAAGTCTGTTCCTTCACGTGGCTTGGCTCACCAACTCTTGAACGCCATCCTTATATAGCAGAAAGTAGCGATGGAGCAGGATGTACAATCGATTTCACCCAGTGGTACTTGTGATCTCCCCCTAATTTTGTAAAATGTCCGTATCAACATTCGTCCACTTTAACTACACAGCCCTTGAGGAGCTGAAAGTGAACAAAAAGTGTGTCGCGGAAGTGGTCAAGGGAGGTTCTATCAAGCGCTGTGGGCAATGGATCCTTACAGACTCTTTTTGTACACTGAGGGTTCTCTACGAAAATAACCAAGACACTTCCCGAAATGAGCTTCCTCTCCGAGAGATCGCGAAGCTATGTCTCTGTAAGACGCATCGCAAAGAACCGACAAACATCTCGCGGGCTGTGGAGCAATGGACCCGAGAAATTAGCGATCCAAGCTGCCCCCCCAACGAGGCACTGCCAGACACCAACCCCCCATTGACACCACCAAATAGGAATGATGGTCGACGGAGATCGACTGTGTCTCCAGGCCGTTTCAAGGCATATAGTCGACATGGCTCACCCCAGAAAGTTAACGAAAGGATAATTGAAGTCCTCAACCAGCCGAAAAAAATAAAGCCCGAAACGGGGTTTGTATACGTTTTTGCGGCTGCGAATACCCCAAACAGATTCAAAATCGGATATACGAAAAAGCCCAAGGATCGATTTAGGGTGTGGTCGAAATGTTACCCAGACCTAATCGTTCATATCTTGATTGAGTGCACTGATGCCCACAAGGTGGAGGACCTGGTGCATGCAGAGTTCGATCTACAACGCCAAGAGCACATATGTGAAATATGCAAATCGAAACCTGTTCACCATGATGAGTGGTTTGAAAAAGGGCTTGAGGATATTCGTCCCGTTGTCAACGGATGGGTGGCGTTTGTGGATTTGGCCTATCTTGATGATGGGGGGATAAAGCCTGAGTACCAATCGCTAGCCCCAGCATTGGCCGTAGACGAGGGGCGATGGCAGAAGTGGATCCAGGGAGAGCTCAACCGGAACAAGATCGCCGCTTCCGCTGCTCCCGAATTGGTGGAGGATCTCACGGATAGTGGCACCAGTGAATCACCGGCTACCCCGAAGACCGATTCCTCTGGTGCCTCCAAAGCACCACCGTCTCCCATACTACTGCCCATCCCAGGTGCATTGCCGACGGTCGAAGAGCACGTTGGCTCACTGCCTTCTGCCAGAGAAAATGCGGTGTCTCCAAAGCCACTAGATGGGAAGGCTCCCAAGGGAGAAGAAGACAAGGTCACTCTCCTTGGCCTGGCTCGAGGTATCATTTCTATGATTGCCAGCGTTTCTGGCTGAGGGGAGAGAGAGAGTACAGAGAGTAAAAAAAAGAGGAAACATACAACAGGAGGAATTCGCTGGTGGTCACCCACCCAACTACTAACCTCCCGGCGTGTGGCTTCTGCGCGGTCAATAGGTTGTTGCGTGCCCCTGCAGGGTGAGTACAGGTGATAATACCAAGTTATTGTGTACTTAGCATAGTCATATTTTAGAGAGAGGTAGTAAATTGCTATAACCACCACTCTGTAATAATCAGTCCAAATCTATACCTGTACCTGTCTATATCTATCTAGACCAACAGTACTGCCAGCTCTCTGGTTGGTGTATAGCCCGGTTCGGTCAGATACCCAGTCTCTTGGCAGCTGTGCTTTGCTACCTTTTTTACTAGTTAGCGAAGGCTGAATGATTAAGCTGTTTTACACGTGATAAGGCAAGTATGCGAGAGTCTCCTATATTAACGTGGGACGCAAAAGTTTGAAACTTTCGATTTATTTGCCGTATCTAGCCGACTTCCTAATTAGGAAATCCTGCCTGGCAAGAAACCTCGTACATTCAACCATTTCCAGTATCTAGTATACCAGCCATCTGCCTTAGTAAGTATCGGAGCTCAGTGAGGCATAGGAGTAGAATGGCGTATCAAAACACGATATTCTATAGAATGCCAGGCTTCCTGAGCTGCCTTGATTAAAAGCTCACGTGTAGAAGCAGTATTGCGAGCTCTTAGAAGCTCTAGATAGAGCTTATAGATTTCTTCTTTTATCAATGTTTATAGATTCTTAATAGGATTAAGAGCAGGTGAGTAAGGTGGTGGCCCCTAAATCTCATGCCTGTCTTCCCGGCTTCCGCTCAGTACAGCGGCAAAGTATACTTTCTAGCTCTTTGAGTAAAGGGACCATGAAGAGCAATTCTCTCGTATAAGCTGCAGTCACGGCTGCAGCATATGTCTGCCATTCTTTGTTTTCGTGCGAGTCTGCGTAGTCACAGATACCTCTTATCAGAAGGCATGAAACAGCATTCATCAGACGCGCTGCCTCTATCTCAAAACAAAGAACACCACCGAGCTTCGAGCTAACCTTCTGTCTCTCAGCAGCATCTTTCATGACTCGATTACCGGATACGATAGTGCCATAATGGACCTCAATGCCTTCGCTGTCGCGATGCCGCCGCTTCACAAGTCTTTCATTACTGCAAGAACCACACGTAGCACCCCCAACAAGTCAGGTCCAGCATATTCACGAGTGAATATTGGCAAATTTCCAAGTCTGGAAATGTGCTCTCGGAGCCTGTTTTTCCCTCTGAGATGCAATGCCGGAGGAAATCCCTAAACGCCGCATTGTACCAGCAATGGTACCAAAACGGAAAGAGGGCGCACCGGCGAGCTCCTCGATCCTTTCACGAGTAGTGTTATCTATGTGCCCAGTTACTTCTACCATAGACTACCGCGGTGTTAACATCTAAGCCGCCGTACGAGCGACGCTAAGCACCATGATACAGGATAAGAAAAAGGTAGTTAATCTCCGTCAAAGAGAAAATGTGACATTTAATTAGCATATCCACAGACCTCGTGATGCAAAACGCTGAGTGGCTGCTAGCGCCCTCTTGCATAATTGGGACCCTTGATCATTGGTGATATTCTAATCTAAGGCGTCGGGAAACTTTTGAGACATGCAGCAAAAGCTACGCAAGGTGCAACCAATGGGACCGAATCCGCAGTGGAGTGCAGTAGGCCTGAATCAGCACTGGCTAGCGACTTATCTAGTCTATATCTAGGCCAAGCCCCCATCAGTGGGCATGCCGGATTTTTTACTGTTGTTTCCCTTTTCTATCCATTCCAATATAAACCCGAATATCCTTCCCACATGGATCAGAATGTGCGTGCATCTCAAAAAGGATGACGAAACAAACCAATATGCTGACACCGAATGAGTCAAGCTTTCTCCTGATTCCTACCATTCTCTAATTCCTCCCTCAGTTACTCCGAGTATGGCGCAAGAAAGAGTTCACCAGGGCTCTCGCTTGTCTACATCTTGTGCAACTTATTAACTGCCACTGAACAATTAACCCTTATGTTGTTTGAACTTGTTAATAATATTTTGCGAAAGGATGATGCCTTAAAAACGGTCGGGGATTGGATTAACCAGATCCAGTTGGCCTCGTGAACTAGATTCTCGGACTAGGCTACATGCTCTGGGCATGGCCGGCCTTGCTATCCAGGCCATCACCTTCACCATTGTTGGGATCTCGTGGATTTCTAGAATCAATCTCTTTCGTGATGCTTTAACGAGGCTTCCTTTCTGGCTCACCGTCACTGATTGGTTAAAGCTGGTATGGTGGGCAGCGGAGGATGATCTGGTGTTGACTGCAGTCCAGGCAGGCCTATTTTTCAAGGCACGTCGCAAGGCACGGCTGCAGACCGGAGGCGAGACGGAGCCCTTACTCAGAGACCATGATGAGGATAGTTAGAGGGCCAGAGACTATAGTTGCAAGATAGATTATCTCATATTATTCTTATTCCGTAATACGAAACTCTACCGCGTTAGACGCAGGGATCACAATGTCTGGTCGGCTCCCATTGTCTTGTCGTACGCCTCCCTCAAGCCTATTCCATGGCAGCTTCACCGTCGTATGGATATGTTCCTCCTGAGTTCCATAATCCCACCACTCGATAGTGCCCCCCGTGAACTGATATCGGAATGTATCTCCTATTGTCCAGTAGTTGATATCGTCGAGGATGGTTGAGGAAAAGGTCCAAAACTCTCCAGGCTTCAAGAAGACAAAGTTCCAGTCCTGGGTTACGTTTACCGTGACGTCCGGACCATCTAGCAAGATCCCAGGGCATCCACGGTCCCAAAGCTCCCATTGGTCCTTTTTAAGGCGATAGTGATGGAGATTTGCCAGTAGCATGTGATTATAGAAGATAATTGGCCGGTTAGTGGAGTTTCCATGGTACCGAACAAGGAGATGTAGGAGAGCATCATGCTCCCGTGAAACAGTACTTGGGCCCATGAGCTCCACGCTCAATACTGGTGCACTAGAGCTATATTAGTATGAGCATGTGGTAGTTATCTGGAGCTTGTTATGTAAGGCGGGGAACTACCTACACCTGCACAGACGGTAAAATGGGCGGCGGAGTGGAAGCCGGAGTCTCAATCTCCTCATAGGTAAATGTAATACTGACATCTCCTGGGATAATAAGATCCGGCCGTGCAAGGTCTGGGCACAATCTGGCCTCCAAATTATCACTCAGCGTCCCCCAGTTCCATAGGGGTAATTTAGCCCCTAACCAGAGAAGTTTATACTTGTCACCGGGCACTAACTGCTGCCTATACCAATCGGGAAGGCCTTGGTAAAATAAGACAGAACCGCCCGGCTTCAGCTCTGTGATATCGAATGGGTCCCTGATATCGGCTGCACCTTGCAGCTTTCCGGTCTCTTCAACTACATCCGGTACGGGGACCTCTTCCAGGGCGCCCGATGTGGTATATCGCAGAAGTAGGAAGGCATTCTGATAATACCTCTTGTCAAGTGGAGACCATTTAAAGATAAATGGCCTCAATTCGCTATCTTCTGCTGCGCGACAAAGGATACATGACAAGAGCGGCATGAGCTTTAGTTTGAGATATAGACATGGTGTTTCGGGGCTGGGAACAGTAAACATCTTAATTTCATCATACGCAGAGATTTCACGCCTGAAGGGCGCAATAAAGATAGGAATACATTACGTACTTTCTATCATCCTCTGTAAATTGAACATGGGTGGCACGGTCTTGGGCCATTTTTTCAGTGATTTGTGCGACGCAGAAAGCATGCTAAGCATATCTCTTTAAGTAGCTTGACTTCCAAGTGCGGGGACGATGTAACGCCCGAAATGACAGTAAGACAAGGCCCGGGAGATTCCAGATGCAGTTAAGTAGCTTTATTTCTTAGCGCAGGGACGATGTGACAGTATAGCTTGGTCCGGGACTCCGGGTGCACAGTACACAGGGGTTCACTTTAGACCAGGAACTAGCTAGTAGAGCTAAGTGGATCACCAAGATTGCCAATATTACATCTCAGACTTTTATGCCTTCAAAGGTATCATGACTAATCATACCCTCAACATCGTGGAACTTTCAGTGTTCCTGGCAAATAATCATTACTTTGACTGAGTTGTGTTCTGAATGAGACCAATATTGAAATCATAGCTCAAGCATTCATGTACGAAGAGGAGTGAACGTTGCTGATTAAGAGTGCTGAATATGTGGAAAGGAGATGACCATTCACACTGACCCTTGCGCCAGGAATCTATTTAAATGATAGTAGGTTGCCCACACTATGTAGCCTACCCATGGATATCCGATTCGCTGACGCTAAGCGTCGTCGAGATGGAAGGCAAAACCATTGGTTTTATTACACCTCTTCGCTACAGGGCTTAGCAATTACTGTACATGGCACCATACCCGTCTACTAAACTAGCATTCTTGTGCCGATGAAGCACTTGTTTACTGACATTTTGGTGGAACGAAGTGTTTGATCATTGCGCCTTCCTTGATCATTGCACATTGGGACTTATCTGACCCTAGCGATTTCAATGGATATCGTTTGGGACCCCGTGGAGAATTATACCGCTGCTGGGTGGTGTCGTAGAAAGAATCACAACCTCGTCCTGTCTTCCACCCTTGTAAATGCACCGGAAATGAGGTTTACCAGCGGAGCTCGCTACCTGGCAGACCATTTCATACTGACATACGCCAAAATTGCTAGTGTCATTCTACCTAACCTCAAAGGTACTGCTCATCTGCATTATGGTGGGCCATAGCGCTAGGTGAGACCGTCATATAGTTTACTGCATAGACAATGCACCAGTTAAAGCTAAGCAAGGTGTACTATTCCGTGATGACCCCTCACTGATGCATAAAATCGCGTTTCTGATCAGCGTTACCAGCGAAGTCGAACGAGAAAAACAATTGAAAATTCTCTTCTTCCGCTGCTTGAAAGGCCGGTGCCAGGGTATCTTCGTTGGCATACCAGCCGTACGCCGTATTAAGAGCAAAGGCATCAATATGTGCTGTAGCTGATAAGTAACATATGAACTAGTTACTGTTTCATAATGAATCACCGAGCTTTAGCGTCACTGCTAATGAGACATACTACTCTTAGCCAGAATCAGTTCAGTCAAAGAAAGATTAGTCACACATTCCACCCCCAGTTCCCTCCCGCGCTTGATTATCCAGCCATTGATATACTCGATCTCCGTCAATCTCCCTTTACGGACATCCTCCCGCATGCTGCTGGAGTTACCCGCGGTCTTTCTGATTGTGTCCATCACAACGGCCTCCAAGGACGCCGGGGAGAAGCATGAGGGATCATGAGCCGAAAGACTCTGGATCTCTGGCAGCCGACCAAACACCGTTGAAATCTCCTCCAGGAGACGGGTTATTAATGGTCTGACCTGTGGCATATCTGCGATGACGCCGTTTCGGACATCGAGTAGGGCTGTGAGAGGATTGAGGACACAATTTGCTGCCAGCTTGAATAGTTGATCTCGGAAAAGTCTGGTCCAGTCCAATTCTTCACAATTGAGAGTTGTTGACCGGAGCAGAGTATCGACTAGAAAGCGATTTCTCGGTTGGGATATGGTTAAGCTATCTGTATCTACAAAGCCCACGGAGACACAGCCATTGCGACCAGCCAATACCGCTTGGAAAGCCGCTTTTAAGTAGACTCCGTGTCGAACGATCCCAAACATATACGTTGGTCGTGTGGCGGGGTTGGGAAATAGCTGCTGATTCAATTCTTCCACTTGGCCCAAGCCATTCTGGAATAGACAAATAACGGAATCTGGCCCGAGCCGTCCTTTGATAGGTCTGATAGCGTCTACTGTCATCGAGGCCTTAACTGTGACAATAAGACAACGAATTGGCGATGTGGGTGTCGTATCGCTCCCCAATACCTCAACATTGAAGTCGGATTGTTCGTCCACGTCTCCATCTTCCCCGACCTGCAAACTTATTTTCTGTCCAGTGGAGATGAATTCGCGACGCAGAGATTCTCGATGGAGAAGGAGTGTAATGGGGGGTATATCAGGCAGAGAACGAAGAGAGTGGGCGATAAAACATCCAATGCTTCCAAGCCCTAAGATATAAATGGGGGAAGAGTTCGCCATTTTATAATAGACTGCTACAATCGAGTATGCAGAAACTATCTCTCTGGTCCCTGGGAACTCGCCTGGACAGCCGAGGAAATTCAATCCCCACCATGAGTAATCCATTTATTGCGGGGCCGAATGCTGGCATCGGAAAAACACCGACTTGAGGCATTCTGACTCCCGGGTTTGCCAGCCCTGGTGCACATGATCTATCAGCCACTTGTAGTCAGGAGATGTTGAGTAAAGGTGGGAGTTTCTGTTTGCATTGGCTCATTTTGGAAATATCTAGTCTCGTGGGCCCATTCCCATTAAAATACAGGTAGCCTATTCATGATAATGTCTCCGTAACGGCCCTGGTTCAACAGGTTCTTCTCAGCATACATGTATAGAACGATCGCTGTCTTAACTGAATGCCTGGGCCTGAATTACGAACCAAGGTCAATGGCGATATACATAGTTGGATATCTTCTACAGTTCATCGTGATTCTCCTGCTTGTCCCGAGCAGCTTCCAAGCCCGGGACTGTAAAGATGATTCGACGATAGGATACCAGGACTCCGTCAGAAACCTGGACGATCAGGTGTAAGTGTTTATCACTTTCCGGGTGTGTGTTGCGGCCTTCTCGCCTTATCACCTCGCTCGGGGGAATTGTGACAGTGATTCGGGGGGAGTTCGTAGAACTCAGGGAAAGCTCAGCAACATCCCTCCGGGGATTGTTGTTATTGGAAGAAGGTTCCAAATACTGCCACCACTTGAAGGTGAGGTTGTCTCCATCGGGATCACAAGAGTCCGTCGCGTCCAGCACGACCTCCTGACCTGGTTCCACCGGGATCTGGATAACTCGGCGAGTTCGGTCCCCGTCGATCGTGACAACCGGAGCGTGATTCGCGTCTGAGAACCTGGACGCTATCGTCCATTTCATGCGAGCCGCGAAATCCTGCTGAAACGCCTCGCGCCATCTCCAGACGGTGACATGCGGTCCCATCATCGTTCGCCCCGAGTCGTCCACGATGGTGTCAACACTGTCGGCAAAATGACCTTCTCCAAAAGCCACCGGCCCATACCGACCACCCCATGAGCCCCATTCTGGGTGCTCTGGGTCGGAGAGACCGTTCGGGATAACGTGCAGCAAGGAAGGGGTGTCACCCTCGAGGATAAAGTCCGCGTCTGGATATTTCGCTCCTAACGGGCCGACGGTCTGTATGTTCTGCTGGATCCAGGCGGATGAGATGACCTCCTTATTAGCATGATTTGGGAAATGGTAGTAGTTGTCTCCCGAGATGCCGCCCCATCCAGCTGCCGCATAGCGATTGAAATGGTGCACACTGGCAATGTAGAACAGGCTCGGCCAGTTGCGTCGCAACCAGGTTCCCGTGTTGTCCTGGTCGGAAATTGAATACACACGCAATTTAGTTACAAAGCGATCGATCTCTGCCGGCGACCGGGTGGCATTGACGTGCCATAAGGCCTGGGCCAGAACCGACGCACCACCCCACACCAGGACCCAGAGGGGCTCTTCGGACTTGTCGACCGCATTGACCAAAAGTGTTGAGCCACTGCTGTCCTTCCCTTCTCCAACGCCATCCATACCGTACACGGGCAGTCCGGACGCGATCAGACTGTGCATCTCGCTCGCTTCGGGCCATCCCGATGCATGGTTGCGAAGATATGGCAAAGATAATTCAAAGGCGTCGACGATGTCATGCATGAGATCGGGTCGAGTCGTATCGTTGAGCCAAATACTGGTCGTGGCCACGAGACCTTCCAGACGTAGTTCATTGGAGTACACCATCAGGCGAACCAGGGACTGCGCATCGTCGGGCTCATTGTCGATATCGCTGAGTACCAGCACCCGCGGCTTATCCACCGTCGAGCTCGTGCATTGTGATTGCAGTGACGGTCGGACACACAGGCCCGTCAGTAGTAATAATTGAAACACCTTATACAACCAAGCCATGGCTTCCTGGGATCGATTGCAAACAGTAGTATGGCGTTAGCATGTCTGTTGTGAGGCGTTGCTTTATGAGTGATGATGGTGGTGGTTGGAATTGCCCTTTTTGGAACGTAGGGTTGGAACTTCCCGAGGCTACGAATTGCCGTATTTGATGTAGGCCCTGGATTGACTAAATGGGTTTAGTGTGGGTGGACGCCTCATCAACATCACTCATGCTCCATACTATTAGTTAACAATGCAGATGGTCAAGGTGACAGAATACGAGTAACCTCACATCACACCTCCCTCCTTGTTATTTATCTAGGTATAGGGAGGGGTTTCTGTATATCACAGACGCTCCTAACTACTTAGCAATTAAAAGCATTTAAATGCACTGGATGACAAATGTTTTTTGTCTCACAACTCAACCGTAAATATATATATCGCCCACATACTCAAACATTCATAGTACCCTTATTGAAACATCGTAAAGAAGGCTAGAAAGATATTCCAGCCGAACCCCACACACGAGGCAACAAGGACTCGAGACTCCACAGGAACCCAAATAAAATTGCATAGAGAACAAGCTGGCCAGACTTTCCAAGCGTTCATGATTAAGGGCCAGATCTTCCGGTTGACTTCTGCCACAAGCACGGACGCACTCTCGGATTTCTTGAAATTGGTGCAAAGTAAAAATATCGTGTTCATGAAGAAAAGCCCGATGGTCTGATCCAGAAGAATCTTGTAAACAATGTTCCGCCACTGGATGATCTTTTGGGCAGCAGTTGCCTCATCCGCTGCCGGAGCGCTGGCCAAGTACGAGGGAAATGAATCTTCCAAGAACTCCTGCCAATGGCAGTTCACTTGGGCCTGAATTAGGCCGAAGACAGCGAATTCAATGACTGCTTTCCAGTCCGGGGGCGGAGCTGTCGCATTGGTCGAGTAGCGGAAGAGCTGTGCGGTGAGGTTCGCGGCAGACTTGAGGATGGCAGACTGCACGATAGTCTTGGTATGACGGGACATAGTGAATCTCAACTGCAGATTCATAGAGCAATGATGAATGACAGTAATATCAAGAAGCGCCTGAAGTTAAAGTGCGGAATAATGGTGCGACGGAAAGTTAAGTACATAGACACAGTCTCCGATATTGGCTACAACTGCTCCATATGCCCGGGAGTACCCCAGAAAGGTCGGCTGCATCCGACATCCTTTGGGGGTACTCCGTGGGGGCACAGTTGGTGCTTCAGGCTTCCTAGTTTGTAGAAGCCTGGGGATTATGCGGGGAAAGCAATGGCCGTATAGACTCGTATATCATGGTCCATTAGCCTTGTGGAGAGACTTGGTTGCCCCATCACTCGCACCATCTTCGTCCCACTTGCAATACGTACGTTATGTTCTCACATATGTTGGAACAGCTGAAGGCCCAGCCGCTGTATCAAGATCTCAACTGGCGGCTGGCGCTCATCGGCGGGGTGTCGTCGCTGGGAGCCCTGGGCTTCGGATTCGATAACGGGTGGTGGGGAGGCGCATTGGGTCTTTCCCAATTCCAGCAGAAATATGGGGAGTATGATGACTCCCTGGGGCATTTTGTGATTCCATCCCAAAAGACATCGGTCGGCACAGGTACGGGATCGGCAGGTATTATTCTGGGCTGCATCATCGCACCAATCGTCACATCTAAGCTTGGCCGCCGTAACTCGTTCTTGGTGCTATCGCTGCTGATGTTAATCGGAATCACCCTCGAAGCATCTGCGGTGACATCCTTCTGGCAACTTGTCGTTGGCCGGATTGTTGTCTACTCGGGGATTGGCTTAGCATCCAACTGTGTACCACTGTACTTGTCGGAGTGCTCACCCCCGCGTATTCGAGGTATGTTGTAACGGATATACTAACGGGAGTAGAATCTCACGTATCGATAGGTGCCTTTCTGGGACTGTATAGTTTCTTCAACTCCCTGGGCGTTTTCTTGGCCTCCCTTGTGGTTTATCTATCCCGTTCAAGGACGGATAAATGGCAGTATCTGTAAGATGCAACCCTGCTGACTGCGAATTGGTATGAGGTGAAATCTAATATTCATAGGGTGGTCATCCTCTGCCAGCTGCTGGTGCCCATTGGATACATCGCATTCTATGCATTTATACCCGAGTCGCCTCGCTACCTCATTTACCGCGGTCGTTTTGAGGAAGCCGAACAAGTCTTGCGATCGCTATCGAATTACCCAGATACAATTCCATATGAGGTGGAACTGCTCAAGGCCCAGGCCGAGGAGCAACAGGAGCTGCATAAGGCAACGTCAATCTGGGACTGTTTTCGAGGCTCCAACCGGATACGTACTATAATCGCTATTGGGGTCCAGGTGCTCCAACAGGCCCAAGGCGTTTCCTTCATTCAGAACTTTATCGTCACCTTCATGGAGCAACTGAAATTCCCCGACCCCTTGCGTACGAATCTCATGGTGACCGGCTGCAGCTTTGCTGTCCACATCATCACATTCTTCAGCTTTGACAAGGTTGGTCGAAGGTACTCTTTGTGCATCGGGTCAATTCTCCTCGGTGGCACAATGTTCGGAACCGGTATCGCAATCGCCACCGGAGACACAAGCAGTGGGTCGTCCCCTGCAGCGACAGCTTCCATTGCACTTCTGATCCTCTGGTACTGCATGTATGGCTTCACCTGGGGTCCCGGATGTTGGGTCGTGGCAGGCGAAGTAGGGACTGGCCAGTTGCGGGAGCGCACGTTGTTCCTTGCCTCGATGGGGAGCTTCCTCACATCGGTTCCTATCAACTTTGTGAATCCGTACGTACAAGCCCGCCTAGGAGGGTCGGTCACATTTATCTATGGTGGCTTCTCGGTGGTCGCATTGATCTGGGTGTTTTTGATGGTGCCGGAGACCAGAGGCCGTTCCCTCGAAGAGCTGGACGATATGTTCCAGGCTCAGGTCCCAACCCGGCAGTTCAAGAAATATGAATGTAATGGGATCGGAGCTCATATCACTGGTGCTCACAATGCACAAAACGAGAAAGTCAAGGTGATTGAGGAGGAATGGGTGGAAAACAAGAGAGATGCTGGTGCGCAGTAGCCCCGGGCATCGCAAGTCACAAGCTGAAGCGCTACTGCCATCGGAAAGACTAGGCCGAGGACGGAAAGATATCTACTTTGGGATTTCCTATTATGTAGTCGAATATATGCCGAGAAAGGCTCAACGAATGCGGAGAGACTTTGGTCGTGAGTGAGCGAGGTTCATGATGTTTCTACTCTCAATTAGGTGGATGATCCGAGGATGGAACTCCAGACAACACCAGTAAGCTTACAGCATGCTGGCAATGATATTCCCAACCATATATGACCTTGCGTCACCTAACGCAGGGATCAGTCTGTGATTGGCGTTCTTTTGTTGTTGTGTGTGCTGATGCCTTACAGTAGCGCATCCTCTGCGCTTGGCGTCACAGGGGAAATCAAATAGTGCCTTTTATCCACATATCAGCATGCAGGTCACTTCAAACGCCTTAACGAAAGGAGTAAAAGAAGAAAAGGGATAAAGACCAAAGAACAAGGAAAAAGATCAGGGGAAAAAAAAAGGAAAACAAGAAACCAAACCCCGCAGTCTTCAGCGTCGCTGTCAGATTTTGTTTGCGTTACATCCTTAGTTATATATAGCAGTATTAAATCAACACGGAGCGATAATGAGGGACTTCCTCACACACCTCGCCAAATAGTATCCAAGATCTCTTTCTCTGGTGTGGACCAGACCCGTGTCATCGGCACCAGGACCCGCGAATAACGCCAAACCTATCACGCTGCTTGCAATACACAATGGCAAGTTTACCAACAGATGAGAATGTCGCCTCGACTGGATTATGTCTGGACCATTGTCAGAGTGATAATAGTCCCACCAGTACTTTGACAAATGGCAATCATAGACCAGAGATTGCACACCAAGTGCCCATTGCCATATGTGGCATGTCCACACGCCTTCCGGGAGGATTAAACTCGCCCCAGGAACTATGGAAGTTCTTGCTCGCCAAGGGTGATGCTCGTGGTCCTGTGCCAAAGTCCAGATACAATCTCTCCGCGCACTACTCGGACAAGTCCAAACCCAGCACCGTTATCACGGAACATGGGTACTTCCTTGATGATAGTATTGATATTTCCACCATTGACACATCTGGGTTCAATATGAAAAAGTCCGAGGTAGAGCGGACAGACCCGCAGCAGCGCCAAATGTTGGAAGTTGCCAGGGAGTGTCTGGAAGATGCCGGAGAAACTAATTGGAAAGGACGACCCATTGGATGCTACATGGGTAGCTTTGGTGAAGACTGGCTGGAGATGTTTGCAAAAGACCCACAGCAGTATGGCCTCTATCGGGTCACTGGCTACGGTGATTTTATGCTGCCCAATCGTGTTTCCTATGAGATGGATCTCACAGGTCCAAGGTTAGTCAGGCTCTCGAAGAAAGTATACCCTATGTAAACGGAAGCTAACACGGAAGCCATAGCTTGACTGTCCGTACCGGCTGTTCTGCAGCCCTTGTGGCACTGCATGAAGCATGCATGGGAGTATCCCGTGGGGACTGTGAGGCAGCCATTGTTGGTGGAGCGAACTTGATTATGGGTCCCGGCATGAGCTCAGCCATGTCAGAGCAAGCCGTGATTGCACCAGACGGCTCCTGCAAGAGCTTCTCTGCCGATGCGAATGGGTATGCTCGCGCCGAGGCAATTTCAGCCATTTTCATCAAGCCCCTATCGAGTGCAATCCGTGATAACAACCCCGTGCGAGCTGTTATCCGCGGCACAGCGACCAACTGTGATGGCAAGGGAACCGCTGCTGGGATTCAAGTTCCGAATGAATATACGCAAGAGGCGTTGATAAGGCATACCTACAAGATGGCCGGCATCACCAACCTTTCTGAGACCGCGTTCGTTGAGTGCCATGGCACAGGGACACAAATAGGAGACCCTGTGGAAACCGCCGCCGTCGGACGGGTTTTTGGCCCGGTCGGAGGCATTCAGATAGGATCCGTGAAGCCTAATCTCGGTCATTCTGAGGGTGCCTCAGGTCTCACGTCACTCATCAAAGCAGTCATGATGTTGGACCATCGCATCATTCCTCCTAACATAAAGTTTAACGAACCAAATCCCAAAATTCCCTGGGGTTCTTGTGGACTCTCAGTTCCAACGGAGCCAATGGCCTGGCCTGAGAACCGCAGGGAGCGCGTCAGTGTCAATTCATTTGGAATTGGAGGCAGCAACGCGCACGTTGTCCTCGATTCAGCTCGTAGTCACGGAGTCCTTCCAATTCCTACGCGGCCCCTGGTGTCTCCAGAGCTGCTTGTGTACTCTGCCAATACTGCAGAGTCTCTGGAGAGAATGATTACTACCTACAAAGCCTGGGTGCAGAAGAATCCAGATCGATTGGTTGATCTAGCGTACACCCTGGGTAATCATAGAGAGCATTTACCCTACCGGGCATTTGCTGTGGCGGACCTTTTCGGTTCTCTCACACCATCCCTGCCCTTGAAAGCAGGAAAACCGCCAAACGTGGTTATGGTGTTTAGCGGCCAGGGTGCTCAATGGCCAGAAATGGGACGTTGTTTGCTCTTGAGCTCGGCATTCCCTATATTCAGGAAAACAATCCAATCACTCGATGCTCATTTACGAACTCTCAGCCATACGGACGAATGGACCATCGAAGACGAGCTTCAACAGCCAGCGAGTGTTAGCAGGCTTGGCTCGGCGGAGCTATCCCAGCCTTTATGTACATCAATTCAGATTGCTCTCGTCGATACTCTTGTCTCGGTTGGTGTTCGCCCTAGTGCTGTTGTCGGCATTCCAGTGGAGAGATTGCTGCAGCATACGCGATCGGGGCTATCTCGGCATTTGAGGCGATCGCTATTTCGTTCTACCGTGGCAAGGTCACGTCACTGCAACCAAAGAAGGGGGCAATGGCGGCAGTTGGCTTAGGCTCTAACGATGTCCAAGCATATCTTGAGCCGGGAGTAGTCGTGGCTTGCCAGAACTCACCACAGAGTACTACTCTGGCCGGGGACACTGATATGGTTCAGCGTGTCATTGCTAGGATAAAAGAGGCCAAACCTGACATCCTCACCAGACTTCTTCATGTTGACAAGGCGTACCACTCGCACCATATGGAGGAAATTGGCGACTATTATTATGCCATGATTAAAGACAAGGTCTCTCCAAACACCCCCATTACACCATTCTTCAGCACTGTCACAGGGAAACAACTGACTCCGGACACCATCCTCGACGGCACGTATTGGAAGAGAAACCTTGAATCACCAGTTCTCTTTCACTCAGCCATTTCCTCAATCATGAAGCTTGATCTGGCGAAAAATATGGTGATGCTCGAAGTTGGGCCCCATTCAGCACTTGCAGGCCCTATACGACAAATCCAAGCGGATCATTCGGACTCCTCACCGTACGTGTCAGCACTGACCCGCAATCAAAATGACGTGGAGTCATTCCTGAGGGCAATCGGAACACTGCATTGTCTCAACGTTTCCTTGGAATTGGAAAAGGTCATAACCAAGGCATCATGTCTGCCCGACCTTCCTAGGTACCCATGGGATCACTCGCAGAGCTTCTGGTATGAATCTCGGCTAAGCAAGGAGTGGCGACATCGACAGCACGCACATCACGATTTGCTAGGGGTTCGAGTCGTGGAGAGTACCGACTCTCATGTTCTTTTCCGAAATGTCTTCCATCTAGAGAGTGCGTCTTGGGTTCGCGATCATAAGGTCGGGGAAGACATTGTATTCCCTTTCGCTGGCTATGCTGCTATGATTGGCGAAGCTATTCGGCAGGTCACGGGTATCAATGAGTCGTTTACTTTGCGAAAGGTCACTATCAACGCTGCTCTGGTGCTAAATGAGGGCCATCCTGTTGAGGTTAATACTGCACTTATCCGCCATAAATTGACAGACACCCTTGACAGTGAGTGGTGGGGGTTCACCATTGCATCTCACAATGGCACTGCTTGGACCACGCACTGCTCGGGGGATGTTAGTGCCCATTCTGGAGGGCTTGGATGCGGGAAAAGGGATAAACCACTGGTTCGCAAGGTCCCAACTCGTCGTTGTTACGAGGCAGTGGCCAGGGCAGGCCTCAATTTTGGTCCCGCATTCCAACGACTCCATGATATCCGATTTGACACCACAACAACCAATACAACATCGGAAGTTAGTGCTAAGTTGGACGATGGTCTGGGGTACCATATTCACCCTACGGTGATCGATGCTTTGTTGCAGCTGATCACCATAGCACCCTCCAAGGGCTTTGTCAACACCACGACCAAGACCACGGTGCCCACCGCGATTGAGGAAATGTGCATAGCCCGCTGCTCTGATGACATCCAAGTCCAGGCCTTTGCATCTGAGACTCAGTATGGTTCTATTATTGGAGCTGGGAAGTGTGTCACATCCGACGGTAAGGTTGTTCTGCGCAGCTCAGGGGTAAAACTGTCGGTTCTGGATGAACAGGCCTACGGAGAGCGTGACGAAACCACAGCTCGGGAAGAATGGGGGCCCCATATTGACTTCCTCGATGCTCAGACTCTAATAAAGCCAGCTATGGATCGAAGTGTCCATATGCCATTGATAGAGGAGCTTGTTCGCTTATGTACGGTTCAAACCAGAAGAACAATTGCGGGGTTGGAGACCCCAGTTGACCACATGTACAAGTACAAATCGTGGATCGAACGGCAGCGCGAGGCGGACGACATTCAATGTCTTGAATATCTCGATAGCGTGGCGATTGAGTTCCGTGTAGCTCAGATTCTTAATGACCTGTCGCAGACTCCTGCTGCATCGGCTGCGGTGGGTGTTCAGGTGGTTTGCCAAAATATTCAAGACATTTTCACAGGCAACGTGGACGCTTTAGATGTCCTTCTTGTTGATGACATGTTGGCTAAGCTGTATGTGTATCTGGATCAGGCTGATGAGTCCCAGCTGTTGAAATATCTGACTCATAGCAAGCCCGATTTGAGGGTGCTTGAGATCGGCGCTGGAACAGGTGGATCGACTGCCACAATCTTGAAGCTGTTGACTCCTGGTGGGGAAGCTCGATACTCAAGGTATACTTACACAGACATTTCGGCCGGGTTTTTCGTTGCTGCGAAGGAGCGGTTCAGTAACTTTCCGCACATGGAGTTTCTTCCCCTGGATATCAGCAAGGACCCATCTGAGCAGGGCTTCAATGGTCGGAAATATGACCTTATCCTCGCTAGCAATGTCCTTCACGCAACAAAGAGTCTCAATGAGACTTTATGCAACGTTCATAAACTACTTGACCCTAACGGTCGACTCTTGCTTCATGAGCTGACCACGGTTTCGAGATGGCCTAATTATATTTGGGGAACGTTAGCTGGATGGTGGTATGGTGAAGCTGATGGCCGACCTGATCAGCCATATATCAACATCGACCGATGGACAGCCGAGTTGAGAGCGGCTGGATTCTGTGCCCCCGATGCTGCAATCCCTGATTCAGATGTGCCGCACCAGCTAAATACTATAATCCTGGCTAGGCCAGAAGCCCGGGCCATGCCCATGAAGAGGGCCACTTTGCTTAGGTTCTCGGAGTCCAAGAACGTGCGCTCTGTTGTCAAAAGCTTCGAGAACAGAGGATACACTATCGACCAACGAGGACCACAGGAAGATGTGCCAGTCGGCCAAGATGTCATTTCCTTACTGGAAGAGGATGGGCCATTTTTTGAAAATATCAGTGATCGACAACTCGAGGACTTTCAGGCATTGGCGGGTAAACTTAATGAATGTGGGATTCTTTGGATAACTGCTGTTTCGCAAGTCCAGTGTCAAGACCCGCGATTTGGCCAAACAATCGGTATTGCTCGGGTTATGAGATCTGAAATGCTGATTGACTTTGCCACCTGCGAAGTGGACAATATCAGTTCATCGGCAGATAGGATTGTCGACGTGTTTGAGAAGTTCCAGAGACGACAGGAACACGACGGCTTTATATCTGATTTGGAGTACACCATTACTGATAATACTGTCAGCGTTCCACGCATTAATTCCTTTTCACTGCAGGACGAGCTTCCGAATTTCGAGATGGGTGAGAGTAACATTGCTCTCCGTACCAACCATCCGGGTCGTCTCGCTGCTTTACACTGGGAGCAGACATCACTTCGAACGCTGAAAGACGGGGATGTGGAGGTAGAAATACACGCAGCTGGTTTGAACTTCAAGGTAAGCCCAATTATATGTCGTCATTAACCGCGGAAGCTTAAACCCATTAACAGGATGTACTCGTTGCTATGGGCATCGTCCAGAATCCCGGCAGTGGGTTCGGTGTCGAAGGAGCCGGCATTGTACGCCGCACTGGTGCGGCTGTTCAAGAGCTAAATCTTGGGGACCGTGTCATGGTCATGTCTAATTCTATCTTTGCTACACGTGTAGTTTTGTCGGAGAACTTTTGTGTGAAAATCCCAAGCGGATTAAGTTTTGAAGACGCAGCTACCATGCCATGTGTGTTCGCGACAGTTATATACTCCATCTTTCACATTGGCAACTTGAAAAGGGGCCAGGTAGGGCTTACATTCCCCTACCTTAAAGTTACAAAGTCGACTCTAACCACCATATTTAGTCTATTCTTATCCACAGCGCCTGTGGTGGCATCGGCCTCGCCACAATCAGCCTTGCGCGCATGGCGGGAGCCGAGATTTACACAACAGTTGGTAATGAAGAGAAGGTGAAGTTCCTCATGGACAATCTAGGGATTCCTCGTAATAGGATTTTCAACTCTCGCAACACATCGTTCGTCGAGGACATTATGCGGGAGACCGACAACCAGGGTGTTGACTTGGCGCTCAACTCCTTGTCTGGCGAGCTGCTTCATGCGACATGGAGGTGTATTGCGCCATTTGGAAAGATGGTTGAGATAGGCAAGCGAGACCTTCTCGGCTCAGGGAAGCTAGATATGCAGCCTTTTCTGGAAAATCGAAGCTACTGCTCCGTTGATCTGGATCAGATTGGTCTCCGGAAGCCAACCCTAACAAAAGAGTAAGTTTATCATGACACTGTACGTACGGATGCTCAGATTTTTAGGCTCCTTAAGGAAACTGTACACCTACTGAAGGAATGTCACATCCAACCTATTCGTCCCATCAAAACGTTCGATTGCCATCGAATCCTGGATGCATTTCGTTACATGGAACAAGGCGTCCACATGGGCAAGATTGTAGTTTCAATGCGGAATGCAGCCGCGGAGGTCACTCTGAATACGCAGACTGTGACGAAGCAAAGCAGGAACAACCAGCTTGATAGCTCGGCAGCGTATCTGCTTGTTGGTGGTCTCGGAGGATTAGGCCGCGCCATTGCTAGTCGAATGGTCGAACGAGGTGCCCGTCACCTCATCTTCCTTTCCCGCTCTGCAGGTGCAACGAAGACCCACTGGGACCTTTCACTAGAGCTTTCTTCCATGGGATGCCGGGCCGACTTTGTTCAAGGGAGCGTTTTGAACGTCGACGATGTGACCAAGGCTATCAATTATGCTCATGGTCGTTTGAAGGGTGTTCTGCAAATGTCCATGGTTCTTCGTGACAACAGCTTTCCGCGGATGACGAAGGTGGAGTGGGATACTTCGGTTGATCCCAAGGTGAAAGGCACATGGAACCTGCACAGTGCTGCTCTCTCTATAAATGCGGCTCTTGACTTTTTCGTTCTCTTTAGTTCACTCTCTGGTATAGTTGGCCAACCTGGCCAAGCTAACTATGCTGGTGCTAATACTTTCCTGGACGCATTTGCGAAGTACCGCTGGCATTTGGGGCTCCCAGCCTGCGCAATACAGATCGGGGCTGTTGAAGGAGTAGGCTATGTTGCCGAGAACCCATCACTAGTGGGCCGATCTACTCATTCTGAAATAAAGGTTTCGGAACAAGAGCTCCTGGGTGCCGTTGAGGCCGCCATGAAGTCGACGTCAAGAAGCTTTTGTCTTGGTATCCACTCAAATATGTTCCTCGGAATGCCGGAGGAGCGTTCAACCTGGAAACGTGATATCCGCATGGCAGCCTTTCACCAAGCCAGAGATCTTGGACCCAGCGCAGAATCCAGTTCCAAAACCGGGTTACGATCCTTTGTCGCCAAGGCAAAAGCTGATCCTGCTTTACTGGGTCAGACCGAGTCTGCTCCCTTTCTCGCTCGAGAGATTGGGAAGAAAGTGTTTAGTTTCTTGTTGAAGCCGGAGGAGGATTTGCGCACCTCTTGCTCTTTAACTGAGCTGGGAATGGATTCCTTGGTAGCAATCGAGGTGAGACAGTGGTGGAAATCCATTTTCGGGTTTGATATTAGTGTCCTCGAGATGATGGGCATGGGAACCTTGGATAATCTTGGAGCCCATGCTGCTAGAGGTATGCTCCGTTTGTTTCATGGCGTTGAGGCTTAGGTACATTTGCCGTATTGAATGAACAGGTGAGTACTGGGCTGAGCCTAACACATTTCGAATGATTATGATTAATATTCAATCAGGTTGGTCGTCTACGCTCTCTAGCGCGCGTCCTTTGACCAGCGGAGTAAACCTATTCCGAATGGGCTAGGGGGGATGCAGGAACGGATTGAAGTCAAGAATGTATATACAAAACTATGCCATTGACAAGGATATGTCTCACCTCACTGGCAAGCTACAAGTGAGCCATATCCGCTGTCGTTTCCCCAGAGGCATTGCCAGCTGTTATATTGATAGCAGTCAGCTCAGGACCTGCCTTCTTGTAGATCAACTTGGACCCAATAATTGGGCCGTCATCCGTTTGGCGGATATAGTACGCTAGATCGGCATCTGGGGTCATCTCAAGCTTGCTCATACCGTTTCCCAAGTAGCTAAAGCGGTTTCCGAAGTATTGTACCTTAAAGTCCTCATATCGTACCTGCTGAAGGGTTTCAATATAATGCAGTGTACTCCCAGGCCATAACGCAATTATCTTCCCGTCCGATGTGTTGCCTTTGTACCAGGACCGACAGTCTTGGTTCCACACCATGTCTTTCATATATTGATCCTTGTGCTCGATAAAGTCATCCACGGCTTCCTTAGTGACCTCAATCGACTTTATGCCTTGCTGTTGAATACGCGTAATGTGTTTGCAAATGTAGTCTGCTTGGGCTAAGCAATTATTAGCGATGGACTATTGACCAGAACCCTTTCAGAGAACGATACCCTCAATGCCTACTAGTACTGGGCCGTTACCAATTGGACTATTGGGCCCAAGAAACATATAATAGTTGGGGTAACCGGGGGCAGCAATTCCAAGGTAAGACTTGGGCTCATCTTTCCAATCCTCCGAAAGCTGTCGGTCATTCAAGCCTGTGAGCGGGAAGCGTGGCTTGAAAGTAGTATCGAATCCGGTCTATGAATTAGGCATTATGAGATATCAGTTCTGCCTTTCCCTAAAAGGCGATGGAGCTTACTGCGCAGATCAGCACGTCTACAGGATACTCTATTCCATCCTCCATCTGACAACCTCGATCGGTGACTCTCTTAATCTCACCATGGACGACCGTGGTCTTGGGATGGTTCAGAGATTGTAGGTATCCTACACCGGGTGTTAACCTAGAAGCAAAATTAGCAAATTGGTACCCCTGCCAGCACACCAATGAAAAAATGTCTGGGAAATGTTACCGTCGACAGCCAACGGCCCACGAAGGAATAACCTTGTCTTCCAAGCCCGGGTTGCTGAGAGCGTCCTTCATTGAATCGACAAAGAGCTTATGCGCGTCGTCTTGGGCCTCGGATTTTGCGAAGATCAAAGGGCATATTCTGTTCATGTTGTGTTCGAGCCAACGTCGGAGGGTAAGCAATGCGCTCGGATCCTTTGCAAACCTGTCCTTCTCATCCGGCTCGAACCTTCGTGGCTGCAAACCCATAAGGCCGCTGACGGCAACCCATGTTGGCCCTCGAATAAACGTGGTACAGCTGGCAACCTCGGGGAGAATGGCTGGGAGAATCTGAATTCCAGATGATCTGTGACTGGATCAGTTTTGTTATATGTGTTGTTCTATCCTTCCGACAATTGCGTACCCATTTCCAATCAATCCCACATGCTTTCCCTTTAAATCAATGTTGGTATCCCAGGCGGCACTGTGTACTAGCTGTCCCTTAAAGTCATGCAATCCCGGAATCGTGGGATATTTCCAGGCATTCAAAATTCCTCCTGCATTGACAAGCACATCACAAGCGTCCTGCACCACGGTGTTGTTAGGGATATCGTTGATCTCAACGTTCCACTTCCCCGCATCACCGTCCCACTTGGCTCCGATAACCCGGTGAGACACTTTGGTTTTTTCGTTCAGGTTAAGGCGAGATTGAAAGCGTTTGAAATACTCAAATATCTCACTAGAAGGGGCATAGGTACTTGACCAGTTCGGATTTGGATCAAAGGACTAGCAGGAGCCGTCTGTTAGTGCCACAAGCCCGGGCTGATAGCTATAGATTGCAACAGGCCCGTAGTATGGACATACCCAAACATATGTGTGGGAGGGATTGTCACAGGCGCATCCCGGATATCGATTTTCGTACCAGGCCCCGCCAATATCTGGGTTCTTTTCGTAAATCTGGAATTCCACATCGTCGAAGTTACGTTGGAGCTTATAGGCCATTAGAAGGCCACTGGCACCGGCTCCAATAATGATAACCCGAATGTGGCGGTTTGTATTGATGGGATTCGCCATCTTGTAGGCAGTGCAATCTATTTGCTCAACAATATGATCGCTTCCCTACTGGGGTAAGGTCATTTGAAGTACGTCTGACACCATTCAAGGATAGAATTTATCTGACCAGATGGCTGCTAAAGCTATAAGAGGTTACATTAGAAAGTGCCATGACTAGGGCCAAGTGACCCCGCAAGGGACGACGTCGTCCACCTATGATCTGACCGTCCATTTCGGAGATGCACCTCATCATTGTCTCTGAAAGCAGGCGATTTACCATAGCACACATCCAATGCCGTTCACACCCAAAAGCAAAACTCGGCAAAGGCAACCACCAGCCGAGGATAGGCCAGTAATGTGAATAATTTCATGTACCAAATTACAAGTTATGCGCAGTGTGTAGGACATAAATCCTGCCTATGCCACCCATGTCTCTAATGCAAGCCGACAGCGATCAGATCAAGTCAGTTGATACACAAAAGTTGTCATTCGTATCATCTAATAGACGATCAAATTTCATACCGACCTCTTAAAGGAAGTCGACTATTATACCGTCGTTGCACAATCCAAGCGTTCGAGGTTGTGCAGTCCAGCCCATTACGAGACTGGACAACTTAATGCAGTGGGCCGAGTACTGCGGGGTCCCTAAAAGAGGAGAAAAAGAGGGGAAGATGTCGATCTATTCTGGTCCCATTGGTATTTAATACGAAGCCAATAGGAATGACTGAAATGCAGCGGAGTTGATTTCCGCACAGACCGTGATCTCCTACACTTTACCGATGGCGATCGATCGATAGCCTGGATACTGGAGATAGCTGTCATGCCTGAGGCTCTCTCTGGGGGTGGTCTAGCTGCTAGTGAACACAGTAGGCAAACAGACTCGCGGCGCGTTATGGACTACCATTGTTTATACCTGTAGCCACCACTTTATCCACCTCGTCTTTGCCTTACTGGCTGCAACTGACAACTCAGCGGTCGGAAATAGCATCTGGAATGCATGGAGTCCATCGGCCAAACATGCCACTCACACTGTATATCGTTTTGCCAAAGTCGTTGTGCAACCTGGACATCTTCATCGCGAATGTTTTCGCAGAGCCGACATCATTAAAAGCCGGCGGCAACCTGGATAAATCGGTAGCTCGCGCAGGTGCTGTGTGGATCGATACTTTTCGCTTCCTCTACGTTCTTCCAAGATAGCATTCCACGCCAGCAGATTGTTTTCACGACTCCAGACACTAACCCCGGGGAACTGATTGATATATATAGTCACATGACAGCGAACTACCGGGTCAACTAGGATTTAGAACTTGTATTAACTAATCAACGGCGGCTAGATAGGTGGTAAAAGAACTCGACAAAAATAGCACAAGAAACCCTAAAAAAATAGGAAAATGAATTAATGCTCGTTGGCCGCAATGAGATTCGTTGGGATCCGGAATTCGCCTGGCACGGTAAGTACTGGGAATGGCGGTGCGTATCCGCTGGTTACACCTTCCATTGCTCTTATAGTTGGCTTACTAGCGATGAGATGGTCCGAGACTTCATGAGTTTCCACAAGTTGGCAAAGCCTGTCCAATCTTCCCAGTGCCAATGTGAGGTCTTGTCGCAACTGGGGCATTTCCTCCCGGGTCGTGTCAGATAGCTGCTTGGCCTTCTGACGTCGGAGTCGCTGGTGCTCTCGGTTTAAGATGCGTCTGCGCTCCCGCTGGGCTGCATTGCGTATTTGGCCACGTCCGCCGGAGGGCTCCCGACTCGTTGACATACTGAGGATTGAGTAATCTAGAATGAATTGTGAATACGCTCTTCAAAGCCCCAGACACATAAAGACGGAATCAACGGTTGCAGCAGATATGATATGGGTTGATTCCCCGCATTTATCTGCATTGTGGAATGTGTGGTAGACTCTCTATTGCCGAGCTGAGGCCCAATACTAGACCTATGTCCCACTGAAGATCCGCTTTCATCCAACACGTGCTGCGTGACTGTTGAGATCAAGTCCTTGTAAGATACTTATGAATTACATGCTCCTCCCGGAGGCACAAGTTACTGGTGCCACTATTATTGCGCATAGTCCTTGCAATATAGCGAGGTTGGATTCGTGATCCTCTACTTCGGCAAAGAGTTACGAATCTAATAGCTATGGTTGACTTGCTGACATATATAGGTCTTAATGATAGGGGGTTCCTTTGAGGCTACACAAAAGAACGTCACAATGTATTGCGCTGCTTTGGAGCGAACGAAGACTCATATTGGTCATCTCCCTCTGAAGTAAGATAGTTACAAACGTGAACGTCCTACGACTATTCCTCTCCATTCTGCTTCCGCCAAAAGACTCGGTAATGTCTCTCCTTACCAAGCTGAGAAATATCTCTCACCTCCTCCGGGGTCAGCTGGAATGTAAGAACATGAAGGAACTCCTGCAATCGGGATTCCTTGCTACTTGTGGTGACTGCCACATCTCCGCGGTCGATGGACCACCTCAGTAGGACTTCTCCTTCTGTGACCTTGTACTTCGCAGCTAGTTCAGCCACCTTGGGATCAACTGGGCCCCCCGGCGCACGTAAAATAGGAGTCAAGGGACTGTAGCTCGCTGTCTTGATCTCCTTTGCCTGCTGGAAGCGGACCAACTCCTCTTGCTGCAAATAGGGGTGGTGCTCGATTTGGTTGATGACGGGTGCAATTGTCGCAGTTTTGAGCGTGGTTTCCAGATGTGACTGGTGGTAATTTGATACACCGATCGCTTTGGCCTTTCCACTTTGTTGGACCTTCTCCATGGCCGCCCATGCCTCTTGCAGTTCGCCGTCGCTTTTCGCAAAGAAAGGTGAATGGATCAGGTATCTGTTTCAACATGTCAGATTCCGTTGGTCACTCGTCATCATTGCACCTACAAGTCCACATAGTCTAGTTGAAGATTTCGCAAACTCTGATCAATGGCATTTGGAATATCCGCAATATTCGTAATCACCTTGGTTGTGACAAAGAGTTCCTCACGCGGAATTCCGCTCTCTTTAATTGCTACACCCAGCTCGGCTTCAGTGCCATAGACCTCGGCACCATCCAAGTGACGGTACCCCAGGCGAATTGCGGTCTTGATTGCTTCGACTAGGTCGCGGTTGATTGAATCGTCGCCTTTCTTGTACCACGCCGTACCGGTGCCGTAACCAAGCTATCGGCATCGATTAGTGTACCAGCAGACCCAGCCGCGGAATGTCTTACAATTGGTATAGACACATTGTCATTAAGCTTCACACGTGGTGTTTGGGGAATCGCGTTGCTCGCCATTTTGAGATAGACGTGACAAATAAAAATGCGGGCGAACTGCGGCCCTTAACGTGGGTGGACCCGTTGGTTAAGAAGTGGAAAGAGCGCAGCAATTCCGCACAGTTGGATAATCAATACAATCACGTCTTCATAAATTCGTCATTCAACCGTGGAATGTGGAGTCGATCCACTTCCCTTCGCGCAACCAATCCCGATGCTACTTTTCGCACCCTGATCTTGTAATTACCCACTTAGGCTTTACTGTGGAATCTCGCCGAGGTTGCAGAAACCAGGTGTTTCCTCGACCACGTGGGGAGTCAGAACCCTAGTATGATGGACTTATATCTCTTCCCTACAGATACTACTAGAGTTGACCGGGTGGCCTGGTTGGTATTGCTGGCCTTTCAACTTCGCCGGCTGTGACTAGGATATTTTCACCTCCGTACCTCAAAATAAAAACCGATATATCTCCACACGATGACTTTGTAGTGCATAAGAATTTGTGTATTCTTTATCATTCAATTCATGCTGAAGGTTAACACTGCAGGACAGCAGTAAAGTCCAGTGGCTATTTATCCTATGGTTCCACCGGTAAGTCCGGATTGGTATTGAACTAGCGCTCATTGCACACACCCCCTGTCTTGCTTGTCATCATGAATAACCTTATGCCAATGGATCCTCTATTGGGCATGGGATAGGTATGGACTAGTCTCCTATAGCATGTTGGTAGGTCTATCGGACCTGATGCTTTATCTCAAAGCTGGTTCCCCAGACCTGTGTTGGCCAGGCTACTACTTTCCGACGCAATGCTTCCGGAAATCTTCGCTGTTCTGGAATTGATGATCACATTCGGTGCTACATGTCAACTGATAACCATACGCTACTTACTCGACCTGCAATACATTAGTATGTATAGAAGCGATCAATGGGCTACAACGTACACCGGTGTCTGCTTCGATATTTGTCTCAGGGTGGGAGATTAATGATCTCTCTCTTACGAAGATGACCAGACTACGGACATGTGACTGCTAGCTTTGCTAGGACGGCGATGATGGCGTGGGAATAGAAACTTATCGTTGTTTGATAAACGCTCTTTTGGAAGATCCTCATTCAAGATGGTCTTTGTGCTATGAAATATGATCGGTAAATGGATGGGCTTTCGATAATGTTTCTTTCAGACACGATCGCTACTTCTATCTATCTAGACGAAGACATGCGAAGTGGAGTTAGGCATTTTGTCGGGTGACACTTCTCGCTCCCCGTTCTTTGAATAGCTAAAGATAATGAGCCAAGCTGTTCAAGCATTCCAAACCATGATTTGCGAGCCATGGACAATTATACGTGGCAGAGGCACCCAGTGAGAACCTAGAACGTTACGGTAATGGGATTGTTAACATCCGGACATACGATTTCTATCATGAAGCTCATTTCTATGTCAACCGCACTTTTCCTGGCTCTCATTACTGCGGTCATCGCATCTCCCACGATGAACGTCAAGCGAAAGTGTATTCAGACGCAATGTGACGATGCCAATCCGGCCACATGCTGCCCCGACACTTTTGGGTACTGTGACTCAGATACCAATGATTGCCACTGCTAAAGCGACTGCTTTCCATGGAAATAAAAGCAGGTAGGTTGATACATACTCTCTTAGCACCTGGGAGTCATCACTCATTAGTAGCCTTATAGCACCGGCATGACGTTCAGTGTACGCAGTGGATCGGCCGTATTCAAAATCTATCGCAGGTTTACCAACATGCTTATGACTGCCCAGCTATCGGCAATGTGGCAGGAAATAGTTGTCTTGCAATGTGTTCTGGCAATCTTTAGTGTTGGAATTGTCATTGATTGTCGGGTTGAGTCAATGAAAGCTTGGCCTGCAATGTCTGTCACCCATATCGCACAAGGGATTTAGTTCTTGCTTCAGTATGTATTTATATCAGCTCCCGAGTATCACACGGATATTATCTAATGTTGCAGACACACTGAGCAGCTTTCTCCGATAGCTGCCACTTCCTCCACATTTATCACGTATTGTCTGCCATGTACGCAATTTAAAGGTCCCGTGAGAGCGATTTCTTCTTCAAATTCGTAGCATCGTTGACCTCCGGACTGTGCACATGGAAATATTAGCTTTCAGGTCTTTGTATGCTGGCTTATTTCTATGAAGTCTATAGTTAGGGTATCATTAGAGCTCATGCCAAGTAGGGCAGGGATCATGAACTGACTCATCCGGAGCGGAGTAGTGGTGTCACGTGCAATAGGCAGAGACGAGGCTGTTAGGTAGCAACAGGCTATCTGAGATGACAGCAAGACCAGTGCAAGTGCCTAATGCCTTATCATTCCTATCGTATATGAGGAATATTGTCCTGTTCAACACGACGAAATTTGGGCGGTGATTCTAACAACACCAAGGAGGGCATTTGAATCAACCAGTAACCCTAGGAGTACACCCATTAGGCCCAAACATGAGCGAAACTCTGGGCCCTCTGAGGTTCTCCTTCGAGCACGAACAACGCCAAAGTCCGCTATTCTCACGGCTACCATCCGAGATCCGTGAGGAGATATTTGCATTTGTCCTCTCTAGTTACGATGACACGACTCGAGCATACCAGAAGGAGACCTATTGGACTCGCCCAGGTCATTATGGTCCGCAGCATGTCTCGACGGGCCTCCTGAGAACGTGTAAACGAATCTACACCGAAGCGTGGTTTATGCCGTTCATCTTCGCCGAGCATACTGAATACCTTACCGCGTCAGACAGAAAGCCGCGATCAGCTACGTGGAGCGACTGTCTCAAGATAATGGACGCTGATTACGAAAAACTTCAACCACGTTTTATTCGCATCTTCGCGCAAATGTGGGTACTCGAGCCGGGCGATCGGTTCCAACAGACACTCGATATGCCGCATTTCTATCCCAAACAGATCACGCTCACGATTCGATATACCGACTTCTGGTTTTGGGAGGATGATGAGCCGCTCCGGATTGATTCAACATGGGTGAACAAAATTCGTTTCCCGGAAAGCGTCTCACGGTTTTGTATCGAGTTTGAATCGATTGAGCGACGCAAGAATGAGGTCGACTATATCGCCCGCGAAGCCGCAGAGAAGTGGTATTTCCGTCGGAAAGACGGGTTCCTACTTACCCCCCATGAGTCCGAGACGCCAGTTTTCAAATGGACCGGTAGCTCATGTTTGGGGGGCGAGCGCTGGATCCGCGATGAAGTTCGACCAGGGGAACTGGATTATTATGTTAAGACCGTGACATGGAAGCTGTCGCGAGAGCATGAAGCACGGCCCGGGTGTCCGAAGCTCCAAGTTCCCTATACGATGGAACGGGAGTTGCCCCCATACCTTACTGGTCCTCCATGTCTGGATGTCGATGAGCTTCGTACAGCTGAGATACCTAGCAGTTTGCCGGCTGCTGAAGCACATGAAGCGTTGGAGAAATATCGCCAGGTCTATGATGTAGAATACGACTCCTACGATAATAACGACGATTCCGATTCACGCTAGTCAGGGTGAGGCAGAACAGGGAACTGAGAGCCAGTAGCAGGCCAGTGGTAACAGTTTGATCATTGTGGGCATTTGCGTGCTTGGACCATCTAGGATTGAAGATGTGAGCTGCGTTCCAGTCAGTGACGTAGCCTCCCCTTGCGGTCAGGATGGAGGACAGGGTGATGAAGAAGCTGCCGAACGTCAAAATTAAGGGCCACAAGTAGAGGAAAAAGATGCATGAGCTAGGGAGTTAGTGTAATCGCTGCATCGCGATTTACCTCTACGCTATAGGTTGGATAGAATATAGCTCCAAGCTGTAGGACCTGTTCTGCAATGGATTCCGCTGCTTGATTCTACTCCTATTCTTATATTAGGTGGCAATAACGCCCCAGACTCAATCGGGTAAATAGCTAGTAAATACCTCTCGCGTATCTTACTCTATTTCTGATTTAGGTGGTTTCGCCAGCTGAGCCTTCCGGCAATACTGTCTCTGGATATATCTAATATAAGTACTAAGGGTGATGGGACGGGGAAGCATGCGAGCCGTGATCCCTGCCTGGCTCTTAGACTGCAGGGAGTCATCGGGAATTACGGAAATGTTCTGACGTGACTCGAGTATCCTCACAAAGGATGCGATCGGTTCAGTACTGATGCCTCATCCAGGCTTGTAGGATGAGACGGTGATGCTATCCCAACAACGAAATTTAAAATATGGATCCCAATGTTGGAAAGACAGAATACGGAGTGTCCAGAGGGTCGCTCCAAATCCAATCGGATACCGGAACAGTGTAGACCATGGTTGCTTAATATCAGGTTGTTTCGACCCTAGTCTAGACTAATTAGAGTTACGTTCTGATCACACCACCGCCAGAAGCATAAATGGGAAAATGACCGGCGCTCGCTATTTTGCACCAGTTTTACCATTGATATCAATCAGAATGTCTGTTTGCTTTCACTCTAGAGCATAGGGTCCCCTTCTCTGTACCATAAAACGATTAGATAATTCAATAATTATTAAGCCTTTAAGCTCTATTTAAACTTCTACAGTTGAGAGTCTCTTCCTATTCCTCATCCTCAATAGTTATTAACTCAAATTATGGCTCTGGACTGCAAAGGGCTTAGGCTAAACCAGGCCTGGCTCCCCACTACCCTGCTCAAACACAAAGTGGCCCACACCTGAAAGACCAACCAAGAAGTTAAAGGCCTTGAAGAGGATCGTAGCGTATCTCGAGCAACCCATGCAAGCCGTGTTTCTAACGAATGGATAGACTATCTTCTGTCGTGGGCCGTGCGTCATGGCAATGTCACCGCGACAAGAGTCGTAATACACGGGCACGGTTCTAGATCAGATGGAATGCTCCATATGCCATTTTTATTGAGGCTGATGCCTCACGCAAAGTGCTCTCGCTGCTACGTCCTTATCGTACTCTACAATACTACCTATTTGATATGACTCTATACAAACAATGAAGGGTAAAGCGATTGTTGCGATTCCTTTTGTGGGTCTAGCTCTAGCCGGTGCAGTCCTTGCCCGAAAGACGGAGAATCTCGCAGCTAGGGCGATTCCAAACCTTTGCAACAACAATGGCGTCCCTGACTCCTTTGGCAGCTGTGCTTGTTACGTCTGCCCGGGTGGTGGCGGACAAGACCCTCCGATTCCTCTTTGCACTGACCGCTACGGCAACAGTTGTACCAGTGATGTCGACATGAGTACCTGCTGTTGCGGCTGTTGTTGCACCCCTGTATCTATCCCTCAACTTCCTCCTTGCGCCCTGGTGGCTTCACCTGTTCCTGAAGAGAATTGTGACTCTAATATCTGCGTCAATTGCTGCGACTGCGTGAATGTCTAAGAACCACAAGTAGTTTCGGAGTTGAAAGCTTTCAGCCGTTGTATGGAGTTCCTTACTGGGGTTTAAACTCGGCCGACTGTTAACGGATTCCACTCACTTAGCGCTTGTATATCAATTTGCAAACCATAGTGTACTTGATATTGTTTCAACTGTGCCATCCTCACATCATTGTATATAAGGAAGGTCTATTTCGATCTCTAAGATTGGCTATGGACAAAAGTCATTGCACAAGGCCAGAAAAGCTGGATCTGACTCCTGGGACCTGTGGTTAGGTGCCTGGCAGGGAACAGCGGAATACTATTCGGTTGCATACCATACAAGTTCTTCGTGGAGGTTTTGTTGCTGTCACGCTATGAATCCCAGTGTACCAGCTGGACCCGGACCAAACCGGTAATCGTTGAAATGTATAAGTAATACTTTCTTTAATATACACCTATTTTTTACTCTCGTTTTAGTTTATTCTCTATCTTTGCGTTGTGTATAAACCCACGCGTTATGTCAAGCTCTAAGTAGATTGTGTCTTGCATACCCGTAACCTTCATATCGGCGGGTTCGGGTTGACTCCAGCAGGGGAACTTAATAAGATGATCGATCATCAGAGCTGATAAAACAGTGACAAGGCCGAGACAGACAACGTACCAGCGTCTAATCGTGACCCACTCGTAAATGCATTGTTTGAACTGTCTGCCGATATCACGTGGGGGAATGAATCAATCATATTTGCCATGATGTTGATCTCACTAACTGATGTTTGTGGTGGTGACCCTCACGCAACGCTTGGCAACAGCAACTACAGCCAAGCCAGACAGTGCGGAAGGGAGTTTCTCCTTTAGCTGGTTTTGCAATCTCAACACCCACGCCATCCGATTCTATTCACCTGGGAAGAAGTGATGGACGTTGCTTGCTCTCAGTCCTTGTAGGGCATAACATTCTCTGATTCTCGGAGGCCTGTTGAGTTGTTACTTGTTGAAAGGAAGTGGGATAGATTGTAAAGAGGAGAAATTCAGCCCCTCCAGATTGGCATTAAGCCGTAATTGGATGTGATATTCGGAGTACCTGAGGGGCTGTACAAACCTGGACCCACTGATGTCCAGCCACCAGACCCACACAGCTTGGGTCAGTGCTCTTCAAAACTTTACGATCTCACATTTTGCTGCACGGAATGAATTTCTGAGCCTGGGTGTCTTTCAACCCTGGGTTCAGTGACGGAGATATAGAACGTTAGCCTAGCATGAGGCCACCAGTATCTATGGTTCACTGCCGCAACTTAATTTATCAGACTCCGCTGTATCTATGCACTTACCTACGCAATATCCGCCCTGCAACCGTTATATGCGCAAGGTGAACCCAAGAAGCCCACCTCTTACGTAGGTCACCGCCGACTCACTATCAGATTTGAATCTGCGAGCTCCACCTGAGAGTTCATTTCCATTGTCCAATAAAGCAAATGTTTATTAATTTAGGGCGATGAGTTGGCTGTTTCTTCTCTAGGCATTATCAACTAGTGATCCAGTAAGGGCTATGATCGTCTACCATGTCGGTTGCTTACCCCACTACAAAGTATTGCAGACCACATCGGCTGAAAGATCTGCTTGTTTGAAACCCGGATGTTCAGCCAGCCTAAGAATTATTATGATGGAAGATGTTAAGCCAGTAAGGTCACTAAACTGTGCAATTTCTCCTGATAACCCTCATCCCACCATAGCTTTTTTTTTTTTTTGTTTTTATTTTTCTACTTTCCCCTTGTCCTCTACCTAGTTAGTACCCATCATATTATAATAGCAAAATGCACAAAAAGCACTATGTCCAGCTCACTAAGAGCATGATCCCAGAATTGTTTAAAAGAAGATGTCCGACAGTTGATCCAGAGCCATTTGTGGCTGCTGCCCATGTTTTCCCCATGCGCGTCAATAACCATGTCACTGAGAACCTGATTGACTGGTAAGTGTGATAATAAAACAGGAAAACAGGCCTACTGACGTTCTCGTTGAATAAATATTCAGGTCCAACATCCCTAATGATCCTTTATTTCAGCTTTCCTTCCCACAGCCAAAAATGTTGCATCCTAGTGAACTATCAGACATTATAGCCCAAATGCGCGAACCAGGTGTCACAAAGGTAGCCATGCAAAACATCTCCGAGTCAGTCAGAGCACGGTTAAACCCTCATCCAGCCGGTCAGAAGGAGGAGAATGTCCCTCGTGTAGATGGTGTAATGGTACCGGGGATGCAGCACAAATATCGTGAAACAGTCCTTTTCTTTCCGTCGGAAGTATGTCATCCATCAATATTTATAACTCTAAGGGGGGATGTATCTGACGATGTAGGGCCAATTCTGTCATGCCTTCTGCACATATTGCTTCCGATGGGCCCAATTCACCTCTGTCGGATCGGGCCAGACATTTAAATCCAACGACGCCGCCCAGTTACAGAAATATATCCAGACGCACAAAGAAGTCAAGGATGTCCTGATCACCGGTGGCGATCCCATGGTTGCCCCCGCCGAGGTCCTCCGATCCTACATCCAGCCGCTACTCTCATCAGACAACCTCGACCACCTCGCCACAATCCGTATCGGAACAAAGTCTCTCGCTTGGTGGCCATATCGCTACTTGCTGGACCCAGACGCAAAGGATGTCCTCAATCTCTTCTCGGAGGTGGTCGCATCCGGCAAACAGCTCGCGATCCAAGCGCACTTCAGCCATCCCAGGGAACTTGAAGTCCCCGCCACCCAAGAGGCAATTCGACTCATCCGCCAGACAGGTGCGCAGATTCGATGCCAGGGTCCCTTGATTCGAAACATCAACAACTCCTCTGAGACATGGGCACACATGTGGAGTCTCCAGGCCCGACTTGGCCTCATCCCGTATTACATGTTCGTCGAACGAGACACTGGTGCGAGGGATTACTTCTCCGTTCCATTGGCGGAGGCGTTCAAGATCTACAGCGGGGCGTATTCGCGACTTCCCGGTACGGCACGTACGGCTCGTGGTCCATCTATGTCTGCCAGTCCCGGTAAGGTTGCTGTTGTTGGGGATACAGTTGTTGCGGGGGAGAGGGTGTTTGCGCTCAAGTTCTTGCAGGCGCGGAATCCAAACTGGTGTGATGAGCTTTTCTTTGCGAAATGGAGTCCCGATGCCACGTGGTTGACGGATTTGCAGCCGGCGTTTGGTCAGGACAAGTTCTTCTTTGAGGATGAGTATAAGGATATCGCGATGAGGACGGGCGAGGGTTCTTCAGGGCAGTTGAGTGCTCTAATGTAGTCCGTATATACTGTGTATGCATACAGGATCTGGAGTAATACATTCTAGATAACTATATACTGAAGTATAGTACTACACGCACTTCAGGGACATACTTCTGAGCTAGATACCGCTAACCAAAATTCAAATTACCAAGGAATCACATTCTATCACCGACGGTGCGGTGCAGGCTTTCTATTTGCCCGCATCTCTAACCCTACCTCATCTTCGCGGCCGAACAACCCTTATGTACTAAGGCTGAGACGGCTTAGCAGTAATCTAATGTATCTAGAGTTTGGCGGGCTCTTTAGTTCGTTTTACTACACATAGTATTTATTTAATTTTCCTAATTTAGGAGTGGAGTATTCATACTTAACTATATATACAGTTTTCTTGTCTCCCTGAATATTATATCTTTTTACCGCCAGATGACAATACCAAATTTTGCGTTAGTATCTATTAATATTAGAAATCTTTAAACGAGTCAAACAAGATTATAATACTAGTTTTAGAACGATTCTAGCCCGTTCAAATATATTACTATTTAAGCAACCAGAGTTGCCAGAAAAAGAACGTCGGAGAACTTGGGATATCACGTCGTATTGGGGTTTGTCGACTTTTATCTTTGTGAGATATCCATCTGTTGCTGGATATCTATACATTCCATCAGCGTTATAGCCCATCTTCTGACAGTTGATAGTTGAAGTTGGTTCTGTGAGTAATACATCCACTCCAATGTTTAGGTTTACAAATAGGCATAGGAGAGGACCTCTATAAATAACCGCCAATTGCGGATGATGTGAGTTGGGTATGTTGATAGCGTAGCAGTGCTCCAGAGCAACTGTATTTTAGATATGTCAATATACAATGATAACGGAAAGCCGCGGAGAGCATAGAATAAAAATAATGTTTAATGCCGGGCCAATCATGGCGTGCACCGGACATCTTCGAGCTATCTGCCTATCCGCCCAAAGCCCAATCTCCAACCAAGTGTGCTATCAGACCCTATCTCTCAATCTATTTGTGATGACCGTGGGCCCGACGATGGCGAAGGAAACGGGCATCGCGGCGTACCTTGGCAGCAGAGATAGTCAACGTGTCCGACATACCAGCCGTGCAGGCGGTGCCATCAGCCATGTTTTGTGATGCATCCCACTGTCCGTTCACGCAGCGTTGGAAGGCTGTGCCGCCGTTACAGTACCAGACACCTTCGTCACTGCAAGAACCACTGAGCACACCCGAGGCAGTAGAAGAGACAGAGGCCGATGTGGCCGTACTAGCGACCTCATCAACGACGGCCGTCGTCGAAGAAGCGACTTGAGTCGTCTGAGATGCAATAGATGGTTCTACAGCGGCATTCGTCTCGACCGCGACTTCAGTGGGAGGGCTGGTGATGGCTGTGGGGGTGGTTGAAGCGGTAGTGGTAGCAGCGGCAGCCACAGAGGCAGTGGCGGTGCTTCCAGCGGTATAGAGAGATGGGCCAGGCATGGTATAGGAGCTGATACTTTGCCAGATATCGACATAGATACCAGGGTCAGTGTCCTTATAGAGAGCAGTACCCAGGGTACCACTAGGCGATGCGGTACCACTGCCGGTGACTTGCAAGTTGATACACTGGGGATAGTTCTGAGCACCGTCGAGATCCTCGGCACCATGGAGAGCAATAATCTCATGACGAAGCACATAGTAGCCCGCCTCGATATCAGTGGGAATGGTGATGCTGCGACTATAGCTGTCGTCAATCAGCTGATCCGAAGCCCAGGTACCGGGGATGTTCGTGTCATCGATCAGGCCTCCAGCATCAATTTTAAAGAACTCCAGAGATGTCTTATCGACGTCGGAGCAGGAGCCACTACACTTGGCTAGGTAGGTGATGATCGGGCCATGGTGATCGTCGGGCCAGGTGTTCCAGGTCATTTTCACAGTTCCACCGGGAGCCACCGGAGCGGACAGCGCACCAGGAGCAGAGCCACGGTGGCAGATAATGTCGGAGCTATCGTACGCAGTTGGAGCGACATAGCCGTCATCGGTAGCATTGGTGGACCACGCGATCAGCTCAGGAGGGTCGGACTCATAGTAGTACGTGTCGACCAGGTAGCCACCATAAGTGGTACCATCTACCTCAATGCTCGAGACATAGCCGTGGCCCGCGACCAGCGACACCGAGGCCAGCAGCACACTTGCTACTTTAGAAACAGACATGTTGAGTCAAAGAGAATAGATAATGAAGGAGTGAAAGGGAAAAAGAACTTCAGTCAATGAAGTTTAGGTAGAACTGAAAAAAGAATGGAACGAACCTTCACTCAATGAAGTTTTGCCGAACACAAAATACAAAAACGGATATTTGAATAGAGATGCTATCCAGACCTTTCTGTTCCATCAAGGGCTTATCAGGCTATTTAACCATTTTCTTAACCTAATTGTAGAAAAAAGCACCGAGCCACTGACTGACGAAGTAATACTGGTAGCCTAGGCGAAGGACCACGAGTTTAATGAATCAGGAGTATAATGAAGTCCCCATTTCCAGCATTGTTGATACCATGCTATCGCCTCTGCTCCAAAGATGGATCTAAGTGGAGACGGTGCTGCCAGCTACTATGTCGGTTTTCCTTTGATTCTCTTGATATCCGGGGCGACACCTTGGCGGTTGTCTGCAGCCAGCACGTAAGCTTGGCTACAGTCAAGCTTCTAGTCAAACACCGGCTGTCTGAGAATCATGTCTAGGGGCATTGAAATTGCACTGACGATCTAAGCGAGATCGGGACGTCGGATGCCGATACCAATCATGAATGGTAGCCCGAAATACTCCACCAGCTAAAACAGCCGATGACGCAGCTTTTCCTACATTGGCTAAGGGAGATTTTAAGCAGTAGGCGAACTGGATCTGCTGAGGATCTTTTCAAACCTTGGAATTTGGCAGCCTACAGCGGGTGGAAGTACATAGCTTGCAACAAGGTTGTCTGATCGTTTTTCTGGTGCCTCTCTTTTGGTCACATTTTTTATGCCTGGAATGCAGTCACGTGGATACTGCTGTCCACTGCAGTAGTCAGCATTTGCATAACTCGCATAAATCAGTGACGGCGGGTAAATGTTTACCCGGGAGAAAGCTCGACGCCGAGCATTCTGGCAATTATTGATCGCTGCAGCTACATACAGGGCGTAATAGGGTGACTCACTAAGGTCATATGTAGTGGCGCGTTCCAGGGCATGATGGCTGCCAAATAAACTGTCATGGATGGCATCACCATCAGCTACTGACGCGGTATGGCTGAGGCTCTTCGTGCTGTGCTAACTCACCCTTTCTATCCCTGTGTTGAATTTTTTGTTGCGGGAAGTAACATGCTTCTGAGATTGGACGGACGATGTCAAGCCCAGAAGAGTCGTATGATATGACCGAGTTTGTGAGTAAAGTTGGGGATGAGCAGTGACCTAGACCAAAACCCAGAGGGGAACCAATAAAGAAGTCTTCATTAGGGTCATTGCAACCGCTAACATTGTCACGACTGCACCACAACTCGGAGAAGTTTCTCATACTTGAAGTTTAGTTAAAAAAGAGCTATCAACTGCCATGTTAGTAGTCAGGGAACAATAATGAGAGACTCATGCAAGTCGGTCCAATTGAGAGAAAGTCAAATTGTCATCATGACGTGAGCTTCACACGCTGGACTTCCCAAAGCAGTAATTTTAGCCCTAATGTTGAAAGAAATCCAATTAATATATTCGAAAGGTCCCCCGTATCTCGCTTCACCATTGTTTACCAGTGGCACCGGAGGCATAAAACAGTGGAAATGGCCTCGTGGATCCAGATTGTCCCAGAGAATATACGAGTCGGGGTTTCCATGTAACAGAAGCCAGAACCTAAAACCGATGGACTGGTGACATCAGGACCCACGAAACCCGATTGTCTACATATTTTAACTCCAGGATGGACGTGTAGAACATTGATAGTTCAATTGTTCTCTTTCCATAATTAAATCAAAGACTTGGTTGGCATTAACGATGACAGGTAGCGGTCGAACAAGTGATGCCCTGAGCATTCTCTCCCTATGTATCCATGTCATTCAATGCAGTAGTGCAATTGTGGTGCTGGGCATTACAGCTTGGGCAGTTCAGAACACCAAAACTACTACGGTTATTTACTCCCTCGTCATTGCAAGTTGCCCTCGTTTGCTCCCGGCACAACCGTTCCTCTAACTATATCTCAGGCAGTTCTGACCCCTGCATTATATGTCATCACCTTGATAATAAGCTGCGCAACACGGCGTCGAAGGGGCAATTTCCTGCCGGTGTTGGCGTTTGACCTGGCATTCTCGTATCTGTCAGTCGACGATCGCGCTTTCTCAGACTTCATTTCCCTTAGCTTATGCTAACCCCTCCATTGTAGTTGGCTTACGGCCTTTATTCTTTTAGCTCTCGACTTCAACCAAATTAGCTGTCGTGTCATCCTCTGGAACGGCGAGACCGTTTGCAGCAGAAAGTACGCCGCCGAAGCCTTCAGCTTTATCGCATTGTAAGTCTCCTTGAGATTGCTTGAAGGGAAGGGCTCTCATTCTGTACCACAGTATCGTCACCTTGGCATCATTCCTCGTGGAGTTTGCATTTATGTATGCTGTCAAAGGCGAAACACATGCAGGAGAAATTAGGGAAGTTGGAGATAATGGCGATCTGGGTGCATTATCGCGAAACCTGCGCAACTTTGGGGTAATGCCATAGGTTAAAAGCGGGATTTGTCTGGATTTAATCGGCGACTGGCAGTCAACAAGCAAGGGCTGAATACGACAATGAACCTGCCTCCATGCCGTTGATCTGAACGCTGAGCTTGCCCGAGGACAGACTTGTATCAATTAAAGGTTCTGCTTTAGCTACACATCCGCAACCCATCTAGGTTAAGAATACATACAGAGGATGTTCCGATCCTGCCGTTTCTAACTGTCGCACAAGGTGTCAGCTCCAATTTGTAATGGCAGATTAACGGCTTGACTACCCATTCATTTCTGTCTAACAACAGCGCTACACATTTCCCTTACCCGTGAGGCAATACACTCTCACTGCATACACAGTCACAACCTATCTTGGCTATTGTTAAGGTGAAAGACAGGAGACTTGGAACAGGAGGCAGGGCACGAGACCACGAAACCGAACAGTAACCAAGTCCACCCGGCCTTGAGGCGATATACACCCCCTCCTAGTGGTGGGATTTTCCAAACTAAACATTTTCGGAACTGCTCTATGGTATTCAACATATGCCTCTGGTGGCAGAGTAAACAGCCACGACTTTATTGTCCTTGGCAAGGAAAAGCATAATTTGGCGAAGACTTTTGCCCTCTCTCATTCTTACAGCGACTGTCCTGTTGACTTAGGTTATCACTCATGTACCACAGCAGCGGGAAGGAAAAAATAGCAAAAGAAAATAACCTGCCAATACGAAAAAGTTATGAAAAGAGGGGTAGCTTCATCATCCTCTCCTCGGTGGGTCTATCTACCTCGCGATTAGCCTATAGGGCTTGCATGATTCGTCGTTAGCTCTGAGGCCCTACGACCTAGGCCCAAAATTGGGCCGCTGTTAGGTCAAGGCTGATACGTCCAGTCTTGGAGAATGATTATTGGCTAATATTCAAATCTCTTTCTCTCATGAGTAAGCAAAGCTATCAACGGATTAATTGGTTACACCACGTGCCACCTCAAAGTCAGCGTAAGATCAACACAATATATAATTGCGTCCTAGCCTAGCTCCCCGATGAACCAAAAGGGGCAGCGTCACAGGAACAATCGTTCAAATATCCCGTGTACGAAAAACACCAGCGATAGTATCCTTACAAGTCGGAAACACACATGGCAGAAGGAACGCTCAAGAAGGAATCAGACAGGATACACAAATGGGTAATGGAAACTCTAATCCAGGTAGGTGAGATGGACGATGTCAATGAAGCGAGTATAGTGGATGATATTGCCCTGAACGATTATACAACTCTCATGAAAAGATTGGAGGAGTTTCGGATTTTACAATATTGTATACCTGAGGAACGGCAAGGTGAGTGCCCCCAGAATATAGCTAGCTCTTTCAGCACAACTCAGAGAGTATAGGCGATTTCCAACGGATCTACTGCCGCCTCAAAAAGTACTCCAGCCGTGGCCAGTACATAGACCGGGTCCGGGTTCTCCTGGCATACTGGCTCCACCACTGTTTGTCCTCTCATTTGGATCAGTGCTCCGATAATTCTTTCGACATGTGTTTGCCGAAGCGCCTCATAGATCTCTCCCAATATGGACGTAATAGCCGCACGGTGAAGATCACTGTTGACCCTGATATTAACACGGTGTACTGTGCTCTCAGCTATCGGTGGCCAAGGAAGCATCCAATAGTTCTCAGACGGAACAATCTAAAGGAGCTCTGTGAGGGTGTATCCGCCGATAGACTTGATCATTCTATTCAAGATGCCTGCGAGATAGTCCACGCTCTAGGAATCCAGTATTTGTGGGTTGACGCACTAGTACGTATGACATTGTAGGATACGGCAGCTGATACGGTTAACATGGCTTCTCAGTGTATTATTCAACCTACTGGTAATGACGAGGCCGATTGGTGTGACCAGGCCCCCCGAATGGCGTCTATATACGGTCGGGCCTTGTTTACAATCGCGCTGACCGACGGTACCCGTCTGTCGAAGGCCGCTAAGGACCGTCCATTTCTATACGAGATGAACTCTTCCGTCCCAATGCGGGAATACTCAAATGCGGAAACAAGATTTAAGTGGCTCATGGAAAGTGGGAATGATGACTGTAGACCCGCTGGGGAGCTTGACTTTCGCGGTTGGACTTTCCAGGAAAATTTTCTCTCGCGCCGCATCATTAGCCTTACAAAGAGTGGTATATATTGGGATTGCCTCTGTGAAAGTGCGTCAGCGAGAAGGCCAGTGGGCGTGATGGGGGGAGTGACACCTGACAAACTCCGTGATATTGATAATCGGAGGGTGAGGAGATTAGCCCTGACTGCCACACATGGCATAACGGACCCCGCTGCCTACCAATTGTGGAGGAGTGTTGTTGAGGAATATACGTGGAGAAAGTTCACCAGAGGGTCCGATCGGATCATCGCGCTGAGTGGTTTTATCGACCGGATTGAAGCTGCTCTTCGCGATAGATATGATTTAGGCATATGGCACAATGACAAATTGCGATGTCTCGCTTGGTCAACACGGTGGCCAGAGCTTGGGCGACAGGATGATACAGAGACGCCTTCATGGTCATGGAAACAGATCAGCGTTCCAATTGACTATCGGCTACGCCCCGGGCACTTGACACATAAGATAGAGACCAAAGCGAAGGTCGAACGTGTAGAGACAAAACGTCTTGCATATAACCAATTTACTGGGCGCCTTACGATCACCGGCGCTGTGCTCCACATACAGATCAAAGGCGACCAAATCCGCCCACCAATATACGTACAAAATACTATGGCTGTATGGGATTTCAAACCTGATAGACGTCCTATCGAAAATGGAAGTTATAAAACATTGCTGCTCATGCGTTATGATACCGAAGCGCCGGATGTTGGACATGCCCTTATTCTCGAGCCAACCGGGAGAGCGCAGGAATATCAGCGGATCGGCATGTTCTCGTTTGGAGAGTGGATGACATGCTTAGACAATGCGCGGACATGCAAGGTACACCGTACCACCAAGGAGATACAATGTCTGGGTCGTATTGAAACAATTCACATTGTATAGACATGCGCTGCTAGAGACCCAACTTTGAATAACATTCTTGGTAGAGAGCGAGAAGGGCATTCATCTAGCGGAGGATGTTGCGGCCTGAGTATTTTACTACATATTGTAACGTTAATTACCACATTTCGATATTTCAATTGTAGAAATCAACTAGTTTTAATGAAATATATTCCCCTTCCGAATATGATATAACCTTGTCACTTTGACCCAACCGCATATCGAGGCGCTAGACAAGCGGTAAATTCAAAGGAAGAGACCTCGGTCATTACGCTCGTGTGTTTCTTACCACTTTGCCTTGCGTAGTTCTACCTCCTATCCAGTAGAAATAACCTAAAGCGTATAAACGACAAATAGAGATGCAGTATGCCTGTTAAGATCCACAACTATCTTCCTGATGACTTACAGATGACGCCAGCCCGAGACGCCATTGATCGGACCTCTCGCGAAACACGACGGCAATTTCCCAATTTGCCGATGGTGTACTGTCACACATGCTTATTATCATATCCTACACCGAAAATATCTCCCTGTATAAGCGGAATTATGCTGTCGTGCGTTGTCATTATCTGCTACCTGAGCATAAACACCAAGGGTATTTATCCTTTCCGCTAACCGCGGCTCTGATCACGATGATCGTATGTGTGGCAGTTATATCGCTTGACAGACCGAGAGTGTAGCAGTTACGCCTAGTCAATATAACCCATCCATCGTAGGACGACTACGTTATACGCCATTCTGTTACGTACCTACAGCTATATAATCAACACCGCAGGCCGACAGTATGCACATTCTCCTTCGGGGAAGCAGTGCGAGCGTGTGGCTTACATTCAAATATTGGAGACAAACGTTTAGGGTCATCCACCAATGAGCGAGAAGACCATGGTTAAGTAGAGGGGAAACCAAATATTCAGCGCTTGGCTCCCGCTTCCTCTATCGAGATCCGAGGTTTGTCGATCAGGATTGCGGGGGTGGCTTTCATATGCAACGGCCGATCAGCGAGGGGCGGAGGTTAGACTCCCAAGAAACAAATAGGAGCCCTGTATCACTTCAGTTTCGCTGGGACTAGTAGATTTTTCTCATTACTGTCCTTCGGCCCTACTCTCATCATTGTTAAAACCATGGCCATCGTCAGCTCTCCCGGATACGTAGGCAACCTGTCATCGGACCAGGAAGCTAAACTGCGCCAGATATGGTCCATCATTCTGACATTGAATGATATGCCTCAGCCAGAATTTCAAGATGTGACACTAGAGAACCAAGAGAAACGTCCTCGGTCTGTCCACCGGCGGAGCTCGTCTCTTTCGAAGACCGTGTCAAACACCAGCAATTCAAACCTTCCAAGTGACCTGGATCAGATCCTACTGGGTGTCGGAATCAATAGTACCGAGTTGAAGACCATCCGCGAGTGCTTGAGCCGGGCCTCCATCGATGAGATCCGCCGCAGCCTGTTAAGTACCGCCAAACAAGACCACCCCGACTCACTGCTCCTCCGTTTTATCCGGGCCCGCAAGTGGGATGTCAGCAAGGCTTTTGCGATGATGCTCGAAGCCTTAGTGTGGCGCGTGAAAGAGCAGCATGTGGATGAAATGATCGTTTCCAACAGCGAACTGCGTGCATTCCAAGAATCTCAAAATAAATCGAACCCCGAGAAGACGAAGGCCGGTAGTACATTTCTGGCGCAGATGCGAATGGGCAAATGCTACGTTCATGGAACAGACCGTGCCGGTCGTCCGATCGGAATCGTGAAGGCACGACTACACAACCCGAAAGCACAGAGCGAAGATGTGATCAAGCGTTATATCCTGCATGTCATTGAGTCCGCACGACTAGTCTTGGTCCCCCCGGTTGAATCTGTGGTACGTATCAAGGAGCTCCTCATGTCTACAAGACACACCCCTAAGCGCAATTGACGTCAAGGTGAAATGATATATCACTAACACTATGTATTAGAATATTATATTCGATATGACTGGTTTTTCTCTGTCTAACATGGTAAGTGACTTGACCTCTATCAATTATGAATAGGTCATGGCTCATATAATGTTCTGCTTAGGAATATGCGCCGGTGAAGTTCCTGATTGACTGCTTCCAGGCCAACTATCCCGAGTCCCTTGGAGTCATGTTGATCCATAACGCACCATGGATCTTCTCTGGTAAGTATCCTTTCATATCCGTTCCACCGTAGAATGTTAACTGAGATATCCACAGGGATTTGGAAGATTATCAAGGGATGGATGGATCCCGTGATCGTATCCAAGGTCGACTTCACCTACACTGCTGCAGACCTTGAGAAGCATATTGCCCCTGAGCAGCTTGTCAAGGAACTAGGTGGAAGGGACCAGTACGAGTACAAGTTCATTGAGCCTGTAGAAGGAGAGAATGAGAGAATGGAAGATACCGTCACGCGGGATGCACTCTTGGCGGAGCGAGAAAGGATTGGCGAGGACTTACTCAAAGCGACTGCCGAGTGGATCGAAGTTGCGAAAGAGGACGACTCCGTCAAGATTAACGCTGTCAAGCAGCGCAGGAACGATATAATTGAACAGATGAGACTCAATTACTGGAAGCTCGACCCATATGTCCGCGGCCGTGGCCACTTAGACCGCGAGGGGGTGATAGGTGTGGATGGAAAAGTCTCATTCTATCCCAAGACAGAGTCCGAGATCCAGACGACAGAGACCAAGGCAGTAGCAGTGAAATACATTGCCAGTACACAGGCTAAGGTGGTGAACGCTCAAGTTTAAGATGGGAGTGAAGCTGGCTTCATTATGTTTCGTCATATACGCTATATTATTTCCTTATGCGATCTACAGCTCATTATAATTATTTTTTATCCGCAATGCAAGATATATCTGTCCCATGCTACACGTATAGTACCTCTCCAGGCCTATGCCTAGCCATTTGGGTAGTGATACTGATCACTGTTGCTCTTTTACCTCTGATGACCTTCCCGTATACCGATTCTTATCGTCCACCCGGCATTTCCACACCGCAAATAGCAGCTTGGTCGCGGGTTGCAAGTTGTCTAAATCATGTGGCATGAAGACTTTAGGCAAGAACTTCTGTAATAAAATTGTACCTCGCCGATCATATCCAATATATGCGTTTTCATGAAAGCATGTCAGGCTCCTTTCACATCGTTTGTTACTGACTATCCCTTAGATAATTCTGTTTTTCTTTCCCACGGTTAACCTTTTCAACGACATCCTTACACCATCTGGAAATACTAGGTGTACTGCATCAACCCATCTATATAGTGGACTCGAGGGCTTCTTGACACCACGCTTTCTGAAACCCCTGTCCAATGTACAGAACGCGAATTGGCCCAATTTTGCTTGCTTAAGGGACTAGCATGGAACGGTATGCAGAGATTTACGTTTCCACTATTGCGCAACCTGACTACTTCTCAAACCCTAACACAACGTGGAATTATGGGTACTGCGTTGTACGAATTGAATTCAGTGTAAGGTGACACTGAATCCCCACCATGGAGATAAGTGCCACCACTTCGGTAACTTCCTCGACTTCACAGTTATCAGGTGGTTGTTAATTTGCACATTACTTTTACGGTACGACTTACACAATGGACCTTTCGTATTGCATTTCTATCCAGAGTTGTTTGCAGACTTGTCAGTCTCTCCCAGCCCGCTCATCAGGGTAACCATGCGGCGAGTCAGGATCTAGAAAGGTTGGTTGCTGGGGAGAATATCGTTTTGTAGCAACAGCAACGAGCACATTTACAAAGTGAGCTAAAGCTGTTTGCTAGACATCCGGTATTGCTCTTCGACAATAGAATTTGTCCAAAGAGGGCTGAGATGCACTACCCTAATGTTGGCTTTCCACTGGGTGGGTCCTTTTGTAGAGCTTGTGGGATTTTCCAGTTCTTTCATCCTTTTCTTGAACCTCCTTTAGATGCTGGTTCATAGTTCTACAATTGGACTATATCTATGTATGAAAGTCTTGCTAGAAAACCTAATATTAACTTGTGTGGTGGATGGCATGCATTGTTGAAAGCAGGAGTCAGGTATATCCAATAAGTCGACGCGGGGGAGAAAAAAACAGACATAGACCTCCCAGAGGAGGGCATCATAATGGAAGCCAAAGGAAAGGTTTCAATATTAACCAAGCCGGTTTGATGCTCAAGAGCCACATACAAGCGGGGTTGCCAAAGCTTTGTGGATTCTATGGAGAAAAGATCCACCATAACAACCCCAACACCAAGCAAGACATGCTTGAGCGGAAGTAGCCACAACTTTAATTCCTCAACAATTCCTATTTTCCTCCTATGGAGGTCGCGTCCGATTGCATTTGGGAACCTCTATTTCCCATACACATGGAAGGTTTTGCCGGTCCTGTTGCCTCTACAGCTGGCACCGGAGTAAACGCCCAATTGTATCCTGATGATCGTCTTGGAGAAATGCGATGCGCATTATACACGAGAGGTCCTACCAGCGAGCTAGACCCATGGGGTAATCCATACTTGTGGTAGATAGGTGGGGGCTCGGGGTAATATCGGTAGCTGGGTGGGTCTCGGAGTTTTATCGTTGAAGTTGCAAGCGGCATTACACGCCAAATGATGCAAGGTAGAGGATTCTATATGAATTACCCCAGATAAATATAAAAGAGGGGTTATGGAGAGACCTCCAAGGTAGTCAGGACGCAGGCCTTTCAAGGAAACCAACATCCGAAGACATATATCCGGTGGAAAGATGGTTCTTCTTCAGCGTACTCTCCTGGTCCTGGGTGCAACCCTCGCTACTGCCTGGCAACCACAGCCTTCCGCCTGGTGGAAGGAGGGCATCGTCTACCAGGTTTACCCCGCCAGTTTTAAGGAAAGCCGAACAGAAACGGCCATCGGATGGGGCGACATCAAGGGCATTACCAGCAGCCTCGATCACATCCAATCACTCGGTGCAGACATTGTCTGGCTTTCTCCGTTTCAGGATTCCCCAATGAAGGATATGGGCTACGATATCAGTGACTACGACTCAGTCAACCAGCTTTTTGGTGGCAGTCTTGAGGATATCAAGACATTCATCAGCGAAGTTCACAAACGAGGCATGCGGTGCATCTTTGACCTTGTCATCAACCACACCAGCGACAAGCACAGGTGGTTCAAGGAGTCCGCCAGCTCGAAGACAAACTCTAAACGGGATTGGTACTTCTGGAGGCAACCACAGTATATAAACGGATCCATGTACCCGCCCAACAACTGGGCTGGTAACAATAATGGCAGTGCATGGACGTATGACGCACAAACTGGGGAATACTATCTCAATATCTTCAATCCCTATCAACCGGACTTGAACTGGGACAACCCCGAAGTAAGACAGGCCATTTTCCAAAGTGCCTTGGAGTACTGGCTCGACATGGGCATCGATGGATTCCGCATGGATGCATTCTCTATCTTCAGCAAGGTGCCCGGGTTGCCCGATGTGCCAGCCAACGACACCAACTTCCACGATGCCAGAGACCTGTACTACAACAACGGGCCACATGAGCACGAATATCTCCAGCAAATGAATCGCGAAGTTCTCACCCACTACGACACATTCACCGTCGGCGAGTACGGCATGACAGATAACATGAGCATCGTCCAAGACTACGTAAGTGCATCCCGCCGCGAGGTGAACACCATCTTCCTAACCAACATGTGCGACATCGGCCGCGATGGGTACGAATTCGTCGGGTGGAACTTCACAGGTTGGCGAGAAGCAATTAACTTCACACAATGGAGTGGTAGCTCCTCTGCGGGCGACGGCTGGAACTCGGTATATCTTGAGAACCATGATCTCCCGCGGTCGATCAGCCGATTCGCAAACGACGCACCCACATTCCGTGTTCAAAGCGGCAAAGCACTTTCTGTCCTCTTGACAACACTCTCCGGCACCTTGTTCGTCTACCAGGGCCAAGAAATTGGCATGATCAATGTGCCGGACACATGGACCATCTCCGACTACCGCGACCTCAACTCCATCGCCTACTACAACAATGCCACACAGCACGGGGTCAGCTCTAGCGAGGCTCTCGCCAACCTTGCCCTGTTAGCGCGAGACAATGCACGTACACCCTTCAACTGGGATAGTAGTGGAAATGGGTTCTCCGTCAACAAGACTAGCTGGACTTCGCGAGCCAACCTCGGCATCAACCTTGCAGACCAAAAGGAGGACCCAACGAGCGTATACAACTTCTGGGTGAGGATGCTGCGTCTGCGTAAGGAACAGAAAGATTCGTTCGTGTACGGTGAATTCGAGTTTCTTGATTGGGAGAGCGAGAATTTCCTGGTATACCAAAAGACGAGTGAGTCCGATACGGTGGTCGTGTTTATTAACTTGTCCGCTGGGGCAGCCAAGCCACCAGTGGCCACTCCCAAGAACGCCGAGTTGCTTGTGCACACCCATGACGACCATTCTGGGGCTGTATTTCAACCGTTTGAGGGCAGAGTGTATAAGCTGTGAGCGGTTTAACAAGAACCTAAAGCATTGTATGACTTTTAACTGGCTTTCGAAATAGCGATGCAAATTATTTGTTCAACCGTTATACATTAGTGCCAGTGTATACCTCAAGCAAGACCAATGGTAACTTTACCTACAGAATAACCTGGAATCAGAATAGCTAGCGGCTTCCATATATAACAGAACTACTTGGACATATCAAAACCAGTACATAAAGCATATCGCTTGTCTGACAGCCAAGGTAGCAAAGTAATCATGAGAGCTCACGTAGCTAAAGAGATGATGGCGACGTTAAGTCCTATTAATATCCATTGATTGTTCTTTCCCACTATAGCTCCTAAGTGTCATTATGTCTCGTTATCCACCACCGACGTTTCCTTAGGTGTGATCTAAGGTCTCATTAGACATCTTCCTCTGGTCAATCTATCGGGTGGTGTATGTATGACTAGAAACAGCTATACGTTTCTCAGCTATAGAGCCAAATCAGGAGGAATCCGGAGGATGTTTATTCCCGGTAATTCTCTGTAACAATGTCAGTACCGAAAGCAAGGGGACTGTCAAACTGATAGAGCATCTGCTGCGTATGAAGCAAGATAACAATCCCTAAATCACGCCAAGTGAGAGATCGATCAGGACATCGAGCTATCCGAGTACTAGAGAAGCTATCTTCAACCGTGGGTGGCATGGATCATAGCCCATCTTAGCACAGGCGCCAACTTCAAAGAACACCGCTTTGCATCCATGATCTGGCCAAATGATGAAGATATAGCTAGTCTATGGATATACTAACAGATTCATTAGAGACTGCCTTAGACGGAGGGTTATATTCTGGTGAAAGAGAGAGAAGATCGCGTTAACGCGTGAACATGCGGGTATGGTAGTATTGTATTACCAATACTTTTGGGAATGCAAGAAACGCTTAACAAATGCCAAGAGCTCACTGGGACAATCTAGGGATACTCGCCAGCGATCCCCAGCCCTCGGGCAAGTCATGGCCAGTCGACGTGCCAGCTGGGCCCCACATCGTACCTGGAAGGCCTTAAATTAGGGATATCCCAGTCATATCTCTGCGATGTGTTGGGATGCCCCATAGCACGGACCTTAGTATGATCTGCGCTCCTTAAAATAACCCCTAGCCAAACGGGGGATTTTGGGCACAGCCGCATCGATAATGTTAGTCGTATAAATAGTAGCTTAGGAAGTTTTTCCTCCCCGCTGGATTTTTTTTTTTTTTTTTTTTTTTTTTTTTTTTTTTTTTTTTTTTTTTTTCTTTTTTTTTTTTTTTTTTTTTTCATTTTCATAGCTGGATCTATCTTCAACGACTTTGATAATGGGGCTGTTGTCTCCAAGGCTGCGAGGCACATTGCACACACTCTGCCTGGTTCTAGGGTTTGCGACAGCAACTCAAGGACACCTTGTTGTTCATGATGACTCCTTTCAGCCCGACCATATCCTTCGAGTGACTGCTCAAAATTATAACCAGGCATGCATGGACCGATATTCAGTCGTTGTAAATGGATCGCTCCCAGGCCCCCAGTTACATATCCAGGAAGGCAAGGTGAACTGGATCCGTGTCTATAACGACATGGAGGATTTGAATGTCACAATGGTACGGAACTGGTTCTCTTCTCTGCAAAGTAAAGTTATATTCACAATGATCACAGCATTGGCATGGTCTTTCTGCCTTTACGGCGCCCTTTTCCGACGGTACTCCCATGGCTAGTCAATGGCCTATTCCTCCGGGCCACTTCTTCGACTATGAAGTTCGCCCCGAGGTGGGCTATGCCGGAACTTATTTTTACCATTCCCATATTGGCTTCCAGGCCGCTACTGCCTGGGGTGCGCTTATTGTAGAATCGGCCCAGCCACCACCATATGAGTACGACGAAGAGCGCGTCATCGCTCTATCAGACTTCTTTACTAAGACGGACGAAGAGATCGAAAATGGCCTCACCTCTACTAACTTCACATGGAGTGGAGAGACCAGCGCTGTCTTGGTCAACGGTCAAGGCCGACTGGCCAGTAATGCTACTGGGTCCTGTAAGCTGGCCGCTATCAGTGTCGAACCCGGGAAGACATACCGTCTGCGATTTATCGGGGCCACAGCTCTGTCGTTTGTCTCATTGTCCATAGAGAGCCATGACGTGCTAGAGATTATCGAAGCAGACGGCCATTATACTAAGCCTTTGAATACCAGTTACTTGCAGATAGCTAGCGGCCAGCGGTACAGCGTGATCCTGAAGACAAAAACCGAGGCCGAATTGCAACAGGCGAAGTCTCGACAATTCTATTTCCAACTCACCACCCTGGGCCGGCCAACCGTCCTGACAACTTTCGCAGTCCTGGAGTACCCATCTTCCACCACGACTGACCTCGTTACTGTTCCTGTCACGCCTCCCCTCCCCGTAGCCAATATCACTTACGGCTGGCTGGACTACGCGTTAGAGCCGTATTCTCCGAATCTGGACTTCCCCACTGCCGAGGAAGTAACCCGGCGCATCATTATTAATGTTCACCAGAATATTAGTGATCGCACCATATGGCTTCAGAGCGGGTACGACTGGGTGGAGGCATTTCCGAAGTCACCATACCTAGTCGATGTCTATCAGGGTACACTTGACCTCGACGCCTCGTATAAGCGGGCGATTGCCAGCGGCTTTGGATTTGACAATCAAACCCGTCTCTTCCCTGCCAAATTGGGTGAAGTTCTCGAGATTGTCTGGCAGAATCAAGGTGCCGTTAATAATGGTGGTGTTGAGAACCACCCCTTTCACGGACACGGCCGACATTTCTATGACATCGGTGGTGGGGATGGGTTATACAATCTAACGGAAAATGAGATCCGTTTGAAGGATACCCATCCGGTATTTCGCGACACAACTATGTTGTATGCGTACAGAAAGAAGACGACTGCTCTCCAACCATCTGGCTGGAGAGCGTGGCGGATCCGTGTTACAGATGCTGGTGTATGGATGGTACATTGCCACGTCCTTCAACATATGTTAATGGGGATGCAAACGGTCTTTGCTTACGGCGACCAGGCGGATATTAAGGCGCAGTCTGGGGCCCCTGATGAAGGCTATCTGACGTACGGTGGCTCGGTATATGGAAACACCTCGCATTCCCCAATCGTACAGCACTTTTTTTGATTGGCTTGCCAGGCATTAATTAGAACTTGTGACTTGTCAAGACTTCTAACTGAAGTTATGATATCTAATAGATAATAGTGATGTTAGACGTTGAGTCTGTTAGCGTTGTTCTAAGATATCCCTGATACATCTTATTTTCACATCTTGATACAACCGTCCCTTATGAAGCGTACACAGGCCTGATGGGCTTGGTTAGTTCTATCTGACGAAGTGTAAGCCTACGGGGCTCTTGGCCTTGTCAATAATGACCCAACTCTCTGTAAAACATCGCGATTCTTGATGTATAACCTTTAGTCCTCTTTTCAATATATTTATCCTATAGATCCATCCCAGATATTATGGAACCACTCACTCTCCTCCTTAGGTGATTAACAGATAAAGATATCAACTCAAAGTCATTTCATCTTGTTGCATATAGAAATAGAGAAATGTGATACGACCAGATAAAGCCCAAGGGCGAGTGTGGTGTTATCAGCCCACTGCGTTTCGCGCGGTGTTTTCGATCAAGATGGCGCCGAGGTGTTGGAATGGGCTGGAAAGAAGGTGTGACCTGGTATGTATGGGTGAGTAATATGACGGTTCGTACGGGTCGGGCCGCCAGAATGGACATCTGTGCGTTGTGTAAGTCTCGTATTAAGATCAATAGGTCTCATACTGGATGCTAAATATAGCAGTGGCTACCCAGAATGAGACTAGGATGTTGTTTGCCCTCCTGCAGTAAGCAAAGCAAGTGGGGTAATAGTGACCATGATCACAGCCTCATCGGTGTCACAGACACTCTATTTTGAATGATTATCAGTTGCTGAAGAGACTCCATATGCACTTCACGACATGCCGGAGGAGCCTCCTGTCTATAAAGTGGTGGTCCTCGGCGACGGCGCCGTCGGCAAGACTGCCTTCACTCTCCAGGTATGCCCAACGTGGGACTCGTTGGTACTGGTGAGGCACTAATGCTGAAGCTTTCAACCCTCCCAGCTGGTCTCACAAGCCTTCGTCGGAATATACGATCCAACCATCGAAGAAAAATATCATAAGCAGCTCGTCGTCGATGGCCGGCGATGTGTGGTGGAAATTCTAGACACCGCCGGACAAGAAGAATACTCGGCATTTCGCGAAATGTGGATTCGGGAAAGCGAAGCATTTATCCTGATGTATAGCGTCACCTCGGCCACGAGTTGGGAAGGGGTGAGGGGATGGCTGCAGCAGATCCGGGCAGTTCGTGAGCAAGTTACGAAGAAGGCAGGTTTACCACCCCCAGCTTCGCTCTCAGAGGTGACGTGCATAGTCGGTAGCAAGACCGACGATGTTGGAAAGCGGACCATAAGCACGCAGGAGGGCTTTGCCCTGGCAAGGGAGCTTGGATGCCCATTCTTTGAATGTTCGAACTTTATTTACGACCAGGTCGAAGCGCCAATAGTCGAAGTCATACGCAAACTTGAGTTACAGAGAGCAAAAATCAACAAGGTCGATGCCATCAAAGCTGAGGTTGCGAAGATGGAAGCCGAGATCAGACCGAGCCCCAAATCGCTCCACGAGTCGCTCGGTCGATTCCTATCCTTTCGGTTTCGCAAGGGCGGTGCTCGCCCACTCGTATCCCAACCTCAGTCGCTCACATATAGCACCGCCCGACTTCCACAACAGGTCCTTCTGTCTCAGATGATGGTCCAGGCGGTGCGTTTGAACAAGACAGCAGAGGTAAGGCGACTACTGGCGATGGGGGCAGATCCAAATGACATCGCAGGGGTTGAGAGCAGTCCTCTGTCGACTGCGGCGGCCTTGGGCTATGGAAAGATGGCAGCCCTCCTGCTAAGCCATGGGGCAGCTATCAATGCGCGTGATGCGCGTGGGGCCACAGCTCTTGTGCTGGCCGCCTCTGAGGGCCACTTGGCAGTCGTGAAGTTGCTGGCCGAGCAGGGTGCGCAGATCAACGCTCTGAGTAATATTCAGGGAACGGCTTTGATCGCAGCCACGTTTCGTGGCCACGCCAAAATCGTCTCGTATCTTGTGCAGCAGGGAGCAGATGTCAATGCCCGGGGAAGCCAATACACCACAGCGCTTCATACTGCCGCGGTGGTGGGCAAGGAAGGCATGGTTCGGATGTTGCTCGATGCAGGTGCCGATTCGACGAGCCGGGATGAAGAGAACCGTAGTGCGTTGTATCTGGCATCATCTCTCGGCCACGTTGCAGTGGTTCAGTTGCTGCTGCTGCGCGGTTCCACGGCGATCATTAATGAAGTCCACGTCAAGTATGGCAGCGCTCTCGATGCAGCCTACGCGAGTTCGCAATTTGCCGTTGCCAAAGTGCTTCTACACTTTGGGGCAAAAGAGTCCCTCAACCCAACATCTACCGTCTCGGTCGCTATGACGAGTGGTGTGGAACATGAGGATATAGGCCCCCCTAGTGATCGATCCGGAATAGTAACGACTTTGCTATCTTCTTCCACTGGCCGTGTGTCAGCTCGGTCTTCCAAGCCAATGCCAAGCGACTCCGCCCGTCCCAGCCACCGGGATGACTTTAAGATTGCCATCATATGCGCCTTGCCCCACGAAGCCGATGCTGTCGAAGCCGTATTCGATTGCTGCTGGGATGGTGACACCGAACAGTACGGCAAAGCCGAGGGAGATACAAACGCGTACACCATGGGGAAGATGGGGCGTCACCCGGTGGTTCTTGTACACATGCCCAGCATCGGGAAAGGTGCGGCGTCCAGTGTGGCGTCGAATGTGCGAAATAGCTTTAAGAATATCGAATTAGCATTGGTTGTGGGAATATGCGGCGCAGCTCCTCTGACTCCCAGTCACGAGGAGATCCTCCTGGGCGATGTCGTGATCAGCGATGGAATCATTCAATATGACCTGGGCCGGCGTCTCCCTCATACCTTCATCCGGAAGGATACTCTCCTAGACAACTTAGGTCGACCCAATCCACGCATCCGCAGCCACCTAGCCAAGCTTCGCGGTCGACGGAGTCGAGTGCAACTGCAAGAGGAGCTTATTCTTCATCTCACCGAATTGCAAGAAAGGTGGCCAGACCAAAGCCTAGAATCTCCGGGCATTGAACAAGACCAGCTATTCCAATCGACATATCATCACCAGCATCACCAGACACCGTGTTCGGTCTGTGCCACTAACATGATAGAGGATTGCAAAGATCGCGCAATATGTCAGGAAGCCCTGCACATGACCTGCGACGAGCTCGTTTGTGATCCGAAGATGGCCATCCCTCGCATTAGACACCAAGTCGCCCTTCACGGGGATGGGACCCTCACGCCCCGCGTCCACTACGGACTGATTGCATCCGGAGATAGTGTGATTCGCTCCGGCGTGGATCGAGATATCCTCGTCGCACGAGATGGGGTCATTGCCTTCGAAATGGAAGGAGCAGGGGTCTGGGACAATCTACCGTGCATTGTTATCAAGGCTGCTTGCGACTATGCCGACAGTCACAAGAATAAACACTGGCAGAATTATGCAGCTGCGACGGCGGCAGCTTGTACGAAGGCTTTTCTCCAGGCGTGGGTGGCAAATGATAGTAGTACGACCCTCGAATGAGTATTCCGTAGGAAAGCAACCTTATACCATAACATCGAAATATTCTACGTAATATATCTCATATTTGTCGACTCTTAATTTAGTAGCTTGGAAGGGCAAGGACACAGAGTGGGATGCGGCCGAGAAATCGATCGAAGCAGTTTACATCGCCATTGATTTGATATTGAGAGAGCCTAGGACAGGTCTACCTGGCCACCTACATAACACACGGGGTCCCAATAGTACAATTGGTACCATGCAACAATGAAGCTGTTCAAAAGGGAGAGGGTAATAGTGGTCCTGTACTAAATAGGGCAGTTATTATCGTAACTTTTCAGGAAATGCCAAACCCTCTACCATCGCGGCAACGCTGAACAAACTAGCGCTCCACTTAACAAGAGAGCCCGGTATAGCTCATGACTAGCTTGAATCAGTATGAGGTCGGACCGGGCGTCTAGTACTACTTTTCTATGCTTCTCTTGGTAGCGCTATGTGTAAGGTTTCACTCTCGTCTTCGTCCCGGTTGCCCTGTGCATTAATTACTTTTGCTCACGGCCCATTTTTCTTTGTCCCCCTTTTCTGTGGCTTAGACCCTGACGTTACAAGCTCCTGATGCTAGGGCCCAATGCCACAGCCGACGAAGAAAAGACGTTGGGCCTTCTCTACCAGCATATCGAGGCCTTGCAACAGCCACTAACGACACATAAATATACCGAAGCATCGTATCGTCGACTTTCCCACCACTCATGGCGTCTGACATCATCAAATATGTTTAATACTCTAATTCCAGCGATAGTTGCGCTATGCCTATCTGTGTCGATTACAGGCGTATTCGCTACGCAACCGGGGGTTGGAACTCCAGCTGCCACAAACGGGGGCAGGCAAACGAAACCTCTGAGCCAGTATACACGAGACGTACACGACCAGTGTCAAAATATTCAGATACTCCCGTTGAGAAACATACAGAACATTCCGCCAGCACCAGGCAGGCCTGAGGATAGCTTTGCACTAGAACATAGTGAAATCAATGTGACGGACATCCAACCACAGCCACCTCCTCCAGCAAGGCTAGTGGCAAGCTGTGGACCCCCCAGTCGACGACGCCGGACGGAGCTACGTTTAGATAACTGTCTGGGTTGGGATGCAGCGGGTGAAAGACTTATCGCACAACCGAAGTATAACCATTCCCGTCCATTCGCGGTCCACAGTGGATATTGACAATTGTAGTGGATACGGACTTCAACGAGGTGGCTGCTGGGGTTGTAAATATTTTCCAATCTCCAGGGAGAAATTCCGCGTCGTTTGTTTTTGTGACAATGTGACCCAAGGTCTGATGACGGTTATCCCCGGGATTGATAGAATGGCTGCTGGGAAGGCCTTCGCTGAAGGTAAGGATTCATTGGAATATCTAATACGTTCGACCTCACTAACCGTCTCTATGCAGATGGCGTGTGGAGATTGGTCAATGGTCAACTTCAGTGCCAGAATAGGGGATCTTGAAGAGACCCTTGGGGAGGTACGGTTCTTAGGTGCCTATGGACATGAGGTTACCATTTTTATCTCATAAGTAGAATGCTCTACCATTCTAAGACACTTATAATAAATATGAAACTGTGGTATCGCGGTATAGATAGTGGGATTTCGTCCCAGGTTCCTGGCTCAACATCAACGTCTCACACCAACCTAAGCTCCCGTGATGTTTTCTAGCCCCGACGATCTTGGCAAACGGAGACCCGAACAATCGCCACATTTGCCCGGAATAATATGCCACAAACATCACGATTGTATTTCTAGTCCCAATCAATGGTAGCTCCGTTGATTCAAAGTTCCTTCCAGTTAAGCACCATCCGGGATCATATTGTTGATGTTGCGTGCGCCTACTGTACCCAAGGGAGGAGGGTAATATGTGTATGAACAAGGCCCGATATATATCTCTCTCTTATGGAGATGAGGAAAGCCCAGGAAAGGTGTGATAAACTTGGATTAGGTGACCAAAAATAACCATACTACGAATCTTAGCAGTGCCACAAATCTAAAAGTCTCCTTGAACCTTTAGTTACAATTTTCTTGAATTGTTCTGATGCCAGGTCGCCGTTATGTCTTCATCCGAATAGTCTCGGGGACAGAACATCACGTGGCCCGGAGGTTCAACCCAAACAACCGAGGAATGCGGCTAGAATATCGTCGGTTTTCAAACGCGCTAGGTCGAACTTCGCCTAGACCATATACATAGTTCTGGATCAAGGGACACTAGCTAAAATAACGTACGACACTCTCCTTCCTTCTTTCTCTCTTTACCTCTGTTTCTCTCTTTCTCTCCCCCTCCCACCCTCATTCTCTCGCGCTATTTTTGGAATCATCGACCCGGAAAGCCGAATTGTGTGTCTGCACAAATCCAATCGTCATGCGAATCTTTATGATGTCGCGCGAAGCACGCGTCCGTGCTCCCATGATGGGCCCAACAGGTCGGCAACTGGATTGAATGTGCACACGAACTCGACCAAGTCAGTGCGTCGACCCCTGGCCGGGCACCATCAATAACTACGACATGAGCTTGGAGCGCTGAAGTTGAATGGCTGCAACCGAGGGGAGCAGGGAACATAATGCCGAACAAGACACGGAGTTCTTCCTGCTACGGGGACAGGCGATGTTCAAGGGGCTTCAATTAGGATCAAGAATGCATATCACGAATGGACATCGAGGCACCAGGCCGGCAACCTATGAACTCTCGAAACTGAGATCAGCAGAGGCATCCATCATTTGAGAAATTCCCCTGCGATTCATTCTGCGACATCGGCATACGGGCCTCATCTCGCTGAACGCCATGGACCTCCTGTACGGCCATCACTTGGGCTATATTGGTAGACTGCTCCATAGCAATGACCTGGAGGCGGAATGGCTGGCGACTCTGGCACAAGACCAAATCCTGAAGTCGGACGAAATGCCCTGATGCAAGATCCGTCTGTGTGGAAAGCACGGCATTCCCCAACTCGACAGAAGAGTGGCACATTCTACGCAGGCTAGTATAAGGTACTTGGCAGGAACATCCAATTATTGTCGCCAAACTAAGGGATGGCGGGGCGGTAGTGCGATACTGCTGTGTTATAAAGAAGGATGAGAATCTCGAAGACCTTCCAGCAATCGGGAGGAAGATCCATTGATTTCTCCACCGTCTGTCTGGCTCCATAAATTGGGGCCCAATACACTTCAGTTGATCAAAGTGTTTTTGAAAGATTGGGCTAATTCCCTGAACCAGCATCAGTCATGTTGATACCCTTTCATTCTAGAAAATGTCCACAGGTTGAACGGTACACGCTGAATAATTCACACACTCTCCTTTCTTGTGAACCAATGGTCTAATTATCATTTTTATCTGTATCTTTGTATATCCCCAGCTTGTCTAGCTACTTATATACGCAAAGCCAAGTCCGCACTCTTCATGTCACTAGCAGGCATGCTTCACTATAGGAGAATATATCCAGGACATGGGTGACCTGGAGTGTAGTAAAGATACAGGGTTTACATAGATCTTAACTGACGGATGTCGGATCTAGGATACCGGATGCTGGATGCTGGAGCTCGGTTAAACTGTTATATTATATCGTCTACTTGGCGGAAGGGGCTTGAGCACTGCCGATCCACCGATGTCAAAAACCACCTTGATGGACAGTACAAGTTCTTATTTTCCAAATAGGAATGCAAAACAGCCAATGCGAGATTATCCCCTCGTTGTGATTCCACTATGGCACTGAACAAAAAGAAGCTCACTGACATCCAGCAAGTCTGCGATGAACAAATTGAGGATATTTCATTTGACCTGGTATCTCAAAAACAGCAACAAGGCTATCACGCATCGACACCTCAAGATATCAAATTGGATCGCCGGCTTAACCTGAAGCTTGACTGCTTTATTATCTCTGTCTTGACAGCTGGCTTTCTGGTATGGTCTCCCGGGCCAGCCGCGTCTACCCTTCGATATCACATAAGATCCCTGCTGAATATGCCTAGCTGCAAGCAGTAGACAAATCGAACATAAGCAACGCTGCTACGACGAATAGTATGTGAAACCCGAACCTCGCAGCCCTCATCTCCCGCAGTGACCGCAGAGAAAAATGCATCCTAACTGGCCAAGCGCAGCTTTCAGCCAGGACTTACATCTGAAGCACAATGACGTGCCCAACGCTGTATCTCTCTATGCCGCTACTTTCATTCCGTGCATGCCCATTTCGGTCATGCTCGGGAGAATTGTTGGGCCTCGTTGGTGGCTGCCGTTTATAATGGCAGCTTGGGGCGTGGTGACGATCACTCAGGCGGTGATGAAAAACCGGGCACAGATGATGGCCCTCCGCTTGCTTCTCGGAGTTTTTGAAGCTGGATATGTTCCGACCGCATACTACTATATTGGCACGTTATATCCTGCATACCAAGCCGGATTTCGGATGGGCATGATGGCGCTGAGCTTTGCGTTCTCTGGGGCATTTGCCGGTCTGATTGCTTATGGATGCTTCCAAATCCGGTCGTCGGCGTGGAAGGACTGGCAACTTCTTTTCCTCGTTGAAGGAAGCATCACTATATTTCTCGCCGTCCTGGCGCTGGCAATCTTGCCGCACAAACTGAGAAAAGCATGGTTTTTGAATGAAGAGGAGCGCGCACATTCGGGTCGGCGCATGGCTACTGATGCAGGCCTGGATGAAGATATGACAGGGGCTAATGCTGAGGAACAGGACCATGACATCACCACAAAGGATATCATCAGGGCTCTGAAGGACTGGAAGAAAGTCCTTATCATTGTGTGCAATTTGTGTGCCACTACGCCTGCATATGGCTTCGCCATCTTTCTACCGCTGATGGTCAAGGGGATGGGCTATGAATCAATTAAAGCGAATTTGATGACAGTCCCCCCGTTCATGGTGTAAGTGGCTCTCTGGGAAATAAGGCTGGTCGCCTAGCTAATAGCCACAGGGGTGGTGTCGGCCTCCTGACCATTGTCTGGCTCTCGGACCGCTTGCACGAGCGCTCCGGCTTTGCCATTTTATCGATGTTGATCTCGATCGTTGGGTATATCGTTCTCATCGCCAGTAAAAGTAACAAGGTCCGCTACGGATTCCTCCATGTTGCCCTTATCGGCTCAGGTACAGCAAACCCGCTGATTGCCGCATGGCTGACGGACAACACACCCGACCATGCAACGCGTGCGGTTACGATGGGTCTCTTCGGGTTGACCAATCTATCTGCGGTCATTGCCGGGCAGATCTTTAGAGAGAGCTATGCACCATCGTATCGTATCTCCGTGATTGCTGTTTTGATCATCGTGTCGTTCGGATTGCTTGGCTTTGCGGCGATTCGCTGGTTGTATATGCTAGAGAACCGCAGGCGAAAGATGGAGACAGCAAGCTGGACTGCAGAGCGATATGAGGAGGAGAGATATACCTCAGAGCGGATTGGACATGAAAAGAAATATTTTGTGCTTAGATACTAGTGCAAGAAGCGGACTCGCATTTTATTCCTTCCAGTTTACCAACTATAGTAAGAACCCTTGGTTGACTGGGGGCAGTATAGGCTTGCTAATAAGCATGTAGCTCTATCCATGCAGCGTCTAGGGATCAGTTCATACGCCGTGTTGCGATGAAGGAACCCGCCACTCAATTCTAGTACGTCGACAGTATTTGGATGAGCCAATGTCATAGTCTACAATGAACTGTTGAGATTGTTAGCTAGATACTTGGGCGGAAGGAATGATCTCACCGAATTGGTTCCATGATGAAAGTTGACCGGTTTTTCAATAAGATATACCACTCAAAAAGATCGGCTACGAACGGCCGAGTACTATTAGTATCACAGCAATTCGCGGCTAATACTGCCTGATGTAAAAATTGTCATATCTGATTGTTATGGTGTGCTTCACTTTAAGCTTGGAACATACAACGTGACTGATGGCGCCTTTTATCCTGTGAAACATGTCGAGATCTACGGGGTATGCTTCATGACATGAAATCATATGTATATATTCAAATTGAAAAATGTATACTTTATAACAAAGGACCCCCTGAGGAGCTATCCGGTCGTATTACGGCCGAGGGTAAAATTTCATGGGGCAAGTAGTCAGGCCGATCTCTGGTAACCGTGCATAATGAATCTCTCCATCGACCTCGAAATCGACCGTGTGATCCAACAATGTCTCGAGGTAGATTCGTAGCATCATGCGTGCTAGGACCATCCCAGCACAGCGGTGCCTACCGTGACCGAATCCAAGATGTGTCGAGATATTCTCTCTGTGCATAATGAACTGGTCAGGGTGTGGAAACTGATCCGGGTCGCGGTTCGCGGCCGCATAAACGACAGTGATCGGCTGGTACACTAGGTCAGTTTTGATTCTGTCAATGCTATTGCAGAGCCTGGAGACATACTTCATCGGGAGGAACCGTGGTACCTGAAATTTCGACTTCATGCAGCGCTGTTCGAGAGAAGCCCCGATAGGGGACATATAATCGAATGAACTCCTCAATCGCCGCTGGTAGAAGCCTTTTGTCGTTGCGTAGCTTATTTTGTAGCTCCTTGTCTTTGCTCAAATGGTTTGTCATTGAGGAGATGATGATGCTCGGTGCAACCATCGCAACGATCAATATCTGGCGGATACAGCCACTGAAGTTTGTCAGCACAAACGCAAGCAAGAATGAGCTTCTCCAATCGACTTACACCAAATTGTGATCATCCAAAGGATTCCCATCATGATCTCTCTCAATCAGCAAGCTCGACGCTGGGTCCTCTTCCGGATTAAGAAGGTTATCTTTCCGCGATGCAATCACGCGCCTGGCAATCTCGTAGAACATATCACTGGACGATTTTACCAGTGCCCAGTTCTGTGTCCGCCACGCCGTTACAAATGGAGTGATTGCACTGGTGAGGAGCTTGGAATCTTGCTCATCCAGATTGAGCCACTCCTTTTCAACCCAGCCGGAAAACTGGGCGCCAAATCCTTCATATATGTCCCCATGACCTTGTTGGATTAAACAGCCAAGCTCACGCTCAGCATGGCTTCGCAGGATGGGTTCCAACCGTCTCAAACGAGCGGGTTTGAGGGTTCGATCTACTGCAGTGCGATAAGGGGCATGCTGGTCGCCATCGAACTTGAGCGGGGGTCGTCGGATTCCCCGGGGATCTGCGGGCACCACAGCACACTTGGCTGAGATGAACTTTGAATTGTCGGAGGCCGTGGCCTTGACATCGGCATATCTGTCCCGCTGGTTAGTTTTCATTCTTATAGTTCACCTGAACGAGGCTTGGCCTTGGGTCACAGTCATACTTCGTCAAAATCCAATACCCACTGTGTGCATTCACATGAGCCACAGGGCAGGTTGAGCGCAAATGAGCATACTCTCTGTAGATTTTCTCTGGATCGTCACTATGAACTAGGTGGCCTTTATTTATGTCCCAGTTCGCAGGGAATTCGGTATCGACTGCAGCCATCTTGTTGTCTCAGCTGCTCGCCAGATCTATTGATTGTTCTTGTCTTGGTTATTTGTTTGAGCTGATCACCTAGTTGAATCCAGATTCACGAAAGTTATATAATTACGATCAGTGGCCATGAGAGCCATGGTCTACTCACGCTCTGGCCGGATATCGGATGTCGGGTATCGGAACAGGGGAAGGTCGAGGTGTGTCTCTCAACCTACCAGATAAAATAGAAGCTAGCCTTGCAAGCGGGAAATGTGCGGGGAAGGATTTCCCCACATTTTTGCCCCAGGTTTCTTCTGCAGCGCCTGCTCGAGATCACACTGTTGTGGACCTTATCCAACTGCCGAAAGACACGTACTGCGAAATAATATACCTAATGGGCAAGGGTTACATGTCATAAACTATGTCATCCATGAAAAGGAAGTTCTATGAGAGGGTATCTCAGGCCTGCGACATGTGTCGCAGGAAGAAGATGAAGTGCAATCAAAAACTCCCATGCCAAACGTGTAAAGGTAAGATCCGTATCGCTGCCATATCGGGCCGGATTCTGTGATCTGACGCCCCTAGATCGTGGTTTCCACTGTGTATATTCAGAGAGGAAATCCCGACGCACCAATTCGTCTCGACTGCTTAATGATGGCTCTCGGATGAACGAGCAGCGCCGGTCCGACATCCGCTCCCATGATGGGCCCGACGGAGTGAGACGGAGTGAAACCGACCATGAGGAAGCACAAACGAGCACAATGATACCACTTAGTGACCTACGGGAGGTTCACCAAGAGGTTGTGCAAGGGACGAATGCGCACACAACGGGAACCGAGTTCTACGGCAATAGCTCTAACTTTGCCTTGCTGAGCCAGCTTTTTTCAACAGCCAGGAAGCTCTCGGGAGATCATCCAGATATGCCGATGGCTACGGTTCAAACCCCATTATCGATTGTGGACATGCTCTACGACGATCAATCCGCCATCCCTGATTCAGCTCCACCAGCTCCGGTCACGGCGGCGGGAAGGACGTCTCAACTTCCTAAAGCCTCCCAGGCTGTCTCCATCGGAAAGGAATTGCCGCCCACAACGCGACCAACAGGTACGGGTCGGGATCACCTGGTGGGACAGGGACAACCAGGGGTTTGGGATTGCTTCGTTGGTAGTCCGATGAGGCTGGAGATGGAGTACGTCAATCTCTTCTTTGAGAACATCCACAACTCACTTCCATTTTTGGACAAGAAGCACTTCACAGGACGATGTGAGCAGGAGATCTGGGTCAAGAGCACATTCAAAAAGCTGCGACGAGATCAAATGCATTTCTTTGCTCTGTATAATGCAGTGCTAGCTGTAGTGGCTCTAACAGCAAGTGCGGATGCATTTCTGTCGTTACGTACTGAGCTTGAAATTAGTTTGACAGAACACTCACCATCTCGACCGCCCAGAAATGCTCCTTCCTCTGTTTTTCTTTCCAAGATTTACTTTCGCAGGGCGCGTCAGTTGCTGGGAGACCTCTTCGAGGTCTGCTCCATGGAAAGTGCCCAAGCCCTTCTTTTATTGTCCATGTATTGTCAATATGCGCTCAAGCCACATGCGTGCTATATGTACAGCGGCATGGCTGTGCGAACTGCACTTGCTATCGGCATTGCTAGCAATGATCGATACCACTCCGATCAACACAATTTGAACAGGGCCCGGACATGGTGGGCTATTTACTACCAGGACATCGAGGCATCCTGCCTATCTGGAAGATCTAGTACATTGGCAGAGCCAAGTGAATACGGGCCATCCTACAGCCACATGTCAGGGGAGCCTGCTTCATCCTCTCAGAACCACCTAGGCGTGCAGGGAGGTGAAAACGTCATTGTGACTGTCTTAGCTGACCTCTCTGTGATATTACAACGCGCTTCGAAGCGTTTATACCATTCCTCGAACACGCTCTCACCGGAGAACAAGTCACAGCTAGCAACAACGTTAGACCAGGAATTGCTTTGTTGGAAGCTCCATTTGCCTATGCATCTTAACTTAGACCTTGACACCTTCACCGAGGCGGAATGGGTGAGTAAACAGAAGTTGATCTTGCAACTACGTTATCATCACGTCCGGATGTTCATTCACCGACCCCATCTATCCATGGTAAGCAACGATCTACAAGTCGATCATATGCAGATCTGTCTCGAGGCAGCTCAGAAGACAATCACCCTGGCATATGATGCGTATCAGCATCGCCATTACTTCCGAACGTGGTGGTATAATACCTTCTACGTTCTCTATGCCACTTTGATTATCCTCCATACCATTCTGCTCGGGTATCCGCAACCCTCAGTAGACACACTTATTCAAGATGTTCATAAGGCACTGAAAATATTGGACTCCATGAAAACACTCAAGGTCGCCCAGCGATGCGCCGATGTGATAACTGAAATCCTTCAAGTCTGCAGATTCTTTGTTGAGAGAAGACGGGGGGAGCATCAGGCGCCGAATATCCCACTCAGTCGGGCCACAGAAACCCATCATCAACGTTCCCCACTGCACGAGGGCAACTTGCGACGCGAGGCCCAATCCCAAATACAGAATCCTAACCACGAAGAAGTGGTACACCTCGACTCATCACATACTAATCCTTTCTCAACGCACGATGATCTGCTCACATTGCTGGGAGATCCAGCACCATTGGAATGTTTCGCACTAGGCCTAGGTAGTTCAAGCCCTGTAGACTTTGACTATTCAGCGTCTGTCGAGGACTATCTGGGTAATGCTTATGGGTGACATAGCCTTTCTAATGCTATAATCAGTCGTCCCTAACTTAGCACTAGAAGGCATTGTCATGCGAGGAAGTCAGGAAATTAAGAAATTAGTTGTATTCCGTGAGTGGAGTAGCCTGGATACGAGAGCATATTGCCACCATAGAGGTTTTCTCAATGTCCTTTCATTTTTTTGTATTAGCCTCCTCTAGGAGACTCTTTGGTATCTATCTGGTACGGCCCTCTACCGGATATCGGCTTAGCTGTATCTAAATAGTAGTCAGATCCGCAAAAACAGTCACTTCCGAGCGTAAGAACTTCTATATCCGCCATCCGGACAAATCTTGGCACTGCATTAACGGCAGTTTCTAGTCATGGAATGTGCCGGATGCATTGGGCAAACCCTATCATTCATGTGCCAGCTCTGTTGCCGTCAACTCTATTCAGTCTTGTCGTACTTCGATATACATATATTTATATTCTACTAATTCTGTACACCTATCAATCCATCGCGCAACGAACACGTGATCCGCAGAATGTATTGGGTCGTACTTCATTTGTTCATATACCATATCTTACAGATCGCCGCATTGGGAGATAGCCAACATGGCTCACAGCCAACGGTCACATTGAAGAATGGCACGGTTATTGGGAGTAGAAATGACCTGGAAGGGGTCCAGCGATTCCTGGGTATTCCCTATGCACAGGCACCGATAGGACCGTTGCGACTACAGCAGGCAGTGCCCCTCAACTCATCATTTGGGACACTGAACGCAAGTAGTATGGGACCAGCGTGCTACGGAAAGTCCAACTCGAAGTACCAGCAGAGTGAGGATTGCCTTACATTGAACATCTGGCGGCCCGATGAAGTGGGAAGAAAGGCATCTTCTCCACTTGTACCGGTTTTTGTATGGCTCTATGGAGGTGGTCTCACAGGCGGATATGTTGTAGGTTCACGTACCACGGTGTGTCTACACACCTTTTTCTAAACGAATACGTAGGGAGACCTACGATTTGACGGATGTAATATCGCCAAACTATCAGCCCAAATCAAAAAGCCAGTGATATTTGTGTCAATTGTATGTGTCTTGCTTTAAATGATCGACATCGTTCTAGTGTTACTTAGCAGCTGACGCTTGGCAGAACTATCGCGTTGCATCGCTAGGCTTTTTGAACGGACGCCAAATGGCAGAGCTCGGCCTACTGAACATCGGCATGCTGGATCAGCGACGGGCATTACATTGGTTGCAGGAAAATATTGCCTCCTTTGGGGGAGATCCCAAGAAAGGTAGTATCCTGATGTTCCCCTGCTAGTAGCTTACAGATTCTATGCTAACTCGCCCCAAGTAACGCTTTTCGGAGAATCGTAAGTCATTTTGTATTTTGGCCTGCACAAGTCAAGCAATCATTGACCGTGGCCCCTGTCCAGAGCTGGAGCTGTTTCTATTTATTCCCATATGATGGCCTATGGTGGTCGTGACGACGGCCTATTTCGAGGGGCCATTCTAGAGAGTGGGGGAGCATTTCCCCTCACGTTGCCAAATACGACTTCATTCCAGCAGACGTTCGACAGCTTGATTACAAATACCTCCTGCTCCACGCTGGCTGAATCGTCTGCAGCTGAACAGCTGGACTGTATCAGGACCCTTCCAATCGACACGTTTCTTTCCAGCGTTGGCGATAAAACAGGCCAGTCAATTGACGGAACCTTCACGACTACATCTGTGCAGTTTGCATTTCCAGCAGGGAATTATGTCAAGGTTCCTACGATTGTCGGGAGTAAGTCTTGCCCCCTAGCAGAATATATCTATCAGTATTGTTATTAATGATACTGGCAGCGAATACTGACGAAGGGACCACGTCGGCTCCAACTGGGATCAACTCCACCGATGAATTGACAGGCCCCTTAGGTAAGTGCCATATATCCATTGCTAGCAGAAATGTAGTCCTCCCAAACTAATGACCCCCCGGATTAGCTGATGGTTATTTTCGGCCGGAAACTCTCCCTGACTACGTCGTGAAAGATCTGCTAAACCTTTACTCGAATGATCCCCGGGAAGGATGTCCATATAATACAGGAGATATTATGCTTAGTTCGGGCATATTAGACAAGAAAGCTTGTTCAATATTCGGGGATATTGTGCAGGTTGGGCCAGCACGCATGATCGCCGAAGCACTTGTCCAACACAACGGAGACAATCCTGTATATCGTTATCGTTTCAACCAGCTCCCGGCTAACAGTTCGGATCCATCAGAAGGGATCACAACAGGCACAGAAATACCTTACGTGTTCTCCAATCTCATACCCGACGTTGCATGGGAAAAGGCCCTAGCTGCAGAAATGACGCAAGCCTGGGTTTCTTTTGCATACGACTTGAATCCGAATCTTAAGGCAGGTAAGTTAGTCACTATACTGGTCTTAATGTTGCCCTACCTTCCTGTGGCTGATAAGTTGATAAGGTACCGCGCTACCACTCTGGCCGAGTTACGGCACAAACAAATCGAGTATGGTGTTTAATGCCTATGGATGCACAATCGAACACGATACCTACCGATCTGATCAAATATCCTATATCGTTGACCACGTCCTGCGCTATGGTGCTAAATGAATGCGATTATATCTTCTCGAAACTTGGACATAACGAGCCAACAAGGGAGTAGTTCATAGTGACACTATACGTGACCCAGATTGTCGATCCTTTCCTCTAGATAAGTATATGTCTTAATCTCAGCTTTCTTGCAAAATGCTCTTGGGCTGTGTCAAAGTAGACAGAAGAGTAGTAGCCCCTCATAGTAGTGCGATAATGACTGTCTTCATGTTCCGTAACGTCAAAGTGATTCTTAGATGATTAATGAAGTCGTATGTTTATCGAATTCATCCGTCTTTTGCACAAGAAGCACATATCGTGCTTCTACGAAGACCTCCAATCTTAAAGTTTGTTTGGAGCCAAAGTCCATTATTTTAAACGAGTCGATGGAGCCGTCCTACAGCGTAACTGTTATTATATGCTATGCTCTTCTCTCCGCACACATTAAATGCAGGCATCTAGAAATTATAATGTCACTACGAATGTATGGTAATGGTCTGCGTATCTCTATCGAAGACAGCGGGAGTAAACACCACTAGCTACTCCTATTAGTTGGTATATCTCGATTGGAACGTTTGAGGTTTATTGTTCTAAAAGCAGTAGATCTAGTGTGGTGGTTCTCGCATATAGAGGCGCAACATGAAAGCATTGAGTAGATCCTATGATAGAGAAAGAATGACTTTCAAACAATAACGTCGCGAGCAGCTGCTGTGAAAAGACCTTTCTCTTGGTTATCAGCGTGTCTACCTCGAGTCTTGGAAAGTGAAGCCTCCGTGTCGACTAAGGGGCTAACATGAACAACCATTGGTCATGAAATAAATATTTAAGTCTCCTTCTTGCTGGGAATAAACGCAAAAAGTCTCTCCAAATTCTTGCTCTCTACCTCCTCCCATCCATCCTCCTGTGCACCTCCCTCGGTGAAAAAGCTAGCCGCTGTCTCGTTGCGTCTAAACGCCCACGACAGCCAGTCCACAGCAGCAACACCGAAAGCTCCACCATTTTCATCTCTGTAGGTTCCACTGTGCCCCATAGGATAATTTCCAATCCATTTGGGAACCCCTGTGAGATTATGATAATCCGCTTCACCCTAAAATGAAAGTTGTCAGCTCGTCTTGAAGATCACATGGCAGACAACGGAGATCGCAAAGCTTCATACATTAGCATAGGCAATATCAGTAGGGCCCCCCAAGAAGTAGAACACCGGCTTATGAACCTCCCTGATAGTAGTTTGGGGCTCAGTGGCTTGTCCTCCGACACTGGCGACAAACGTTTCATTTCCTAAGAAGCCCGAATTGAAGATACCCAAGATACTGATCCGTTCATTGCTTCGCATTCGATATGTTTCCAGCCCACCGCAGCTTTGACCTGCCGCTGCTATGAGTGTTGCATCTACTGAAGCATACCGGCCGGGTGTTCCGGCTCTAGGCGTGATCCATTCGACTGCATCCGCCATGAACTGCGCCGTGGTTGAGCCGCTCCCATTTGGGGGACCGGATGCAAGGACTAAAAACCCATACGAGGCGATGTTTGATAGGAATGGAGCGAATTTCGTCCCATTGTTCTCGCACCCACCCTCCGCCCAGACGAGAACTGGGAGGGATACACCAGGGGGCACAGAGATAGGCGAGTAGATTGTGTGGTTAGATAGAGTGGGCTCGGTAAACCACGACTAAGTCAGGTTAGGGTGGTGTCTTATGTTTTCAGATACATAACATCTTAAGCTAGACGGGGAACACAAACAGCTGGATATGGTCCGCTACCTGGGCTTTCTATGTTGCTCAAGGTAGCAGAGCTTGTAGTTGGCAATGAGGACACCAGTCGTAATCCGACTATTAGTAGTGAGGAGACTGTTGAGAACCGCATGTTGTACCAAATCACCAACGATTGTAGACCACGAATTGATTTGAAGCTTCGTTTGTTTGATCAAGAAGGCTAGAAATCGTACTACTAGACTCGGCAGATGGTGGCCAGTCTCGGGCTTAAGTACCCTTTATATTATCCAAATAATTTAGGATATATAATCTTCAAAACTATCCGACAACCAGCTATCACCATACCATACGTCATGCGCGCAGAGTGGTGGAAGTATTGGATATCTCTCGGATGTCGGAGGAGTGTACAGCGACCGACACCTCGGTAAAACTAATGTTTGAATTAATTAAAACCAGCACGGTTGTCACTGAACGGCATTAAATGTCGGTAGATACACAGGCCTTACAACGTCCTTTCTACAGGGTGTTATTGTATTTTCACTCAGCATCTCCAATTGCCTTCCTTGGCTCAAGACATCTACCACATTCGGGATCTACTTGGTAGGCAGCACAGCAATTAACGGGCGAATCAGACCAGAATGGTGTTTTCCTCTAGAGAATTGAATTTGACTGTAAAAGTTTAACTACTCGACGTAGGGCCTTGGAGGATTTCATGAGCCATGGTGATGGATCCCCTCAGTTCATCGAAGCAATGCCACGTTGTACAGAAGCAAAGCCGTCTGTAGCACTAGAAACTCACAGCGTATATCTAAACCCAGCAGCCTTCTGAGCCCCAGTAGGTCCATTACGACCGGTATCCATGCCACTATCCAGTCTCTGATTCTGTCGTCGTAAATACATTCTCGTTACCGTAGCCAGCGCAATGGTTAGAGCGGCCGCGGCCAGATTGACCAAAAATGCCACAAGATATCGAGGCTCAGAGAAGTACAAATAGGAAGCCCAAACTAGAAAACGATCGACAGTGAGCCATAGCACTCCAGCTTACTGATTAGGGATCTCACCATTTGGAGTATTACAGATCGCGTTGATTAGGGCAATGGCGGATGCCCGTTTGATGGAGGGTTGCGAGATCGAGCCGGCAACCCATGACAAGAGAATAGTCGAGGCCGAATAGAATGAGCCAGGCATCAACATCATTGCAACATCTATGGGGTCAGCGGCTTAGCTCCATTCTGACGAGTCTTCTCTTGATTCGGACATCCATCGTAGGGGATAACTTACATCGCGCCGCGGTGTTGAGCGTGGACACGGCAATGATATTGGCGACCAGACAGACGATCATGGGACATACGATATGCAGATACCGCTCTTGCTTCTATTCCTTATGGTTATTAATTGCACAACAAGTGTGGCTTGGAACCAACATACCTTGTCAGAATGGAATCCATTGATGATCATCGCGACTACGGACAGAACATATGGCGGCTAAAGCAGGACCAGAGATTAGCAAGCGAGGACCGCCGTACTCCATGCTTGAGGAGAGGTCTTACTGCTGTGAGCCCGTAGGTTGTATTCCGTGAGTAGCCCAGTGTAGCGACGACTGAGGGGAAGAAGTTGGTGACAGCAGCACAAATATAGATCTAGAAGATCATTAGAGCGCGATTCGAGATGCGATTACTCTCTCATGACTTACACTGTACAGGGTCCCCATCATGAGCCAGGTCTTGGGGTCTGTCAGGGCCATCATTGTCCCCTTCCATGCGCCGACCTCATCCGCATTGTCTTGTTGTCCTTGGTCCGATTCGAAGTTCCACTGAAGGTACTCCTTCTCCAGCTCGGTGAAGCCCAGCAGCGACTTCAGAGAATTCGGTAGTATAAACGCAAGGATGAAGGCAAAGCCGACAGTAGCGACGCCTTCCACAAGAAAGAGCTAGAGGGAATAAAAGTTCAATCCCTGAAGGAAACACTTCGAAACGACATGATGACCAGAACTCACCCATCGCCATCCTGTCAATCCACGCACGCCATCCAGTTTGAGAATCGCAATCGCAAAAAGACCCCCAAATGCGTTCCCCAACTGGGACCCAGAGTACAAGATTGCGGTTCGCAGGGCATATTGCTTTCGGTTGTAGAAAAGCGACAGGTAGAACAAAGCACCTGGGAAGAAGATGGCCTCGACAAACCCAAGAAAGAAACGGCAAACCAAGATCCCCGAATAGTTTTGCACCGAAGCCATACACGCAGAAATGACACCCCACAGTGCCATCGAAATACAGATGTACATGCCAGGACGCTCAATTTTCCCAACAACAATGTTGGAAGGGACTTGCATTAAGACTGCCACCATGACCTTAGTTAGCGGCGAAGCCCCAAGCGAATTTCCACGTCATAGAGCTTGAAGGGGAGAAGCAGCCTAGCCATCATACTGTAGCCGACGAACAGAATACTAATGCAAGTCTGGTACTGCACATCGTTCATCCTGAGATCTTCTTCAATTCCTGCCAACTTTGCTGACGCGATGTTCTGTCGATCGAGATAGTTCAAGATGTACATGATGACCATGCAGGGCATCACACGACAATCTAATTTCATGATGGCCTCCCGGCCGAGCGCAGAATATTCTGATTCCGACAGGGCCGACAAAGAGGCTGGCATTCTGAGTTGTTGGATGGCATCATGAGGCGCGGCCTTCTCGTCGACATATTCAACCTCGAGCACGTCTTTCTTCTCCTTTCCAAACATAGTTGTTCACAGTTGGGGTTTCCGGGAAACAGAATCTGTCGCTGGGTTGTTTACAACTCAATGGGATAATGATGGTTTATATAAGATTCATCCCCACCCGTCCTTCGACTGCGCTATGAGCATGGTTCCTTCAACCGACGCATTCTGCTGCATCCTAGAGTGATAACCCAAGAACAATCAGCTCGAAACTCGTCTTTCCCCGCAAATTCATGACAATCCTCTGGGGTAAAATCGCGGGGAAGGACCATCCACGTTGCGTGGGGTCGACACTAGGAACCGAAGGAATTGGCCGGTGAGCTGCCAAGATAGGTTGATACGACGTGGGGGTACAAGATATTGTACTGTCCACTGGACATGTATGGAACTGCTCGTTGTGTTTATTCCTCCGGGTTCTTGCTCTACATGATATACTACATGTCGCGCATGCTGATCTTGCCTCGATCAAACATCACATATTGTATTGTTTACTCTCGATGACACTGACCACATGCTCTCTAGGGGCCTGAACAACCAGATGGCAAAGCCTGGCCTCAGCTGGTCATCTTCCTTGGGTTCTCTCTCTAAGGTTCATATTATATGTACTGGTACGTGCCGAATCAAGCATCCAATGCACATTGAATTCAATACAGTCCGTGGGCGTAACATGTGAAACGTATGTATGAAGGGATGCTATTTTTGTAATCGTACCTCCCCTCTTGAGTTTGGGTCTATTCAGTCATCATCACCTGTGGGCCACCGGAGAATATTTGTACCTATCTCTGGTATCCTGACTAAGAATGCCATGTCCTGCTTGGTATCATTGGGCCTAAGAGGATGGCTGTGTGGTTTCTGCCAATCATACCGTCCTGGTTTGCTTTCTGCCTTAGGCAGCACCTCATATAATTAAGGCGGGAAGACAGTCACGACTAGTTTGATAATACCAAAGTCTATTCCGTTCAGAGTTATGCCATGTAATTCATGGAATCCTGGCCCCCTTACAGCCCTGATCATGTATCCAAGGCTTGGGACCTCCGAGGACCTCCGACCCACCCAGGCACTACATCTCGACCACCTCGGGGCTGGTGCCCCTAGGCGCTCCGTAACCGAGGGCCGGTGGGGACATACAATTCCAGTCTCCACCGGGGAGATTACGGAAAGCCGATCTGACCTATTACCTGACCCCCTTCTCCATGGCAGCCTATGGCTCACATCTACTAATCCCAGAGGATCGCAGTCGTCCTGAGGAACCTCTGTATAGCAACCTCATGTCAAGCAAGTCTTAACCGTCGACCGAGCCAATGAGTTGCGGATTCCACATATTAATCTGCGATTAGCTCGGCATCATTGGATCTCAGTTAGGTCAGGATCGACAGAAAACAATATCAGACGCTAGCTGGGCCCCTGTGGGATCTCCCGAACTTTACATGGAAATTGAAGCTCCGCCCGGGTTGAAGTCAAGAAGAGAAGCCCACGCAGGTGCACTCAGCTGTGTACAGCACGGCAATTGACATGAAGACGTCCTCTTTGGCCTATCGAATACTACGCTCTAACACATGACCATGCCCGATGAGCGTCTCGCTACTCTGACGGCGAAGATCAGCAAGGGGGCAATGTAACCACAACTGGATTCCAGTCGCACCTGTTGTATGGCCGCCAAGACCAAACAAGAGCATTTCTGGGAGGTTTGAAACCCTAAGCGCGATCATCTGTGGGAAGATCGACAGTCTCCTCCAGGCACTTACCCTCTCGGCGGAGGGCTTGGCGATAACAGTAGTCGATAACTGGGCGGAGCGAGTCTCGGCGTCTCTCTTGGCGCCGAACTCTTCTATTTTTGCACAGCGTGCGACGGTTAGCGAATCAACGGTGCCTGTTTCAGGGGCTGAGGGCGATCCTAATCAGTACTTAACGCTTAACGTACCGCCGCAGCGTCCTCCCTGTCCCAGAGAATGAGTCGGTTCCCTTAGTGCACCTCATTGTATTGTCCAACCATGCCCACACTGGATGTGAGCGAGTTAAATGTGGTCCTGGGCGTGCTAGGTACGGGGATTCATCGACATGATGATTTTGGTGCTGACCTGACCTAGGGGCATTTATGCTATTGTATGGACTCATCTCCATCAAGATCAAGAATGTCTGGTACCTAGGAGAGGCATGTGAGTATTCCGCAGAGCATCAGAGCCCTCAACCCCCGCTCATTGTCGTCCCAGTACCCGCGGTTCTGATCGGGATCGTTCTTGGACCGGTGGCTGCCAAATTTCTCGACGCGACGCGATGGGGTTCCGCGATGAAAGACCAACAGGAAGCCATAACCCTAGTGAGTATGCTAATGCCCCAGAAACGGCCTGAGACCCATGGCTCACCTGGATAGGGTATATGCCGTGTTGTGATTGGTGTCCAACTGGTCATTGCGGGATATCAACTGCCTGCCAAGTATCAGCGCAAACGCTGGAAGGAGATGTTTATCTGCTTGATTCCGAACATGACTCTGATGTGGTTGTGTACCTCGGGGTGCATTCTAGCCACCATCCCGAATCTGTCGTTCGTACGTCACTGCGTTCAGAACTCAGCCGAGGGAAATTCTAACCTGTCCAGATCTCTGCGCTAATCATCGGTTCCTGCGTCACCTGCACCGACCCAATTCTGTCCCAAGCTATCGCCAAAGGCCCATTTGCAGATAAATACGTGGCGCGAGATCTTCGAGAAATCATCTCATCGGAGGCCGGATTTAACGATGGATTTGGGTTTCCCTTCCTGATGCTGGCAACGTATCTCATGCGACATGCCGGAAAGGCAAACTCGGGGCTTGTCGAGAGATCAGGCGACATAGGCCGTCAAGGAGGGGGCGTGGGAAAGGCCCTGGAGATGTGGGTGATTGAAACATGGCTATACTACGTGGCCATGGGGGTTGTGTACGGGGCAGTGGTAGGTTATGCCAGTCTGCACGGTTTAAGGTTTGCATTGCGACGGTAAGTCAACTGTCCTGTGTGCATATTCTTTGCTCAGGACTGAGGTCTTCTCTAGCAAATGGATTGATAGTGAGAGCTACCTCCTCTTTCCCACGGCCCTGGGGGTAAGTCTCTCGTCTCTTTTCCCATATACCACCCTTCCCTCACCAACTTAATCTAGCTCTTCCTACTGGGGACATGCGGCTGCATCGGCACAAACGACCTCCTGGCTTGCTTCGCTGCCGGAGGAGCCCTGAACTGGGATGGGAAATATCTTGCCGAGACAGAGGCGCGCCATGATGAGGTCAATGCCTGCATCGATGTCCTCCTCAATATAGGCGGGTTCATGTACATCGGCTCCATTTTCCCCTGGAACGAGTTCCACCAGCCAGTTGAGACGGGAATCACTTACTGGCGCCTGATACTCCTGGGACTTCTCGTGCTGCTCTTTCGACGGATCCCAAGTGTTATGCTCTTGTATCGGTTGATGCCACGGGTGTGTAAGAACTGGAGGGAGGCGCTATTCATGGGGTACTTTGGGCCCATCGGTATGTCTCCGCGGATGTGCCGCTAATGTCGTCATTGAAGAAGCATCCAGCTAATAACCTCAGGGATTGGAGCTGTCTTTTACGTCGAACATGCGCGCCATCTCTTCCCAGAATTAGGACATGGTGACCCTGAAGAGACTCGTCTCGTCCAGGCGTTAGGTCCAAGTCTGTTCACACCCCCTAGTTTGCCGATCGACGGCTCGACAGAGAGCATGCTAACCGTTGTCCAAGTCGTCTACTGGCTGGTCCTCTTCTCCATAGTGGTCCACGGCCTATCTATCCCTGCCCTTAATCTTATCTACAAAGTCACCGGCACACCTGCCGTGGTGGATCCCTCTGGACCTGCCGAGGTCCGTCCCCTGTCGGCAAATATGGCATTGCCCAAGAACAGCTATCTCCACTCTAGACGGCGGTCCGTATTGCTGTACAATCGATTCTCGCGGTCGAACTTCCCGGAAGGTTTCGGATGGGGTGGTGATGGTCACCCGCGGGAGCCACCGACATTTCACTTGCAGAGTATGAATCATGTCAAGAGTGATTCTAGTACCTCATTAGGACGCGATAATGTTTGCTAGGCGAACGTCGATATCTGTGTCAATGAGAAAAATACATACTTTGGGTGTAGCACAGTTGGTTCTTCTATTCTGAGATTTGTGCGATGGGTTTGATTACCCTGTGGCCGGCGCTAGAAAGGATCTCAGTAAGCTTTTTATCTTGCCATCTCCCCTAGGACGAAACATTACATTTAGTCACACAGCTAGCTAACACACTGTCGCAGTGTTCCAGGTTTTGTGTATTAATTAGCGAATGTAGACTGGCGTATGGGTAGATTGAGTTGGGGTCAATGGGGTTAGGTATACCGAACTATTATGTTAGAGATAGATTAAGAGAAGCTTTTTCCTCCACCACAGTTTAATTTCAATGACTCATAGCAAAGTATCAGTAGCTATACTTAGTCCTAGTGTGCAATAGGAGGATCATAGGACATAAGCTTAAGGCAGGGTTTCTTCATGCACGTTAATATAGACACACGCTCGATTCTAGAATCCACGTTCATTCCCGCGGCGAGTAGCTGTTGAATGAGAGCGGCATTTTATTTCAGTGCGGCATACTGGATAGGACTTGCGAGAGATATCTCTTTGGAGCCATCTCTACTCTAGCGAGAGGACAGCTTGTCTCTCCTTAGAGGCTAGACACGCAATACTAGGCAGAATTTCATTGGAGCTCCGCTCCACAGCACAGCTTCCACGATTGCTGTGGAACCTCCCCTCGGTGCAAGTTGAATTGATGTTTTATGCTCCAATATATTCTTATAACCAGGAGAGTGAACATCCTTCAATTGGCTCATGGGGTGCAGTATTAACAAATGTACGGACCTCGATACTTGGCGAATACTTACCTGGGTAGACATTGACCAGTAAGGTATCTACGCCCATGTACTAGAGCAGTCGGGAGATATGAGCTGGAGTACAAGTTCCATCCTACGGTGATGTACTGCCACTGGAAACATTGGGGCCACAAAAACGTCTACCGTCGTGAAAGGAATTTTGAGGATATTTGTGATCATTCAGGTGCACTTATTGGTCCCTCCCCGAGCTAGGATCTCGTTGATGTCCATTGACAGTAACAAGCCGTTGAGAATGAGTAGTGCCAACCAGCTCAACAGGCGATACAAAGTTGAGCCATATTCAGCCGTCGTTACACCACAAGAGGAAGTACCGAGCTCAAAAACGCCGGTGATTAACTATGTATCGTCGACAAAATGAGGCAAGCTCGCTGAGTATACTTATTTCGTGAATGGCTTTTTTGAATCAGACTTTCCAGAACAAGGATAATGGCCATCGATGGCTGCTAGTTGCGCTGAAGAGCTCGTCATCAACTCACCCCAGTTTGCCTCCAGGGCGGTCCAAGGAATCATGGTATATAACGGCAAATGCAGGTTGTACTTTGAAACATTAGCATACGCTTCCAAGTGGAAACCTTACTGGGTCAGGTAGCCCTTAACCTCGCTTTAGGTTTGGTGTTAGGCACTTAACGCAGATGGTGGGCAAGATTAACCGGGACCCAATATTATCCAAATGGCGCTAGGAAGTCAGGAATGTGGGTTTACTAGCCTGCCTTCCCGGGTCCATATCTTGACAAGAGGCTGCTTATTATTAAGTGATGGAACATTGTCTTGCATAGCCGCCCGGTGAAAGGGCCTCTTGCCCTCATAACCTTCCGGTTCGATGCTTGCATGGTACTGAAGAAGAAAAGGTATTACATGGGCTTTATTATATTTAGTCGCATAACACAGGGCATTTTCACGACGTCCCGTCCAATGCAAACATACGAATTCGATGTCAGCGCCGTACTCGACCAGTAAATTGATGCACTCCTCTTGGTTATACCCGATTGCAATTGCCAAGGGTGTGTACCCCTAATGGTTCATTACTTCAGACTTTGCACGAGATTTGATAAGGACACGGACAATCTCCGGAAGACGATGACGGACTGCAACATCAAGTGCTGTTTCCTCTGAGATATATGCTTTTTCTTGTACATCTGCACCCTTGTCAAGGAGTGATACCGCTGCATGCCGCATTCAATAGATCACACGAATCCACTGCTACCCCAACAGCCAAGAGTAAAGATATCATCTCTAAGTAGCTGTACGTTGCAGCTAGCTGTATCGCAGACCTACCCTGTACTCGTGCAGGAACATCAAATCCGGTCTCCAGGAGTAGCTTGACTACGTCCGTACCACCACATTTAAAAGAAAGAGATAAGGTTGCTCCGTGTTGAGCATGATATTGCGGCACCATGTCCCTTTTTAACAAGAGTTTAACAATATTATAATTTCTACCATGAATGACAAAGTGCAAAGAACACCACCTTAGGTCCCCTTGTGTTGACGTTAACTGCGTGCGAGAAAGTAGATGTGTACTCCTTGGTCAAGGTGAATGTGTGGGTTCACATAGTAGTTTTCAGGATCCATTAAGACCAGAAGTTTTAAGATGTTCTCATAACCCTCTTTTGGCGCGAGATGCTTTGCACCTGGAAAAGAAGGGTCATGAGGCATTTCGGTACCTCGAATGAGAAGAATCTTCACAGTTCCCTCGTGGCCCCCTGGACGGCTTTCATCAAGATACCTGACAGCCTGCTGCCTCTAGGCTATAATATTTGCTTAGAAAACATTGACACCACTTCTTCCTGTCCATATGAAGCGGTAGCGCGAAGCGCCTGCATACCATGTCGATATGAAGGCCGTGCCCCATGCTTCAACAGTATATAGAATAGCCCACTCGCAGTTACGAACGGCGGGTTCCTCGAGTAACATTTCCACCACGGTCGTTTTCGTCAGATACCCGATCCTCCGAAGATGGAGTTGGTCAAGGAACTGCGAGTACGGATCGGTGGGTGAACGCACAAGAAGAATCCGTACAACTGACTCCTGGCGACAAACAATGGCAACAATCAAACATTTCTCTAAACAAAGGAAGCTTATTATCAGGGGACTGGCATGTAGCAATTTGGGGACCAATGCGTCATATCCTTCCTCACATGCGATTTGAAGTGTTTCTCCTGGACCCGTATTCATGTACCAACATTTCGATGTCAACGGCGCCAGTTGTGCAAGGCATGTTTGGAAAGATGGTCGGAGAACGCTAGATATCAAAGCGGCGAGGGAATGGTTCCCTATCATCTTGAGTCGGAAACGATCCAAGACGGTCAGATAGGAGACAATACGTTTTATGGTGTTTGTTGGTAAGGAAAGGAACCCCCTTCAAGGAGCAGGGTTAATGACTATCCTCACAGTGAAAGCAAAGGCCGCGCGTCAGCCTCACGCACCATCGCAGCCGCGGTCATAAATGTGTTCCTTGAACGTTCTTTGAACATGTCAATTTGATGGTCTCTTCTCCCTCTTTTTCACTCATGGTTTACACAAGCCGGCACCGCTTCTTGCATAACTCTGATTAGCGCTTCCGAAGGTCGTGCTCGTATTACTATTGTTCTATTCCTCAGGCCATGGTCATTAGGGGTTTGTTGCAGCCCCGTAGCATGTGTCCAACGCTTCTCGAGTGGGAGTACGTATAATCTTCTAATTCAGGGACAGTCAATTACGCCAATAAAGTTCGCGAGGAGCTGATTCTGGCATTGTTTTGGTTACCGGTGGCACTAGATGGAAGAATTATTGAGGTTAAGGGTTAATGGAAGGACAAGAAGGGGATGACTAATATTCCCTGGGTTCACCAGCTAGTGTAGAAGAAAACAGAGGGTTGTATAGGGTAGCAGCGGATCAGGCGGTAGCTTTCCGTCCAAAGTTACGGGGACTAAGACGGCTGTTTCTGGCACTGGAGGCTGTCATTTCCGCGCCGAATTCACTGGTTACTATATTCTAGCTGTAACTGGGGAAGGTCGGAGCTTGGCTTGGAGGTGATCAACTAGTTGTAGGGATGTGACTGGCCATCGGCAACATCGAGTTTCCACCGCCACTCTTGGCACAGACACCAATCGATCTACTTAGGAAGACAGCGGGGAAACCAAGAAATGAGGGGAAGCGGGAGGAAAGAAGTGGAGTTTGACAGCAATTGATTACCGACGGACGGTGGAATTGGGATGCGACGCTCACGGCCGGCGCGGGGGGAGTATATAGGTGGTGAAGGATCTGCTCTGAACCATTTTGTCTTGTCTGCGCTCGTATGAAAAGGGTCTGCAGAAGGAAGTTCACCTCAAGATGAAAACCACGGCCTCTATAGTTCTCTCTCTCGGCTTTGCCTCTATGGCGAGTGCTGTTATGTATGGATACAACCATGTTCCTCTCGTGAAGGACGCTGAAATCGTTGCCGGTGCCTTCAAGAACGTCAATGATATTAAGCTCCTGTCCCCAGCTTTTGTGACACCCAATGTCCAACTTCCTGGGTTCCCTAACGGCACTCAAGGGCCGTCTTCTCAGAGCGACATGGGTGGGTGTACTACCATTAAATGTCCGCACTTGGTGATCAAGGCTAACAAACGATTAGAGGCATTCCTCCAGCAATTGGCGGAACGCAACGACTACATGACCTATCGTACCGCTAACTTCACGTCGGAAGAGGACCGCTCTCTCCCCTACATCCACCTGTCTGCTAGTCACAGCAGTTCCCTCCACCCCAACGACTCTGTGTCTAAAGTGCGCGTGTGGATCCAGGGTGCCGTTCATGGGAACGAACCTGCAGGTGACGAGGCCACACAGGCCCTCCTGGGCAAGTTCGATGACGACTGGGAGTGGGCTGCCTCGATTCTTGACAAGCTGGAACTCGTCGTGTTGCCGAGGTATAATCCTGATGGCGTTTTCTACTTCCAGCGGACTCTAGCGACCAACTATGACCCTAACCGCGACCATATCAAGCTTGCTCGCCAACAGACGCGAAATATAAAACAGCTCATGAACAACTTCAATCCCCATGTGATAGTTGATATGCACGAGTATTCTGCTGGGCAGCGTTTCGGCGAGGGGCAGTATGTCCACGGCTCCGACGGTCTGTACTCGGCCGCCAAGAACCTCAATATCAATGAGAGTATCCGCAAACTCTCCGAGGAGCTCTTCGCTAAGAATATTGCCGAAGATATGGAAGCCGCTGATTTGCGCGCCGAGCCATACGTTACCGGCTCTTCTTCTTCGGATTCCAAATTCGTCGCTGACTTCGCCGAGGCGGGGACTGATGGCAAGATTGGTCGCAATGCTATGGCACTAACCCAGGCTGTCGTCTTTCTTCTAGAGATGCGCGGCATTGGTATCGCCGATCAGGAGTTTCAGCGACGCACGGCTGCTGGTCTAACCATGCTGGGCAGTATTGTGCAAACTGCTGCCGATAATGCCGATACGGTTCTCAGGACCGTCGAGGACGGCATTAAACAGTTCATAGCGTCAGACAGCGATATTATCGTCACTGACTACAGCAAGACTGAGATCCGCCCCTTCACTATGGTCGACGTTAAGAATGGTAGCGTGGTCTACCCCCTGGTACGGTTCACATCAACGACGCCCTCCTCCGCTAATCTCACTCGCTCCCGCCCAGAGGCTTACCTGATACCCGCGGCCTGGGCGGACCTTGCCGAGCGGCTTGAAGTAGCTGGGTTGGAAATAGAGACACTGGACAAGCCCTTTGAAGGTACCGTCGAGGTGCTAACTATTACATCAACCGAGGTGGACAACTCGTATTACGAGGGCGCGCTTCGCGTGACGGCGACCACGGAGACCAAGGAGGGCGACGTAAGCCTGCCAGAGGGTAGCTTTCGGGTGAGTACAAGACAAAAGAATGCGGCGCTCGCGATGGTGGCGCTGGAGCCGGAGAACATTGACTCCTATGTCTCCTTCAATATTGTGCCGGTGAAGAAGTCAGATGAGTACCCAATTTTCAGGATAATGTCTTAGCTGTATATATTTGGAGTGATGGAAACACGTAAGAGGGACTGTAAGCAGCGAAAATAACAACATAAATTTCCACACAAAATGCAGCAGGAAGGCAGAACTGTATTATTTTCTATTAGGTGCCTGGAATATATCCCACGAAGCGGTTAAATCAAATTTGAGGTTTCTTTTGGAACGGTAAGCGACTGGCAGGTAAAAGGTCCCAAATCGGCTGCCACAAATTCAATAATCATCCTGTATGGTGACTCTAGGGTGTACCCTACCTCTTGTAAATAGACAAATCCGTGGCTGCACAGTAAGATTGAAGTCTATTCTTATCATCTTTTTAATAACATATCTTACATAAATATTCGGGCTAATCCTCTATAGAATGCATAAGGCCTCTTAATTATCGAATAACATTTTGTTAATATTCGGGAGAAGCAATGCTCTGTCTTCTGTATATATAGCATTTACTGTTTGCTTCTCCTTTCACATAACCTTAACTAGTTGATAGGTCCTTGTGACGGACCCGATACAGGACCAGCCTGTCTACCCTACAGGGTGCCCGAAACCCTATAATCCCGGCTCCTCGTACGTAGACCCCGGCTTTCGTGGCCGTTTAGGACCAGCCTGGTAAGTTATTACCCGACATTCAGTCCTTTTTAGGGCCCTCAAAATCCACCAAGAAGGGGAGATTACAAGCTACTTAGAAGATCGCCATATAGAAAAGGAAAAGAGAAGATTCGGTCTCTAGTATATCTATAGTACTATCTAACCAGTAATAGATACTTCTCTACCTTCTTATCAACTTATCCTCAGATAGCTAACAGGCACTCTTGCCCTGTGTAATATATTTTTTATTGCAGTTCTTGCCAGAGTCAGGTATCACCTAAATGTTGGCAGTTATATATTCCTTGTTTAGGGCGTAGTCCTAGTTGGCTTGATGGTCCATCACTAAGTTGTTGTCCTCAAATAAGTACTTGCTGTAGGGGTACTGCAGCAAGCAAACGTATACGAGCTACTATAAAGCTGAGGTAGTAATATCGAAATGCGAAGAACAAAGTGCTACACATCGAGTACTAAAAGTTGCACGGTGTTTAAGGATCATATCCAGGTCCACATGATTAAATATCGTTTACTCTAAGAGGTTTAAGCGACATTAGTAGTCTTGAATACGAGTCACAGTATATCTGTACAACGTTCGCCAGAAATTAAACTCGTTTGGCTGAACCGGGAGGTACTGAATTCTAGATAAACCCAGAACTATACAAATCTTTCGCATTGCCTATATGCGAACCATACTGGTACCGGTTATGCGTCTTGGCGTAACTCGCTCTTAAGATAACTCATTCTTTCTGTTTTGTTTGGATACAATTCGGTATGACTATTTGGAGTCGAGACCAGGAAAGGTTCCAATAGTCAAATAATACATAGGGCCAGAAATTCGATTGATAAAAGAGAACTTTTAAATGGGTATGTATAACCTCTACTAGAGTATAGCACAGGATACTTGCTAATATAATATATTGTTAGTATTAATATTTAATAGAAAAATATGCTTTATATTAATGGCCTAGGAATTTCGATTGAATATGTAAACTAAGAGCGATCTGTAATAAGAGAGGGAAAACGTCCTTCGCTATTAGCAAACTTGACTGCTCCTAGATAAGATACTTGTATTAGTCTGCTTTTAAATAGCAACGCGTATAGTTGAGTACTTTCTAGAGCAAGCTCGGTGCCTTTTCGCGACAAACCCGAACATTCAAGATTGCCTCTATTTTAAGAATTAGAATACCTACTTGGGCCAGTCATCTTCACTTTTTATTTAGACACGAAAGGGTTCGACAGTATTGAAACACACCCTACGAATACCTCCTTTATATATTCGATACCAGCATATACCATTAAATTATACATCGGAAAGTCTGGATAAAAAGCCCACTCCGCATCGATAAGTCTCATACGCTCCTTATCTCTGTACCACCTGTATCTGGTCTCCTCAAGTAACTGTTGTGGGGATTTGTCCGCAGTATTCGGTTGATCTATTAATCTGCTGCCTTCAGCCTCTAATCAAATCGTAAATACCTTTTTATATAATTTTATTTGTTTATTTAGTATAGTATACTCTGTTTTCTCTTCTCGAGCTAATCTAACCTGGCCAAACGCCAATCTACTTCATTCCAAGGATTGTCTGAACTGACAAAGAATGCCCGGGGGAAAACTCAAAACCTGATACCATTTATTATGGCTGCCAAAAATGTAGAGTATGAGTGTAAAGATCTACGGAGAAACATCAGTTGCTCTTATTTTGACGTAGGGTACACAAGTCTTTGATCAAGTCGAGGCTATTTGGCATCTGTGTGGGCTATAAGGACTCCTTTCGTGTTGAAATAGTATACGAGTCCGATACGTATCAATAGATGTATACAGAACTCTTGAGCCTTGACTCGACTACAGGCCATTGATATGAATTACTAGTTGACCCATACAAATGTATCCCCTGTGCACGGACCCCACTCCGATCGCTGTACTCAACATATAAACATTGTTTTGGTCCTCCTAGAAGACGACAAAAAGACGAAAACATACAACAGGAGGGTGTTGCTGGCTGTGACCCGCCCAACTACTTACCTGCTGGCATGTAACCCGAAGCCCTGTTCTCCACGTCCTGTGGTTGTATATATTACCTAATCAGAAAAAGAGAAATATGTCGCATTGAGTCAGGCAGCAGAGTAAACATAGTTAATGCGAGGCAAATTTGTCCATTTAACTACACCCCTCATCCCGTGTAGGTTGGCGCTTTCTTATATCCTTCCACCCCATTCCCCATGCCACACAAAAACAGCCGACACCTATACCAGTAGACAAATGAAAGGCATGATCTATCCCTTGAGTATAAGCCAGTAACACTCCTGCCAGTTTATCCATTGAAACTGCGCTCCGGATCGCTCCAGCCCCAGTAGCAACCACGGCTCCGGAATCCACGGACGGAGCGTATACCGCCAGGCCGGACTTCAAGCTGTTGATGAAGATGACTTGGCCTAGGGTGAGGAAGACTGCCTGGCCCAGAGTTTGGCTAAAAAGGAGCAGAGAAAGGGTGATGGAGGTTTCTGCTTTAGGGAGGATGTTTTGGGCTGCAAGGAGGGGCTACACTCATATGTTAGTATAGATATGCATATATATATTGAAAAATGGCAACTCACCGCCTGAGTACCTAGACCACGTCCAGCTCCGATCAGGATCTGGTATCCAATCCATGTTCTTGTTGGTGTCGATGGTGAGAGAAGAGATAGCAACCCGTTTCCAAGTGATAATAACCCCCCGCTACCGATACTAAACGGAAGATAGTAGCCCACCTTTCTCACTGTATGGCCATTAGAATCAATGCTACTTGCTGAGGTCGGAGAAATTCCTTACACAAAAACCCAGAGAGAATAACAAGAATCAACTGACTGATGATGCTTGGGAGTGTAGAAACACCACTTATCATCGCGGACACTCCCTTCACCACTTGGAAGTAAAGAAGATAATATGTTGCGCAGGCATTCATACCTCCGAGGAAGAACATAAAGAGACAGGAGAAAAGGACTATTCCCTGAGAGACCATGTAGAGAGGGAACATGGCCTCTCTACCGGTGCGGTACTCCCACCCCAGAAACAAAATGAACATCGCGCCCGAACAGCAAAACAGACCAATGACTGTCGCGCTATTCCACGGATATTGGTTTCCGCCATAATCGAGGGCTAGCAGGAGCTGAATGATGGCCGGTACGAAAATGGAGAATCCGATCAGATCTAATTTCTCTCTGATAATGTGAAGGGTTGGTAGAGGGTTATTCGTAGCTTTCGGTTCTGGGATAGTGACGAAAAGCAAGACAAGAGTAATGACGCCGCCGATTGGAAGGTTGATATAGAAGCCTATAGAATGGATAATCGGGTAGAGGCTTCAGGGAAAGAGACACACACGGAGAGAGTACTTACACCATCGCCATGACACATACTCCGTTAGCCCCCCTCCAATCAATGGTCCGAGGACAAGGCCGAGCTGAGCAACTAGAAAATCACGGGTCAGAGGAAATATCCCCAGATGTATCAAATTGGCCTACTTACTCGCCAGCAAGATGGCCATCATGGCTATCAAAGAAGCAGGATTAGCGATATTGCAAAGAGGTAAGATGGCATAATGCATACGTGCTTGTTTCTTCGGGGGAAAGGATCTCGTAATAACGGTCAAGGCACCATTTTGGATACCCGAGGCTCCGATGCCCGCCAATGCTCGTGCAACAATGAGCATTTTCGAGCTAGATGCCAAAGCACAAATCAAAGAGCTGACCATGAAAATGCCCAACAGCGCAATGAAGGTTTTCTGGTGTCGGTTAGCTATTTCGTCAGCAAGAGAATGAGAGATGTTCCAGCGTACCTTGGAGTTGAAGTATGTGTATAGTTTCCCTGTAAGTGGCTGAAAAGACGCACTGGATAGAGTATTACTGGAGAGTTCTTTTCAACTTTTGAAATAGATACTAATAGCCGACATACCTAGTGAGCTGATATGCACTACCATACCATCCCACATCAGACAGAGAATGAAATTGGCTTGTGATTCGGGGAATTGCCTATTATGACATGTCATCAGTCAAGAGGGAGATATACTTAACTAGGAGCCCCTAGTATCTCGAAGCCAGCTTACCGGGGCAACGATCGAAGTATCAATAAGCACAAGAAGGGCGGCAGACGTCAAAGCCGACAGCAGCAATGCAAGCCTAAAGCCAGTGATGTACTCTTGTCGCCCTATTGCTGACTCTTGCTCTTCAGCCATATCCATTCTGTCATCTTCTCCCCCTGATGCTAAACGCATCTTCTCCTCTTGGTTGGGAGTCGGGAACTGGGAGGTATCATCATATGCCTGCTGTTCCATTTCCTTCGGTGGGCATGACGATATACTTGTTAAGAGTGCAAGATATTTGTCGTCAATCAAAGATAATGGGAATCAAGGGAATCAAGGGAGGCAGTCTGCACACGAA